GGGCTGCACTGAGACGGTGACCTCCACAATAAGAAGATGTTCTTGCTTCGGGGAAGAGAAGGTTGTTTTGTACTCCTCTCCCTCTCTCTCACTCTCTCCCCTCTCTCTCTTTCTTTTTCTCCTACTACTTTCAATGGAGTAAATGAGATTTGGAGGGGGTAGGATACTGGAGGAAGGGATCAAGAGGGTAGACATGCAGAAAGAAAGACGGAGATAGCAAAGAGAGGGTAGTTTAATGTAGGATTCATAACACAGAGAGCTCAAATATGATAAACAGAGGAAGATCTGAATTGCCCTAAAGTAAAGCAGCTCAGAGGGTTGGACTGAAGCAGATGAGGGTTGAAACCTCACAAAATCCAGGCCATGAAAAGCCCGAATAAGAGTCTTCCCTATTTTTCATTTGCAAGGAAGATTTTTCTTGCCCCAAACTAGGGGGGGAAACGCACGCGTCCCCTCATCGCACACAGATGGACACAGCGGGGTCAGCCAGAAGTCATCCTTATCAATGAAAAGCACGACGCGAAGGACGACGAGAGCGATATCTGCATCCTCGTCCAGGGGCGACTCTGCATCATATACATACAATAGACACACAAAGGCCTGTCACCGTGGAGAGGACAGGAAGTCCTTTGGGTGACACAAGGATACGCAGTGTGAAAACCCCCAGCACCCTCCTTCACGCGGGGAACCAAACGTGTGGGCAGGTAGCACAAACACATTCTCTGTATCCTCTGGATGATTATACATCCTTTAAATCCAATCACCCTGATTCATTCTGCTTCTCCTGGTGTCATTCTTCATTGGAATTCATTCATTAACACTTTCTTTGAGGAATCAGCTCACTCTTTGCCGTCCTTATTACTTCCATCCTTCCTTCTTTTCCTTCGCCCTTCAATCCTTTTCCGTCCTCTCTTGGTTTCCTGTACTCTTAATTTGCTCTTTCTCTCTGAGGGAGGACTCTTTAAGAAAAAGGCCTTGTCGCCTCCCAATACCGATTTGAGTATCACTAAGCTGCACCTTCACACATATTGTTGCCTCACACCTTGTGCCAAATATTCCTTTGTACATCCTTCCCCCATCCTCTGCCTGCACCTGGTAGAGATAGTGTTCTTTCAGCTGCAGGCGCTGCTTTCTATACAAGCTGGGCTAGGATGGCACAAGCAGCACACAGCTGTTCCCCTCGGTAAATTGATAGTGAAGGGTAGTGGATGGGGCTTTGAAAGTGCCTTGTGCTATTTTTATGACAGTTGTAGAATTTTTTTAGCTGTTTAATTCGATGTGACCAATTATGCCGCTACGTTCCTCAGCAGGGGGGAGACTCTGGGAGAGCAAATTATTCTTTGACTTGAAAAAGTTCTCCTAAAGTACGTTAACGTGGCTCGTTCTTTGTTATGGTTCAAACAAAACAGTTCAAAAACAGACCCCCGGTTTCACTTTCTGCACCGAGCGAAATGTCTCTCTTCTCTTCCTTGTTTTTTTTTCTTTTTGAAAGCTTTCTCCCCGGCCTGAGCGACAAACGGCGAAGTAAAACCAGAACGCTCATGTTCCTTTTTCTGGAAGTCAAATAAGAGGGGAATAGAGAGGACAAGAGTGTCCCATTGGGTAAGCAGCAATTCAGCCTCATGCACTGACCCCCTCCTCAATGCAAACACACACACAACACAATACACCCATCACCTTATAATTCAAGGACTCTTTGGGAACATGAGTGCCACACACAAACACACACACACTGAGGCATGAGCACAAAACCACAGTCGCACAGAATCCTCGATTTCTCCTCACACAGCTACTCTCCCTCCTGAGTGGATTGCCGTGACGAGTGTTCCTAGGGCTGAATACATGTGTAAGTGGCCTAATGATGCCTAAACCCATCCATGAGCAGACAGGGGAAGAGAGAGGGGGGATAAAGGGGAGAGGTGGGGGTGAGGAAGCGGTGCAGGGGGAAGCTGGGGGTCATGCTTGTCGTGTCAGGCGGATTGGAAGGCCACGTTGGCGTGTGGGAGCACAGCTTTGAGTAAAGCAGCTTGTTTCAGGCAGGGATTGTGTTTGCGGACTCTACTCCGAGAGAGGGGCAGTGTGAACATGTGCGAATGTGTGTTTGTGTGTGTGTGTGTTTGTGTGTGTGTGTAGTGGAGGGAGAGATTCTGTGCCTGCATGGGTTTTACAGACATACAGCCTTAATCCACATGGCCTGACATTCTCCGTTATCCGGCCCTCCACAGCCAACTACCAAGACTGATGGAGGCACGGATCTACCCCCTGCTGTCTCAGGCCACACGTCGCTCTCTTCTCACACACACACACATAAACACACTCATGCATACACAATCACATATTACATGTTTCATAGTGCGACCCAGCTCTCTTCCCCATAAACTTCTCCCACTTCCCTAAAATGACAGCGATTCCTGCTCACAGCATTTGCACTCTCATTTCCTAAGAAACAAGCTCCTCCTCAGTTCTGCATTACAGCAGACGTTCACACACAGGACACACACGCACACACACTCAACAACAGTTTGTGACACTGTCGGAGTTAGTCCTCATGGTTTTTACTGTATGCCTCTTTAAGCTCAGTCTTAGTAAGTGTATTGAAAGGTATTGACAACCAGGGAGAAGATGATCTGTAAACATACAGCACTGACTGTGGAGGCAATAAGTGGTCCTCTGTTAGTGTACCTATTAGTGCAGTGTGGTATTTAACTGAACAGACTTAAACATGAGATATAACATTCATACATATGTTTGAAATGGTGCTTAATCACATAGACTGTAACATAAGCCTCTTTAATCTACATATGAGCAGGTCCCTAGACTGAAACCACCATGTTTCTACAGTGGCACAGAATGGACAAACTAATGATATTGAGAGTGATAAATGAAAGAACAATAAAAAGAAGTGGTTGTTGTGCTCGCAATAATCTGTATCCAGAGACTTTTTTGGTGAGAACTTGAAAAAAGGAGGTCCTAAATAGTCCCATTTCTACACACTGTACCTTTAAATACTTGTACTACTTGAATCCATCCTCATTGTATGTCTTTTTTCTTATGAGTCAAAAATGTTGAAAAGTATTCAATAAATGTGAAATACAAATTCATGCTTATGTGCTGAGGTGTTTTTTACTGATCCCACACTGTGCCCCGGAGTTGCCTTTTTTGCCCTCTTCCTCCCTCCTGTTCTCCTTTTTCTCATCTAAGAAAAAGGGGTGCTGGTTTGTGGCGACCTGACAGTTCTCCTTTTCCGGTCCCCACCTGTATGTGTCTGTCTACTGTATGTTTCTTGTAAGGGATGAACTGTAAATTGGGAATTTCCCCTCATGGGACTCATAAAGGAGTATCTCATATTATCTTATGCAACAAAGTTTTTTCTTTATTTCTTGACTTATTCGTGATCCCACAACTTTCAAAATTCATCTTCTGAGTCATTATGACATGAAAAATAAATAGATAAAAAAATAAATAAACTCTCATTGCAACAACAGTATTAATATCAGCATCAGTATTAATATTCCAATAATGTCACATAGTAGTTCTTTAATTTGAGGCTTTCAGCAAACATTCAGTATATCCATGCATTTTTACTTACTCTGTTTCCTATGATAAACAGTTAATTTCTATTATTTTCTCAAAATCACAACTCAACATTACTTGATTGTAACTTCTGTCCACACACCCCAAAACACACTCAAACAGAATGAAGGAATATTACATTTATTTATTGTACAAATACATGTAGTGTACCTCATTAGTGTTGACAGTGGCAACATGTCATAGTCACGCCTATTGCACTGGTATTTTTTCTGTGTTGTAGATAGTTCGAAAACTGTCCTGTTGTCACAACAACAACAACAGAGCCGATCTCATAAAAAAGGGGAAAGAAAAAAGCCAGATCTTGAGTAAACATCTGAAATTAACTTGTTAACAAAAGGAAACTGAGTAAATAAAACGTCGACTCTCCACTGACGGCTTCTGTAATTGGTCTTACAGACTATTTTTCATACTTTAAGTTAGGGCAGTGGTTCTCAAGTCCAGTCCAGTCCATGATCTTTCCCTGCTCCAACACACCTGATTCAAATGATCAGCTCGTTATCAAGCTCTGTAACGAGCTGATTGTTTGAATCAGGTGTGTTGGAGCAGGGAAACATCCAAAACACACAGGACAGTGGGCCTCAAGGACTGGACCCGAGAACCACTGCTTTAAGTTATGGTGACGGGTCTTTTCTTTGTCGCAGTTAACATACATAAGGGTTCTGAGTACTTCCAACTCTGGGAATTGGTTATATAAAAGTGAATGTGAGTCTTATAATAAGCCATCAGGTAAATTACCCTGTATTTAAGAGCATTCCAGTAAGTGTGCTGCATTAACATACACCATCACTGTGAAAAAACACCTCCCACTTCTTCTTTCTATTTCATCCTACATGGGCATTTATACAAGTTTCTCCCTTCACAGTTGCCCCTTTATTAAGCGTGATAAGAACAGTCTATGATGAGGGAGGGACTGGTCCGCTTTTGCTGGAATTACCCCAAAATTTTTGCCACGAAAAGTGCCCTGCATCCTGTAACATCACATGGCTGTCAGAGGTGTTTTCCAGGCAAAAAGTGTCAAACTCTAAATGTCAGACTTGATTTTTTCTGAGTGTGACTGTCTGGTGTTTTCTTATTGTTGCCACAAGAGGGGGTCAGTTACAGTAAACCCCTGGTCCTTACTGGGCCCTATGGCAACAGACGCACGAGCCACAAGCCCCCATAAACCACAAAGATCACTCATGGCGACCCCCTATGTCACAGAAATTGTAATTATTCGTCCTGTAATGAAATTTTAACTATGAAAAATTATTCTTAGCTATAATAACACCACATAAATGTTTGCCTGAGTGTTTCTGATAAGAGCTGGACTCGTCCTAGATGAGATGGATACGCGCAGTGTGTGCGTTCACGTTGTCTCATTTCCTGACTCTGCCCGGAGAGAGAGGAGATACGGGGACACGGAAAGAGAGAGAGAGCGAGAGAGAGAGGTAGAGAGACGGGGAGAGAGAGGCATACACATAGACATGCACAGTGGAGGAGGAGGAGGAGGAGGGGGAGGCTCCTGATACCAAGACACGGAAAAGCAGGGGAGGGAAAGAGAGAAAGAAAAAAGGGGCTGGTGGAGGAAGAAGAGGAGCGGGGAGTGGGAGAAAACAGGGGGAATAACACTTCAAGAAAGCATAGAGAGAAGAGGAAGGACAGTACCTGGTGCTTTGGACACCCCCTCCTTTCTTCTCTCGGGCTGTCACAAGCAGATTGGACTCCGAAGGACCGACACCGCGTCCACCCCAGACCCCATGGGGTAACAGGTAGGCTTATGTCTGACTTCCTTGTGTTATCAGCAGTGAGCCCCTGCTTTCACGCGTACAGGTTTCATTCAGGAGCGGCGTGTGTCGTGTGGGTTTCCACGCGTTTATATCATGACAACTATTAGTTTTGTTGCCTCGCGGAGCTGATAGTTGGTGCTCGCGCAGGTTGTAGACATGACACAAAGCAACTCGTGCCCCTATTATTCCTGACCATTGGGGGGGAAAGCTACTGTATGGAGGCCTGTCTGTTATATTTTTAATATTCTGGTCCACTAGCATCATGTTAGCCACGGCGTGAGTGTATTTTGACAGCTAAATAGCCGAGCGAGTGAGCAGGCGACAGTCTCAAAGTCCGCCTACCTGTTCCATACGTGACAGCCAGCTGTCTGTTGCGCGTGCTGATATTGGGAGAAGCTGTCATTCGCACATTGTATATTTCACACATTATAGTGAACTGGCACTTGTCTGAAAACGGTGAAAATGCTACTTTCTATACGTCTCTGAATGTGTTTTAAAACGCGTAGCAAAGCCAAAGTGCTCCATAATCGCGATAATTCGATATTTAGTGGGTTTAATACTTTTAAATATGATGTTTACAGCGCGAGAAGTCGATAGAGAATAATCACTGATAAATAATCTGACTCGCTCCTTTATTTTCTTTACAATTTCATACAGTAAGAGAGGGTATTTTACGTGCCACTTGCAGACACATTAATCACTCTCTGTTAGGTTTTACGCAGCTGATAGAGTTTGATGAAAACCAGCGCATCCCCTTAGTGAAAATCTGCAAAGTTTTGAACAGCATGACCGCCTCATTGCCACATCTGCTGCTGTAAGGGGGGGAAATCATGCACAGACAGATATCGTGCCACATAAAACACGAGTGATGCTCCTTCGAGCAGCCGTCTGGAGGGGATTCAAAATGAAAGCGCTCAGTGCTTGGAAGACAAGGGCTTAAACCCTCCTCCTCCCCTTCCTCCTCCCCCCTTCTCCCCTCGATTAACCTCCAAAAGGGGGATTTCTCCAGCTGGAAATTTCTGCTGCGTCAACACCCAACCCAAGAGTACCACCACCACCACTAGACAAGAAGACAGGAGGTGGGGGTTTTGGTTTGCAGATGGTACTCTCGGGTGATTTCTGTGGTTGCTGATCATCATAGAGAGTTGAAAAGTGTGGCGTCAAGTGTTTGCTGTTTATTGGCGACTGAGGCTGGAAGCGTCTACTCTTTTTTCACTGTCTGTCTGTCTGTCTCCCGTGGAGCTGCGCGTGTGGACTGTATGTGTGCGTGTGTTTGTCTGTCTGCTGTCTCTGTCTGCCCTCTCAAACCGGTCAGTTCCGTCTTCCTCCATTTTCTACTATGTAAGACCGGGGGGAACAAACCCACTTCTCTGCCACTGTCAAGCCACGCAGGTGTGGCTACAACCAAAAAACCTAAAAGAAACAAGTGTGACTGTAATTTTCACAGTTTAGTCTGCTTAGGAGTGTTAGAAACTTTTCTCAATGAAGAGACAAACTTTTCCAGGAGGATTTTTATCTTGAAATCTTGAACCATCGGCTGAAAAAGACTTTTATTTAGCCTGTTTCATACAAAGCAAACTTTAAGTTGCTGTAGTATTTCATCATAACTTCTCGCTAAGCTACTTTTGACTCTGCTTTAAGGCGCACCTTCTTGGCTTTCAGCTTTTAAGAGTTACATCCAATTAGATTGTTGTACCTTCCTGTGTTTGACAATGGCTAACTGGATCTCGAGGATTAAGAGTCCGCTGATTTTCCGAATTGTCTTAGGCCTCTCTGGATTTGTGTGGTTGTTTTGGCTTTCCTAATATAGAGTTAAAGGTTGGCTCTTGATATGATAAACCCTCTTAAGTCCTTTATTCAGTAATTCAATTACAGCTGGCCTATGTGCATGCTTTCATGCGGCTCCTTCATTCAACATATTAGGCCACACTTAGTAGAGGATACATTAGGACTTCATTTCACACCTGTAGGTCCATATCCCCATGAAAGGATCGAACACCCCTGCTAAAAAGGGCTAAAAGGAAGTGGACATAGTGTGTGCATGAGTGTGTTTTCAGTGTAAATTTGTGTGTGTGTGTGTGTCTGCACCATCTCCATCTGTGTGTTCCATGAGGAAAATAAAATACAGACCAAGACAACAGCTACGAGGATGAGTGGAGGAGGAGTGTAGGCGAGATCGGCCGAAAGATGGAAAAAATATTAGCAGTGCGTGTGCTCGAAGGGTGGGAATAGGAGGGTTTGAAGCGCTTGTGTTCTCTCTCATGAATGGACTTAAGGAAATGCTCAAACATGCTTAAGTGACTTACATGTACGCCAAAGTTGTGTGGGGTTTTTCTGTCGAAGAGAACCACAACAAAATCATGATGCGGGGTTTGAAGGTGGTGTGAAAAGAGGGGACGAAAGCTAAACACAGAGGTTTGATTTGGGTGCTGTTCGATTTGAAGCTCGTGACACTTGCGTTTTAGCTGTGTGCGTTTGTGTGGGTGTGTGTGTGCGTGTGTTTAAGCCTGCTGGTATGTAGGTGGTGCTCAGTGCTCCCGTGCTAGATGTGGGCTGAACTGTGTGGTAGGAGTTTAGTCTGCTTCGACTACGCACACCCAGGAGATATTGCACACAACCCCCTCAAATACATACACAGTATATTTGTGTGCGTGCGTGTGTGTGTGTGTGTTTGTATAAAAGGAATAATCAATGAAAAAAAGGAAAGCTTGTACACATACTCTATGCCACAAAAAATATATGTATTGATTTAACTTGGATCTTTGTCAGATGATTGTTTGAAAAGTTTCTAGAAACTTTTTCACAGTATGGTGTGAAGTCACGATCTTGGTACACAAGTACAAGTTTTCTTTTAAACTTTATTTTCTGTATGAGGGGGTTTAGATTCTTTGTCTTAAATTATATCCAAGTTTTTAGATATTCTAGTTTTGTGATTTTATTTATGATACTCTACTTTTACTCTTACTGGTATGGATTAGACCAATTCCACTGACATCCCACTGTCCCTCTGTAGACCCATTCACAACCTCAGCCCACCCTTTACCCATTTGTTAAACAAAATTGATATTACAATATTCATATTATTTATTTTGGATACATTCAGAAATCCATATTTTTATGTTTAAACCCAGGCTGTTAAAGCAGAGGCAATATATGAGAGACTGAGACTGAATGACAAAATGAGAAAGGTGCCAAATGTAAGATTGGGTTGAAGAAAACAGCAATCTCTTTTAGTGCAAACATTTTGAGACACGTTTGCAGTGCATTATAGTCATAGCTTTCAAAGAAATGTACATTTTGGACCTCTGTTACCTTATCTGGCTCATCCTTTGTTTACTCTTTAGAAATGATAATGAATCAAAACAGGTTTCGGAAGTTACAGCTGCCATCAAAGGGCTTGGCAGTCGATTTATGTTCAGCATGTATATGTTATTATATTTGAGTGCACTTAAAATTTGACGAGAACTCCAGTGAGGAACTTTTTCCTGGTTTGAAAAAACAGGCTGGAGTCTCTACTGATTCAAGTTACAGGAGCAAATAAAAATAATCAAGAAATTATATCATTTCTAATTGTGTTATTTTTTAATATCTGAAAATACTGCCAGGCAAGTGTTAGATGTAGGGATTAAATACATGCTGCAAAACTTTGTTTTCACTTTCAAAAGCAAAAACTTTTAAAAGAGAGGTACACTTGACTGTTACAGAGCTCAAAATTTAAAAAAAAAGTCAAAAGCAGATCTGTGTGCACAGTTCGCCAAGTGTAAAATCATGCGCACAATTTGCAAATGTGCATCAACAAATGTAATCCCATAATTGCACAAATTACGAATCAGGGCCAGATTATGAATCTTTGGGGTTGACTGTTAAAAGGAAGAAACCTACACAAGTGCAGGTGAAAACAGAAAAGAGATGAGAGATATCCATTTGTCCACAGGAGTCATTATAATCAACATAAATCAAAAGTTCCCCACAGGAGCTTTAAAAAGCCACAAGGGAATGTTGTTAACATCAAATGTAAAAACAACATGACGACAGACTGCACTTGTGTAAACTTGTGTATGTTACCCAGAAATGGATGACAGAGGTTGTTGGCATCCTTGTACCTCATTCATCTCTGTGTCTCTCTCAGTCTCTGCCAGTTCCCCGCGTTCGGTCCCGTTCCCCCTTTGGAGCTCACTTGTTAATGGGAACACCTGTTTAGCAAACATGCTGCAAAATGAACCATTTACACTCGTACGCACACATCTCACATGACACCTCTCTCCGGAGTTTTCTAACAACTCTGTCTGAACGTGGCGAATATTATCATTCTCACATCTGATTTATATGACAACACACTCTGGCACACACACACACACACACACACACACACACACACACACACGCACGTATTAACCTCTTGCATCTAAACCGGCCCCCATCCCCCAACATCCCCCCATTCCCTAATAACTCCCAAGGCCTTTAAGCCTAACTGCTTCTATAGCTCATTGTGCAGCGCTGAATACAGGTGTTCTTAATCCCCATGGGGTTACATGGATGCTGTGGGGGATGTGTGTGTGTGTTTGTGTTAGTGTGCGTGTGTAACAGCTGTCTTTCCTATCCACCTATCTGACATACTCATCCTCCCCCAGCAGAGAGAACAGGTGAGTTTAAGCCGTCCCCACTCCACATGCGCACATCCACTTGTCTTTTCACACAGGAGTTAATATTTCATAGCAGTGTGCGTATGTGCTAGATAGGATGTCAATGAAAGCAGTGAGCTCTCTCGTTCCCCTCTTTTGTTCTTTTGTCTCCAAATTTAAAATTGGAAGATAATTTAGCTTTAATTTCGATGATGTACGAGCGAGTATCGAAGGTCCAGACGTAAAAATGATTGTTTTATTGTTACTAAAAATAATCAACAGAAAAGGGGAGCTTGCTCCGTGCGAACGTGGCGGGATGTCGTAATTTTTCTTTGGAGTTGTTGATATTGCAAAACACCTTTTTGGATCACACTTTCCAGAGCAAACAGATGAAGGATTTCAGTTTGTGTGCTTTCATCAGGGTGTGTTTTTTTTTCTTCCTTTTTTTTTTATTTAGGAATGCGGAGCGGATCGGCTCCTTCTAAGCAGAGCCTCATGATCACACCATGCTTACCCACATCATGTGTTATCATCTGGAATTTATTGCATTCTCTGACATCGGTTATCAGTTGCACCCAATGACTATTGTTAAAGCTAAAAAAGTCCACAATGCTTTTCTCTTTATGGTCCTTCCAGATATATTCCTAATTGTTGGCTTCACATACTGACTGTTTTCACCAGTTCAGATGCTGTCAAAACAAATTTTGCAACAAGTGAAGTGATGACAGCGGTTGTTTCACGTCAGGTAATGCAAGCCAGATAGAAACATTTCATTTCAGTTTATCATTTCAAAGGTTTGGCGTTAATACAAGAACAAAAGAAGGTATGGAAGCTGTAATATTTGACATAGTGTGGCACGTATACAAATCTTTACAAGCCAGCTCCCTCTGCTTTCAATGGTCCTTGGATTTTGAGCGACGTGAACCTTGATGTTTCTACGTAAAATTTCACAAAACGCTAATTTTCTAAGTCAAATATGTTTATACGATCTGTAAAAGATGCACTGATTCGCACATGAGTTTGTTTTAAAACACCTACCACTGACATCTCCTCTTCCTGATAATGAGGTGACAGGGGACTGATTGTTGTTCATGACTTTCATTCTTTTACAAGAAGCCGACTAAATATTTTGTCTACTGAGCAGACTCTCTGACTTATTCCAAAATTATTCACTTCTTTCCAAATCTTCTTCAGTAAATAGTTTTTCTTGTCTGTGAATGACAGCAGATTTTTTTTCTTTTTCTTTTCTTGCTCTGTGTTGTTGTCGACATGCACATCTGACATACTGAAAAGTAACCCTAGTAGAGCCGGACGGGTAAACCATGACGAAGAACTTATTTATACAAACACACACAGTCACTCCGAGTGATACATCAACAAGTTAACGTCCTGAGCTGAATATTGCCACCTTTTTATGACACATTTATATAAGCCATTAAGAACTTGAGGGTTCTGGTGTAGAAAAACCTCTTTGTTGAATTTTGGTGTTTGCAGACTGCTGAAAGCCTGGTATAAGTATGCGGTTGTTAGTTGTTATTTTCCCAGTGAAAGAGTTTGTCTTTCATACACACAGTGTGAGCATTTGATGAGAAATTGAGCGGCTTTGAGCAAATACATCTTTAGAAACAGTCAACTAGCCTCAGGCTGTGGCTGGTGAGAGATTTCCATATCAAAGCTCAGGTGAGAGAGGGAGACGGGAGAGGGAGAGAGTGGAAGGAGGAGAAGGAGAGAGAGAACAAGGAGGAGGAGAAGGGGGTGATGAAATAGACATCCACTCCGAAAAGAGTTCTAGCCCTTGTTATTCTGTCGCGTGTTTTTTTTTTTTTCTTCTCTTTTTGTGTGCAGCACAGTTTAGTCTGTGTGTGTCAGTGCTGTCTGTCTCAATCTAAACTCTCTGTAAAAAAAAACACACAGAGGGAAGGTCGGAAAGACTCGAATACAAAGCGACACCTTTCTCTTCTCAAAAAACCACACAATGCTGTCTCTTCAAAACCTTATGCTGACTGGTGCTGACCGCAGGAACATAAAAATGTTTTTTCTCCCACTGATTCTGCATAACATCTGACCTGTGAGCCTCTGCCAATATTTGGATCCCTGTTTAATATTATTACGGAGGCATAAAACCATCATTTTCCCTGGAAATATTTCTCTTCTTTAGCTATAAGTATCAGACCTGACCCTGTGGAATTGATGGCGACACTCTAATTAATGGATAGAGTTTTCATTTGGCGCTTTCAAAGATGTGTGTGTAAGCGTGCCGCCCTTTTAGTGTGTGCGTCATGTGAAAAAAAATCATCCAGCTTTGTAGAGTTTTGTAATCCAGCCATGGACTCTGGCTAGAGTGCTAAAGTGCTGCTAACAAGGCCTGTTTAACATTCTCTCCCCTGCTCAACATACAATTATTCCACTTCGCTGCCATTAACATGTACAGTAGGACTGGGCTTTTAATTGGCCTGATATGACTAATGCCAGATCAACTTGGATTTGCTAATTAGTTTTTGCTTTAAAAGTGCCATCAGGACATGAAATATTCATTGATGTGAGGTGGAGCGCGGACTGTGGGTGGTATTAGTGGGATATTAGTGCTATAGGCAGGCGGTGGAGAAGAGATTGAACCTACATTGGCCTGTTGTGGTCGCTTATTCATACTTTGGGTTGAGGTGTTAGTTTTTCGTCATAATTTTAGACACCCACTCATACACGTACACACACAGAGGAAAGCGCACGCACATTCATACACCACCTCCATTCTCAGCATCACAAGGCCACCTCTTCTTCTCGAGCCCCCACCTCCTCTCTCTCTCTCTCTCAATCTCTCTCCTGGTCTTGCCTCCCCCTTCCCATTATTACATCTCTTTTTTTCTTCCTCCGTCCTCTTCTCACTTCCTTTTCCCGCTCCTCTCTCGCCCCATCCTCCCCGTGCCCTCTGCTCCGTCCCAGCTGCCATCTCTCCCTCTTTTTCCTCCTCCACCTCCTCCTTTCCTTTCCCCCCTCCCACTCCTTAATCTTCCACCTCTCCTCATCCTCCTCCTCCTCCTCTTCCTCCTCCACCACCCCCTCCTCTGCTGTAAGTGGGCCAGGTGCCTCCTGTGGCCTCCCCTACTCCATTTCTCATTTTTACCCTTCCTCTACTCCCTTTCTCCTTTTTTTAACCCTCTCCCTGTTCTCTTTCTCATTTTTATCCTTCCCCCTGACCCTTGCTCAAATTTATACATTCCCTTATTCAACGCTAGACTCCAGATCCAGTCCCTCACTTTAAATAAAAGCATCATTTTGACCTGATCTGGCGGTCGCTGCTCTCTTTAGGTAGGAGTGTGACGTCTCAAAGGGGAACCAGGATTTCATTCAGATACGCAACTTTTTCTCAGCGGCGTAAAAACAGAACCTTTTTTTTGTATTATGTCAAATCATAGTGGACATTTTATGAGCTCCCCTGTGTCGGTTAACTTCCCTTTTTGAACAAACTAGGTGAACAGAAGTGAGTAGGTTCACATCCCCTTTTCAGTGGCAAGGGGCAAATTCCCACAACGGCCCTTCTGCTGCTTATTTTCCAGCTCAAACTAAAAACGTGTATTTACATGGAAGTCTTATTGTTGCTATCTATTCATTTCACGCTTTTTGACGGTAAGCTCATAGTATCCTCTTTAGTTTCTTTCCCCCCTCTGTCTCTTTCTTTGTCTCTGCTTTTGTATGCCCTCTCTCATTTTTTTAAATCGCACTTTCTCACCCTCACACCCAACTCTCCTCTCTGTCTCTTTTCTCACCTCACCTCCCCATCTCTCCTGGTTGTTTGGTGTGTGTGTGTGTGTGTGTGTGTGTGTGTGTTGTGTGTGTGTGTGTGTGTGTGTGTGTGTTTGTGCTGGCGTCATGAAAGAAAGGGGGTGTCTGTTGATTGGTGGGTTGCTGGTTTGGACAGGACACCTGATACTGGCACTGCCTCACAATGTGGGAATGTGCAACTTGTTCAAAATTAGGTTTTCCGAGGTGGGTGTTGTCCTAAGTGGTGATCATAAGAGTTTACACAGTGGGTTCTTTTGTTTTCTCCCTCTCTGTCTTTGTGTCGGACTTGGCAGCTCTTTGCATTGCTGTCATGTCGGAGAGGGTAAAAGCAACAGTAGGTCCAAAAGCCCGCGAGCCACGCGAGGCCGTTCATGTTGGGCAACAGGTGACAGTCAAACGTCAAACTGAGTCGGTGTAAACACGCTGTGAGTGAGTGAGCGAAAAGACAGACAGATAGGAGGCAGGTGGAGGTGACAGGAGAGGAAAGGACAGGAGGATGCAGGTGAGGGATTCGTCTGGTCAAACCCTCACTCTTCGTCAATCGCAACAGACGTGGCCGCCTCCAGCGACGGCACTGTCCATACCAAACTCCATCAGAAAAGTTGCTGTTTTAAGGATTTACAATTTAACTGAAGAAACTTTTCCTACCGAGCAAGGAGGAGGAGTCAATCATGAGTCAAAGGAAGACAAAATATTTAGATGACTTTGTGTTTTGGTTGGTAACTCTGAGAATTTCCTCAGCGGCCTCCCTGTGCAGCAGAGATCACTAAAGGGGCAGAGCTTCTGTATCGACACTACGTATTGATGAACGTCTGTGGTGATACACTGTGCTGAATATTGAACTCTCAAGTCTCACAGGCGAAATTGAGTGTCCTCCAAGTCCAGTTTTCCAGTAGTCCACTATAAGCAACCCAACTGAAGACGAGAAACCCAGCGAGGCTCTGCAAACATCGATCGTGACGCTCCCTCTTCTCTCCGGCTTTACTTTTTTTTCTGATTCTCTCCCCATCTTTTTCTTCTTGTTTTCCCTTCCTCTCGCGTTGCCTTGTCTCCCTCCCTCTTCCTTACCCTTCACTGTCTCTTTTCTGACTCCAAAATGTGAGTCTCTCTCTATATTTAGCCGCTCCTCTCCTCTCCCCTTGATTCCTCTCCCTTTATCTCACCTCCTTTTTTTCCCTTCGACTGTTGAAGGACAGATTCGCAAAAGCGCTCTGAGATTCATCAGTGTTGTATAGTAGCTGCTTTTTGATCAGCTTGATGAGTGACAACACAGCCTCGGGCTATTATATACAAATGTGTTTTTATAAACACTTCTCTATCTAAATGTAAATCACTAAGCTGTTCGCTTGTTGTACGGCCGACTGCGGGAACGTTAGCTAGGAACTTCTAAGTGAATGTTGCATGTTGAGGGCTAAGTTAATATAGTAAAATGATGTGTTTTTCTTGTTTGCGTGTGCTCTGGAGTGTTTGTGAATTAGATTAGCCGGGAGTGAAGTCTCTTTTAATATTTACTCAGGGGGGATGGAGGGCGTGCCTGTTGTCCTTGTGAGTACACACTTAATCTGCGGCCTTTTTTGCTCCCTTCTTTGCATGAGCTCATTGTAAGCCGCGGCCCAGTGTGGATTTGAGAAAGATGCCTCTGTTTGCAGTCTGACAGAGTGACAGTCACACCAAGTTACCCGCACACACACACACTAAAAAAAAAACCACACACACACACACACTCTCTCTCTCTCTCTCTCTGGACACCCGCCTCGGCACCAGATAGCGACTGGCCACCAGCAGTGAGTCACCAGCATTCAGTCATTCAGAAACCACACATTTTAACAAACAACAATTAGATTTCAGTCCTCAGACATTTCAGAAGTTTACTCCTGCAGGCATGATATTGTTGCACCATATGTTCGTTTTTTAACATTTTCCTCCTCCTTGTAAGTGTGTTTTATTTCCCCCATACTGTTCACTTGTTTTATACACTCCTTTTTTGTGTGTGTGCTTTTGTGTTTGTGTTCTCGTCTGAGACCTCTGGAGCTGATGGCTGCAGTGACTCTTAACAGCTCGGGAACAGACTGCCTGCATTCTGTGTGGTACACTCATGTACAGTCGTGTCTAGCTGAGTCGTGACAGGTTGTTTTATTTTTTATTTTTTTGCGTCAGGTTTTTGTGTTAAGACCTATGGAAGAGTCTGGACAACGACACGCAATTATACAAACACAGACACACTCTGTGCAGTTTGCCGGCTGAGCGACACATCAGAGTGGGTGTTGGATGTGAGTTTTGGGTCGCCTCAGAGTTTTACTTTAGCAACACCACTTTTGCCACAAAGTCATTGCTTTGGTGTTTTTTAAAACGGAAGAGTTTGGCCAAATGATCAAAACTGGGTGAAAGTGACATGACTGGAATGACAAAGACGTAGAAGTTGATATTGTGAGGAAGTTTTTTTTTCTTCTGTTGTTTGACTTTTAACTAAATGAGAAGTATTTTTCACTTTTTAAAATTTTATTTTTTATTTTTTATATGTTCAAAATAAATTTCAATCAATCAATTAGTAGAAAAGAAAGAGGTAATTTAAAGTCAATGCACCCAAAAAGTTCACACAAGTGTTAGGTCAAACCATTTTAGAGTGGACTGAGTTGACTTTATGGCCAAAAGTGAACAGACATCCTCACTTGTAATCTATATCTTGAATGCCTGTCACTTTCATGTTGGGCATTGGGTTGATTCCAGTTAATCCAAAATCTACTTTTACATTTTGGATAAAAGCGACCCTCCAGTTTTGTTTTAACACTTTCGAACAGCACTTTTCACTTTTTCTGTAAATACAGAGAATAAAACAAACTGTAAATACAAGAGAAAATGCTCATTCTCTCCTAAGTGTCTGGTCTCACACACCTGATTCAAATGATCAGCTCGTTATCAAGCTCTGTGATGGCTTACTAACGAGCTGATCATTTGAATCAGGTGTGTTGGAGCAGGGAAACATCCAAAACATGCAGGACAGTGGGCCTCAAGGACTGGACTTGAGAACCACTGGTCTAGAGCAACATTTATACCAAGTGGTTTGCTTCATCTCCATGGCCAAACTTGGGAAAGATTCTGTTGGGGTACCAGGCATATCGATCCAACCCCTGACTGCAATGACCGAGAAAGACAAGAGGGTAGTAGGGAACATCTCACCCAATTTGATCTTGTTTAAAAGAATATACTGAGCACAGAGTGGTATAAAGCAGCTTCATGATGTGGACAGAGATCACACCAGTCACTCACCAGTGGCTCAGTTTAATCATCATCATCAAGCCCTGCCCTAATCACACATATTGTTTTATTTCCTGCTGTTTTCACACATCAACTCACCTTTAGGTGGAAATTTTTTACGGGTTGGCAGGAAAGTCGAGGTGAAAACTTCACTTGACTGCTCTTACATGTGCAGCTCACTTGAAAATTTCAGCGAATTTTTAAAGGTTTAGTGGATGAGTGAAAACAGCTCAAGAAGAGCTCTGAATATTGAAGCTGCTTGTTGATAACTTTGGCTTTGGAATATGATGTTAATTATTACAGAGGGAGTAGCATTCACACTGTTTTTGTTAAGTATTATTTGGTCAATCTACAAGCAGGAAAATGGATAAAAGTAGAAATATTGTCTTCAAAAAGTTGGTTGTTCACAGTTGGATGGTTTGGTGATGTTCACATGATTTCCAAAGTACACAAAATAGGATCAAAGTTAAGACTGCAAACTTGTTACGCAGTATGATGCACCTGTCGCAAGAAAAAAAAACACTTACTCGGCACAGAGTTCACATAAGTCAGCCACTAATCTGGTTTACAGAAAATGCCACGCCTTATGGTTTCACCTTCTTTGGATTCCTCTATGACATCAAGTGTTTTTATATTAGGAGATGAGTCTGATGGTGTGGTTATGATCACACGACCTTCTTCCATTACATTTTAATACCAGTAATCTCCTCCCATCTGCAAACCCAAACACAGAAACTTCCCTTTGAAGGCGATTTCACTTCCCTGGAAGACACATACATGTTTTTCTAAAGAAGTACAGTAGTCCCCGCCTGCCCTGAAATCACACTTGAGCCTCACTTATAATAGAAAGCAAGGAGTATTTTTGTGTAGCTGATGCATGCTGTAAAAATAAAGCATAAAACTTGTTAATTACCACCCCTCTCTAGGGATGATAGCACATACAGGTGCAGCTGAAAAGTTTTAAATATCATGATTACTTTAATGAGGCATTGAAAATCATTGTCTTTATTTATGCAAACAGGAATGTTTTAAGAATCTTGTTTTATTTTTTTAAAGTCAAGACTAAAACCAGATTAACATACCCAGATAATACAGTCAAGGATCAATTTTCTCTCACATGTATCTGCACACCCAGTTCACACCCTGTTGAGTTAAATAGTATGAACACCCAGACGGAGGCCACCATTGTTCTCTACCTCATGTGACACCATCAGTCCAAGACAAAGTGTGCATCTGATTTGGACCAAAATTTAAGTGTTAAATACGTACAGAAGGTTTGACTACTTTTTATAGGCTGGACATCTCTGTATTTTAAAACTTTGTTTGGATTGGTTTTAGGAAATATTCCACCAACTTCAAATCATTGTTAGTCATTAAAATTAATGTTTAATTTTGCATGTAACAAATATAGAAACATATGAAATTTGACCTGTTTTAATGACCAAAAAAGACTTTTTCATGATTTTGTAATTTTGAGCTGTGCCTGTATTCGCCCATATGCAGATGACATACTCTTTTTGTGCTACTTTGAGAAACTTGGATAAAACTAGTTATTGCCCTGCAGCGATGAAAGTGTGCTGACTTTAATATGTTTTTATACTGAATTTTAGAATAACAGAGTTAATCTGAAAGTTCAAGTGCTGTTGGTTTGACATTTGAATGACTTAGACCTCTGTACATCAGCACTCCACCCCTGTTTGCATAGGTGGCCAATCCCTCCTACTCTCCATGTTAACGGTAACACATATCAAACAAAAGACTTACTGTGTGGCTATCTATTCACCCCTCCTCCTCCTCTTCTTTCTCTCTGCCGTTCATATCCTCCCTTTTCCCCTCTCCTCCCCTTTATCCACTCCTTTATTTCCTGCTCACCTTCCATCCTCTTCCTCCCTCATGTGCATTCTTCTTTCTCCTGGCCTCCTCCTCTGCCCCCTGTCTCCTCTCCCCTCCTCCCTTTCATTTTGGGTTCTCCGACAGTGGTAATGAGATGTTTCATTATTTGCATTTCACAGCTTTTAATAGAGAGAGAATTTAGGCTAAGCCCCGGGTCGTCAGTCAGGGAGTTACCACGGGGAGACATAGCAGGCTTAGGGGCCTAGAGAGAAAGATAGCCCAGAAACTACACACACGTAGACGCACACACAAGTAAAAAGGAGGTAGAGACAGGAAAGACAAACAGAAAGAGAGATGGTGATAAGGCATCTTCTCGCCCGCTCTTTAGAGCTCTTGATGCTTACGTTGTATCATCGAGACTTTGTGGGTCATTGGAGGAACTTGAGGTGAAGTTGACAGGCCGCCAAAAAACGCCACACTTGTTTTCCGGTCACTCTGGGATGATCCTCGTCCATCCTTACTATGGCTGGATTTCCATAAGATCTATCTGGGCTTAACACCTGTTTGGCTGAAGGTGTGAGGACAAGGTGTCCGAGAGGGTTGAAGGTGTTGAACTGTGCACATACTAAACGTGACACAAGCTGGATTTGAGGCTTATAAAGGGTGGACATTTCGACAGGTTTACTGCATTTACACAAACAGTGTGGTGTGCAGCATGGGGGCCGTTGGGTTAGGTGTTGATGTGGAGGGTCCAGGTATTGTAGTCAGGTGTTATGTGTGGGAGTGGACAAAGAAAGGAAGGGGGGAAGCAAGGGGATGAAGGGAGTAGCTCTAAGTCTTCCTAAGCCTCCTGGATCCTCTTTGGTCCCTCTCCACATGACATGGCTATCCTTCTTTGAGTCAATCTCTTCCTCCACCTTGACTCCTTGGACGCCGGCCAGAGAAACAGAGAGCGGGCCAGAGAGAGGGAGAGCGAGGTGGAGGTGCAAAATGTGGCATGGTTAGAGCTGGTGGGAGAGGTGGAGAAAATAAAGGTGGACAGATGGAGGGTGAGTGATAAAAGAAAGGAGGGAAAAATGGCAACAGGAACTCGTGATGAGAGATACAAAGAAGAAGGTGACGGAGATAAAAATGAGAGACGAACATGAACGGTAGAGTATTCCTCGTGGAAAATACAAACTAGTTTTGTTGTGTTATATTTGTGATTGCAGCTTGCATGCATGCCCCTGTCTAGCTTTGTGCACGTGTGTGTTTATGTGTTATTTTTGTCCGTGCCTGTCTTGTTGATGGGCTGCCACCCTGGCTTGTCCCGGAAGGCTGCCAGCTCCGTCGGATTGGGGATTAACCCCGGGATAATGGCCTTGATGCCCAGTTGAGTGGAAGCAAAGCTGTTTAAAAAATATTGGCTGCCTGAGTCACTCTCCCCTCTCTCTTCCTGTCTCCCCCTCTCTTTATCTTCCGTCTCTATCTTTCTAGCCTTGCTGTCTCTGCGATTCCACACTATCTCTTTTCTTTCTGTTTTTCGCTCTTCTTAATCTGTCTTTTTTCGGCTCTTTACTCTCTTCACTCGGTTCCGTTTCTGTGTAAGCTCATACCATGTACTGTTGATATCAATAACATTTATTACCACTCCAGATTGCATTATTGATTAGATTTTTTTTAGTAGAGGAAGTAGAAGATTTTATTCTAGGAAGTGATGGCTGTCCTCTTGTGTCATGTGTTTGAAGAACAGTGCCTCAATTGTCCGGCTAAAAATCGTCCTAATTCCACTTAAGCATGCTGTCACTTTTCACCACTCCATGTACAAGCACTCGAGTACTTTTTAAATTTGTCATGTGTCGGCATTCAAAGTCACAACTTCTCTCCATATCTTAGCTGAATTATTGATTTCATGTTGCCTTTAAATGTTTGTAACAAATCCAGTGTAGTGTAGAGAAATTGCGTGGTTTATCATTCTAAGTTTGTGATGAGAAGATGGTGTGCAAAAAGGAAGAAGTTGCTGATAACGTATCCTGCTGAGGCCGGGTTAGTCAATCAAAGCGACAACTCTTTGCAGTTTAATTCGAACTCTGTATCACCGCCTCCTCTTGTCTGTTAACACTCATGAACTTCTTCAGGCCAGTTTCTTCTGCAATCCTCCCTGCTGGGTTTCAATGACAGAGCCCTGATGAAAGTCGAGATGCGAAAAAAGAAAAAGGCCTCGTTGCTACTACAGGATCCCAGAAATATAACGAACTGAAAATATGCTGAAACATAAAGATTGGAGACTTATCACATCTCTGTGCTTAGATGAGTCATACCCTGCACAGCAGTACTGTTAACCATCAAACTGAAGTGTGGAGTGAGTAATCCATGCTGAATGGGATTTATGATTCTTTTTTTCCCCAAATCTGAAATTCAAATTGCCATTAACTGATTTTTCAGCCTTTCAAGTTGGCCAAAATTTTCTTTTTTGGCAATTCATATCATATCATGAGTGAGCAAACATCCTTGAAACAATCTTCCAGATGTTCTGCAACATTAACATTCATTTGGAGTCTCTGTTATTACAAATCAAAGTCCGAGATCAACTCTCCTCGTTGGTCATTTTTCGATTCCCACCTATTTCTGGAGAAAACATCAGGCGCCTTCTCTGCCAAATGCTCCTGTTCACGAAGAAGTCGCTACAGACATTTGGTGAGGAGCGAGTGAAATTTTAATATTTCACAGAAAAGAGCAGCAGATTAGAGTTGTCAGGATCGCAGGATTTTGAATTTTCTTTTTGAGTTCGTCGTATTATGTTATCATGTGGAGGTGTGAAGCTCCTCGTCAACAGCCTGCACACCAGGACTAATAGAAAACATAAAGAACGAGGTGACATTGATGTCTCTCTCCTCTTGCTCTCAGTCTGCCTGCAACAGTCATAAACAAAATGTGTGTCCAATGCTGAAAGGACCTACAAACCTCGGTATTGCCCACTTGTGATTGAAAAGATTTAGGGGTGTAGTGACAGTGATGGAGGGCGGAGCAGGGAGACACAACAGGCAGATAACATGAGTTTGTGGACACGTCAAGTTCTTAATAGTGTATCTTCTGTGAACAAACAAATTAAAACAACTTCACATTCTTTTTACTTTCACCTTTTTGTTTTCTCCACCGCCACTTTTTCCCCTCCTACTTTATTTTACCCAACCTCCGTTTCTCTCTCCTTTCACTCAAGGCAGCTTTGTGTTGACAATATGAGCACAGACCTGTATTTTCATAATGCCACCAAACAGAGAGATGGTGAGGATTGTACCGTTTTAAATCACATGGTATTGAGACATAATATTGAAACACAGTGCCAAAGGTAGACAGGACCAACTCTGCTAAACTAACACACGTCTGTGTTTGTTATCACAAGCAGCATTTAAGTGAAGCAATTAATCATTTCTTAAACTAGATGAATTCAGTAACATGCAAAGATGTCAATCTTAGGTTGACCCCAAATGCACTCATCTTAAACAGCAAATTTGCATTTGCACTGACAATTTTTTTGTCATTCTTTTTCCTCTTTCTTAATGGATTTTGTTCTTTTTTTATTATTATTTAATTGACCGCCCTCATCAGGGGCTTTGTGTTCACTCGCTTTGTCACGTTTGTCAAACCAAAGTCACTTTATCAAATAATGAGCTGGACTGTTACATTTGTCAAGCAGAGGGCCACAATTTGAATATGGAGTGATTAGCTGAGGGTGGCAATTTTGGAAGCAGCGCACTGGCTGCTAAATGATAATTTACCCTGACCAATTGTAAATCCCTTAATTCAAAATAAATATAACCAGAATGTGTGAAAGTGCCTCGGTGGTTCTAATGCACACGAAGGGGTCTGCAGCTTGTTAAAACCTCTTTATATGTACCTGCATGAGGGACACAGGCGAGTTTTCTAGAGAAGATGAGCAGTTAAGGAGGTTTTATTTGCCAAACTGGATTGTTTCAGCGTGTAGTTCAATGTTTTTTTATATGTGTCGCGTCTTCATTCAGTTCGATGTTTGATTCCGGCGTGAAATCCCAGTGTGAGCCCTCTCTGAAAGCTTTCTATGTTAAACCTCCATAGAAAATAAAGTCTGGCTCTGTCTTTGATCCAGAAAGACCTTGCGCTCTGTCTCCCCACAGTCCTGTGCGGTCAAGGAGGCAGAGAAGTGGCTCGGAGGGACAGGCTGCATTAAGAGAAACACAAGAAGGAGGAAGCCCCGTTCTCTCACTCCATCACACGTCTCATCTCTTTAGTCGTCTGGCCGGGGCCTAAAGTGACTTTGCTTTGATGTGACCAGGACAAACTGGCTGTGACGCCATGACGGCTCTGCTAAGTGTGTGAACGTGTGTGTGTTTTTAGTCCCCGCATGTGTTTGTGTATTTAGGGGCAGGGGGCTGAATAGATGTGCGGGGTAGAGGAGGGGGGAGTTATGGAGGACATTCACTTTTGATTTGGCCTTAGAAGGGTGACAGGGACTCGGAGCTCTGGTGGCATGCTTTACTGAAACGATCCTCTCTGACCACACAGAAGGGCTCGCGGACTGTCAGCCTGCCTCCTGACGACTTTTTCCGTGCTTTTATTTTTTTTTTCTTTGAATTTTCATCGAGGGATGAAAAGCTTTTTTTTTCTGCTCTGTGACATCCTGAAAGCAAGCTTTAGTTTCTGTAGCCTTGGTGAGACTGCTAATGCTTTGGATGACACACAAAAGTCTCTGCCTCTCTCGCTTTACTTGATTGTCTGACAAGTTCATTCTATCGTACTTTCCCATCTTGTGTCAAGTGTATATTTGGAGAAAAAAGTGCGCTATAAATCAAGGCCGTACTTGCACAGTAGAGGGAGTGAGTTTTTGGTCCTGTTGATGGTCTAGAGATGGAGTAGCTCTCTGAGGAAATGAAAAGCCAGGATGAACACTGAAGAGGTGTATGTGGGTGTTTTTTGTGCTGTTGCAAGGGTACATCTGGATCGGTTCCTCTGAAAAAAAAGGGTCTTTAACTGGAGGGATTTGGACATGCTGAAATTAAACAAGCCAATTAGGCGAGCAGAGAGTGTAGAGGTCAGAGCACTCACCATTTAAGTTCCTCTTCTCTGCCGAACTACTAACTCAGTCTGTCTCTGAGTCTATTGAAGCAATAAATCTGATTAGACCTCTCCTTTTTTTCCTCCCAGACCAATGCTGTTGTTTTACCCTCCACTGATCATTATTTTTGTTAAATTTGAGGCACCATTTAACACGACTTTAGGGTATAAAATCCAAGAAGCACACGCACGAAACTAAAACACACCCACTCACCCAAAAAATTTAAATACTCTCTAGAAAACATGGCACGCTGTGTCAGAGTGCAGCACCACACTGACATTATCATTAGCACTCTGGACACAGTTTACCACACAGAAATGAAAGTTGCTGAAATGAACTTTAACCCATGACTCTATCTGTAAACTCTGGGCTGCTTGAGTTTTTAAAACAACCCAAAATTTTAACATTTCTTTTAGCAAAACACTCTAAAAATCTAGCCTTGAAGATAAGGTTTTATTAGTCCAAATCTGAGGCAACCCTTTAAGATTTTTTGCCTCCACCCAAATACAATGCAGGTGAACTGACTTGTTTGAATCCACTTTATTGGCACAAACTGTGTCCAAACTTTCTCTCGGTGAAAGTTTTTTTTTTTTTTTTTTAATTAAGTTTTATCACCTTGAGCGTTGCAAATTAAATCCCACTCATTTCTTCTTAGCAGAGGAAGTTGAGACAGACTAGGCCAAACTTGGACAAACTATCAGCAGAGTAAAAACACCAGACTGGAGGGAATTCAACTGTTGGTGAAGACAGGGTAAGAGGTGAGATCATTTCAGTTATATCCACTGAGCCCAGTCCGTTTCCATTTTGGCCTGGAAACTGACCTGGATGCTATTTTCGAACTACGAACTGTAAAAGGTGTGGGGTATGACGAATAAAGTTCCTTAAATCCTTGAACCCTGAGTGGAAGAAAGTATGTAGCATGTAGCACAAAGTCAGACCTTTCAGTGTTATTTCAACTTAGCTGGATTAATGACTCAGCTAGGCTAACTGTCTCAGCTAGGCTAACTGTCTCAGCAAAGCTAACATTGTTGTGATTAGTTCATGTTCACAGTTCCAGCGTTGAAAAGACTTAAAAGTTCAGTCCTTTCATTAACAATGACATAATGTTAATTTCTGTAGGCACAGCTGAACTAAAATGCATATAAAAAAATCTAAATCTTAGATCTTAGGGTTAAGAGTAGGGTTAAGTTAGCAGTTCCTTTTGCTAACTAGCCACAGATTGTAGCCATGTAGTTAGCAAACACAATATCACAGTACAAACCAGACTGTGCGGCTCATAAAAACAGACTATTACAGAGCTGCGTGACCTTGTTTATCAGATTGGCTGTGACTCTTGTTTGCATGGTGCTTATCCTCCTCTCATTGTTCCTTTTCATTGATTATTCAGATTGATAGAAATGGTGACAGACTCGGACAAAGAGATTTGGAGAATCCTATTTGTGCAATACTGAGAAATTATGCTCTTGGATCCGCTGTTGATTCGATATTTCTGTCTTTCTGTCACTGCTCTCTGTAAGAAACTGGTAGCCACATGTTTCAATTGCTGACCACCATGTGCTGCAGGGCGACCCCGTGGTTCATCTTCCACATTGATAGGAAACGATTAGAAATAGCACAGTATTGAGGTATTTCTCAGAGAATAAATGCCTTCCTCTGTGGTGTGTGTGTGCCACTGCGAGGGAGTCTGTCATATAGACCTTGCTATACAACTCAGTGTTTCAGTGGCCCTGAGAGAAGAAGAGAAAAGAGAGGAGGAGGGGAGCTGCTGTCTTTAAAGCCGCTCATTTTGTCTCCTAAGGTGAGAGGTGAAGACTCTCAATACCTCCATCAGGGCAGCACAGAAAGGAAAGTATATCTCAAGGTTAGAACACCAATAGATTTTTTCCAACAAGTGTGTGTGTGCCAGAGGATGAAAACACTTGCGTCAAAAGTTGCCTTTTGAGCCTCTGAGGCACACAGTTATTCTCCATTCACATCCAAGTTTCTGCCTCCTCACCATTATTTCTTTGTTTGACTTGAAGAAACACGAGTCAAAGTGAAAGATTGTGAGCCGTGCATTGATCAGACTCAGAAAGAAACGCTGTCACCACCGCTCCATCCGCCCGTCCGCCGCTGTTCATAGGAGGTGTGTTTGTCCGAGCTGACGTGGGAGAGACACTGTGGATTTATCTGATCTTACAAGCCATCAGGTTGAGCAGAGCTTTGCTAAACATGACCTGAAGTGTGCCGGCCCCCGAGCAAACGCTGCTGTCACCTCTGCCAACCCGAGCTGTCATCTCTCAGGATGGCCCACGAGAGCTGACAGCTGTGGCGTTCCCAAAACAAATCACTGCTGCGTTTGGTAACACTCTGCGTCCCGCCGATTTAGCCCTCACCAAGACGAGAGCGAGAGCGGCGGCTGCTAATGCTCCAGCTAATGCACTGACTGACTGTGTGTGTGTGTGTGTGTTTCTTCACTTTCTTCCTCTTGTGTGTGTTTTAATATGAGCTTATGGGGTTTCTGTTTGTGTGTGTTGTTTTTTTTTTTTGGCACCTCCATGAATTCAACACATTTCCCTCTGTCTCCCACTTTCTTCTCTCTGCTTCGTCCTCACCTGAGTCCTCTCTTCTGCTTGAGCTCTAAACACTTCTCGATAGTCACCTGCATACATTAGAAAACACATATAATAAGGTTTGGATACACTGGGGCAGAAACCACTGACATTTCAGAGCAACATTTGAAACCTTAAAAGGAAAAAGTTGAGTCATGGGTGAATATTTAAAAAAAAAATTGAAATCTTGAACTTTCCGAGGCTTTTATTTTGTAAGAGACATAATAAATTATGCCTGTTTCCCTGTCACGCAGCCGTGAATCCTGTCAATTAACTCTGAGAAGCTGAGACTTCATTCACTGACAGCTGAGCGGCTCTACAAATTGTCATTAAGGGTCTGTCTTTCTCTGTAGTTTTTTTTTCCGAAATACTTTGTGCTCACAACCTAGACTGTGCGGTGCAAGATCAGAAACACCGAGGTGAAGGTTCAAGAGTGAATTTTCGTCTTAACTAGACAGTTGATTGAATTTTCATGGTCGCAGGGGAGATGTGGAAAAAATAACAAGAAACCGAGGCTGTGTTTATTGATAAATTTAATGGTAAAGTGGTCTGTACTAAATGAGGCGCTTTTTTCTCCCCCTCGACTGTTTTGTGACAGTGTTATGCTTTTTAACTGACATTTTTAATGAGCTTAAAACACACACTCTCTCTATCTATCTCTGCAAATACACACACATACACACACACACGCTCACACACACAAATGAACCTGTCAGACACGGTTTAAACAGAGATTTTTGACTATTTGTAACTGGGCTGTTTTTAGACATCAAACTACAGCAGTTGAGATGTGGTTTCCATTGATGTCATTGTTTTTATGTCACACTCATTTCTGAGATATCCTTATCCTGGCTTGTCTTTAAAGGAGTGGTTCGTTAAATTTCCTTCTTTTTTTTTGTGCCCCCTTTACATGAAAATGAAACCATCATCCTGAGGACAAGGTTTGAATTTAGCTACAGCTATCAACCTTATATACTTGAGCTTAAAAGGAAAAATACCTTTACAGGTTACCTTGAAGCGTCGCTACCTCAGAGCGAGTGAAAGTTGGAATTGAAAGCTGTGTGTTGCATATTTCTTCTGCCGTACCTTCAACTCTACAACATGCTTAATCTTCTGCATACTGCATCTAAAATGTTTTTTTTTGTGTCTGTGTTTGTTCCCAGCAGACATTTGGAGGAGAGGCTTTTGTTCAGCTACACAGATGAACAACAGGAAGGAGGACATGGAGATCTCCTCTCACTACCGTCAGCTCCTCAGAGAGCTCAATGAGCAGAGGCAGCATGGCATCCTCTGCGACGCCTGTGTCATTGTGGACGGAAAGATCTTCAAAGCCCATAAGAATGTCCTCCTGGGCTCCTCACGCTACTTCAAGACTCTCTACTGCCAGGTAAGAGACCGCTCCACGAAAGAGACGATTGTTGTGTTCTTGTTTTCTCTCTCCGGATGTTGTCGTTTTGTCCTGCCAATAAAACTACGTCAAAAGTCATGTTGTAAACAAGAAAACAAGAGATTTTGAACTCTCTTTCTGTCTCTTCAGGTTAAAAAAGGTGCAGAGCCTCACCACCAGACTACTGTCACTCACCTGGACATAGTCACAGCGACAGGCTTCAAAGCAATCCTGGACTTCATGTACTCGGCTCACCTGGCTCTCACCAGTAAGAACGTGATCGAGGTGATGTCCGCCGCCAGCTACCTTCAGATGACTGACATCGTCCAGGCGTGCCACAGCTTCATCAAAGCCGCCCTGGACATCAGTATCCGCTCTGAGATGGCCGACGAACTGGCCGACTTCGAGATGGGAGCCGTCGCTGCAGCTGGTATAGGCGGAGGCGGTGGAGGCGGAGGGGGAGGAGTGGGTTTAGCGGGACCAGGAGGTGTTGTGGGTGCAGGTCTAGCAGGAGTAGGAGGAGGAGGAGGGATAGTAGGAATGGCGTCTGAAGCCCTGGCCTCCATCATGTCTGGTCGAAGCACCTCTCCTTGGCTGGCTCGCCGCACCAGCCCCGCCAACTCCTCCGGGGACTCAGCCATCGCCAGCTGCCACGAGGGAGGCAGCACGTACGGAAAGGAGGACCAAGAGCCCCCGAAGAGCCATGAGAGCCAGGAGGAAGCCTGCCACGACTCCCAGCCGGCCTGGCCGCATGACTACAGGCCCGTCACTGTCAAAGAGGAACAGGTGTCCCCCGCCTCCTCCTCCCATCCCAGGGACACTCCCAGGGGTGCAGCGCAAAACCAGGGGGAGCAAGGTAGTGGAGGGGCTGCGGGAGGAGGTGGAGACGGATCCTGGCAACCCCTGTCAGGGTCAGGGCGGAGGAAGAATCGGAAAAACAAGGACACTGTCAGACATATTACCCAGCAAGCGGAGAGGAACTGGGACAGGGAGCGGGACAGGGAGAGAGACCGGGATAGTAGACCTGGATCTCCTCTACCCTCCATGTTGGCTGTGGCTGGATGGAACTACAACGGCCAGGAAATCCCAGGTAAGACTCGCACACCTGCCTCTTGAACTGTGTTGTCTCCATTCTTCAGACTTGGGCAGCGTTCACAACTCACCGAGCAGCAGAACTGGGTCACAGCTTGACACTGGCGAAAGCAATCCATGTGTTTCCAAGATCTAAATCCTGTTTTTATAGTGGATTTGTGGGTTTGATAATGAGTTTAGTGGCAAACAACAGGTGGATTTAACCTGGCAGTATGGACACGGGCCAAAAGAAGCAGACTGTTTCTAAGCAGGAGAGGAGTCCGCAGCACTGATTTGGTGACTTGAGGGCTTTAGAGTTTCCTGGAGTTGCTGTTGTTTCATAAGATGGAACCTACTTATCCCGTCATGTCATTAGCCGATGGCTGGTAAGATAATAAGATTAGGTTAGATAATGAGGTGAAACTATAGCTTTAACACTCCAGCATAGTCAAATCTGATTTATCTGTGCTTCCATCTCAAAAGACACTTTCAAAATAATGTCAGCTTTTAAACACTCTTTGCAAGGGGTGGGAGGAAAAATCAGTACAGCGCAGTATTGCGATATTTTGTCAGCTTATATATCGTATCGTCTTATTTACCAAGGATTGATTTTTTAAATTGATTGCTAATATGAAGTCAAATCTATGATATTAGGAAACTAAAATCAACTGTTTGTCCAGTGAGGTTGTCAGATGTGAAATCATAGAGCAGGAGAAGATGAGATGAGATGGACCTGACACATAAGGTTAGCAAGTTGTGCTACATGAAAATAAAATACAGCGTAAATAAGACAAACATAAAGGAAAGTCAAACGTTAAATAAGCTAAACGGTTTTAAAAAATTATATAAATCGCAGTATATTGTATCACAATACTCACTATATTGCAAAATGTTAAAATCGCAAGAATATCATATTGTGTCCCATGTATCGTGATAACATCGTATCATGACCCAAGTATCATGATAATATTGTATCGTGGCCCAGGTATCGTGATAATATCGTATCATGGCCCAAGTATCATGATAATATCGTATCGTGGCCCAAGTATCGAGATGATATCGTATCATAGCCCTAGTATCGAGATAATATCGCATCCTGGCCCAAGTATCATGATAATATCGCATTGTGGCCCAAGTACCGTGATAATATCCTATCGTGGCCCAAGTATCATGATAATATCGCATAACAGCTCAACTATCGTAATAATATCGTATGGTAGCTCAACTATCGTGACAATATCGTATTGGGCCCAAGTATCGTGATAATATCGTATCGTGGGGCCACCACTGATTCCCACCCCTACTCTTTGCACAGGTAATCTTTTTTATTCACTTTTGTTCCACTCAGATTCAAACAGCGTTCACGACACCTTGCGTCGCACGTGCTCTCAACTTTTCAGATTCAACATGGATATTTTAGCCCATGGCATTCATCCGCACTCTTCAATGCTATTAAAATGACCTAGTTTCCACCTCCGGGGTTGAGATTAGCAAGCTTCAACACTAACGTGTGAGGCCTAAGATGATTATCTCAAATCTTGGAGGTGTGAGGTGAAGCCCGGGTAAATGCAGATGGATAATACAATCCTCATCTTGCTGCAGTTTATGTAACACACTCTCCTACACAAACAAGAGAACATAAACTCACTCAGGCACATGCACTTATTTCAAGAAAGTGTCTCTTGATCCTCAGCTTTGCAGAATAGTTTAGTGAATTCCTTTACACTAAAAGCTAATCTAGAAAACACTTAAAACAGTGTGTGAGTAGGTGTCTTGTGTGTGTATATGTGTGTGAGCATGAGTGTGTGTGTGCGTATGTTTGCACCAGCGGGCCCAAGGCGTCGATAGGTAGATCATTAAAAGTAAGAGAAGCTAATCCTGGGCGCATTAAGGGAGTTGGCTGTGAAATGGGCACACGCGTCGCACAGCGAAAGAAAACAGGATAATTGAATTGACCTGGGTCACTGCACGGATTACCAGCGCGTCCTCGCCATCCCAGGCTCCTCCCCCCTCTCTCTGGGGTTTAGGGAAGGACCTTCTGGAAAGGGCAAGAGGAGGGAAAAGAGAGAGAGAGTGAGCAAGCAAGCGGGGTAATGAGTGGGAGAGAGAGAGAAGCAGAGACAAAAAGACAGGCGGAGAAGACATCCGTACAGACTGATGAGGGTTTGTCCGCTTTGTGTCCCCAGTCCTCAGTTTTCTAACTCATAGTCCAACTTGTCTCGTCTTCAGTTTTCCACTGACGCATTTCCATAAACACCCACAAAGCGAATGACTCCATTAAGCCCACCGGTCAGTTTCTCGGCTCTGTACTTTGGTAGAAGGTAAAGTTTAAGTCTGGCTGTGGTAACGCAGCCATTACAGAGAGAGCTGCTGTCTCACCTAAAGGTTGAGGGGAGTCTAGTGTCCCTGCTGGTGTAGACTCACTTGGTGTAAGTCAGAAAAAAAAAAACTACCATTCAGCAGGCTTTTAAATGGCTTTGAAAACGGGGAAAGAAGAGCCATTGTACTGGGAGGTTATCACCTCCTCCCTCAGACCTGACCTGACTTCACCATTTAGCAGTAAAATATCAGGCCTCCGTTGATGAACATCAGCTAAAGTGTGTGACAGTGAGGAGCCTGTATGCTTTAAGGGTTTTACTGAACAGGTTCTGTTGGGTCATTATCAGAATATGCAGGGCGATGTGATAGTTTAGCTGGGAGAGTTTCACACCTCTCTTATTATGATGTCCTCAAAATGATAAAGCTTTTAAAGTAGGTGACTTTTGTTGATGTTTACTTTTGCCAAGTCAGAGTCAAAAATACTCAGGATCTGGATGGGCTTTTGAGAGTTTGTCGACTTAAGCCTTAAGTCTCCTTAAGTCCAGATTTTGTCACCTGCGGTAGAAGATCCGAATCAGATGTACAAGCATATGGGAAGAATTAGAAAGTGATGTACGATTCTATTTAAGGTTTTTAATGACAGCAGCGGGCTTTTTTCAGACTTAAGCAAGAGAGACATGCCACAGTTAAAAATGAACTCCGGAATCACTGAGTAACACAGAGAATGATTATACTGACACTAAATACAACCAAATAAGATTCTAGGTCTACTGGAAAGTTTAAGTTTTATTTTCTTTCTATACTTTGACGTGTGCACACTTGAAAAGTTTTTAAAAAAATCTAAAATGTCAGTTTTTTAAATGACAAAATCAGTGCTTTTTCCTAAGTGCCTCAGGCTTTTATTGACAGTATAATCAATCAATCTTAGAGTTAGGGTTAGGGTTCAGGATAATTCATAAAGACCGATATTTCTCATCAGTCTTTATGAATTATGACAGTAGGAGGGGCCAGGTAGACCTCACAATCCTTGTTTTTGTAGTATTCTGTTTTATCCAGATGTTAGAGATCAAGATAGGTCCTTTACCTGACTTTCCTACTCAGAGAACTCAAGGGAAAACGGGACGTTGTGGCACGTCGAGGCCTTGCTCATGTTTCTGACGCAAAACATCATATTCCACTAGTTACAGCTGCTAATCTTCACTCATCGCTTCCTTGTCCTATTTGGTGGCGGAGGCAGGGTGACACCAGTTTAAGTTGTCGACATGTTTAATATTTGCTCTCTTTTCCCATTGCTGGAAATGAGGTGGATTCATCATGTCCACAACCGCATGATGGCATTTAATAGAGGCAACCCTTCAGGAAGCAGCAGTGGTCTCATCTTTCTCTGATTTGGTGAGAAATAAACATCACAGAGGTCTTCAAAAATCAGACGCAGGTATCTAAAACACAGATTTTAGGTATTGATCATGCAAACGTCATGTCATAAATGGGATATCAAAACTAGGATGCTCAAGTCCATCTATAGGAGCAATTCACATTTAGAGAAGTAGAAAATACAATTTTTAATGTATTGGAATATTTCATAATACATTGAATTATAGTCCTGTATCATAATATGATATCCCCAGACCCTTGCCGAGTCATTAATCAGGCGCTGTACTCTACCATGCATAGCAATGCTCTAATATTTATGGTAAACAATGACCAGACTGACATCTGAGAGTGCTTTTTCTATCTCCCTTTAAGTCCAGCCTAAACAGAAATAACTCGATAAGGAGTTTTTTTAGGAGAATGATTTTGGTGTTAGCTGAGCATAACTCCTTTATGTTTGAGGATGAGTGTTTCTGTGAAGTTTGGGGTCATTTCTCATTTTCCAGAGAGGGATTATGATAAATAATAATAAGTCTTTTGAAGTTCTCACAAAAGGGTGAAAGAGCAATTTTGTTTCTGTGAATGTTTTTGTGTTTGTGTGGCGGGACGGTGTCCATAAAGTCCGGTTGTTGGTTTCCACACAGGCATGTGGAGTGAAGTAGAAAGGGCACCTTCAGTCAGAGATTAGCTTAATTGCTTCATTCTTTATTGATGAGAAGTGCCTGAACACACACACACACACATACACACTTACACTCACACACACACACTCTCATTCATATGTGATTGGTGTTCATGTTTTACTATTAGAAATGCCTCTATTACACACTACGGAAAGGCTGCTTGACTGAGGATTTGGCTGGATTACTGTGTAATATAAGGATAATATATGGCTGTGTAAAGGCTCAGTGTATTAGCGCCCAGCCGTTTCAAAGATTTTTTTTTTTTATGAAAATGCCGTGTGTCTGTGTTGACATAAACAGCTGCAGGAATTAGGATTTGTTTTCTTTAGATCCCCTTCTCCTGCAAACATCTGCTGTGTTCACTTGATGTCATTATTTAGGCCACTAAGCGCTCAACTTCCTCCTCTCTCTCCCTCACCCACTCCGCGCTCAAGCTCGATCTCTCTCTTTCTTCCGCTCACCTTGTCTGCTGACACAAATATTTGAAATCATATACATGAATTGGGAGGAAGAAAAAAAAAAGAAAATCAGCAACGCCTGCTTTTCCAGTCATCTGATCATGTGCGTAGAGTTTGCAGCACAATACTATATTAGAGATGACATATTTTGGAGGAGGGGAGTTTTAAATAGTCTCTGCTTCTCCTGTCTGCTTATGCCTTTAAATAATTACCTGAAATTATTTTTAGTTTGGCCCCCGCTGCTTCTCCCAGACCCGGATTAAAAAGAGACTGCGAATCAGAGACGGAGTGTTTTTGAAAATCAAGCATCAGGCTTGTTTTAATATTTCAGTATATTCTTCTTTGATGCCTCATATCAGCCTCTGCTCTCCTTATTTATTAGCTCATCGAGTGGAAATCAGTTAACAAAAATGTTGATAATTAATTGATAATTCATCAACCAAATATGTGATATAGTCTTTACTTTCAAGTGCAACTCAAACTTCGAAAAAGACAAGCCACTTTTCATGTTTTTTTTTTACATTTCAGACTTAATAATGAACAGATTAGTTAGAATATTATATCTTGATTAATAGTTTAAAGGAATTAAAGTTGCTTCCCTTATTTTATGCTCTTTTGTAAAAATACAGCAACTTTAAACTCCTGTCAAAAAGGCCTGTCTCCTGTCTTTAAAGCACCAGGAGGGGATTTTCACTGACTTTAAATACTGTCACTCTCATGCTTTTATCTCTTTATGATCGACATGGTTAAATGAGGTAGTTGGCTTATTCCGTAATGATCTTAATTTTAGTACTTGTGACTGATTTATTCATACATTTATTGGGACACCAGACCACACACCATGACACCAGACTGTGTCAGCTGTGGGGATTTCCATATGCTGTGTCGTCTATATTTGTCTGTGGTCTCTTTTGTGAGAGAATTTTAATTTCAGTGGAACTCTCTAGAGAAATACAGGTTAAATAAAATAAATTCAAAAGAACTTTCGTAAGCTAACTAGCAGTAATAAATAAAAAGTTTTGTCGTTTGTTCTTCATAATGAAGCTACAATTGAATGTATTTCTTCATTACTGCATCCTGTAGTGAGTTACCTTTGACAGAGAAGCAGTGGTATTAAAAAGAAAGAGAAGCAACATCTTTACAAGGACAGTGCTCATGGGAAATGAAGTCTTCAACGCTACTGATTTTGTTCAGTCAACATAACATGAAAATACCTCACATTATGTTTGAATCACAGACGTCTTTGTGAACAGCTGCTTTGCTTTATTCATCTTTACACCCTGCTGTGTGGTTCAGCTGCAGAGACACAGAGATCATACTGCATGTTTCAATACATTCTGGTTACTTACAGCTGCTCACTTTGTGGATTTGTGGGATGATGAGCAAAAATTAAGATCAAATATTATCATATACTTTTACATTTTAAATGAAGTTATTAAAAATACAACATTTTATGGTACTTTTTAAAAATATAGTTTGATCATGTTATTGTGGCATCAATCCATGCCACTATGAAATAACCAAACCTGAATTATGTTTAAATGCAGTAAAAAATTTGTTGTGTTCAGGTGGAGTAAAATGTCACTTTAGCATCAGATTATGTAAATAAGGTATCTAGGAACAGTTATTTTTTATTTATTTATTTATTTTTTTAGGGGTTTATCATTGACTCCTTGACTATATATCTGTGAAAATATTTCAATCTTTGACCCCTGAATGGAAATGTGGTGTTTGTTGAACCCACTGATCACTCACATCTTCTGTCCTGAGCTGACTTTGCCTCCAGTGTCACATTAAAACACCAAACTTGAACACAATATCTGAGTTACTTTCAGCTCATGATTTAAATTCAGTTTAATTCAGGTATTGAACATTTTATTAATAAGAAATATGATTGGAAACATTTAGTATTAGACACATTTTAGCCCCTAAACATCTTTTTTTTTCTGATTTACCTTCTGCCTGTAAACAATGTGTAGTATTTCCTGTGCTTATATATTTAGTTATGGAGTCTCCTCTCCAAAAAAGAAGTGTAATTTTAGAGTCAGAGCCTGTTCACTATATGGCACGTAAAGTCTAACACAGAAAAGAGGTGTGAGCTGCTCGAAATACAAAGTGAACGATTGATTTCTTTCCTACTTCCTGTGTACTTGGGGCAAACACCAACTTGATCTTCATCCCACATTATAACAACACTAGAAATACTTTTTTTTTTCACTGGTATTAAAATCTTTCTGTCTCTTACACACACACACTTACACACACGCATATACACAGTGACCTTTAGTGGCAGCTTGGGGGATTTTGGCAATCCGGTACATGGCCGGTGTGATGTTCTCTCTCTCTCTCTCTCTCTCTTTCTCTCTCTCTCTCTCTCACGCACACACACACGCACACACAGCTTAGAGCATGTGATTATGTAGACGTGAACAGTTCAATCACACGTGGGCTGTTCTTTCCATTTCCCTCTAGCTGTTGCACATTGATTACATCGAGAATCTTTTTTTGAAAATCCAACATCTTTATCTAAGTCTCTTCCTCTCCTCTCTACAGCCTCAGAGTTCCCCTCCTCGACTGCTAACACACATATACACACGCAAACGGTTACAAACAGTCGCACGCACACGCACGTTAAAAAGTAAAATCAAATTTCTATAGAGCCGCTCTCTGTTTGTCGAGCGTTCGAGTGCTGCATGTTTGGTCTTGCTGGAGCTCAGACCTTCATCCTCTGCAGCGCCATCCCCCTCCTGGACTCACCTGTGTCCCGCAGACACACTCTCTTGAAAACTACTCTCTAGTTTGCACTTCCTCTCGCAAACTTTTTCGCTTTTTTTTTTTTCCCTCCCCGCGCTCCTCTCCCCAAGTCTCGGCAGTCTAAAGGTGAGCACTTGAAATAATGAATCGGATCCCCCTTTCGCCCCCTTCCTTTCTGTATTCCAGTTAAGACTCTCCCCATAGTATTTGCACTTCATTAAACTTGAAATAGGTTTAATATTTAAAACACCTGAACACATTTCAACCCCCCTCACCCCTCGCACATCTCTCTCTGCGTTTTCTCTCCCTTTTTCTCGCCTCAGTTTAATAATCTACTCTCATATTTCCTCCCTAATTCACTCCTCCTTCATTAAAAACCAAAATAGATTTAATATTTCAGACTGTGTGGACTTAATTTTTAACCCCTTACATCAAGGCTCGCTGCTTGACACTCTATGTGTTGGATAACGACACACTTTTGAGGCCTCCTCTGCTGTATTTTCTGACTGAATCATCTTTCAGAGTTTTTCCACACGCAGTCTATTATCTCTTATGTCTCGCGCTGTCTTTGTGCTTCAGTCCTCTCTGGGCATCTCCCCCACCCCCTATTTGCTCTCCCTCTTTGTCCTCTTTGACTGCGCAGATGATTTCAGCCCTTTCCTCCCACACTATTGACTTTTGTGGCCTGTGCACCCCACCTCTCTCAGTTTCCCTCCATCCTCTTCTTCTACTCCTGTCTTTTGCCCACAGAGATTTCCCCCTCAGTTGTGTCTTACAGGGTTAAAAAAAAATTTCTCCCTCTCTATCTCTTTTGCGAATTTCTCCCCCTTGTTCTTCTATCTCTTAGTCCCCACTAAATTAAAGAAAAGTTCCTTTATCACCATCATAACCAATCACTTCTCACCGCCCACCAGCTGTCTTTGTCATATGACCTCACATCCTGGTGGACATTATGGGCAGTCCACCAGCTAAAAGCCCCTTCTTCTTCTCCACCACCACCACCACCACCATCACACCACACACACACACACACACACATTCACACAATTTTTCACACTCTTGCTGTCTGTCTTTTTCTCTCGCAGCACTCTCCATCTCCCTCTCTCAGTTCTCAATACTGACACCTGCTCTATTTATAATTCTCTGGCTTTAAAAGAGCCATTTTGGACAGGAAGCTGCCCCCTCCCATCTCCTGACCGCGGCTCTTTTCCAAAGCGTCAACACCCCCCACTTCTCCACCTCCTGCCCCTGGAACACGGCGGAGAAGAATCACTGGGTGGAGAAGTGAAGGAGGAGTGTATGCGTGTGTGTGTATGTGTGTGTAAGGGGGGTTAAAGATTAGCCATCTCACCCTGAGTGCACCTGGGCTGGGCCCATGTGTGCTTTTTTTTTTTTTTTTTTAAAACCATGACCACACACATACTGTACACACGCATGAACACACACAAACACAAATACCGTCACAACACCCGCAAAAACCTCCTGCACTTAAAAATGTCTGTGGTCGCACTCGCTCATTTCTTAGCCTGGATAGCTCAGGTTTAAGAATTAAACTACCCAGAATGCACCATGACAGGATGTCCTGTTGGCACAGTGCAGAGGTAGGTGGGTCAGGAGGTTTTTGTGGTTGAACATTCATAGCAGCAGTACCCCCTTAGATGAATCCCCGCCCTCACATCAACACACACACACACACATTAACTCCATCACATCATAACCCAAAACGTCTACACATAGATTCATCAGTGGTTGTGGTTAACTTTGTAGAACATACACACACACACATAGATACACACACACACACACACTCACACTAAGAAGCTCAAGCTTGAGGATACACTCGACTTCATCTCCTTCCTTATCTGTTCGAATGCTCAACACTATCTTCTAAAGAACATGACTCCTGAGGGTGTTAAGGTAATTTCCTATCGTGTTCCTGCTCAGTTTCTAAAACAAACTTTTCCTTTCCAAACAAGGGAGGACTATTCTGTGATTTTACAGCCCTCTGAAAAAGACACTCCTGTTACAGTTCTTCTTTTCGGTTTGATTCAAAGGTCCCTCCAACTGTTTAGGACATTCAGCAGAAAGTTACAGGTAGCATGAACATACTCAACAACTTCAAGCCTGTTTTTTACTTTTTTACTGTATACATTTTTTTAAATTGATGACTTGAGAAGCAAGGTAGTTGACTTAACTGTTCATGTTTTCAAAGTTTCAAAAGAATTTCAAACAATTATCACCAATCTGCTTTGAAACCGAAGGAAAACTGACAAAAAACCTCTGAGATTATAACATTTGACTTAACTGGCAGAAACCAGGAAACTAAGTACCTTCATATTCTCTCCTCTTCTGTATCATACAGGACCATGTCAAGTCTGAGAGGCTCATAAAGAGTTCAAAGAGGAAAATTTTTACTTATCTAAGCCAGCAAATATGGTTCAAATAAAGCTTGAGAATTGAGGACGACTTAGGGTTTGTAATGCATCAATCTGAGACTTCTGATCTAAAGTTGTTGTGTTCAGTTCGAAATCATCCTCTTGCAGCTGAAAGTAAAACCTTTTCTGCTTTTTCATTTTAAGGCTGTGTTGTCATTGGCACATTCCTTTAAGAAGTTTTCACTGTGAGCAACATGTGCAAACTCAAGCAAGTCTATCTCAGATCTTGAGTCCCAGTCAACCGTCTCGAAAAGTGTTAAAAAAATAACTAAAAGATTGTACAGGTTTCTCCATAAACAACCTTAAGCTACCCCGCTAAAAATATGCCATATCAATTATTTTAATTATCTGTATTGGTTAGGTAAAAAAGTAACACACTCACACTGAGTACATGTGAGCTAACTTTTCTGAGTTTAAATCTATAAAGACTCAAAAGACTGAAGTTCAAATTCGCTTTTAGAGAACTAACAGGAAATATGTTAAAATGGATTAGAAAGAAAGCAGCATGCAGGGCATTTAATCACAGCCTATCGTCAAAAAAGTGAGTTGTAACATAACTGCCTTTTATGCTGGGCATAAGTCATCATAGCTAAGACGTTTGTGGTGAAGAACCTAAATTCCAGGAGGGGGCACCCCCAGGGCTGGGACACCCCATTCTACATCCTGAATCTGCACCTGACATCTGCAACCGGGGTCATGACCTTCCTCCTTCCTACAGTTTCTCTATGCTTCTCATAGAAAGTCATCAGCAGGACCCAAAATAACACAACTCACATTTCAAATGTATCACAACAGGTGATCTATGTGGGGACAAAACTGGTAAAAAAGTGGAATTAGAGGGTCTATAGTCAATATGAGACATTGATCTAAAAGGAGAAACCTCACTTTGAGTTGGGGTTGATGGGGTCGATGTCATTAGGTTAGAAGAATTGCACTTTAGTAATTGAGATTTTAATACCACCTGATGCTCACCCTCCGACCTGGCCACCACCCTTGTTGTCAGAGCAGGGAAATTTCACACTGTGAGCAACTTTGGAGAAAGTACGGGACAGAGCTCCTGAAAATTTTCTGTAATTTCCCAGGAGTACGAATGTGAAAGAGGCAGGGTAACCACTATTATACCAAAATTTCCACCTTGTTGGTGACACCTGGGCACTAAAAGACACCTTTGTACCAGTATTTGTATAAAACAGATTCATTTGTTACACAAGGCGGACATATACATCAATATGAAACAGTCTGGAGCAGTCATGGCTTTCTGCTTGGTCTGTTTTTGTTTGAGTGAGATGAAATCTTGAACCTTTGTGAAAGTTGTTTTCATCCACTTTGATTCTTGTTTCCACGAGAAATCTGTGCCTCATATTTGAGCCACACCCCCTCCTCTTCCTCGATGGGAGATTCTTGCTGAGGCTTCTCTTTTGGAGACATGAAACGGAGATGTGATGTGCCGTGAGCTGGGATGCCTATCTTCTCTCTCCTCCAGTGATCTGATAGCCGGTAATGGGCCCTGTAGCCATGAGCCTGGCAGCACTGCTCACTGTGGCTTATGTGTCACACTGTACCCAGCATTCAACGAGAGTTAGCCGAGCGCAAGCAGCTGGGATACCGAGACTGGAGAGTGTGTGTGAGAAAGAGAGGCAGGTATACACATTGGCAGCAAGACTGACAGGGAGAGGTGGAAAACTGTAACTTTCATGAAGAGTTTAACCTTAAAAAAAAAACAGCTTTCCTGTAAGCCTCTGGCTGGATTTCTCTGTCATTTTCAGTCAACCTGAAGTTCCTCTTCCCTGCTCTGTTTATTTTAGAAAGGTGGCTTTGTTCTATTTACTGTACCCACTCCCTCAGCGGCCTCTACCCCCGTCAGACCAGTTGGAGAAGGGGAGAGACGAAGAAGAGGAGGAGAAGGGGAGGAGGGGGGTAGAGAAAGAGCAAGAGAAAGGGGAGGAGGGTGCATGATGTTTGGACAAACGGACAACCCGAACAGGATATAGAGGTCTACAGCCTGTGGGTGTGTCGGTTTGGCCGAGGCTCAGCTCACACACAAACACACACGCATACTCACACACACACATACGTACACACAATCGTGGGAGTGTTCCCGCTGGAGGGCAAAGTCTCCCTTCCTCTTACACATTCATTCTCTCCTTCCATTCCCCCCTTTCCGCCGTCACACCCCTCCACACCTCCTTCCTTTAGACCTCTCTTTCTCCTTCATCCCTTGTTCCTTCTCTTGTGACAAGCCCCCCTTTCCTCCTCCTCTTCTTCCTCCTCCTTTAGAAAAAAGAAAGTGTTAAAGACACAGAAGAGTTGGCCAACAGCAATGAGAAACTAGGAGGGAGAGGCCAAAATCACCACAGGGGACAATTATGGCTTGGGCTGTGTACATACAAGTGTGTGCGTGTGTATTTGTGTGTGGTTCGTTTTGGGTTTGATAGTCATAGAGGCGTCGAAAACAGTCCTGGAAGCCTCTTTCTGTCCTTCACAGCTATGTGTCCCCTCCTTGTCTCCTCTAGCCCTCCTTCTCTCTGTCTCTTTAAACCTTCCTTTCCGTCCTGTAAAATTCACGCTGTCACTTCTGTTTAAACTCACTCCGTACACTAGAGCTACGGCTGCTGGTTGAGTCAAGCGTGTGTGTGTGTGTGTGTGTTGGGTTTCCAACATTGAGTCCAGGGGCTTCAAATAAAGGCAGCCTGTGGGTAACTTCCTCCTCGTCATTAAGATCTGTGAGCTTCTGTGTGTGTTGGCTTGTGAAAACAAAACTTCCAGGTTCTGTTGTTAGCGTGTAATGAGACAAAGTTATGGAGAAAAAACACACAACGCCGTAGTCCCCCCCTTAAACTAGTGAAAGCCTTTTAGCAATGTGGGTTTTCTGGCCTGTTATTATTCCTGTTTGGGTTTGCTTTATATTTAATCGGCTATTTTCAATTTGAAAGTCCGAACAGAACTGTATGCTGCCTGCTTAAATCTGTAGTTTATAAGAAGTCAAACATTCTTTCGTACAAGAAACACAGCTTCAAATCAGCGCCAGTGTCGCCGCGTACCTGCTGTGCGTGTTTATAGTTTTCTTCACAGTATCAGATGATCAGATAGATTTACAGTTTCGGGACTCTTCAAGCTTTGAAGATCCATCAAAGATCCAGAGTAGTGTGTCGTAGTGAACAACACTCAGGACCATATCTTAGATGACCTCCTGACTGAAGACGAGCATGTTTGACATTAAAATAGTGAAGTTGAAGTGAAAGAGGGATGATGAAGAGCTGCGAAAGGAAACATATAACATCCCTGAATTTATAATGTCACACTAGAGCTGGGCAATATGGCCTCAAATCAAAATCACGATATATTAAGCAGTTCACCTCGATAACGATAAATGGACGATAACTACTCCACAAGCTGCTCACCCCCTCACTTTTGAACCATCCTCCATCTCCTCACATGTCTTTCCCTCTTTGTTATGGACTGGATGGGGTGGAGACACATCTTAAAGGGACACAAGACCATATCCTACCTACACACATCCAAAACCGTCTTGTATTTATTTATTTTTTTGACACTGTTGTATCTGGTCTGTCTGTGACGTGTAGATAGGAGTTTATTACAAAGACAACACCAGCATCAGAACAGCACCGTGGATGCTTGGAGAGGACTGCCAGTGATGTCCAGCTCTCCCAAACCTGAGTTTGTGATCTTGTTATATAGGATTAGAGGTTTTAGGTCCTCCTACATCCTCTTTTTATCTTTAAGTTACATTTCTTTACCAGCTGCTTTACGCCTATCTGACCTGCGACATGCAAAGCCCCAACAGTTAGGATGTCTGGACCAGGTATCATAAAAGAGACCCAATGCCCGCACTTCACCATTTGCTTATCTCAGGCTATCCCTGGGAAATGCTTTAACACATTGTATGTTGGTGCTGTACTCCAATATATTGACATGGGCAAAATGACGTCAATTTCTGTAAAGGTAAATTTTCGGTTTATCGCCCAGCCCTATATCACCTTATGTCGGTCTGTTATATTTCTTAGTCAAGATCCTAAAAAAGACAAAAAGATTGCGTTAGACCGTGGTGTTACATTCCTTCCATAGCAAAAAGGCACGATAAGTAAGCGAACAATAAAGCTTCACAAACACACTCTCACTTTCTCAAGGCCTTATCCCGTCCTGCCCACTTACTGTAAACCTTCACAGTCATGCTTCTTTGCCTCTGTTTCTGCCAGCACCACTTCAGAAGCAGTTTGCATTCCTCCTATGTGACATTTACATCGACTGTAAGGTGTAACAGCTCCGACATGAACTGGCAATGTAAAATGGGCTTTAAATACTCATTTGGTGTTAACCCTGAAAATGTTTTTGACCTTTTGAAAAGATGGATAAAAGTAACCCTCAGCCCCGCAGCTCTCTCTGCATCTATCCGAGCTGGGGGTTTCTTTTCTGGTCGTTGTCATTAGACGTGAAGCAAGTTTCACAAAAAGAGGCCACACTTGCTTTTGTTCCTCCTGTCTCCCACCCTCTTCCCCCAACCCCTTTGCCCCAGATCACCTGCCTGCCTGTTCTCCTCATTGTTTCCACCTCTTTCTCTTTCTCTCTCTCTCTTCTGCAACTCTTCCCACTCACCACCCTCATACACCAGCAGCATGGAAAGCACTCCATCTGATCTGTTTGATGTCCCCCAACACTCTTTTTCTGCCCCTATCACTCCCCCTCCTAAGTCTGTATCTCTAAATCTTATACGAGTAGGTTTAAGGTGGGACCTCCTACAACAAGGATACCCTTTTTTTTAATGTTGATGATTTTTTTAAACTAATCTTTAACTTGAGGCCACATCGAAACACAGTGAAAAAAAGAAAAAAACTTTCAGAAGTCTCAAGTGAAAGAGAAGAAAAATACTTCAGGGCTGCAAGGTGACGACTGCCGAGAAAAGGGAAAGAATGTTTCAGAGCTTTCGAGTGTGTGTGTGTGCGTGCGTGAGATAAAGGTAGACACACAAATGTGTGTTTGCATATGTATATAGTGTAATTGTCTGTGACCCTGGCAGTTTTTTTTCTGCTCTGTGGTTAGACAGTTTGTCCTTCCCATGATTCCTCAAACCTCAGAGACACCCAGCCTCAAGGTTTAGTATGTGTTTCTGTGCGAACATGTACATTTTTCTACAAGTGTGTGTGTTGTACAGGTGGGGGTTAGGGTTTGGATTTGATAACGGAGGACACTCAGACTCCCCCCCCTCCCTCCCCTTCTGTACCCCTCTGTTTAGGCCTTGATAAGCGGAGCCGGAGCAGTCTGTGGGGGTTAGGGATTCCTGTCTGGTACAGAAAAACACACACATACACATAAGAAAAGCACACACACACACACGCGCGCACACTGGGATCCGCCCGCTCTGCATTCCTGTGACCGACTAAGGAAGCAGCCTAGCCGTCTTCCCCTCCACTCCCAAATTATCCCCTTCTCCTAGAGTCACTGCATACTTATCACACGCCACTCTACCTCTCTCCCTATCTGACTCATGCGTACCTTGACTTTCTGCCGTGTTTTGGGCATCCTTATTCTTCTGCTGATCACAATGCAACATCCGATCACCTGGGATTGACTTCAGTGTTCTTTGAGAGCAAGTGAAGTGTAAACATACTAACTCTAAAAACTTCACTGGAGCCAAATTGACCCTTTTAATGAGCCTTTTTTTATATTTTAGAAAAATATAAAAGTAGTAGATGACACAAAAGTAGAAGCACCGCTCTTATTGGAAGTCACCTACAGGTGCTTTTTGGATATTTTAGGTTTGCTGTGCTTATTTCTCATGAAAGGGAAGTGGTCAGGTTAAAATATGATAACACTGCCGACAATAGCCTGATCAAGACCTGAGGAGGTAATGATGCATCGGCTATTTTTAAGATATTTATAAGCAGGGCGTTTTAATTCTACACTAGAGCTACAAGGTACAATCAAGTGGATGTAAAGGATAGATAGTTTTTTTGGGGGGGATTTTGAAAATAAAAGAATCAAAAAGTTTTTATAGTTTTCCATTTGAGATTTTCAGTTCCATCTGAAAAATTTGACAAAATTAATAGGGGGGCCAACCTCATGTCATGTGGTTACTGGTCTCCCGTCGCTCTCTACTTCCCTATGTTTCATGCCTCTCTTCAGCTGTTCTTTGAAATAAAGACAAAAAACAAACAAACAAAGAAATAAGATTTCCAAAAATTTCCTGTGAAGTTCCTGAAAATTCCCTCTTAAGTTTCCACGGGAAACACCATTGGTAACCGTAGATTCTTATTGAAAACGCTCTGGAAATAACCTTGATTTCAGCTGCTTTTTTTCTGCTTGGTTCACTCTGTGTCCTATTGATAAAGAGTTCACAGTTGACCTTTAACCTTTTTACAAACTGTACTCATCCTTTCACTCCAACTTCAACTTTTCACTCTCCTCCATTCATTATGTGATTCCTCCTTACACTGTCTCTTTTCTTTTTCTCTCTTTTTATGCATTTTACCCATTCTCCCTCCCTCTTTCATAGATAGCTTTTATGCCCCCCCCCCCTTCCTTCTCTTCCAGGGGTGTGTTGCCAGGGTTAAAAAGGGGTCATGTGGTCTCATGCTGCCCTTTTCTCTAATGGCTTCTTAATGAGAGAGTCAGAGAGAGAGGGAAGCAGGGAGCAGAGCAGTTTTTTAAGAAGCACGGTGAGATAACAGTAGTGTTGCTTAGGGCACTGACTCTCTCTAAGTGTGTGTGTGTATAAGAGTGTGTGTGTATGTGTGTACCCAGTGCCTGGCTGACCCCTTGCTCCATTTCGGGCCCTCTCTGAGCTCTGTGCTCTTCTCTGGGGAAAGAGGAAATGACACGTTTGTAGGCTTGAATAAGAGCCGGGGCTCGTCACAAGCAGTGTCCACTGGTTCTGGCTTGGAGTGGGTGGGTGGGAGATGTTTTGGAGGTGAAGGGGGAGTGGGGGAGGGTGAGGGAAGGGGTGGGGACAGCTCTTTAATTTGCACAGCTTCTGCTGATTTGATCATAAGCAATTAATCTCAATGGCTCGGCTGGGCTGCAGTGGGGGGATGAGACGATGAGCACAGTCTTCTGTATGCATGCGTCGCTTTAGTTTTCCCCCCTCTGTCCACATAGCGTGATTTCTAATACTGCTATCACACAGAGGAAGGAGCATGCTGGGACTATTTTGTGTCGCATGTTCCCTGTAAAGCGAAAAGAGAGTTTTTCCAAGAAAGTTTGTCTGTTCACCAAATGTCCCTCCAAAATCTGCACTTTCTGATCCGCAAACTGGAGTGTTTTAGAAATGTTTGTCGAAGACTCCTGAGGTCACGAGACATATCAACCACACATCGGCTTTGAAAAGATTTAGATCAAAACTTAAAAAAGCAAACTTGGATTGACACAATCCCTATGCCTTATCAGCTCAGTGTTGGCGGCAGATCAGGAACTCTGATTAGGGAATTAGATCTGCGTCAAACAGGGTGGCATCTTCACAGGCTTTGGACAGCTGAGAGGCGTGAGGAGCGCAACAAGGTTCAGGGTCCAGATCTTTCCTGCTGTGGTCTTGAGATACATCCAACTTTTATCAGCTTAAGACTGACACAGATCTCCCAATGATCCACTAACACTTAGCCTGCAGCTTGCGAAAGGTTTGGCTCGCTCATCCACCTCTCATCTGTCTCACTTCCTTCCCCCGGTTTAATCCTGCGCTCAGTTCCCTCCTTTTTTGACCTGAACGCCCCTGTGCCCCACAAAAAAACGCCACGGCCCCGTCTCTTCTTTACTCTCTATCTCCCTCTTTCTGCTTTGCCTTGTCTGCCAGTTTTCCATCTCCCACTATCTCCCTCGCCCTTGCTTTTTCCTCTCCATGGCACCGCACTCCTCCCATGCTGAGGCCATAGCTCTCTCCATTGTTGGAGGCAGGTTGCCAAGGATACAAGCGCAGAGAGGCAGAGTCTTAATGTTATAAGATGGGAGAGATGAGCAGAGAGAAAGAGAGAGGGGGGAGAGGGGCAATAGCTCTTGTACTCTATGGTCACGGGTGGCCTTACTGCACACTATGATACCCAACTGAGGACATGCAACAGACCCCGAGACCCCCGCCCCCCCTTCTCCCCTAACCTCCTCTCCCTGTGTGGATGGAGCAGAGCGACGTTGACTGTGGAGGAACCTCTTGCACTGGTCCTCTGCTCTTTGTTTGCCGGTTGTGTCTGTAGTGCGCATCTTCATTTGTTGTCTTCTTGCACATTTGGCTGGCAGTCACTTGACAGGATCTCTTGAGGTCTGCGGAGCATTTCTTCATCATCAAAAGTCGGAAAAGGTCAAACAATAAAAAAAAAAGCGCTCTTGAGTTATTAGAGGTCTTATTTGTTGTTGTGTAAATACAGGGTTCTTGATACTGAAATCTAATATACTGTACCGACAAAAAAAACCACAAGTCATATCTGCGCCTGAGTGTAATTTTCTTTTAACTGTGTAAAGAAATCTGCAAGTGTAAACCCATTTATTCCAAACTAGTTTAATGATCCAAAAAATTATGTTTCAGAGATCAAACTATTTCCTCAAAGCACATCCTTTTGTATCCTTCTTTGTGGCGCTAATTTGGGGAAAATTTGTGAAAAGCGCCCCGCTCCAAGAACACATCGCCAACAGATTTAGAATAAAAGAAGAGTGTGAAGCAGAATTCTCTCTGTAATCGAGCGTGATTATTTGGACAAATTGAGTTATGTATGAACAGGGAGAAAACAGCAAAGGATTTCTTTTAAACTTTCACTTAAGAGTCGGAGAGGAAATCGAGGAAAGGAGGTGGATAAAAACGTGTAAATACAAGAGTGCGAATTTGACAGTCTACGTTTACCGATACAGGACACAACCGGCGATGCAGACAGCAGGTGCACACGCTTGTTTGTACGTCTTACAGTGTTTGTCTGTGAACTCACACGTGTTGAACATTTGCACAGCATGTCACGGTGGGCTCTTAGGCGCATGCAGTCAGGGTCTTATATTTTGAGCAGGTGATGAAATGTAAGCCATAAACACTGCTACTTGGAGACAATTATTCCTCTCCTGTGTCTAGTTTGAATTTCATGTGCTTTACCGTTGACTTTCCTCTCCTCGTGTACACTTTTTGCAATCCACTCTAGGATATCCAGCTGTAAATACATTGACTTTGCCAACTTTTTCACGTTGTCAAACTCTTAAAATCATTTCCAGAGAGCAGTAAAGAAGTCATTATGACGAGCTAGTCCCCCCCCCCTCGAGCTTGTGAGCTGGTCAGAGAGTATTAACCCACACACCAATAACCCACAGGCTCTGTATAGCATCCCCACCCTGAGCCTTTTGTTGTCCTCCCTCCTCCACTTTCCATTATCTCTCCTCTCAACCTCTTTTTTTCTTCCTCTCCCACCTCACCCTTCAAACACGACCCCGGACCACACTGGACGGGGCTTTTGGGCACACGCTGTTCGCCAGTTTCCTCCCATGAGCGTTCATAAAGCCAAGACATAACCTCTCTCTCTCTCTCTCTCTCTCTCTTTTACTCTCTCCCTCAATCTCTCCATCTCCCTCTCTTAGCTTTTAGCACAAAGCCCTGCGTGTCTGCCTTCCTTCCCCACCCAGCATTCTTTCCCCATGCAGACCTCTCCCCCGCTCTCTCTCTCTCTCTCTCTCTCTCTTTCTCTGACGACTTCCCTCCTACCCGCCAACTCGCTCAGCCTCACCCTACCTTTCATTAGCCCACTCTTTATCTCACACACTCACTCGGCTCGCTCTCGCCCCTACCACTCTCCTATCTCGCCAGCTTTTACACTCCCTCTACTCTCCCTCTCTCTCTTTCTCTCTCCCTTTTTCCTCTTGTTCTCCCCCCTCAGTTGCTTTGGCTTTTGTTTCTGATACATCTTCATTTATTTCTCTCTCCCTCTCTTTCCCTGCTGACCCTATTATTTTTATATTCTCTCTCCCTCTGCCATCATTCTCCTCTCTCTCCCCCTCTCCTTCTCCTTCTCTCTCTCCATCTCTCTCTCTCTGCTTCCCTCCCACTCTTCTCAGTCCCTCTAAGCTGCATTAACTCCCCAGATTACCTTGAGCCCTGCAATCCTCCATCCCCCACGCACTCATCGCTCCCTCGTTCCCTCTTTCCTTCACTCATTCACTCACTCACTAAGGCTAATTTAAAAAAAATAGATTTACATTTTTAAGGACTCTGTTACCTCTCATGTTATGTTACATTTGTCAATAGTTAAATAATTAAATTTAGAAAAACTTGAAAAATCTGTCCACTGCGCATCACACACTGCCAACATCTGGTAAGCAGTGGGACAGACACAGCCACATTAAGCCCAGTCTGTCACCTCCCGCTCTCCGTGATCACCTGTACAGTGTTTTATCAGGACACGGCGCAACGACACAAATCTACTCAGGAAATCAGGAAAATTGAATGAACATGAAATTTGGTCATAGGTCGCCAAAAACATTATTTTGGTCTTAACTCCGATGTGTTCCCTCAGGTGTAATATTGCCACATAGTAGCATGTTTATGTGGACCTTAACCCTAACCCTAACCCTTGCACAGAGAGCTTTCGAGGCAAAGAAAGTTATATACTTGTTGATTTTATTTACTCTTTCTGCATCAGTCTTGTTCAATTACAAAATAGTTTGCTAACAGAGTCAAGAGTCAACGGTTGCTATCAGTTGTGTCAATAAACACTATGAACTTCCTGTTAGAAACCAAGAAAATAGATCAAGACACCTGTACTAAACCTCTGAGGTAGCTCTTTCTGAAATTACGTGAACATCAGAGCTGGCAAGCGTCACGCTTTGAATGTGACTGTCACGCAATTTGACCCATTCTCACACCACACTTGACATTTCTCAGGCTTATATTTCCCTATTTAATACTCTGTATTTATTTATTTATTCATGATAATAAACTAGGCTTGCCGTAGTTCGAGTAGCTGATTGACTGATCAAGATAACCAATCCATCAGTCCTTTGTGCCAAACTCTAACCAACCACATAAGGCACCATGCAATATAAACCAATCAAAAGCAAAGTAAGGGAGGTCTTGGCATCTTTAACTATCTTTCACACACAACAGCGCTGACATTTAAAACCCACTCAACGTTATGCAATATTGATAAATAATTGATTTTTGTTAAAATCCTAGTTACAATTTTTATTCCTAATTTATGGTTTATTAAGACTAGCATTAGGGAGAGCAGCTGGCATGGAGGTGAGGACATCAGTCTTAAAGTATAAATCAACATTAAAAAAGGCTAAAGTCTCACTCTTGTCATTTTCTGAAACTTGACAGCCCTGCATAAGATCCTGAGAAGAAAATTTTAGTGTACTGAAGAAAACAAAAAAGTTAATGCTAAAGCTATTAGCCGAAATAGCTACAGTGGTGTTTGGTTATTTAGACAATATCTACTCTTGTTGTTGTTTAGCTTTGTCTGCTAAAGAAAACAGTTCAGTACAGACACGAAAAACAGTTTAGTCGACTATTGAGACTGACTTTCACTCACTAGGCTGGCTAACAACTAGTTCAATACCAAAGCTAGTGAGAGACAGGTTGTTAGCATGTTAATGGCTAATTTGAGACTTAAGCTAGCACCAGTAGGACAGCTAGCTAGGTTTGTTTGCCCACTTTGCTACAATCAGCCTCCAAAAATCATGTGTAAATAGTGTCAAAGGTCATTTAGAAGCCTAAGCACTGACACTGGTCTAAGCGTTGTGCGCATGTGTCAGTGTTGGAATAGCATGGATGTGTTGCTAGGGAGCCAGGTTGTAAACAAAACCTTGACAGACAAAGAAAGACATAACAAGAGGATTTTTTTGCACCTCCTGCTAACATCTTCAGATCTCCTTTAGATGCATTTCTCCTTTTTTATGCACACACACAAATTGCCCTTTTTCCAGGGGAAGTGGTGTCAAAAACACACAGTTTGGATTTTTTGGGCTGAAATGTGGAGGGAAAAAATGCATTTTTCAGATTTAGCTGCCTTACTTTAGATTCACTATCATACACTCACCCCCACCATCACTACCCACCTCCCTCCTACACCCCCTGTAACCTCCTCCTCACCTCTCCTCACTCCCCCTTCACTCACCCACCTACCCACCCACACTCCATCACCCCACCTTCCACCTCTCACCCCACCGCTCTTACAATCGCTGCGCTCCTCTCCTCTTCTCTCCTCCCCTCCTCCCACACTCTCTCTTTTTCTCCGAGCCCCCAGCAGTACCACCATCACCACCAGCACCATCATCTCTCTCTCTCTCTCTTTCTCTCTTCCCTGTCTTTTACCACTCTCTTCCCTCTGTCCCTCCCTCCTCTAAAGCCTTCAGGCTCTGCTTGATTTATGCTTGCCCTCCCTATCCACACACCCCACCACCACCACCACCACCCACCCACCACCCTTTCCTATCTCTCCTGGAGGTTGTGGCCCGGCTAGTCCCTAAAAACAACAGAGAGGGAGAGAGAGAGAGGGAAAGAAAGAGAGAATAACAACCTCTTTGCTTTCCATCCTCCCTCCTTTTTAACCCAGCATTTTTTTCATTCCCCTCTCCCACACTGCTTTTTAAATTGCCTCTGAATTCTTGAGCTGTTTTAGTGCCTCACTCCCCCTTCTCGGCTGAAATTACTTTTTACCCTCTCAAACTCTGGCATGCTGAGGAAGCAGGTTCCACCTTCCCCTCCCGTCTCTTTGTCCACTCGAGGACAAACATGCTAATCACATGTACAGTCCTCTGAGCTGTTTGTAAAAGGAGGTGGGGGGGAGCCGGGCTGGCGTTTTCTCGCCTCTCCCTGTGTATAGACATCATGGCAATTGTTGGAGTCTTGTGACAACACGGCTCTTGTCCTTTTCAACCTCAAGCCTACCGAGTCATTACCCAGGCCGACTTGGGGCAAGGCCTCTTTTTTGTCTTACACACACACATAGACACACACACACGCACACTAGGAGACACAGTGAACAGTCTTTCTCTTTTGTTTGCACTCCCATACTCAAACATGCACACAAGCCCTACTTTCTTCTCTGACAGCTCTCTTGTGGTCGACAAGCCTCAGTAACTCGTTGCTTAACCACCCTGGACTTTTTTTTTTTTCTCCATTGTGTTTGGCTACTGTCTCTGTTGATTTGAAGGCGTGGTGTGTTTGTGTGTATGCGCGTGTGTTAGCGGAGGTGTTAAAGACGTGCGTCCATCAGCGCTGAGGTCCTGCGAGTGTGCCCAAGTAGCCAGAGTGTATTGTTTTGCATCTATTCATCCATTTATCCATCAAAAAATCTGTATTTTTAGGAAAACAGAATCTCCCTAGCTCAAGAAGAAGAAGATGAAGAGTTTGGCTGCAAAAACGGGGATCTGATAGCGTTCGATGAAACACACAAGCGCGCTAATACACACACACGCATCGACACACTTCTCGAGCACAATCAGAACAGAAGATCAGGGGTCAAACCAGGTCAGCTGACCCTTCCCTCCCTTTTCAGGCCTTCCCTCTCCTCCTCTCTACTGCGTCAAAGCAAGCCCTCTAATAACACAACTCCCCTTTGAAACACACACTCACTCACACACACACACACACACACACACGCTTCGCTCAGATATACAGTGCAGCCTCCAAACCTAGCACATAAAACTGCATCTTCTTTCCATTAGCTGTAACTCTCTCAATGGATGATAAATGCAGTATCCCTCACAACACATTTGAAGAATAGTTCAACACACACACACACATCTTTTATTCTGAGGCAAGTCTTATTCCGCCTTTGCTTTTTCCCACTCAAGCCCCCACATAGCTTGCAGCATCGTCCACACTCTCTCTCTCCACACACACACAGACACACACACACACACACGAACAAAGAGAACCACCATTTCCACATATTTGTCTCTCCTTTTAAAAGGGGGTTTTATTTAGCATAAATGTTGAAGCCAAGGGTGCCCGGCTACCATGGCAACCAAATTAAACGGAGGATCTCTTCAGAAAGCAGAAATCTAAATTATTCGGACTCTTTTATGAAGGGGAAAATGAAAATTCCCTCCACTGTACAGAGACCGCTGCACTGTAAAGGCAGAAGAAGAAAAGGAAAAAAGAGGAGAGGGGGGGAGATAATGCTATTGTTTTTTTGTATCTGACCATGCACTTCAAAGCCATATCCTATGTGATTGAAATTCATAGGTTGTCTCATGACAGCCAGCATGTTAACACTCAGCATATGTGCACAAAGGAATGATGTAACCGCAGTGTCTCTAAAACTCCAGATAAACCTATTGCCTCTGAAAAGATGCCACAATATGTGTGTCTGCAAATCCTCGGCAAAAGCCACCGCATGTATGATGAAATCCATAAGCTGCATGCATGGGATTAGGTGCAACTGTTTTCTGGTGTGGTAAATGATTTTATCTGTCGGAACAGGATGAGGTTTAAGTAACACACCACCATCTACGCATGCAGGGCCCCGATACAGCTTACATAAGGGAAGGAGGATTACGTGGTATATTCCGATTATTTGGCACAGGAGCCTGTTTGTGGTCAGCTGAATACTAATTTCTAATATCTCACGATTAGGCGCTGAAATGTGGATAAATCCTCCGAAAGCAGGAGACTTTATGTTGCGTGGCGGAGTCTCAGCAGCACAGAGGGAGGCCTGTGCTAAAGTGTAAAACAGAGATATTAATTTCACACATTTACAGAGTTTTGACTGTTTTATGCAAGAAAATCACGTCTTTCCATAACTCTGCCATTAAACCCACAGTGTGTGACTGAGGCATTGTTACTGTATGACTGCGCGGAGGGCGGACATGTTCCATCTGTACGTGCACGCGTCCAGGGGATGCTGGGAAAAGTGTTCAGGGGTCATTCACTCGCCCAATGAACAGATGAGTGGAGGGAGATGGGGGTCAGAGGTGGCTCTTTTTTCTCTCTCTCCCCTTTTGCTTCCTCTCCTTCCATTTGTCTGCCTCTTCTTTTTCTCTATATACATGTGTGTGTGTGCATGGGTGTGTGTGTGTGTGTGTTTGTTGTTGGCCCACAGCAGATCTATGTTATTGATTGACTCCTGTGGCTGCTGGGCTGCCCACTGAAGGAGGGGGCAGAGCTCTAATGAATTCCTGCACCTCATGCCCCCTTGCGCCAACCCCTACACCCCCTCCTTAATTAACTTTGTGTGTGTTTGTGGGGCGGGGGTGTGCATGCGTGGACGTGTGTTTTTTTGTGTGTATCTTCTATGCTGCTTCCTCCACAGCTCAACACCCCCGCTTCTACACTCCCCTGCCTTTTTTTCTTTCTTTCTTTCTTTCTGTCCGTGTCCGTGCCTCCTCTCCTCTTTCTTCATTCCTCCTACTTTATCTCCTTTTTTTATATCTTCCTCTGCGTCTGTGAGGAGTTTGATGGCTGCTGATTACTTTGTATGTGTGTCACTCTTATCTGTCGCGCCCCATCTCCTTCATCCCATCCTCGGTATCTCTCGTATCTGTACACCTTTCAGGTGTAGATCTATGCGTGTATGCGCAACTGTGCATACAGAGCATGTTTCCATCAATCTGATCCAGGATCATTTATCCGTACTGGGTGTGAAAAATGACTGACGTGTGCACGCGTGTGTGTATGTGTGTGTGTAAGCGCGTGCATAAGAGAGAGACAGAGTGGTCAACATTGACCCAGTAGGCTGTGAGAGGGCTGCAGACCCATCGGTATTCCAGACGTGGAGGCAAACTACTGTCTCTGTCACCTTGACTCCCCCTGCAGCAGACGAGCAGCGGGCTGCACAGGAAACACTTAGCACTACCTGACTGTAGTTAAAATGGACAATAGAGCTATTTTGTTCCCTCACATTTTCTCATCTCTTTCTTCTTTCCTTCCATTCCCCCTTCTTTATTTTTGAGCCCCACTTCCTGTTAGGATGGAAACAAATCCCAAAAAGGCTTTAGATTTTTGACTGTTGCATGTGTATTTATTTTGTTGCATCTTTTTCAACTGTCTGGCCGTATGATATATCATTTAATTGAAAAATTTATTTTCTGTTTTCAGTGTAAGTACCTGATAAAATTCACTAATGCTAATGCTGGAATATAAAAATTAGTGCACACTGATCATCTGTTGATTAATGTGCATTTTCTTAATTTGATCAAATTAGTTAAACTAAAGTGTACCGCAAACATAATCAGGATTTGTCGCTTCAAATTTGTGTATTTAAAAAGGATGATTGTAGACTAATATTTTACTTCAAATGAAGTTTTTTTTGGCATAGGTTAATTTTGTCTTTCCAGTAACAGAAGCATCTTCCTTATCATGTGTATTGCTGGGAGGTATCATTAGATTGTCATCATATTTGGAAAGGTTGCCCAGAGGAGATTAGGCAGAGATTAGGTCAGAATTTTCCTCCATCTTTGAAAATTTACACCTTGAAAAAAAACACGTTTTAGGCAATAATTAAATAGGAAATCAAAGTTTTACAAGCCATGTAAATTCAGGATGCTTTCACACCTGGATCTATTTAACCACTTGTATTGTCGTTCATCCATTGAGGGTGTATACAGCGTAATGAAATGTTGTTACTCCAGACATAATGATCTGATGTTTGCAGTGAAAACTAAATTTAACCCAGTAAACAGCTTTTTCAATGGTGAATGATGTCCCACATTTACCGACAAGCTCACCTGTTGAAATGTTAATGAGGCATTTGACCTCCTTGCTGCTCTAAGTCAATCCACAGCTTATTTTGTTAGCTCGTTAACTAGCTTACATTAGTCAGTGTCTAAGAGCCAGCTTCCCACAATGCAAAGAGTAACTGGCAGTGTAAATTTCATGTACAAAATTGTTTGTCAACTCCCTTTATTTTACGACTAGCTCAAAGTTTCTGCTTATAAAACTAAATTGTTTAAGATGGATGTTTAACATGACTGTTACCTTAAACTGTGTTTAAACCTTGTGTGGAGATATGTTTGAGATCATATTTAACAGGATGTTTGATTATAATGATAAACTTTTGGTCACTGATGGTAAAGATGCAGCTGAGAGCGCAGTGAACCGTGGCTGTCCAGTGGCATTTCTTGGATTCAAGGACACCAGGGGCTGAGACTGGCACCCCTAACCCTAACCCTATCAGAAGAAGAAAGAAATTAACATTTAACAATAGTAGCCACAGGAAGAATATCTGATATCTGATTGGTGAGCAGGGTGAAAGTGAAAGTGTTAAAGCAGTGAAACAGAGGAGATACCAGTACAACCTTGATACCACTTTGATTGATTTATTAAATTTTTATACAGACAGAAAACACTTTGACTAATACTAGACTGAAAATTAAAAGGCATTTCTATCCAAAGACTTAGACTTAAAATAAAATGGCTGCCAAAAGTAACACAGGTGACTGGTCAGGTGGCTTTTGCTTACCTATGCAATGAAAATAAAGGAGGCTGTTTCGAGGACAGTCCTACAATGATTACTTTTGACCACTGCACAGTATGTGACCAAAAAAGAAGACACTGTGCTGTATTATGATGCAAATCAGACTGAAGCAAGTCAATCTACTCAGTCGAAAAGTAAGGAGACTAATCACAAAACACTGAATTACATATCAAAGACTGTTATATCATAACAGAAGTCACCACCTTTTTAAAGGTACATAGTGAAGTCAGCACTTTAAATTATCAGTAACAAACAATAGAACAATTTCCATCCAAACATCCACAAATAATGACAAGAGTTAAACATAAAGGGCATCATATTCAGAAACCCAACATTGATCCAGTGGTAAGAAAAGTAGTTTTAGCAGAAAGAAACCTTGATCAGATCCAGATCCTGCAAACAGATGAGCTATAATACATTACATCCTTTAAGGTGTAAATGTGTGTTTACCTCCCCATTAAGGGTTAATTCTAACCATCAATGCATCACCATCCAGGAATTATATTGTATCTATTAGGATGTCAGAAGGTTTCTGTCCTAAACAATCACACATAATAATGCACAAACGCCCACCCTGAGGCGTCTTGTGAGTCTGCATCGGCATTAAGAAGTCTCTGTGTGCGTGTGTTTGTTTAAAGTGTAGACAAGCGTTTCTTTCAAAGTCTTTGAGTCTCTGATGTGCGTGATGTGTATTTTTGTACACGTCTTTGTTGGAGAAAGCAACCTGTCATCAGTTAAATGTCAATTAGGAGGCAATGAAAGTGTGTTTTGTGTCTGTATTTGCCTTTGTGTGTGTGCGTGTGTGCGTGCATGTGTGTGTATGTGTGTGTGTGCGTTAAGCAGAGTTGTCGTCAGCAGTGTGGTCTGACAGTCTTGTAGATCTACAGTGGAACCTCCAGCGACATGTCTGCTGCTGACAGCTTCTCTACACACTCTGCTTTCAACAACACTGATGGCTAAGCACACTCATGCAGACATACGCACACACATACTCTCTCACACATACACACGCACCACGTCTACCTCCCTCTCTTCTCTCTCTCTCTCTCTCTTTCTCTCTCTCTCTCTCTCTGGCTGTCTCCGTATGATCTCCCTGTATTTTTGTTGACTGGTGATGATGAGGTATGTTAGGGAGTTGAGGATAGAGGGAGATGATTCAGAGAGTGACGTGTTGGTAGTCACTACTGAAAACACAGGGTGGTGTAAGTGATGACTGGGCTGAGAGGTTTGAAAGGATTGGTTTAATACGATGGTTTTTGTGTTGTGACACTTGGATAAAACCTTAAATTTTTACAGCTATTCAGGCAGAATGTCAGGGATTTTAAGTTTGATGAACGTTTCTCTTTATCCTCTTTGAAAGCCTTTCACAAACCCAACAAAAGGCAGAGTTTTCAGGCAGTCCTGGACATAAACTTGTACATATTTTGCGAGCTAGTTTAACCGAAAAAAGAAAGGCCGAGATATCAGTCAACGTTGGCCAAAAAAAGGTCACAAGATCCTCACCTCTCCTCTCTTACGTCATCTCTTTTCAGGGGCAGACGTGACCGAACCCAACAGCTCAGACAGCCGCGGTGAACGCCTCGACTTCTTCCTCAAACAGGAGGAGGCTCTGACCACAGAGCCCAGCTACCTGGGTCCCAACGAATCCGAGGAGGTCGGAGGAGGAGCCGGGGGCGGGACCATCTCATCTGTGGCCAATCTGAAGGCGGCGCTGATGAGTAAGAACAGCCTGCTGTCGCTGCGGGCTGAGGTGATGGGAGATGATAACCCCTTACTGTACGAGTACCTGCCCAAAGGAGGACACTCCCTGTCCTGTAAGTCGCTATTTCTTAACACTGTGTGAATACTGACATTAACACACACTCACACACACACACACACACTCATCATTACTCAAATTTGCTGTATCTTTGGGTACAAGCTCATGTGTGAGTACCTGTGTAACATTAAACACACAAACTCGACCACTTTTGACATGAGTATCCTCTACCTCGACACCTCATGAGCCACTTTCTGGATAAATCTGAATGCATGCCCGTTTGTGTGTGTGTGTGTGTGTACATGTGTGTGTGGTGCCACTGGAGTTTGTGTGGCAATGCGAGTGATGACTAGTCAGCAGTGACTCAGTGAGAGAACATTTTGCTGGGATCGCTCTCGGTGTCGTGAGAAAATTTGTTTGGTTTTATGTGACAGTTTCTTTGTGCGTATCAGTGGGTCGACGGCTGTGTTTCACAGCAGCAAAATAACACAACAGAACTGCAGCAACTGTTTGCACATTACTTATTTTACTATTACTTCAGATTTGCTCTCCTCGACTCCGGCGCTGCTGAAAGGCACTTTTGAAACACGGAGCGGAGTGTTTGCTTTTCTTTAAAAATAACACACGTTTAATGAATAAAGATCCTCTGAGTTTGATTTGATTTGAAATGGATTGTGCAAAATATTGTATTTATATTTCATTCTTTGTGAAAATGTAACAGATTTTTATTACAAGTGCACATTGTTTATATAAGAGTCTGAATTTCTGTCTATATGTGTGGTAAAACGAGCTCAGATTTTTCACTTTCAGCCTTCCTCTACTTAGAATAAACTCTTATTTTATTCTCACATCAATATTAGATCAATAAACAGCCTTATTCGTGCTTGATTAGCCCACGTTAACCAGAGATTTTCTCTTCTTTCACTCGGTTTTCTCTTCCTTCAGTGAGGGTGTTAAACTGTCAGTGTGTCTATGTGTGTTTGTGCCAGCATGAGTGTATATTTGCTTGAGTCCATGTTCGCGTGGGCACTTTTATTTTTCTGTGTGTGTGCGTGTGTGCGTCTGTGTGTGTGTGTGTGTACAGAACTCCAGTGTTTGTGTTTCTTTTTGCTTCCACTGGCTAGTAATTGGATCTTTTGTCCTGAGTTCTGCCTGCCTTTGTGAGCGGAAGAAAAGCAAAAGGAAGGGTACAACTCCGAGCATAGTCATGCCTTTTTGAGCTGAGCCCCACTCACCTTCAAAATAAAAGACAGGGCTGCGACTGAATAGGCCGAAACACACGTTTGCAGTCGCACATCGGCGCTCACATCGCGCACACACGTCACATCACATCACCCCCTTTTGTGTAAGTGTTAAGTGTGTGGGATTGAGATGTTTCTGTTGGCTTAAAGAGCAGAATCAGATGCTGTCACAGCACAGATAGACAGCCTCACACACTCTAGAAAAGAGAAGAAGAGGAGGCTTTTTCAAACACACTCACACTCCACAGAAACACCCTGCCTTAACTAAATGAAAAGGAGAATTCGGAGAATGTTAATCATTTGCTCTCTGCACCGGGTTGAAGAAAAAAAAGAAACATGTTAAATGAGTCTTATAGCTGTATTTCAGTTGTCACCAGAGAACCCTTGGGGAGGTTTTTGGTTAGCCGAACCCTATTTTGAATTCCCAACACAATAGCTGTTGGGGAAATGGGCTTGTCGAGGTAGCCAACAACCTCCCCTCCCTCCCTCCCTGAGTCTGTCCCTGCTTCTAAATGAGGACAGAAAATAAACAAACACTGTACCTCAGATTACTGGGCGGAGGAGAAGTCTGCCTGGCTTGACAGATCACTGCTCCCTGCCTCCCTCTTTCCATTCAGCCTTATTTCCCCCTCCTCCTGCTCTCCCTGTTTCTCCTTCACCCCTGCTTAACATCCTTCCTGTCCTTTTCTCCCTCCCATACTCCCCCTCCCTCTTCCTCCTTTCCTCCCATCCATTTCTCCTTCACCCCTACTTAACACCCATCCCTCACTCTGTCCCGCCTCACTCAGGCTGGCCCCTTGCAGTTCCTCCTTATTTGTCTCACTTCTGTCTCTTTACCCCATTTTTACTTCAGCTGCGGAGCATCAAAGTATGTCGGTTTGAAATCCTGGGAAAGTATTGATCTTTTCAGAGAGGAGGTAGAGCAAGGTCACCTGGTCTGATTCAAGTGAGACCTGTGAATATGAGCAAAAGGCCTTGACTTAGCTTCCGCCTCACCCCCTCCCATCTCCCTCTCATTCTCTCTTTTCGGTATAATTGACTCTTTAATAAAACATGCTCTTCCTAAAGTTTCATACATTTAAAAACAGAGAATCAATTCTCGGCTGTTCCACCATTAAAAACCTCTCTCCTGTTAAATCTAGCATCTCAAAATGATCCGACCCCTACCTTGCTTGCCAGTCTAATGCACGTCCCCCCCGCTCTTTGCCGTCTTTTGCATGGGTCACGCACTGCTTCTTCCAACCACGCAGAATGCCAAATTCCAGTGTATCCTGTCTGTTAGTCAATCAGCTTCCTGAGTCCAATTAAGATCACTTGGATTGGGCCCTGTCACACCTGTCTGCGTTACATAATCAATGCCAGACAATAGAATTTGCTGGACTATCCCCTTGTGCTCCTGTCCACTGTGTGTACCAGCTGTAGAGGACATCCAATTAACCGTAGGGATCATACTGCCTCTATTGAACTTTTCTCTCTTACACTTCACAACTACACTTAAAAAATCATCCTATGCCTTAAAGTAGCTTCCAAAACCTACAAGATTGCCCTCCTAACAATTTGTGGTTTTTATTAACTTTTTATGAAGGATTTTTAAGATATAAAATTTGGAACCTATGGTTCTTCATAAATGAATAAAGGGTAGCATAACGTCCTGAAATCTGATTGGCCACTTTATATGCCAGCTCATAAGTCTTAGTTACGATTAGCTCTTGGCCTTGCCAGAGGCGGCAATTGTGTTTTAGTCAACTGTTTGAGCCGTGTTGTAACAGCCTTTTGTATTTCAATGTTTCAATTAGGGGTTGGAATCACTAGTGGCCCAATGATACAATATTATCACGATATTTGGGCCACAATACGATATTATTGCAATTTTGGTAACACTTTACTTGACGCCTATCTCTATAACGCATTATAAATATAAGTATATGTAACTCACTGGCAATGCCCATACACATAATGCAATGCAACTGTTTTTAACATTTATAACACATTATAATACCTGACCTTGTAAGTCATGATAAAATGCTTGATAATGTGTTATGATTATTGCTATAAAGCATTATGATCATTTATGAGTGTTTATAACTATAGTTATACAGTGCTATAACGTGATTATAACACATTATTCATGTATTTATAATGCGTTACAGAGATAGGCGTCAAATAAAGTGTTACTGTAATTTTTAACATTTTGCAATACAGTCAGTATTGTGATACAATATATTGCGATTTATATAATTTTTTTCAACTGTTAAGCCAATTTATTATTTGGCTTTCCTTTATGTTTGTCTTATTTACACAGTTTTTTATTTTCATGTAGCATATCTTGGAAAACCTTGTGTATATATATATTAGTTGTACTAACTTTCTCCTACTCTATCATGTCACCTCAGCCAACCTCAGTGGACAAACAGTTGATTTTTTTTTTTCATTTTTATAGATTTGACTTTATGTTAGCAATTAATTTGAAAAATCGATACTAGGTGAATTAGACGATTTGATATATCACCAGACAAAATATCATGATACTATGCTGTATCGATTTTTTCTACCACCCTGAGTTTCAATCTTTAATCATAAGAGAATTAGGCTAACATTTATGCATACCTTGCCACCTTGTTTTATATTCCATATATTTCTTTATCTTTCTGGTACTTTAGTTCTCATTTGGTCCGTCAACTCATTCTCTTTTGATTGAAGGTGCATTGCAGAGGCTCTGAACCTCATTACTACTCTCAGATTGACTTTACATGAATTAAGGAGTGATGACTTAATCTTAAAACTCCTGTAGTCAGAGCCTTCGGGTAGATTTTGAGAAAAGGAGAGCCAGAGACCAGAAATCTTGCATCACAAAAAGCCGCCTATTTGAGAAGACTCCTGGCAGCTAATTATGAGAATGGTGCAAATTTTGTTTATCTCCAGCCGGCTGCCTGCCTGAACTAGCCCACAGGCAATGCTCCATTAGTTAAAATAGATATGATCAAGAGATACTGAAAGAGAGATAAATGCTGTTTTGCTGCGTGCAACCCCGCCCCTCCCATCCCCCTAAATCATGTCCTCATTTGGGCCACCTCAGCCCACAAAGTCTGGATCCGCCCCTGTAAAAGTGGAAATTCTCATTTAAAGGTCACTGACCTTTTGAAGTAGCTGCTACTTATAGGAGCCGTCTTAAACAATAAATCCAATCCAGGGGTGTGTTTCATATTTTTTTTAAAGGACAAAAGTAGAAAAACAAACTCACAAGCAGTCAAGAGTTATTGTTAGCACATTACTTATAGCCTTTTAACAATGGAGTCATGAAGAACCCCAATCCTATCTGGCTATTTTCTGCTAACAGGCTTACAAAGTTTTACTTAATTAGGTTTTGGCAAGTCTTCAGTCCCCTTATAGTAACCTGGTCCATATGAGAGGTCACTCAAGTTAGACTAGATATATCACTTCCGCTACAGCTCTTTCTGTCCTGCGTTGAAGTGATTCAGTTGTTCTGCATTCATGGTTTTTATTTTTTATTTTTTTGTGTTTTTTACTCGTGTAGCTGTGCGGTGAGTCAGCCTGCTGTTATTTGTATTCTCCACAGCTTGCCAGACACGACTGCAATATTAAACTCACCGAGACAAGATTGCAAAATTTACAGTTGTATGTTAAATTCTGCAAGAGCTTAAAAGCAAAAGTTCAACTCTTTTTTTTTTTTTTGTGCAGATTTATTCCGTGATAATCTCGAAGAAGTATCCGCTTTGGGAGCAGCGTTTGTTAATGAGCCGCTCCCTCTCACCTGTAGCTCATCCCTCCGCTCTCTGCCTTCTTAATGTTCTTCTTCCATCTCTCCAGGGGGGTGGGAGAGAATGGGAGATAGGGAGTTGAACATTTGTGTGTGTTCTCAGTAAGTGGGAGTGGGGAGTGTCGGGCGCGGTAGTTTAACATTCCAGGAATCCGTCCATGGTCGAGCCTCATGGTTGTGTGATTCTGTCCGTTTTGCAGAGGAGGGCAATGAATGGCTAACCCACTGCATAACTCTGGAGACATTCCCCAAAACACTGCCCACACATGCATATATTCATACGCACACACACACACATTATCCAGAGTAACCTGCACTTTATACTTTGATTCATTATAAGAGAAACAGATGCACTCTCTGCAGCAGCTAATGGTGATATTAATGTAGCAGAAAAAGCTCTGAGTGAATTGTTATGGAGTGCTGAAGGGTTTGTGTGAAATTTAAAATTCCTCATCCAGCGGGCCTTAACTTGTTGCTGGTAAACATCTTACACGGTCCATGTAGTCGTCCTTTACCCTGCGTGTACAAAAAGTCCTCACTCGAGCTGCAAGATGGCTCCTCTCCAAAACATTCTCCCTCCACGCTACACAGGATCCTCAAGCCCTCTTCCTTATATGCATTTTACCCGCTCACACAAGTACATGCACACTCTCACACAAAACACACACACGCTGCCATCCTCTGCGCACGCATGTGGGTGGAAGGAGAAGGAGAGCAGAGGAGCGAAAGAAAAAGAGAGAGAAAGAGAGAAGAGAAGCCCTAACCCTTTCCCCTCGGCTGGTGGAAAGTGAAACTTCAGAGTTTTTCTTCCTCCCCCTCTCCGTAGTGTTTGATAGCGTAGCACTGGCAGCCTCTGTGTGCCCCCCTGCCCACTCTCTCCCGCTGTGTTCTGGTGGCCAGCTGCTAGCAGACTTGCAGTTGTACGTGAGTGGGTGGGTGAGACTCGTTTCCTGTGCTCCTCAGGGCTCCGCTCCAACAACTACTGCAGCACACTCCGGCCAGGGGCCACGGGGGCCACTATTCATAACAAACAGGGGGCTGGCTCCTCTCCTCCTCCTCCTCTTCCTCTTCTTCCTCCTCATCTTCCACCATCACCACCTCCACCACTACCGCCATCATCCTCATCATCATCTTCAACATCAGCATACTGCCCACCCACTCCACCCACGCCACTGCACCCCTCTGAGCCTCGGCCCCTGGAGGCCCCCGGTCTGCGGGCTGGGGCGACCCCGCTGCGCTCAGAAGGGTTGGACATGGAAGTGGAAGAGGCCCCTGAGGGCTCCGAGCCCTCCACCTTGCCTGAGGTAAGCGAACATAGAGCCTGGCTCTTCTCCAGGGCGGAGGCTGTTCTCTGGGTACCACTCCACCAGTCAGATAAAAGTTTGTAAGAATGAGCGGAGTTAGCATCCAGGGGGCAGCTTCACCCTGCTTCTGCACACAAACACACACACAAATACACACAAATGTACACAGAGGGGGGTTGAGCTGATAGAGAACAGAAAGTAACTAACAAATACTTGGACTATGAGTCTCATGAGCAGGTGTGTTAACAGCAGGGTGTACTCAGGAGGCACAGACCCCTCCCTAAAATCTGATTGGCCACCCCTGGTGCCAGTCCACAAACTATGATTGCCAATCAGCCCTGTCAGAGGCGGGATTCAAAGTTTTTTGGATATTTTTTTGATGCCATGGCTTTTGTAGACATATCTATTTTGAGTATGGCATGCTAGATTTAATTGTTAGCACTTTTTTGTACACTAATAAAACAACAAATTTAAATAGAATAGATCAGATCAGTGGAAACCAAAATGGCAAACTGTGTTATTCAGTCATGTCTTCATAAGCTAGGGATGGGAATTGAGAACCGGTTCTAGTTGAGATCCAGTTCCAAATGATTCAATCCATCGACATCATTTATATTTTATCTCAAATTCCCTTAACGATTCCTTTCTTCCGGTTGCCTTGAAAAGCGGTCTTGCGAGTGCCAGCCGACACGAACGAGACCAGAGAGAGAGAAAAAAACATGACGGAAGGCATAAAAAGTAGGCAGAAACGAGCTTAAGTGTGGCTTAATTTTACTAAGAAAGTCGACAACAGTGTAACTTTTGTCGATAACATGCAAAGGTGGAAACACCAGCAACATGCTTAAACATTTGTCATCGGGGCAAATATAAGGAGTCACAGGTATTCAATGCTTTCCACCGGTTGTCAGCCGCTGCTGCTCCATCTCAGCACGGCATAGAAGGTACTTATGTTAGGGTGACCATACGTCCTCTTTTACCCGGACATGTCCTCCTTTAGGGGAGCTTATAAAATCCTTCAAATGTGCGGAACGAGTATTCATTCATTACAAAACAGTGCAGCGCATCAGTGCTCTCTGCAGCTCTGCTCCTCTGCTCACTTCTAAGCAAAGCCACTGATGCAACGCATATATGCACTGTCTTTGGGAATTTAGAATATGTGTTTAACTGAGTTAGAAGCACATATAAAACACTAGACCCGACCAAAGAACACTCAAAATTTCAAGTCCACCCCGCGTAGTAGTGTCCTCTTTTTGGGGATTCAGAATATGGTATGGAATAAGGTATGTCCTGTGTTAATATGAGCACAATGCACGCCAGAAATGCTGTACAAATAGCATTTCTGTTTTATGATTTTTAGACTCTCACTGAAGATGGCATATATCTTTCAGTTACCAGAGTTAAAGGTGAAAACCTATAGTCTACTTTTTTTTTAAAATAAGAAAGGCATTGATAAGGGATCGTTAAAGAATTGAATCGATAAGCAGAATCGATAATGGCATCGATATCGATAAAATCTCATCAATTCCCATCCCTATTATAAGCAGAGCTGGGCCCACAATCATGAACCTGTTAACCATGATTTATCACATGACTTTTTTATGAACTCTACCATTTAAAAAAATGATTTTCAAAGCTTTAAACTTCCATTTAAACAACATTTTCTTCAACCAAGTCATTTGAGACTTGCCTAACTTCACTGAAGAAAAGCAGCTCTCTGGCAGCTGACGGCATCTACACCGAGCTGGGGAGCAGCAGCTAACAATTTGGCTACAACAGTCTGCTCTTTTACATAAAAAATACTATGAAGAGCTGTTTAGGAGCCAAAAGAGCCAAGTCATGCTTAGCCAAATGATCTGAATCACTCAAGCCTATACACTGAGGTCTTTTACTGGAGTAAGAAAAAAGATCATAACCCTGATCTTACATGGTAAGATGGATCTCAGACAAGTTAAGCAAGAGCACTCGGCCTTTGTAGATTTGATGTAGCCGTTGCTGGATCTTTATGGATAAAAGGTGTTTGGATTCGATCCTTTACTGGACTTGGATCCTGGAAACTCTCTGCATTGCTTGCAGAAAGGGGACCAAATCCACTAGACTTTTTTTTAATCAGTTTTGATGTTAATGAATGGAAAGTTTACATCTTTGTAAATAGATAAAAGGTTAACAGAGTCAGTTTTTTATTAATTGTGCCCACCTCTGTTTTTGAGTTAGGGTTAGGGTTAACAAATCTATCTAGACAAAAACTCTTTACAAGCCCCTGCTCACAAGGAGATGTAGAGGTGATTTCTCGCTTCTATATCCACACGAACATCTGCGCTCAACCCCTCTCTGTGTCTTATTCTCCATGAGGAATCTAACTTTTTTTCCCCAAAAGAAACGTTTTCTTTCGCCTTTCTCTTCTCTCTCTTTGTTTTTTTTTCTCCTCTCTCTGTCCCTTTCAGATTTTCTAATTCTCCACTCTTGCCTCCCTTTAGCGTAATCTTTTTTAATATAGCTAGACCCTATTCACCGTCAGAGCCAGGAGTCTTTGCTCAGCATTAGCGCTGATGTAGTTTGTAGTGGTTACATTAGAGATGACACATCCAGTCACAATGGCGGCGTGTGCTCAGAGATGGCAGATAACGGCCAAGGTGCTGAGATGAGACTGAGTAGAATCAATACAAGTAGACAATGAGAGGTTTGCTCTCGCAGCCCAGGAAATTGTTTGTTCTGCTGTGTGTGCATGTGTGTGTGTGTGTGTGTGAGAGAGAGAGAGGGAGAGAGTGTGGGCGTGTGTGTGAGTATGGCAGTATGAGCATGAGTTTCGTGCCAGTCAGTGTGTATGAGTGTGTGTGTGAGCATTTAGGAGCAGCATTTGATTTCAGCGGACCTGCCTCCCAACAAGCCTCCCTATCTCTACGGACAAGCCATCTGTTTGCCCAGTGCATGGTGTTCTGTTCTTAGAGAGGAGGAGGAGGAGGAGGAGGAGGAGGAGGTGTGGAGTGTAAGGACAGAGGAAATAGGTGGGGGTGAAGGAATTGCAGAGACATGGAGTCGATGGATAAGTTTAGATGGGATATAGATGAGAGAAAATAGAGGGGACAGGTGTTTTTGAGTGCATGTGTAGATGACAATATGAACACTGTAGAAGAAGCTAACAGCTCATTCTGTTTCATAGCGCAGCTTTAACATCCAGGAGGTGTCGCCTTTGTACAACTCTTTTTTTTTTTTCTTCTCAGTTTGCTTCTTAATCTTTCAAAATGTGTCTGTTTCTAAAACCATTCTGATCTGTGCTTTTTCTTTTTTCCATGTTTGTTTCTCTGTTTTTCCCTCATGTGTGAATAAAGGTTGTCTTCACAGCTTGTTTCACCTGCCTGCCACCTGCATGCCCAGACAGCATTCCATACAGAGTGTAGAAATGTGCATGTGTGTGACATAACGGGATGTTTTGTTGCTTACAGGAAGGTGTGAAAGACAGAGAAAATGTGAAGGAAAACAGCACAGGTATGGCTTTAACGGTTCGGATTTACAAGCATGTCATCTTTTTAACTTGAGAGATGTCTTTAAGCTGATCTATTTTCGTCCTTGTTTCTCCATTAGCCTTGGAGGGTAACCAGTCTCCTATCGAGAGGGATCAGATGGGTGAAGAGAGCTGCACTGGGGGCTCCACAGGGCCTGCGTCAGTGTCCGTGGTTGGCAGAAGGTCTAAAGGGCTGATGGTGCCGGGCGATGACAAAAGAATCCTGCCAGAGTCCGCTGTCTGGCCCTCTCAGGGGTTCGCCTGCTCCCTGTGCAAACGGCTGTTCAGCAGCCTGCAGCATCTCAGGGAACACGAGTACCGCCACACCATGTCCCTCATGGCTTTGTCCCTGGACTGGCAGAGCATGCAGGGTCCCCACCACCAAACCAGCCAGTCCCTCCACCAACAACAATCACAGTCTCTCAACCTGCACCAGTCTCTCTACCGCCAATCACCGGCTGAGCCGGCACCTGCCCGCTACCTCTGCTCCCAGTGCCCCGCCAGCTTCACCCTCAAATCCAACGCAGACCGTCACGAGAAGACAATCCACTTCAAGAAGAAGCTGATGCAGTGCGTGTACTGTCTGAAGCACTTCAGAGACCGCACAGACCTGCACAGGCACCTGTCCTCCGTGCACTCCAAAGAGAGAGGACACACCTGCCCAGCCTGTGCCAAGGCTTTTAGCACCCAGAAGAACCTGGCCACACATGTTAAAGTATGCTGCCAGATGGGGTCAGGGTCAGGAGGCATGCTGGGAGGAAGCGCCGGCATGGAGATGTATCAGGGCGGGGGGGTTATTGATTCACTGTGGAGGCTCTCTCAAGAGATGAAAGTTGATAATCTTAGTATCAATGTGGAAAACTGAGACTCGATTCGAGATCTGCAGGCTTGTGCGCACACGTTAATACCCATCAGTTAGCGGCGCGTCCTCACGTGAGTTGTGCGCTCGCTCATGCCAAAAAAAAGCTCTGTGGTGTCATTGCACTGAGAAAGGAAGAACTAAAATGTCTTTTAACGTTAATATTTATAGTCGAGTCTTTTTGTCTTACGAGTTGTCAAATTTTATGTCATATTATTTTCTAAGAGGTGATTTACTCCGATTTGACAGCTTTCACGTCTACAATGTGCGACTGCTATGCAAAGCTGCTCTTGTGAAAGAACTCAAACTGTTTGTAGGTCTGTTTTTAAGATAATGTGTATTCTTGTGTGTAGTCTGAGTGTGCATTTTTGGACACTCCAACAGGTGAATTACTTCGTCTTTGGTGCCGACAGGGTGGTGAGACAGGCAGGAGTCTTTCATGCCTGCCCAGACCTAAACCACTTGTCTGGCTCTCTGTCGCCATGCAGTCACCAGCCTGACTAAAACTCTTCTCTCCTTTTTAGGCAGAGATCTTTATCTTTGTGTCCAGCCCTGTATTACCAAAGGCACAAAGACACTCAGAAACAGTCCCTGTCTGCCAGGCTTTAAACACGCAACCACACCCCCTGCAGGACGATTGTAGAACTGCAGCATGAGAGCAGAATTAAAAACCCATATCTGGTCATTTTTCCAGCAAGTTTGAGCGCAAAATTTATCACAAAACTTCAGCTTCTCCTACTTTTCTTTCAGTTTTATTCAAAAAAACGTTTATTCTTAAACCTCACCACAATTTAAAATCATCTCTTCATCCATTTTACCTTTGTAGATCGGTACAGATGGAGGGGATGCACCAAAGAGACAAAGCCAGCAAAAACAATAGAGCAGTAGCAGCTCAGATGGGGGTTGGGTGGTGTCATTTTCTCCCCCCTTCCCTCTCTGTGTCCATCTCCTCTGTCCCAGATCTGTAAGTCTTGGAGTGGCTGGAGCTGGACAGTAATTGGTCCTTCATGGCTCCGGCCCTTCTTAACCCCTGACCTCTCCTGTGAAGAGGAAGTGGAGGCCAAAGGGGGGCGGATGCGCTTTAAACTAGATGAGCTTAGTGATGTCACCGCTGCGGGCGGATAATAATGTGGTGGGGACTGTAGGGTGGAATATAGGGGGGACAAGTGAGGGATAATAGGAGTGGAATAAGGGAAAGAGTGAAGACAGACTACATGGATGGAGAGCTGGAGCAAGAATATTTTTGAATCCGATAAACTCTGGCCTCAAAATCACTGCTAATGCAAATTTACACCGATTTCTGCCTAAAAAATCTCATTTGAGTTTACAGCAGGCCCACCCTGCAGCTATAAACCCAAGATATGCATGATGAAACCCATAAATAAAGATTTATCTAGTATAACCCATACTCTGAGACACCCACGTTTGTGTGTGTGTCTCTGCCTGTTTTGCCGTGTTAAACCCAACATATGGAAATCAAAACGTCTAGGTGCTCTTGAAACGCAGAACCGGTGTCTTTTGGGAACATTTCCCCCCCTTACTCTTCTTGTATAAACCCAGGGAACTCCCAAATGCCAAATCCTTTCTGATACGAAATCCCATATCTCAGGTAGCACACTGGGTCCTGTTCAGCAGCTGAAACAAAGACTGGCAGGCTCAGAGAAGTCAGGAACTCAGAAGGAACTGAGCAAAGTCACCCATGGAGAGAGCTTCATCAAACACTGTACGCCCGTTTGAGGGTCATTCTTTAGCTGTAAATACTTCGAGATGTATCTAGAATATGTTTTTTCTCATTGAAAACAAATATGTACTGTACGAGGTTATGTACTTTTCTCAACAGAATGAGATTCTGCCTGTAGTTTTTATGCTGGAATTAAAACGTGATGGAATATCCGAAAACTTCTCCGTAGTTTTCGTCTTTCTTTGTCGGCACCTGTCTTCACTAAATGACATTATTCCTTTTTTTTTCTGTATTTGCATGTAAAACGTGATGACGATGCTTAAACCTGTTGCGCACTTGATGTGTACTTGCGTGTTTTTGTGAGTGTTTATTTAGAGCAGAAGTCACTTTGCAGATGGAGGTAATTATACTGTATCACTTTCGGCTTATAACCCTTAAATGTGTGTGTTTGGACCCTTTTCCTTCATGAACACTAGACGTGCGTGTGTGTGTACGTGTGCTATAGTGTGTGTTGTGCTGTGTCCTTATAAATCCAGCCCTGATCTCTCATGGTCACATACTGTATGCCCTCGCTGTTCGGTTTCCCTCACAGACACAAACATCACGCACACACAATCTGTTTACTTGGATGCCCTTCACCTGGCTTAACCACCATTTAAGTCTAGACCTTGAGATAATTGGCTTAACAGACCTTTACACAAGATTGGGTCATGGTATTGAAATTATCTGTTTATTATTTGTATTTTTTTTTCCCTCTGAAGCCGCCCTCTTTGTGTGTGTGATTTTATTTCCCAACCCTCTGCCTCCTTGTCATCGTCTGTGTTTGTCTCTCCGTCTGTGTTTTTGCCGTCCATAGCAGAGACCTTCTAGAGTAAACCAAGGCAGACTGAGTGTTGTGTCGTGTTTATAGTATCTCTTTGCCTTTATTGCTTTAGCATGGAGGAAGAGCTGTTGCCAGGGCAACTGTAGCTTTGAATGGGATTGGGGTGGCCATGGGAATTGATGGTACATTTCTAGACCATGCTGCTAATTAAATGTAATAACTGAAAAGTGACGTCTCGGTTTATTTAAACCAGACTCGTTCCACACTAATCATTTTTTCTCCCCCTCCTCTCCGTCTCTACAGTGAATGACTTTACGGTGATCCGGAAAAAGTTCAAGTGCCCCTACTGCAGTTTCTCTGCTATGCACCAGTGCATCTTAAAGAGGCATATGCGCTCCCACACCGGCGAGAGGCCCTACCCCTGTGAAATCTGTGGCAAGAAGTTCACCAGGAGGGAGCACATGAAGAGGCACACACTGGTGAGTACAGAACAGTCACCAGCAGGAGGCAGTAAGCAACACTGAGAGTGTTTAGATCAGCGGTTCTCAAGTCCAGTCCTTGAGGCCCACTGTCCTGCTCCAACACACCTGATTCAAATGATCAGCTCGTTACAGAGCTTGATAACGAGCTGATCATTTGAATCAGGTGTGTTGGAGCAGGGAACATCCAAAACATGCAGGACAGTGGGCCTCGAGGACTGGACTTGAGAACCACTGGTTTAGATAATAAAAGTAGCCACTACGTTACCCAGCGGTTTGTTGAACTGCCTCAAATTTAGTTTGTTTGGCACCGGACTGTAGACTTCTTTACAGCCGCCCTGAAGGTTATCAAACACAAAAATGTTTCTTGAAACTTTTCATAAAACTTTTTGGCAATGCTCTATAATATATCAAGATCCTGAATTTAAGTATTCACAAATAGTTTAAAAGTTTTGTTCCACTAATAAGTGTTTAAAAATGTTATTTAATGCATTATTCACACACGTATTATTGCTTAGGGTTAGGGTTAAACTTCTGATTAGAATGGATGTTTATTAACATTAACCAGACTTTATATGGGTAAATTTAAGATGAATTGACATTCATTAAAAATTTTAACCACACTTGCAAGAACTCTTGACCAATAACAATGAAAACGACATCATAAAAGGTTTAATTAGTTATTTAACTTACCAAATATAACTGTATTATCCTTTGTTGAAATCATAACTAACATTTTCACTCATAAGCTCCCTGCAGGGAATTCACTGAATCTTAACAATAATTAAAACAATTTAATTTAAATTTTGATTTAAATTTAATTTTGTTTTATATGAGTAAGACTATAAACAGTTAAGATGAAGGATCAATGTAAAAATCCTTTATAATGCACTTTTTAACATCTAACACTCCTTTACACCTATACTAACACTTATTAATAATTATAAGCCTCTTAAGGGTTTATACCTCTCTTATAAGCCTCACAAGGTCTCACAAGTTGCTAAGTTACTAATAATTAATGCTTGTTACATGGACCTTTATGTAAGGTATTATTAAATTATTATCCAAGACGTAAAGACATGTCATGGAACTTAAAACAATTCACCAATCACAACTTTTCACAACTTTTCACTAAATCTAGAGGTCTCACACAAAAGGTGTAAGGCTAAGCAACCTGGAGTGGCTGATATTGACACTAAAACACAGTAAAAACACAAACAAACAAACACAATAAAACAGTTTCAGTGACTGAATCAGCTGCTTGAATGTGTAACATGTGTGTGACCAGGTTGTCCTTAGCACCAATCTTGCTATTAAGAGTTAAGAGCCATTTTTTAATTGGGTTTTGACCAATCAGAATTAATAAGAATCAAGAAAATAATGCAACCAGATGACAAGTGCTGACAAACACCAAAACAGTAATTTTGTACCAGGCTGTTGAGTGTTCACTGCAATCGTGAAACTTGGGTTTGACTCTTTTTCTGGGTCTGCCTCCAGTGGTCACCTGAGGAACTGCAGTGTTTGGTACTCTATTTCTGACCTCTAGGGGTTGCCTCTTGCAGTGATCCACAGAGTAGATGTGGGCTAAAACTGTGTTTTCTGTCCCACAGGTCCACAGCAAAGACAAGAAGTATGTATGTAAAGTCTGCAGCCGTGTCTTCATGTCGGCAGCCAGTGTGGGGATCAAACACGGCTCTCGGCGACACGGCGTCTGTGCCGACTGCTCCGGCCGGGGCATGGCCGCCCTGCTGGACCACAACGGGGAAGTGGGAGGAGACATCTCCCCGGAGGAGGAGCTGTATCCCGGTGACCGTTTCCATGATGACCAGGCGGAGTGCGACGGTGATGGCGAAGGAGAGGAGGAGATGATGGTGGAAGGGGACGGGGAGATGATAGGAGAGGGCGAGGAAGAGGGAGGAGGAGGAGGAGGTGGTGGAGGTGGAGGAGGGGGAAAGTGGAAGGACTCAGGGATAGGGGCTGAGGCGCACAGAGCACTGGACAATGAGAAAGAGGAGAGCGACTCTTCGGCACAGGAAGGGGAGCAGCAGAACGGGAGCGAGAGGGACTTCGCCTGGATCTCCTAGAATCTTCTGGGCTCCCGTTAGCGGCTCCTTTGACCAATCTCTGAAGATCTTTCACGATCTTTCGGGCAGAAACATCTGCTCTCTTTACCCACTCGTCCCAGCGTGGGCAGGCCTTCCTTTGAACGGAAACGCCGTGGGGTGATGCGCGACAATGATCTCAAACATACACACGCACACAGACACACACACACACACACTTAGGCCATTCTCAACACTGACTGCCATAGTTGAAGAAGAAATGGTGAAGAGATGGCTCGAGTGCAAGGCTTTTTCCGCTTACCTCCTTTACTTCTGATGCAGTGTTTTGTGTTTCTTTTTCTCGAGGGTTCAGGCCAGAGTCCAGTAGTTTTCTACTCTGTCACAACAGGAATCAACGAGGACGCTGCCAAGGACGTTGAGACTGCAACTTTGTATGTCTGCCATCACAATCACCATGGAAACCAAGGATCACTGACAGTGTGGGGAAATAGCCAGAAAGGGAAGGGAAGGCTGAAAAAAAAAGAGTCTCTCTGTGAGTAAAGAGGGGAATCTAAAATCTATTGCAATGCTTCGTGTGTCAGAGGAGCAGGCGGCCCAACGGCACATTGTTGATGCAGAGTCCTACTGCCACAGACTTGCACTTTAACGACAACTGACTCGTATCAAAGCCCTGAACCCGTGGTTTACATTTTTGATCTGACCTTTGCTTACCTAAAACAACTCGGTGACCGCACCTACCTTTAAGGATATACCATATGTCCTCTTGACTGTTATCACGATATAGAAATCACTGAATCTTTGTGCAGATTGCTGTTTATAGAGCCTATGCCTTTCAGTGGGGTCCTTAATCTTTTCTTCGCTTAAGTTTACCACACGGTTTCTCTTAATCCATTCCAACAAGAGGGAACTAATGTACATACAGTTTTTGGGACTTTTGGGAGAAAGGTGTGTGAGACAGAGAGAGATGGAAAGAGACTTTTACAGTGTATGAATCTCTTGGACTCCAACTTCTGCGTCCATGTTTGGGAAGTCAACACAAGCACACATTTAATCCACATAAACGTACACTTTCGAACTCTTTCCGTCTCTCTCAGCTCAGTCTCTGGTGCAGTTTCTTGTGATGATCGGACCTAAGGAGGATCAGCCTTTGTTTTATAAAAAAACGGTTTCCTTTTTTTTTCTGTTTTCTTTTCTTCTCGGTCAGTCATGTTATTCCAGTTTGATCAGTACAGAATATGCAGACTATTTCTACGGTTTTATCTTTCTTTGGTGGTATATTTTCTCTCTGGCTTTGTAAGGTTAAAAGAAGAGGATCAAAAATTGTGCTTGAACTTCGTAGAGTATTTGTTTTGTTTTAACAGCTATTTATTATATAAAAAAAAAAACAAGTGTGTGATGCCTAATTTTTTTTTAGGAGTCATTCCTTCTTTCATGTTTGTGTGCGCATGTGTGTGTGTGTAGGTTTGTGTGGACGGGCTGGATGTTTGTGTGCAAGAATGTCTGAGCGTGCAGTGTCCAAAAAAGTCTATATTGATTTCTTCAGATTATTTCCTTGTTTTGGCGATGTTATTGACAATTCAAGTGAGGCAGATGACGTCTTATTATGAGTATCAGAACTATGATTATTGTTGTTGATGTTCCTATTATTATTATTAATTATTAAGTGCTGGATGCTAAGCTTTATTGTGTGTTCTTTTTTGATATTTCATATCTTGTATAAGAAAAAAAAGCTTTTATACTTTGCCTTGTTGTGGACAGCAAGCCATGGGGCTTTTATCAAACCTTTTATTGTGCCAGTTTACGCTTTCTCTGTTGTATTTGCTTTTTCTTTTTTCTTTTTATGAAGGGGAATCTTCACTGTCAAACCTCTCTGTTAAATATTGATTGAAACATATATTCCGCACACGCTTTTTTTGCATCACTAATGTACACTAATTGATGAATATGGAACCAAAAACAATCTAGTACCTTGTATACATGAAGTGCTTTTGTTTCACAGTCTTTGTGTGCAGGTGGTTTTTTGGATTTATTGCTGTGGTTAACCAGTTTTTTCTCGTTGGGTTGTTTTTACTTTTTTGAACCTGTCACTATTTGTCACAGTTATAAAAAAAAAAAAAGTGCACATGTTACGGTGTTGTGAATATGAAGGGCTGTGTGAAAGGACCGGCTACATTTAGAGGACAGCTTCTTTAATTTGTTATCCCTCCTTTCTTACTGTGTCACACCTCGCATGAAATACAATCAAGCAGAAATTCAGCATGCAGATGAAACTGAAACTCTTGTGTGTTGAGTCTACATGCTGTGTTTCTAGCTGCCGGTGCTTTACTGGCTTGACTCTCGATTATTTCCACAGTGGGAAAGTGAGCACTGCAGCAGTTAACTCTGGGAAACAATTTGTTGCAAGTGCTGGTTGCACACATCAGCTGCCATGGACTGCACTTCCCATTATCCCCCCAGAAGCTCTCAGTACAATCTGATTCTTTCATGTCTGGCGAATGTCTTTACTTTATTTGTATTATTTATTCTGCTTCTGTTTGACCCCTCGAATCAAATAGTTGTGATTTTAGGTTTTAAAGAAAAAAGAAGAAAGACAATGGAGTAGGATTTTTTAATGAATGTCAATGGTGGGTGTGGAAGGAGCCCATGATCGGTGACAAATCTCTGTCCTGTGGTGCTGTTTGAGACCACTGAGAGACATGTGGATGAATGTGACTCCCTGGCCCTGCGCTCTTCTCACAACCTGTACTGTACGTCTTCTTCCTCATAACCGGGTTGTAACTTCAGGAAAAAAAATGTCCGCCATCAACCCCTCAATATGTGCCTCAATGACATTTCACCTTGTGTGCTTGTGAGTGTTTTCCGAGCGATGTGCGTCTGTGTTTAGACGGATAGAGATTTTACTAAAAATAAAAAAGAAGAAAAATGAAAAAAAAAGCGACTGATCAGATTAGAGGTGCAAAAAGTTTTTTTTGAGGATAAAACTTCAAAAAGACAAATCATGATGGGCGACTCGATTCTCCTTCCCACGGTGTGTTTAATAACCTTTTGTGCCCTGATTCTGTGGTCTTAACTGCATGCCTGTGCTCATTTTGTCATACCAAAGCGACGTCTTCGGCATCTGCACTCAACTGTCTCATTCCACACGATGCAAAACTGGAACTGTTTTCTCTCTTTGCAGATGAATATGGGTATTCTTAGACGTGTACAAATTGCAATCCTCATTTAGCCTGTATAGCTTGATTCACACGTGCAAATCATGAAGCCATAGATATGGGTATATCTATATTATACTATATTTCAAAATTGGCGCTTTTTACTTTAGATTTTGTTCTTCTACTAAGAGTGATGTGTGCATACCTTCATATATATGAATTTATATTACTATTATATATTATTTATTTCTCTCTCAAGTTTCAGAGGGGCTTTGATTTGTAAAAGGTCGCACTTGAAGCTTGAGCTTTGTTTATTTTCATTGGGAATATTGCTCAATATGATACTGACTTTATATTGATGATTATCATGAACCTGTGTTTGTAACAAAAATGTGTTAAATAATCCAAAAAAAAAAAAAAAAAAAAAAAACTGTCCTGTTTTTACACCTGTTTTGTTTCAGGCAGATTTAAGTGCTCTTGTGCAGTTTTTTTTTTCTTTCTTTTTTTTTTTTTTTCTTTTTTTTGTCAAACATTTTTACAGCCAACCATGAGCCTCCTGTTTTTGATGTTGGGGTAGGCCCGGCGGCCGCGCAAGCCTCTTTCTAACTACATGTTTAGTGGAAGAATTAGCTTGACTATTATTTGCAAAAACCAATCAGTCTCAATAAATTTTGAAATTGCTGCTGTAAAGAAGTGACCAACATGTGTGCTGTGCCTTTTTTTTCTTCTCTGATGTCTTACAACGCCTGCCGACAGCCACAAGGGGGCAGAAAAGACAAGTCAAAGCGAGCAGACACAAAGGCGTGAGTCCTGTGTATCGATCAGACTCTTCCTTCAAACATCCTGCACTCATTCATCCACAGGGATCCTTTTTTTTCCTCTTTATTTAAAGGGCGAATGAAGGCTCTGATAGCTGTCTTCTTCTTCCATTCAGGTTTATTTTCTTTCCATCACATTACATCACATAGATCACATTATCAGCATCATACATGGTCATCCATCTTTTTCCAAGCACTAGTTATAGGCTTGACATTCACACAAATACTCCTTGAGTGCACCACTCCTCACAAAGTGCTTTCTCCGTGTGCGTGGGACCGCTGATGAAGAGCAGAGGCAGAGCCCACACACAGGAGAAATCTTGCCCTCCAGTGAAGACCCAAGGCTGATGTCATGTTTTTCTTCAAAACGCATTACGCTTTGTGGGTGTGTGTGTGTGTCGGGGTTGTGACGAGCGTTTTCTTTAACTTTTTTTTTAAAGGACAACAAGTATCAGCCTTGGGTTATCAAGATTCTGAAAGGGGAAATCGAACACATTAAACCCTTCAGTGTTTTATCTCCTATTACAAAAAAAAGAAACATGGGGGGAAAAAATCAGCGATGCTGGACATGCAAAACAACCTCAAACTCAACCAGACAATCAATCAATAAGAAAAAACAAGCAAAAGTCAGTTTTCACACCAGCCAATGTAAGGCTCAGTAAAAACAAAACAAGGAGGAAAAAAAGGTCATTAAAAGAAAAAAAAAGAGATGTGACTGACAGAGGGTAAAAGCTGGACAAACAATAAAAGCAGAGAAGAAAAGGAAGAGAAGAAGAAGAAGCAGAGGACTGAGTGGAGCTGCCATTTCAATGCATTACATTACATTTGATTTGGAAGGAGATCTATTGGCTTTGCTGCTGCTGGTTTACACACAAATGAAAACTGACATTCAAGAAAGCAGCACATACACTTTTTTTTTTTTGACATATGTGGAAAAAATATATATATGAAGGCTTTTTTTTATGCACATTTCAAGGGTTTAGTTTAGCTTAATATACTGGGTAAAGGCTTGGGTGGGACCACAGTAAAGCTGAAGGGCACGAGAAAGAGGAAAAAGGAACAAAGTGATCAGCGAAGGAAACGAAGGGAAGACACTAAAAAAAGCGTGCTGTCTGTTGGAATGTGCAGGGCAGGATAAAGATTCCCACAAGGTTTATATTTCATCATGACCGAAAGAGGTCGAAGGTTATCCTGCCTAACAACAACTAAACCTCACAACCACAAACAACAACCACACATGTTCAGAAAAACAAAAACAAAAAAATAAAATCGGACTATTTGGCAGGGAGAAGGACAAACATTAAAGAGTGTGAGCGAGAAGCCTGGATGTCACCAAAAGCTCAAGTTAGTTCTTGTTCCATTATAAAGCATCTCATTGCACAGAGTATAAGATAGTAAAGCAATACTGCATGGTTGTGTTATTTGATATGACTTAGCAGTGTGGCGACAGCTGTCTGTGGGTGTTAAAAAAAAAAAAGTTTTGGATACCAAAATCATTACCGGTTCACTACAGGCAGTACAAACTAGCCAGCAAAAAGCAACAACAACAAAAATGTTTCTTTCTGTGGGTTTTACATTCATCGGGTTTTTTGTTTTTTCTCCCCTTTGCCTCTAAGCTACAATATACATTGAATTTTTACGTGTTATGTTCACTATAGCTTCTCAATGGATTTTTTTTTTTTTTTAAAGAAAGAAAATATTCTGAGCAACTATATAATGTAAAAAAAATCATATAACAAGATACAACGACAAAGAAAAACAATATATGAAAAAAACAAAAAAGCCTCACGGTTCTCTTTATGTTGCATATGTACAAGAAAGCCCTGAAACGGCAAATCCATCTACATCGTCACTGCGTGTCGTGTGTTTCCACTGATTTCCCTGCTTGGCCATCAACTCAGCTTCCATCTCTACCCCTCATTTTGAAAAACAAAGTTGATCCAGTCTTAGAAATTCCTCTTTTAAGATGTCTTATCTTAAATCTGGTCTTCCTGGCCGTAACGTCCCCCATCACTGCTGCACTTCTGAGTCAAACTTCTGATGACACAACTCGGGCTCTGATAGTCACGGGTCAGTTTTAGTGCAACTTAAGAAACGGTGGAAAAGCGGGAACCTGTCGGCTTTTAACGCTAACAATCAGGTTCAGCCTCTGACCCTGCCGGTGGAATCTAAAAGTGCTTACACTGAGGATGGAGAGAGATCTGACGGGCTGCATGTGACGCTTAATCAACAACCAAAACCAGAGATTAAACAGAATGCAAAGTGGTATCCAGCACTATTACAAAAAAAACAAAGTATCTACACAGTTACTACATCAGCTCAGTAAAATGTTAACAAGCAGGAACCTGTTTTTATGTGAGTGGAGGAAGCACAAAGAAGAGATTATGGGTAAAAAGTGTGTGAGTATTGTGAAAATCCAGATAAAAACAGTGTAAAAGCATTGATTACCAAGTCAATGATGTGCAGCCTGAGACTGTATGGAAAGATGGACGGTACGACAGCTCCCACAAATTGAAGCCAAAACATTAGATCCTCCTTATTGAATGGCTGCAGTAGATCATAAAATCACCCTCCTTCAGTCGAAAAAAATGCGTTAAAGGAATTTTACTCAATTGTAACGTCAATTATCGTGTTTTGTAATGCTATGATTGACAGCTCTGATGACTTTAATCCGAGCTAACCTGTTAGCTAATGGGTGTCAAATGGGTGTTTTGGTTTTGCTGAAACATCACAGCTGTTATCTTCATCATGTAACAGATCATTTTGCAAGATTTGGGCATCGCTTTTGCATCGTGGAGTCGTGTCTTCCATCTTTAGATACAGTCAGCGCCACAGAGACGGGTGTTTTCCAATCACTGATGAAAAGCAGGTGCTGTGACCAACTACCTTAGTACCACGCCGTACTTCTCAGTACCACACCTCTGAAACAGCCAGCACCACAATGATGAGTACAATCAATCTGAAACAGAGAACTTTAGCTGTCAATATCACTTCCCAACAACGGGGGGGACCCCAGAGGTACAAAACCTTTATATCCCTGAAACGCCATTTTTTTTCCAATCAGGCAGTGACGATACCCTCGGAAATAACAGAATATCCTCTCACTTCAAAATTTGTGTATATAAAACGTCCATGTATAAAACACATCTTTGTGCAGTGCAACGTAGTGCAAATTTTTTTTCAGGTCAGTACACCTTTTCCTTTTTATGTTCATGTCATTGGCACTTTGTGAAGTTTCTGACCGGAAGAAGCCTCTCAGACACGAGAGAGAGAGAGAAAGAGAGAGAGAGAGAGAGACCTAGCTTATCTGGGATGCTGCTGGGATAAACCATTTACAGGCAGGATCATTCATTTTCAAAATAAAATGTTGTCTATTTTAACAAGAACTGAATGAGATATTTTCACTGCGTATATGTGCTTAACATTTTAAGCCAATTGACTCTCAGCCACCAATTAACACTCAGGCGTGTGGAGAAGTGATAACTGGTTGCCTATCAGCCGCCAACAGACAGCATTAGTGACCCTGTGGCGACAAAGGACAGCACAGGTGTTTCTATGGCGACAGAGGTCTAGGGGCGCACTGTACCCCGGTTACTAAGTCAGTCTGCTTATATAGGAGATAGAAGGCACAGTGTGTGTGTGTGTGTGTGTGTTTGTGTATGTGTGTGTGTGGTCACATGTTTCAGATCAGTGTCAGGAGAGCTAAAGAGAGCAGAGGACACACAGCAGAGCCTACGTCAAAAAAGCCACAACAAACTGCACAGGGGTGAAACTCATCCGAAATATACATCTACTGTCATGACTCGCCCTCCAGAGCAGACCGAGGAACATACCTTTCAAAAAAATATCAATGTTTGGGATTCGCTTCTTGTACAAATTTAGGCTCTTTTGCTGAAAATTCTGGGATATAAATGGACTATTCTTGCGTTAACAGGAGGTAGCTTAGAGCCCAGAAAGTAAAAGATCAGGTGTATTTTGATCAAAACTTAAACCGAGCAGACTTGGAGTAAGTGCAGAACAACTCTGGGTCAGCAATCATTTCTATTTTGAGACGACGAATATGTAGTTTTGTCCTGCAATCTTTTATAAGTTTTCCATTAAGTAGATTCTAAATCAATGTTTCACAGAGTTTTATATTCTAATTCAATCAATTTTGAGATCAAACCATGAAGAAGAATGAAGAAGAATTCAGTGTGTTCTTCGCTTTTACTCTTGCCAATTTTACTACAAATGGTTTTCTTTAAAAAAAACAGATAGGGAATGTAGCAAAACATACTATTTCTAACCATCTAAAACTTTACCATCTACAGGTTTCGAAAGCTAACCCATCATTTGGAACAACAGGGCTCTAAAAATCTAAACTACACTTTGGTAAAATACGTCGAACCTTTTCTCAGACACTTACTTTTTTTAGTCTGATTTTTCATCACTTAATTTAGATCCAAGTGTCTGATTATTCCACTGAATTTAAAATTCAAAATGAAAACTAGAGAAAAGACATTTTGGGTCCTATAAAAGTGGATCTTGTATCGCTGGTTTGTAAAAGTATTTCAGATCGAATAACCGCTCCTGTTTAAGCTGAAAAATGATGAATCAAAAATGCCTGACTTCAAATCAGGTAGTGATTGGTGGGTTACAATCTGGGTTCGTTCACTAAAATAGAGAAACGGCATTAGCCAAAATGTGTATTAAAGTTTCAAAAGGCTGTCTCATTCATTGGGGTAAACAATCTCTTTAAGCACATCAGCTATCAAAAGGGGAAAAAATGGAGCATTGACTCACCTTAACAACAATGACGACCACAAAGCGAGAAAGACAAAGTTAAATGCTGTAATTTCGCCGATTGCACAGTGCAACTACTAGTTGCTTCAGCATGTCACTGCTGAAAATAAAGTCTTGAAAAAAAAAAAACACATCCCCCCTCTCTCTCAGACATATGCTGTAGTTTACAGTGATTCTCTAAAAGACGACTTTTATCTTCAAGGTGCGTGTATTTAGGGTGTAAGTGAAGAGAAGAGGAGCAGGAAGTATTTCTCATCGATCACCTACATCTCCAAAATATTTTGGATAAAGTCAAGGGGGAAACTTTTTTGTACCACTTGGTGTGAAGGTTTTGTGCATTTATTTCAAAACTGTGTAAGAATAGCTGGTTGTGTTGGATTTGATTTATAAACGGGTAGTTGATGGGATTCAGTATGGACTTGGACATGCTGATCATATCCAGGAAGGCTGATATTGATACTGTTGGTTGAAAGGAAACAGGCGTTGTGCCTTTGGTAGGTCTGAAAGTCCCTTAAACTGTAACAAAACAATGGATATGCTACAGAGGTCTCACTGAGCAATTCTGGTGTTACACCTTAGACTTCCAAAAAGAGTCATGATCCACCCCATAAACAGCAGATTACAAGATGATCCTATACTGAACAGAGTATAACAAAAAGCTTATCTTGAGTCTCTTGACAAAGCCTTGAATCGAGGCTGTGAAAAATGGCGAGTGAAAAAAAAAACACAAAATCAAATCAGTATCCAAATTCTTTTTTTTTTTCTTTTCTTCAGTCTTAAAAAAAAAGTCTCCTAACCTGCATAAAAGTTCTTTTTTTTCTTGCTGATTTTCTTTTTGTTTCTTTTTTTACCAACCAGTTTTATTTTTTTTTCTTTCTTTGTGTTTGGAAAAAAGGAAAAACAGAGAAGGCGAAAACCCGTGCTGGGTTTAGAGGAAGCAGCAGTGAGAGCTCCATGGTGATGAAATCTCCCCTCGTCTCCTCGGTGGAAGAGTCCACCTCGCTGTCGCTCCAAGTCGGGAAGAGCTCATCTCGCAGACGGCGGAAAAGGGGGACAGGATTAGTCGGTGAATCTCTGACAGGCTTTTTTCCAGCGACAGGCTGTGCACCACATGTCTCTTTTCTCCATGCCATACACCTTTCGGCACTTCTTTGCCTCCCCACGGGGTTTCCTTGGTAACAGCAGATGTGACAGCATAAGGACATGCACACACAGACATCCAGACGCCCACATGGGCATAAAAACACACATATATGTGCAGCCACGCAAAGAGGCGGATAAATGTGTTCATGGGCATGTGGAAACGGGATCAGGGTCACAAGAACACACAAGAATTTCCTCATGACAACTCATCTTTAAGAGCAATGGTTGTTTAACTTGACTCTTGGTCGTCTTTTAATGCAATCTAATATCAGACATGCTGTGATCAGAGTTCAGGGGTTCTGGCTGAGGTTTTCGAGTGTGTGATGTGACTCTGAAATAAGCATGTCGCTGCTTTAATATAAGAATTGACATGTCCTGTATTTGATTCACAGAGTAATATTCAATTCATCATGAAAGCTACAAACAAAGCAGCAGTGATGTGGAGAAAAAATTAAGTAAGATAAATTAACATTTTTTTTTTTTAATCTCAAACTCAGACCCACATATTGAATCTCTAAACACGAGTAGATCAATAGTATTGGACTCATTTGTTACACATACCTGGTTCCTGGTGCTGATTTAGGAGCCTGTGTTGTGACCGCGTGGTTCTTGTTGACAGTGGTGTGTGTGCTGGCGGCCGGCTGCCTCTTCTCACCGATGCTGACTGTCCGTACATGAGTCACAGGGCCCTACGAAACGCCGAGACATCATAATTATTACATTTTATAGCCATACAGTGTGTTTCAACCTTATAATAAAAGCTGACAGATGAGTCAAAGAACACAGCTTTAATTCTAGACTTGTCTGACCAACATAAAAAGCGATTTGCTTTTACTTCTTAAACAACCCCTTCAATGACTTCTCTCTTATACTTTAACCAGCTTTGTGTTGATGTAATTTCTAAAGACACAACATACTTGCTCGTCTTACACATTCTCCAGATGTTGGTACGAGTAATGTTTTCTGCAATACAACCAGATGAGACAGAAACCAGAAAATCACAGGCAAAACACCCGCTGTAGAGGTCATACATACAGCCATAAGTGTCATGATATGTTTTCGGTTTTAGTTTTCCCCTGGTTTTCTTATCTAAGTGTATTTTTCCTAGTGTTCCTGTTCGCCTGTGATCCTTCATTGTGAGTCTGACTTTGTTTCCCTCATGTTCTCAGCGTTTTATTCTTTTTAATCATTTTTCAGTGTTTCCTGTTTTATTTTGTAGAACTTAATTCCCTGTGTTTCTCTTCTTATTTACTTCCTCAGTTTTCCCTCCTCTGTGATTGTCTGCACCTGTGTCTCGTTAGTCTCACCTGCCTCTCGTTGCTCGTTTCCTTGTGTGTCTATATAGTCCTTGTCTTCCCCTGTTTCTTGTTGGTTCATTGTGTGTTTGTCAAGGTGTGTATATGCCTTGTGATTTTTGTCCCCCAGTGCCTTGGTTGGACAATTTGGGGAATCAGTTTTTGTTGCCTTTCGTTTAGTTATTTTAAATAAGTCTTTTTTTTTTTTGTTCTGCATTTGGGTCCTTTTTTCTTTCATCACTCATAAGGGCGTTTTTAAAAGGTTACAGGTCTGCTGCTTATGATTACACTTGCTAAAATCAAGTTTAGACGTCAGTCAGCACTTCCGCCTATAACTGACAACACTGTCTTCTTAACGCAGTACTTTAAGGTCTACAAAAAATCAGAACCACGGATCAAAAAATATATAAAATTCTTCTCCTTTTTTTTCCTACAACCAATAGAGCTCATATTACACGTGTTTTGTGTCCCTGCAGTGGTTGCCTGCGAGTTGTGTTATTGATTTTAAGATCCTTTTATTAGTGTGTAAATTTTTAAAGAGTTCTGTGCCTGCAGACATCTGTATTTTTTTCACAGTATGTTACCCCCAGATCCCTAAGGTCCTCAGACTGTTTCCTGGTGTCCCATGTTTTAAAACAGTGATTTTGCCAAGAGGTCCCATTAGCTATTATGATTCCTCTCTTTTTAAAACCATTTTATGTTGTTGTTGAAGCTTTTCAACATTATACTACATGTTTTATTCTACCAACTTAATGGTGTAGAGGGGTTGTGCAGCCCTGATTTTTTGATTTTAGGTGTTTTATCTTAAGTAGATGTGATACGCTCTCAGTTAGGGCTGGGCGATAAACCAAAGATTTACCAATACCGAAATTTATGACAATAACCAAGGTCATTTTGCCCATGTCAACACATTCAGTCTTTAAAACAAATAAAGCAAAGTTGGTTTCAGTGTTGTTTTCGTTGACGATGACGTTGACGAAATATTTTTGCAGATTATATGTTTAGCGTTTGACGAAATGCTCATGAATTTTGCAACTCTGTTCGTCGTCCACCACTAACGTTTTCATCTAGTCTTGTCTCGTCAACATAAACGCACTCGTCATACTCGTCTCGTCACATTTTAGTCATCTAAGACTTATGTTTAGCTCATCAACGTCATGTCATCGTCGTGGAAAAAAAGGGGCGTTGGCGAAATATTTTCGTCGACGGAAACAACACTGGTTGGTTTTGGATGTGTGTAGGTAGGCTATGGTTTCATGTCCCTATCCAGTCTGTAAAAAAGAGGGAAAGACAGGTGAGGAGATGGAGGACGGTTCAAAAGTTGTTGCGGTTGGAGCGGCGGCTGAAGTAGACAGAGTTAATGTGGGAGGGGGTGAGCAGCCTGTGGAGTAGTTATCGTCCATTTATCGTTATCAAGGTGAACTGCTCAATATATTGTGATATTGATTTGAGGCCATATCGCCCAGCCCTACTCTGTGTGTAAAAAAAGATGATGGTATTAAGAAGCAGGTGAGTAAAAAACAAAAAAATCAGAGTGACATCAGGCTGGAAAAAAAGCAACAAGTGGAAACAGAAAGATTTAAAAAAAGTAGGATTTAAAAGACAAAAAGGCCGTGAGACAAAGCCTCACTCACCGGAGCGCCTTTGAAAATGACAGGAGGGGACTGCCACGACACACTGATGCCATTTCCAGTCCCAATTCCAGGCCCGGTCCCATTAACACTGCCTAACTCAGCCAAATCAGGACCCACTGGGATACTCACTGGAGCAGTGGCCTGGAACATGGACATGCAGCCCGCCAAAGCCAGGAGAAGACACAACAGAGAAGAGGAGGAGGAGGAGGAGGAGGGAGAGGGCAAGAGCAGATAGAAAATGAGAGGCGAGATCAGAAAATTCAAAAAGAAAAATCATGTTTTGAGAAGAAACCTGCAGGCTGCTACGTTAGAAATCTGTTTTCTACACTCTGGTGGAAGAAAAGGAGGATATGCCAACAAAACTGTGTCTTACAAAGACAAAACGAGAGAAATTCAAGATTTTAAGACACTTGTAACACAAAACTGGCACAAAAAGATGGACAGAAAGAAGATCAAGTTAGCAGTGTCGAATAAGAGATTACAAGCAAAGAAAATAATCGACTGCAGGTATCGCAGTTCCATTTTGTATGCATCCTTTAAGGTCGTTTTATGAGGAATTTATGTTGTCATGGCAACTGAGCTCAATACAACAAATCACTCTGAATGAGTTGAATATTTTGAAGAGTTGTACTATATGTTTACCAAATGTGTTCTTCTGATGTAAGAAAACAGGTTTTCACCTTCAAGGGCATATAAATGAGGAACACGTGGATTTGAATAGTTGGAGGAAAGAAGTAGAAGAAGAAGTAGAAGTATGCATGGAGCTGCTAGAGAGTATTTAAAAAAGTTACGAGCAGGAATTTAAGCATGATTAAATCTTGTGACTCAAACTTGTTTGCCTGTAAAATATTCAGACTTAATTCTCTCTGTGACCTTATGCTAAAACTTTCTGGAAAGTTTGGTTGTCTTTCTCTCCCTCTTATAAACTCCCACACTAGTGTAGGAGTTAAGTAATTCAGCATGACCTAAGAGCTTTTTTTCCCACACCGATCTCAAACACTGCCTCTGCAGATTCAATGTAATCGAAAAATCTAAAACTTTGTGCCTTGAAAACACATTCTTGTTTTCTTGTTTGTTTTTTTGGCGTTGCAGATATATGAATTTTCAGAAATGATACGGCGAAGCGTTCGTTACCTGGTAGGCATGGTCAGTGCGGATGTGGCAGAGCGTGGAGGGAGCTGACTGGCTGAGCAGTGAGGGGGCGTGGCTCTGTGATCCGTTCATCATCATGTTGATGTGTTCAGAGTGAGGGAGCTCGGTGAGCGGCGGAGGGAAGACAGGTGGAGGACCGGCCGTGGTAGGAGAGGTGGGAGTGAGGCTGGACAGGCCCTCGGTCAGGCTGTCCATGTTGACCTCGATCTCTGAGTAGTAGAAGTCCTCCTCGCCGTCGCTGTAGTCTGAGTCGCTGTTTCGCCTGTGGGATTGGAAACACAACCACTTAATAACAACTTCTTCTCCCTTCACAGAGATGATTTAACCTCCTGTTTAATATATTTAATTTCTGATATTGTTTGTGCTTATTTCTTAGCTCTGTTTGCTACAATACTTGTGTGTGCTTCTGGCTGTATGATCCTCTTTTACTCTCTCTTGCTGTCTTCATGTTATGTCTGCATGTTAGTGTTATCCATGAGCTTTTGCTATGCCATATGTCAGACTTCCTACCTGTTTTACTTGTTACAATTAGCTTTTATTAAGTAGATTGTTATGTTTAGTTGTGTTTTAAAGAATTTAATTGTAGAGATGCACCTATCAATTTTTTTCCGATCCAATCCGATATGGATACCTGGGCTGAGCCAATCAGCCAATATCCGACACCAACGCTAGATTGGCGTCATAAATCAGATATCCGATCCAGTTAATTTGTCAATATCGGAGCAGATATCCGACCCAAATATCAGATCGGTGCATCCCTATTTAATTGTTGCCCCTTTTTGGTTTTTAGGTTGCCTTTAATGGACGAAAACTAGCCTTACTGGCTAACTCTGGCTCACTTAGTTTTTATTTTAACTCTGTTGATTAGTGGTGAACTGTCCCTGTGAAATAAACCAAAAAATAAATAAAATAAAGCCTTGTGGAGTTATTGAATAACTTGAATAAAGTCTGACTTATCTGACTGTTTTGTTTGGCTTAATGTGCTTTATAATCCGGTGCGCCTTATAGTGCGAAAAATACGGTATCAGTTTAATTTTTTAAGTTTTCATAAAACAGCATTGGATCTCTTCAACTTTAATTCAAGCTTATTTAGAAAAACTCTGTATAAATCATTTCTATGTCCATTTTCCTCCCATTTCATACCTGTAAACAAAGTTGATAAGAAATGCTTTGCACCCCATATATAAAACTTCTCCAAGATGTGATTTTGTGGCTCAGATGAATTAATTCTGCACCTTTTTTTTTTTCACACAAATTAAAATTCTTGATTTTTTGTTGTGATCTGTAACCATACAAGGGAAACTCATATATAAAGAATAAAAATACTTTAAATCTAGTATTTCAATAGACAACACTTGTGTATCAGTTCATGAAAAATCACATGAGGTTGTTACTTTTCTCAGCAGCAGGGGGCAGTGAAAGCCAGTGTGCTGCAGAGGGCCTGTAACGAACAGACTGTTGGTGAAATGTCAACAACGGTGGAGGAGATGCCTCTTTACTTGAAATCTGTTTGAGGTTAAACTAAAGCAGATGAAAGCTGCAGCAGCTCTCTCTCTCTCTTTTTTTTTTGGTTAATAGTTCAAATAAATCGTCATGGTTACAACCTCTTTCAAATCTAACCACAAAGTTTAAACTGCTTCATGAGTAATATGTGTATTATCCAGAGAGAGAACATGTGTTTCATGAGGTGATTATAGATCAGTAAGGTATTTTAATAAAGCTTAATTTTCCTTGATTTAAACAGCTGTTAAGTCCTCTTTTAAACCGTGAAACAAAAAAGTTTCAAGATGCATTTATTGTTTGGTTCTTTTTATCTCGACAAGAAGCAGTTTCGCATGTGCACGGAGGCGGTAAAACACATGTTCTGTACGGAAGATGTAAAAGCATACAGCTGGACAGGATCCAGGCTGTAAAAGTCAGATGTGTGTCACTTTTCTTCTGTTACCATAATCTCCGAATCAAAGTTTGACACTACCACCCCGAAGCTGCAGATAAAGATTATTTAAGCGCCGCCCACGCAGTGAAAGTCTTCCTTAAGTGTAAAACAAAGCCTGCAGTTCAATGAAAACAGATACATGTTATCAGTATCACTCCCAGCATTTACACACTCACTTCTTTCACCGACATCAACAAACAAGTAGCAACAAACTTTTAAACGATGTCAGTGTCATAATCAAGTTCGTCGGTGTGACTCATAGAGATCATCATATTGCCTTGTGGATATTTGCGTGGGTGTTTGTAGTGGTTCAGCTAAGAGAAGTCTAGATGCATAATAAACAAGTAGGCAACATGTCACGGGGAGAGGATTCTCTGAGGACCATGAAGAACTTTTCAATCTTCATCATTTCTCTAATATTTCTTTACATCAGTGAGCGATGAGAAGATCTTACTTACCCCAGGTGGACAGTGCGGATGTGTCGCTGGATCCCTGAGGAGGTGCTGAGGACCTTTTCACAGTTCTTCCACAAGCACTTGAACATCACCTTCATGGAGTTCTAAAAACACACAGTCACCACAAAAGCAGCGTGAGTCACACACACAACACACAACAGCTGATTTGGTTGATCTGAAAGTGTCATGATAATGCAGCGTGACTCAGAGAAAGAGTCACAAGACAAAACAAAGTGCAGGATAACAAACCAGATCTTTGGTATTATCTATTGATAAGTAGGGCTGATACAATAATGATATCGGATCAGCCAAAAAACAAATATCAGATTATCACGGCCTGCATCTAAAATCTCTGATATCAGTCCAGGGCTCGACAGTCCGACCATTTCACTCGCATTTGCGACTAAAAATAGATGTGTGCGAATTGTAAAATGTATTTAGGGGCACACGTGCGCATAAGAAAAATAGCTGAGGCAACAAATTATTTTTCATGTAAAAACCAAAGTGAAGTTGGTTTTAGGTTGGATATTTGGTGGACATTCACTGTGGATTTACCAGTGACTTCTCGCTTCTCTTCTACTCGCTGTAGACGTCAGGTGTTGAATAAGGGACCATCAATAAATTACCGGTTGATGTTCTCAGAAAGGGCTGTTTTCCTTTGATAGCTTAAGACCTTCAATTGATTTCAAATAATAGTACTGATGTCGACCAATAAGACAAAAATGATTTGATCAATTTTCATTGTGCCCTTAAAGTTCTTCGGAGTACATGTGCTCCTTGTGAAAAAAGTTAGTGTCAAGCCCTGCAGTCTATTCCAGACTCCACTCCAGCTAGCAGTACTAAGGTACAAAGGTACAAACAAAGTAGCAAGGAGTAGGAGTGATGTCGGCTGTGTGGCAGTATTTTTCGTTAAAGTCCGAGAAAGACATTGCAGCTGAGTGCAAAATTTGTCATGCACAAGTTTTTGCCAATATCTGATAAATATCGGTATCGGTCGATACTGAAGGCTACAATACTGGTATCATATCAGTCGTACAAAGGTTGTATCGGGACACCCCTATTGATAAGTTTGATTAATTCATTTCAGAATGTATTTAAGATGAAGAAATGCTAACAAGAAAGAAAAAACCTGTCAGTTGTGATAAACTTGACATACTGGGGGGTATTTCATGGGGAAATAAAGGTTTATTTTCACACACCCCCAAGTTGAATTTCACTGTCTGGCCCTAGAGAAAGGCCTTCATGGGGGATAGAGTACCACTCTACAAGGGGCCAAACACTACACCTCATTAGAAAGCTATTAGTGCACTAAGCCTGTAAAAATAGAAACCAGATATGTGACATGTTCAGACACACCAGGTAAAAGCAAAAGAGAGACAGACAGGTTCAGTGCAGGTTTGAAATTGTCCGGTGCATCTGTCCACCTGACAGGGCTTTCATTTTCACTGAAAGATTGATGAGTAGAACACACTGTATGTGTTTCCTGCTGTTTGTGCACGCTGTGAGCCGCAGCAAAAATCTATCAAACAGGAAATAGGTTCATGTGAGGGTGCAGCCAGGGGGCTGCCCCTAGTGTTTGACACATTCGAGGCTTCTGACAAAAATACAATGATACAGACATACATGTCAGCACACTGACCTCCTTTTAACTTTTGAACCTCAAAGGTAGCATTTGAAACGGGTGTTATGTCAGATCCGACTCAACTAGGATCCTACATTAAGCCTATGATAACCGAATGTTGATGGACTGATAGGAGAAGTGGGTGTTCCAGGATTTATTATATTTTCTCTTTTGCATATCAGGGTCTGGCAGCTGTCCCATGAGCAGGCAGAGACCTGCATCACCACCAATGAAAGAGACTGTAGGTGCGTACTCTCATTACCTTTTAACTGTGACTGTACTCAGAAGAGCAGGAACAGACAGAGAGAGAGAGAGAGACCGAGCCAAAGAAGGGAGAGTAGAACAGGTTTTTATCAATGGTCATGGTAACTCTGCCTTGCATTACTAGTTCTGTTTGACTTCCAAAAGCAACATGCTGTTAAATTGCTCAACTGCTGCTGGCTTTAACCCTGTTTCTCACCATCCTAATAAAAAAATGACACAGCAAACAAAGCTAGTCAATAATCCCGTAAACAATCACAAATCACTTAATCCCCTGGAGGTTTTTCTTGCTTCTTAAGACTGTTACAGTGAGACTGCCGATTACCATGTTTAATAATCTCCTTAACCCACTGCCTGCACAAAATCAAACCGCCTCCGATCCAAAGGGCAACCGTGCACGTCAAGGGTTCAGACATATGGGGTTGCCTTCGACTGAATATCGGCACGAAGCGAGCTCACGTTTTCGCCCTCCTCTCCAGAACTTATGTGAATGCATGTGTGCGTTTCCCCCCCAGTTTCATCCTCCTTAATTTCCTGTCTGCTTATCTATGGTATGGCATTGGTCTCTGGCAGCATGGTCTTTGGAGTCTTGATGGTTTTATATATTTAGCAGCTCAATAGTCTACACTGCAGCCCCACTCAAGAGAGATTGAATTGCTTACTCCCACATATTGTACAGTATATGAGCTCTCCTCTGTCTCCTCTGTAAAGATGAGGGTAATATTGAGATTCATTTCTCCTGCTGTTGCTGTTTTGTGTAAATTCCCCTTTTCTCCTCTGCACCCCGGAGTGTGACTGCCCTGATTTTGTGCATCCTTTGAACCTTTTGATACCTCCTACTGTTCATCCCTCTCTTCTCCTTCGCTCTAATTGAATCTCCCTGCCTCTCCCCCCTGAACAGACTGGAAAGAGGAAGAGGAAAAAAAAAAAACCTTTACAAGGAAAATACTTAACATCATGTACTGTTTCTATATGAGAAGGAGGGGAGGGGGGGATAAAAGAGAACATAATCCATCACCCACACAAGCAGAAGCAGACAGGTCTTATGTCAGAGCATTTTCACTGCATGGTGCGTCTGTGTTGCAATTGAGCGGAGTGGGTTTTCAGAGGTCTCTCCCCGCAGCTATGACAAAAGCGCCCAGAGTTGTTTTTCAACAAGAATGCCCATGAAGGATTGCTCAATGTTTACTCGGTTTTGGTTTAAGTTAAAAACGGGGTGGGCAGCATCTGCGGCTGCTGTGAAAAGTACAAAAAAACACAGCTGTGTCCAGAGATTTAGAGGAGTCGATTGCTTCATGTTTATAGCATGTTAGGTCAGACTGAAGACACTAAAAAAAATCAATGGAGCTCAATCAATGTTATGTCAAATATATGCTTCTAATTCAAAAGTTCGAAGTAAAGCTGCAGACAAGAAATAGATAAGATCCAAAACAGGTTTTTTTTTTTCACCTTTCGTTTACGGGGTATGGGGTCCTCAAACATGAAGTGTGTGCTCTCTGTGACATCCTCAATAACTTCGTCGCCCTGGGACGAGAGCAGGAAGATCTTGTTGGCATCGGTGGAAAGAGGCGGGGATGGCGTGGAGGGCACCGACTGGTCGCTGGTGTCCCAGCTCCAGTTGCCGCTGGTTGAGCTGCTGTAGCTGGCCGACAGCACCTCCTTCCAGGCCCTGCTGGCTGGCTCTGTGACTGCAAAATTCCAGAACACACACTATAAAGATAGGGTAGAAATGTTGTTTTTAGAAGCTGCAGACTGGTAGCTTTGGCAATTTTACTGATGGGTACTGTCAAAAAATTTGCTGACTTTGCGTCTTCCTCCCAAATTGCTAAGCGTATTTGGTTCTAGGGCTGGGCGATAAAACGATCATGATATATATCAAAACTTAATTTCCCTCTATTGATATAAAACATGGTCAATATGTTTTTTCATAGCCAGCATTCTGCTATGTTTTGGAATGCCTATGAAAAGGGGAGTTGCTCTGGGTAGTGCCGCGCTGAAACAATCATGTGCTGAATTAAAACAACTGTGTCGCAGCAGGTTGCAGCTACACGCAACCATAGCACTTTAACACGTGAAGCTGACAGCACTGTGGGTGAGAAAAAAAAGATAATGAGTGCTACCCCCGGCAGAAATTCATATGAAGGCTCAACAGATGATGACATTGTCCACAACAATGGCAGGAAAACGTCTGTGGTGAGGAGGTATTTTGGGTTTTTTGAGGTCGGAGATGAATCAGAGTAGTGTGCACTGCAACTTATGTCGAGTACATGTTAAATTTCATCTCAAAGTAACAGGGAACATTTAAGATTGACAAGTGATTTTTTTAATATTGTGATATATCCATAGAGTGATATTGTGATAAACTTTTTCCCATATCACCCAGCCCTATTTGCTTCATACAAAGACAGGTTAGTATGAGCAAGTAAATAATAATGCTGTGCACTATTACAGAAGACTGGAGAAGAAACAAAAACAATACTGACAACATAATGTTGAGCTGTATGCTTAGCAGTCCTGACCTAATTCCTCACTCTGTTAGAGAAATGAAACTGTAGCTCTAAAACATGACAGCCTACTCGGTACATTCACTATTTCTAATATCTTTAATATCTTATAGATGGCATACACTTCACCATATGACCACTTTCATTTGGTTACACTCATGGCTTAATATTAAGCCAAACACGGCTTTAATTTTCTGAACAAGGTTCTATATTATTTCTTTAAGTCCTAGTCCTCTTAAACCCTTTCTAAACACTCTGGCCTTTTGACCGATCTCATAGAGTTCAACCTACATGACTTGATAATCTCACCAGCTTGATTGGACATTCAGCGCAGCAAATCATGGTTAAAAAATGAAAATTTAAACCCCAACATAGAGCAAAATCTAACATCATGAGGATTAGTTTATTCCAACCAATAACTGTCTCCTATAGATCTGTCAAAGGGTGATCCTGGTCTAAATGAAATGTAGCGTAGATCAGTTTGTCAGGATTACTTTGGCTCTGTGGTGGACTATGTTTCACCCCTCAAAGAGAGAAACAAAACACCATCAAGGATGCATTGTGGGAAAGCTACTTACATTATACTCAGTGATTGATGGTTTTAATCTTAAAGTAAGTAGAATAAGAGGTTTGGGGCTGAGGTGTGGAGGGCATTGGGCTTTGTAATACAGCATTTGCCAAAACTCCAAGCATGCTCAGACATTTTAACGAGGCTTCGACCAAAGCTGCGATAAATCAAAGATATCAAACAGCGTCTCTGTTTCCCCTCTCCATTGAGTTGAGCTCCTCCTAAAACCCACAGCACCCTCAGACGAGATTGAATCACTTCTAAATCCAGCAGAAATATGCGCATTCCCATAAAGTGCTTTCTCCTGCGCCCTTATGTTACAGCAGTGTCAAATAGGGTGATACGGGATGTAAACTTGTTATCTTTACTGAGAGGAAAACAGTTTGGTTTAAAGCTGAGCATAAAAAAAAAAAGTGAGTAGGACTTTGACCGTCTGGCAGTGTTGGCATGGAGATGGCAGCTAGAGCGGCGAATGGAGCGATGGTGAGGGGGTCAAGGCTGAGCAGCTGGCACTGAGGGTAGGACTTGAGTAATCGTGTATACAAAGATAACAGAAGAGTGCTAATAATACTTTCAGACTCTGATCTTTCAATAAATGAGGATATTTGTTGATGAAGAAGTGTGGCCTTGATTTGTTTGTTATGATATGAGTCTAGATTTGGAGTTGTTCCCACTACAGGTAGCTTTGTGCTGTTGATCTGTGGGTATTGGTGTTACCTGTGGGCGCAGAGCAAGGGTTGAGCACCAAAGGGGATGTGGACAGTGAGGTCAGGACGGTGGCAGCCATCACTTCTTTATCAGCGTGACCTGAGGGCTTCCTACAAAAAAAACACACAAACACAGATTTACCACAAAACACACAGACATAGATTTACCACATAGGATTGAGTCATTTAAAGAATACCTATAACACCAGCCTGAAGAAGAAGAAGAAGAAGAAGAAGAAGAAGAAGAAGAAGAAGAAGAAGAAACTTTATTGCCATTGTACAGGAATACAATGAAATTTCATTTGGCAGCATCTCTCTTTTTAAGCCATGACATGGCACATTTATTGTTTAAAAATTAGAGGAAAAAAAGTAGTAAAATAGTAGTTTAAAAAAACGTTCAGTCAGGATCATTTTAGTCAAAATTAATTATTTATTACAAGCAAACATTTTTACATTGGCGGTATGGCTCTGTTCTGAGGGTTCCCTGCCCTTCCATGCGCTTGCGTGGAACACCACAGCTATAAGAGGGGAGAGCTCCTCCCCTCCCTTTCATGTGCATGCATGAAAAACCAAGTCAGAGAAAGCAGCAGCAAATAAATACGATTAAGATAAATAATTTAAAATCCCCCCACAGAACAGAGCAAGCATCACTGACAATACGTATGGCACTGGTAAGATCAGACACAACATAAACAGGGGGAGCTGGGGTGGAGGTGGGTTGTTGAGTGGTTGCAACAGACAGAGTAGGCAGGGGAAGCAGTTTAAATAGGGCGCCATTTTAACATTAGCCAATAGGATGTGTAGAGGGTGATCACCTGAGCTGTCAGCTGACTGAGGGCTGGCTTAAGATCAGCTGACTGTAGCCTTTAGCTTGACTCTGTGACCTGCCTGAACTACCGCTATGCTTCATTAACCCAAGTTAAGTGCAGTTTAAAAATGTTATTTATATAAATATGACATATAAATAGAATATATAAATAAAGAGGAATAATGATGTTGATATGACAGCTTAGATCAATTTTAAGTTCAGATTTTATTGTGATGGAATTATCTTTTCAGGAAGTTTGGCTTTGAAAAAAAAAAAAAACACCTAAACTTTTGACAATAAAAACAATATACTATCAATCTTAGGAAACTTGTGTGTTAAAAGCTGATTACAGACTGCAGCGGAGATCAGCCATCATTACCCCTTTATACTGCACCTGAAAAGGCGTAACACTGGTGACCCACTGAGTCATTACACCTTGCATTACATCAGCGGTTCTCAGCTGGTCTCACTCTGGGACCCACATTTTCCCATGATCCTTAAGTCTTGACCCACTTTTATAGAATTCAAACCAAGCAAATTTAACTTTTATATAAGAAAAACCTTTAAAGATTCTAATCTTTAACATAAATCCACTTGTTTTATTGAGTAAAGTGCATTTCAAAGCACTACTGACAACCACTGAAGTAACTTGTACAAAAATATCAAATATCTAATAAATATCACATTAAATATTTACTTTTTTGACCAGCTGTTCGTGACCCATCCAGAACATGTCCGTGACCCACTTTTGAGTCAGGAGCCACCAGTTGAAAACCACTGCATTACATTGTTGCAGGAGCAGCTTGTTAACACGCAGCGGGGGCTCCACATACATACTCGGACATGCATGTACACACAGCACTGCAGTCCTTTCCACTTTTTTGTTATCACCTCCATGGGGTCATTGCACACTGCAGAAGAGGTGTAATAGTGAGTAAATATACAGCCTTGAAATGGCAGAATGTAAGTACATTATGAGTATTTGCATGTGTGTGTGTGTGTGTGTGTGTGTGTGTACATGAAAATGTAACAAAGCCTCCAGAGACAAAGGCTTTGTGGTGCGTTTTTTTGCACAGCTTGTGCAACTACCCTCAGTGAGGGGAAGTGTTGCTTGTCACCCCTTCCTGCTGCAAACTCCAGTCCACCTTCAGCTCAAATCTACTTTGCTACTTGAACGCAGCGGCACGCACCTACACAAACAATACACATACAATACAACACAAACACATTCACCGTGAGCCCCAAAGAGCCTGCCTTAGCTGCACACAAACATTTTGTTTTATTCTTTTGCACTTTTCAGCTCAGATCTTGCTTTCCTTAAAAAAAAAAAATGTGGGGGGGAAACCATTTAAAGCGAGGCCGAGACTTACCCACGCACTTGCAAACACATACATGGATTTAAATTTGCATAAAGCCGACACAATACAGCACTATGTATGTATTTGTTTTAATACGCACTCAGAAATGTTGATACATGAACACATATTGCACACTGACACAGATGTACTAAGTCAAAACAATCTGAGACAGAGAGAGAGAGAGAGAGAGAGAGAGACAGACAGAGAGGCACAGATCCACATGGTCTACAGCTTTAAGAGGTCCTTGTCACGCCCCCAGATTTCACTACACAACCAGAGTAAACTGGTTTGAGGCATTCTCTCAGCCAAGCCCTGAGCTCTGGCAGAGATCCACACTGAGTCTCTGTACACTCACCCAAACTCAAACGCAGAAACTTTTTCTCTCCTTTTCTAAAAATACGTACAAAAGTAAATATAAAAGTGAATTCATATGAAAGAGTTTGTGTTTGTGCTCATATAAACAAAACACTCAAGTGGCAAAACTTGAAGCATTTGAAGGAAACAGAAAGAGGTGAAGAAGCTGTCTCAGTCAGCTCCCACTCTGATGAGAATGTGTTGGATGGGGAGCAAACAGATCTAAGAGGAATGCACTCGCTATGAAGGAATCTCCGAATCCTCCACAGCGATTTTTCTCACTAAAATATGATTTACTTTTTAAGGTAGCTATGAGTTTGTGTGTGACTGTTTTTGAAAGTTTTTGTGCAAACATGTAACATTAAAGTACAACAATAACACCCACAGCTGAGTTTTAACAGAAGCTACAGCCCTGAGGAGAGGCGGATAATATATGTGCACACACACACACAGGCATAAACATGCATATACACACACAGATGCACACACAGTCTGGACGAAATAAAGAGATAACGAGATTATCTGTGTCCTGTTTCAGTCATTAGCCTTGTTTTCAGTGCTAAACAGGGCCAACCAGGGACACAATTTTGATTTATGAGCCTCTTTCACTTCCTTAATAACATTTCTGTGCTGTTTTCTGCTGATGTGGGTGACTTGTTTTCTAGAGGTCAAGATTTGCTTCTCCCAGTTTGACAAAATGCAAGTTTAGAGACCTGGTTAAGTCTCAGCGGCCCTTCTCTTAAGTGGTATACTTAACCACTGAAAGTCATGCATGTCTGCTTTTATGTGTGCGTAGATTAGGAAACTCAAACATCAGCCTATTAGCCGATTCCAGCTAAATCAACTGTCCATATCCTTTTTTTTTCTTTTTCTCTGTGACACATGCAAATACAAACACACCAAAGACTACCAACACACACCAGACCCCATTATTATTACCCCCACCCCCAAACCGCTCTGATTTCCTGACATTGAGATTTTTCCTTCCTCTGCTTCCCGGCAGAACCATGATACCCCACCACAGTTTCATTACATCTGGCGAAAGTATTTGCGCGCCTCTGTGTGTGCATGTGTGAGCTAATAAACAACAAAAAAAAAATGATTTAGAGACTGCTTTTTGTGTGTCACAGCTGCAGATTAGCGCTTTAGCACGCTGCCAGCGGTGATGTTAATCTACCGTTTAGTCAGACCGTCTTAGATATCGCTGTTTGGAGGCAGTTAGGAAAAGCATATGGCTGCCACATACTGCCATCATAAAAAAAAAAACTGGTATAGATAACAGCCTCGCCATTCCTCTTCATCACTCCCTCTGTTTAACATACCAGATAAAAATGACACGCTTCGGAACCCTTTCGATGATGTTTTCGCCTGTCTGTGCGAGAGGAAAACAGCATAAAGAGCGACTGCACTGACACAACACTAAATCTGTCCGCATCTCCTCTTATGAGAGGCTTTATTTTGGAGCGAGTTAAATAGGGGAAATCTTTATTTAGTACCAAGAGAGAGACTTGATTGGAGAGCTGAGATTGCTGTCAACAAATGTGGGCTGTGTGTGTGGTATATCTGTTTGTGTGCGTGTGTTTAAGGGGGAGGGCGCTTTGGGGTTTTGAGGTTTTGAACTCCCCAAATCTGGATGTTTACAAGAACCTTTCAGTCCAACTGTGGTACATTTATGGCATGGCTGTAAATTTAATGATGGGACGATAAACATTCAACATTCAACATTTAACCCCCCCTTTTTTCCCAAGTGTGGGGCATGTGTAGGCACATGCACACACTTTGTGGTAATGGAGGTATTCAATCTTGTGTAGTGACACTATTTCTAGTGTGAGCTGTCAATTTTACAAGCCTAGACACTAACAAACGTGTTTGTCGTACAGGTACTGTGAGTGTTCATGTGTTACGTGCATTTGCTAATGTCTCCAAGAGGAGTATTTGGTACATTTTAACTCGTGCACAAACACAACACGCTCTCACACCCACATGCACATTCGGTGCACACGCTCTTACCCTTCTTTTCCTCCCTCTACTCGTATTGGTGCCTGCTAGGCCAAGAACAACCCCCCCTCCCTGGCAGCGGCACAACACTTAGGCCGGCTAAAGTCAACAAGCCAGGCCCAGGCAGATACAGAGAAAAGGAGAGGGAGAAACTACTACTTTGAGAGGAGGTATGAGAAGCAGCAACAAGCTCAAAGTGCAAGAAGAGGCAGCTATCATGTGTCCTTACACGTCTGTGTCAGTAACAAGATTTATACTTGACTAATTGCAATGAGCCCAATTTTGGTGGTCTGGGTTTTAATCGTAGCTTTTTGACAAATGGATGTAAACTCAAACTGCCTTTTTTTCATTTCACTCGGACTTTATTTTGACCGTTGATATGTTGCCGTTGTGCGGATGTTTGGCATCTCCTGTCCCACTCACCCCTGCAGTGAGCGCTCCACTGTTGTTGGGTAGATGACTGGGCCTTCCCTCTATATTTATCACAGCCCTTGAACTCTAGTCACCAACCAGGCAGGAATTACCACAATCTGCTTAGGTTTATAGCACATATTGAACTAACTTAAAGCTCATTTAAAGGACCTGAGTGTGGGATTGAAAGGTTGATCTATTGCTGAAGTCACTTAAAAAGGGTTTTGTTCTCATCACTTTAGAATAAGTAGAAAATCTGCTGACTGAATGTTATCACTGTTGATGCAGATCTCTCCACTGGCTTCACTATAATTCAATTCTTGGAATAATATTAGGCCAATATAGACCGATGACTGATATATTAATGCAGGGGTTCTCAACCTTTTGTAAACTGCCCCCCTCCAACATTACACCACACCACTGTTTAACAGAGATCTGATAATTACGGTGGCCGAGAACCGCCACTGCAGCAAATAAAAAAGGATGCAAAACAAGGAGCTACAACAGAAGTTACTGATACAAAAAAAAAAAAGAAACTGAAGCCCGCTGCAGATAAAAAATGAAATAAAAAAAAACAACAGAATTTTGCAAAAAAAAAAGAAAGTGCACGTTCCTTTTTTTATTTGCAGCGGGCTCCGTTTTTTTTCCATCTGTAACTTTTTTTTGTATTCTCTTTTTATTTGCAGCAGTGTTGGTCCTCGGCCACCGTACATAATAATCCACCACAAAAAAAGGTTTTAGCGCTGTTTCTGGTCGGCCGGCTCAATTGTTACACCTGGGACACGGACCGCTTCCCGGTTCCGACACGGAAAGTTAGTCGCGTCCTGTCTGGACCTGTGGTTTGGACTCGGTAACAAGTCCAGGCTTCTATCGGGACACCTGAAGTTAAAGCGAGCTAAAACTTTTTTCCACACAATGCAAATGAATGAAACGCGCTGACCGTGAGGAGCGGTAAACGGGAATACTAACGGTGGATTATTCACCTGTTGGAGCTGGATGACTGTTAATGCTGACTGTTTTGGAAGCCAGAGTCAAGGTAAGACATATTTCCCTCTGTTATTTTTGGTCAGATCTCCGTCAATCAGTGTTATGGTGTAATGAGCTGCTGTGAAAGCTGTAGTTTTGGTGAACACGTGTGTTTCTGTGTGGATGAGAGGAGACTCTGATGATGAAGTTTATACAGTTAATACCGGTGTTTACATCAGATCGCTGCTCTGTGCGTGCATGTGTAACGTTGTGAAGGATCCTCGTGTGTGAACCTCTCTCCCTTTAGAGACTGGTCGTCACCGGTCGGTCAAAGCAGGACGCTTGTCCTGCTTACTTGGTCGTTTGAGTGGCTGGGGTAAAATAGTAAGCTACTTTTGTTGACACTTGCCATGTTGTGCGCACAGCTTCTTTATTAGGTAGGCTGTAAATTGAACTATAGTCCAGCCCCTTGGCAGTAGCTCACATGGTAGAGCACTCGTCTGATAACGAGAAGGTTGGCGGTTCGATTACCTAGTCTGACGGTTTTGCCCTGTGGCAAGACACTTAACCCAGCTCCCAGTGTGTGTCCACCGGTGTGTGATTGTGAGTGTTGTGTTGTTGTGTGGTGGTGGTGGTCAGGGAGGCCATAGGTGCAAACTGGCAGCTACATTTCCATCAGTCTGCCCCAGGGCAGCAGTGACGAGGAAGGTAGTTTACCACCACCAAGGTGTGACTGTGTGAGCGAATGAATGATGTATTAAATGTAAAGTGCTTTGAGGGTCTCTGAAAATATGCAATTCACACCTCTAAACCTCTTAATGTTGATATTTAGAGAGCATGTTGATAAGTGGTATGAAATGCTGACATCACATTGTAGTTCTTTCTACATTTTATTAAATACATCAGTTTGAATAAGAAGCTAAACTTAAATGGACACTTTATTAAATAAATACAGACAAAAAAGTAATTGCCTCAGTAAAACAGTGCCACATGGGACCTCTTGATTCCTCTCCAACCATCTGCAGTTATTGAAATAGGAAAAATACATGGTAAATATTTGGGCTTAAAACAAATCAGCCTCGTGAGGATAGACACGATTTGATGCCAGTTGTCATTAAATGGCCTGAGTAATTGGTCCATCTCTTGTCCGATCCATTTGCCAAAACGCACACACATGTGCAAAGACATGAAAGCATACCCCGATTACGACAACAAACTTGATGCTGTTCTAGCAGTACTTTCCATTTCATTTTTTCCTGCTTAATACGATCTAACCACACCCCAACCCTGCATGTGTTCTCCACCTGTTTGGCACAGCCGAGGCTCAGTTGAGCAGAACACAACTCTTACACAGCTTTTTCTGTCTGTTGAGAAACAAACTGTGGACAGTTTGCAATAATCCACCGGGTCTAGACAGATACAGGAGGTGATTGTTTCATTCTCAGAAAGAGAGAAGAAAAAAAAGGAAAAACTAAAAGCACTCTCAGCCCAGGACAACACACGAGCAGTCTATCTTGTTTACTAAGAAAAAAATACCGGGAAACCGGTTTTGAAAGGTCAAGAAAGCGTAGAGGCAGCTGGGCAGAATCAGTAGATTTCATTGTTTTTGAGTTGGCTGACCACAAAGCTTATCACTTTTGTATCAGGATGACTTAAAGTACAGTTCAGTGTGGTGGGTCTGATTTTCACTAGTGATATACCAAGCCAACAATACCCTGTGGTCTCCCCTTCAAGCCCAATGATGCTTGCCTTAAATAGCACCTATCAACTGGATGTGATCATGTGATCGCCATGACCCCTAAAACAGGCATCCGGGTGTACTAATGTGTATCTGTATGTACTGTATGCATAGGCTGGCTTCTCTATATCCAGCAGCTGTGTGAGCCTCAGATTGGCCTAGTGACTGGTGTTTGACCTTTAGTTTCAAAACCAAAAAAAGCCGTCACATGCTCATGCAAAAACCCAATTTCATTTCCAAACACTCTGTTTGAGTCATGAGAACAAACACATAAAGTAAACACTGACCTTGTTTTTATTTTGCCTTTTGGTACCTGCCTGTCTGTTCCTCTTTCTAACACAGACGCACATTCAAATTTGCACAGCGGTGAAGATTCACACCAAAAAAAAATAAAAAACAGGACTTTTCCCAGGGCAAAGCTTTTTGTTTATTCATCTCCGAAAACATATGTTCCGACCGCTCATCCTTGCACGTACTCAGAAGGGGGTGAATGTGAGGGAGGCTGACAGAGGAACTGACAGGAACCACAAAACCATAAGAGCATTGTTAACCACACGGCGTCACGTGTTCTCCTGATATGCATCTATCTCTCTTTTTACCCTCCGAGCTTGTTTAAGGCTCAAGGGATCCCGATCGGCCCTGAAGGGATTTGAGCAGTATGCTGTTTATGTACGAGAGCCTGTATGTTAAGCGCATGAAATCATAGATGAAAATGCAGATGAAGTGTTTTGTAGGTTTTTATATGCGCACAAAAATAAAGCAAAAGAACAGAGCAAGGGAGGGTAGGATGCAGTCAAACCAGTATATCCTGTCTAATAAAACCACATTGTCACAACTGAGGCTATTTGCACTGACCAGGCTCGTGTTGTTGATTGTGTTCCTGCTGTGCAACCCCTACAGCTCCCCCGACCATATACGCTCTATAAATAGAACACCCACTGCTCTCCATCCTGCAATCCCTCCGTCCCCCATCATCCTGCCTCATCTCCACTGAATTACGTAATGCCAGCCGTCTCACCATCTCTCTCTCTTTTTCTCTGTCTCGCTCCCTTATTCACTCTGTTAGCAGATAGTCATGATAGGCAATAATCCGTTTACCTGCCCCCCTTATTTACAGCTACCCCTCCACCCTTTTTTGTCCTGTTTTATTTTCCCTCTTTGTGTGTAAATCCAAACAGAATCACACATGTATTCGTATAAATATGTGGCGAAGCATCTTCTGAATTCAGCCATGATAGCGCCGTCTGTACACATGTTGCTCCTTACGTAAGTCCCCAGGCTCTGAACCCCCTGGAGAGGGAGAGGCTGTTAGGCAGGAGCCGTGTCTCTTTAATGTGGGCTGTGAATGTAATGGCTATTCAGTGGCGGGACAAAAAGCCCTCTCTTTCTGTCTCTTGATCCTCGAATGCAATCTGTAGCCTTAGGCCAAAGCGCCAACAACGGGTAGCTTTGTCCCGGCAAAATAATAGATAATAGATGCAGAGCAAAAGGCATGATTCCCTCTGTGGTGTCTGACTTCTCATGTATGCAATATGTGTAATAAAGTACATACATAGGCGGAATGATGCACATGCACGTTACTCTTATAAAACAAAGAAGCTGTTTTATGCGTAAGAACCTGCCATAAAATCAGAACTGTGTCAGTAACACACCATCCTCCTCAGAGAGAAAATGTTGACACAGCACAAGCAATTAACCGGCTGACGAAAGAGCAGATCTTGACACACAACATGGCTCGCATACCGTGCCAGCGCCTTTTGGAGACAGCCTGATTTGGATATTATGGCGCATTACATTCAGGCTGAGACGCACACAAGATAAGTGTGACGTCAAAATAACATTTGAATAGAGTAGACACCTACGACTAGGGCTGGGTGGAAAATTAAATTCGCTCGATATCAATATGAAACATGGTCACATTGCTTTCCAATAGCCGGCATTCTGCCATGTTTTGGTAGACGATACGAATAGCCAATGTAAAAGGGAGTTACTCTGGGTCCGCGCCGTGCTGAACCAACCATTCAGTCCGCTTTCTCTCGCGCAACGCCTTACAACAAAACGTCGAGGAGACACAAAGACCTCACAGATGCAGTAGCTTATTGTACTGCAAAAGACATGCTACCAATACAAACCGTTGAATATTAGCAGTGTTGTTTTTTTTGACGATGACGTTGACGAAAATATTTCATCATCATCGACGCACACACACACACACACACACTCTCTCTAACACACACACACTCCTCTCCCTCCTGTTGTTCTTCCTTCAGGCTAAATTCAGACTAAACTCTCAGACGGTTAAATATTAAATCCGACTGAATTCTCTCGGAGCTCATTGTTTTGTGTCTGCGAGAATTTATGTTTAGTGTTTGACTGACGAAATGCTCATGAATTTTGCAACTCTGTTCATCGCCCACCACAAACATTTTCGTCTCGTCAACGCACATTCATCTCCTCACATTTTAGTCATATAAGACTTATGTTTAGCTCGTCAGCGTCACGCCTCGGGTGTGGAAAAAAAGGGAAAACAACACTGAATATTAGGGAACATTTAAGATTGACAAGTAATTTTTTAAATATCGTGTTATGTATCGATATTGACTTATGTGAAAAAATATATCATGATAAACTATTTCCCATATCGCCCAGCCCTAGCTGTGACCACACACACACAGGTCATCTCCTGCTTTTACCTCAAAATACTCCTAGTACTTAAATTCTTTAAGTCCTTTAAAAATAAGATATCATTAAACGAGTCGATGTGCAAAATAACAGGGTGCAAGGCATTCACTGCACAGTGTGTAATGTGTAGATGTAAAATCGGTTAATACACAACAGATCATGTCTCTGAGGAAATCTGCTAACCACACTTTATTGCCCCACTGTCGCTTCAGGCCACACAACAAGATTAACTTGTAGCTATAGCAACTTCCCTCACAACTTCTGTCAGTCTCCTCCAATAACAGTGTTGTTGCTAGGGGAAAGCAGGACAGTCTCTCCTGAGTAGTGGCCTTTTTTTACCCTCTCTTGCAAGGGGGAGGTAAACAGGATAGGCTCTTCTGCCTGAAACACTGCCTCCTTATCAAAGCGCTTGTCATTTTTCATTTAAATCCTGCGCTGAAGTACTGTGCCAGCAGGGACGGCCCCCAAGTTGCTTTTCGTTTTGTTTTTACTCTCTGAAAAACCCTTTTATTCTTGTCCGACATCCGTTCAAACCATATTTTCATAGATCTAAATAATCCAAACCACTCTGGGCTGGACTGAACTTTTGCTTTTCCAGGATCATAAAGACAAGTCTTCTCCAGAGCCTCAAGAACAATTGGGCTCTGCCTCACTATTTGTTCTATGGATGTGAAGGGAAACCCAGAACAAATCAAGTAAGAGGAGTTCAATCTGCGTGTAACCAAGTAGGGCTGTTTTCATCTGGATTGAGCAAAAGAGGGGAGGGGGAAGCTGGGGACCGAGTCACAAACCAGACTTTGGTTTGAAATTTAAAAGTAATGCATTAAAGAAAAAAATCAGAGAGCGACTTAAACAGTAACATCTTTGAAAACTTGTAGCACAAGTTAAAATGGCAGAGAGCCCTGAACAAAGTGGTCAGTCCTCCTTTTTCTGCAGCGTTCATACTCTTATTTTGTTCCTCATTCTTCACTTCCCACTCCTTCTCTCTCCTGCTCTTCGGATTTGCCCTTCTGCCATCGCAAGCCGGAGCGGGCCGTAGCCCTGCTTCCTGTGTTTTTGCAAAAGCAAACCAGTGCTTTTTCAAAGACCCTCTGCTCTACTTACTCCTATGAAGCCAAATATCTGCAGGGCAGCTGCAGACAGACAGACAAAAGCCTCAGCCAGTAAACTAAACTGACTGATCAGTATCTTTTTCTAGAAAGGGAAAGTGAGGGACTGGATCTCATAACAAACAAGAGCTCAAAGTAGAAAAAGAGAAGTTTGGATGTAGATTTTGAAAGTGTGTGGTGAGATGTGGATAAGCTAAGTCTCATTGGACTTCTTCCTTTAAGTATAATGGTAATAATGGCTTTACTTCTATTGTTTTAGTGAAGTCGGGGCCTTCCTGTTTGTCTGCAGGGGCGTCATAGAGAAGGAAGGACACTATAAAACTAGGGCTGAAACAGTTCCTCGAGTACCTCAAAAATAATTGAGGGATATTCTCTCTATTTTCAGGGTGACACAACACCCTTATGTCACCTTATGAAGGAGGAGTAAGCGCAGTTTTGGTTTTGCGGAGCTAAAAAAAATGAATGAGGAGAGGGGCGTTTCTTCGGCAGAGCTCCAGTAGATCATTAGCAATTCGCCTCTGAGTCGTGGGCGGAAACAGCGCCGCTCCGCACACTCCTTTTCACGCTAGCTTGCAGCCTAAAATTGCCAGTGTAGTAGCAAAAGCAGGTAACATTAAATACACTAATGTATTTGGGGGCTTGATGAAAACTAATATCATAATTAGCTTTCTTAAGAGCATTGCAATCTGCTAACGCACACAGCTGTTCTGCGATTATTGCACTTATCGCACCTAACCCTAACCCTATCCGATTACTCGATTAATCAATGGAATATTTAGTAGATGTTTTCACGATTGTACCACGATAATTGCACTTATCAAACCTAACTCTATCCAATTACTAGATTAATCAATGGAATATTTGTTTGATTGTTTCCGATTGTTCCATGATAATTGCACTTATCGCACCTAACCCGAACCCTATCCGATAACTTGATTAATCAATAGAATATTTGGTAGATTGTTTAGCAGTTGTTCAGTGATAATTGCACTTATTGCACCTAACCTTTACCCAATCGGATCACTTGATTAATTAATGGAATATTCATTAGAATACTCGATAACTAAAAAATTTCAGTCACTGCAGTCCTATATAAAACATATAAATACATTCTTTAAAGACCACCAGAATAAAACCAACAATCCAGCACAGGAGACGCAAGCAATAATACACAACTGATGAGGCATAAGCAAATCTGTCACCACATCCTCGTCCATCCCTACTGGCCCCATCAGACTTTATTCAGATGAATTTAAAAAAAAAATGTAGGTCTCCCAGTGGATCCTCTGGCTCTGGCTCTGTGCCTGTCAAAGCGATTGACTGTACTCACTGTTATCAGTGTTCCAACGTACTATAGGAGGAGGGGGTGACACGCTTGGGAATAAAGGAGGATAAGGAAAGGAAAATGGCCTCTCTATCGCCTCACGATGCCAGCACTGGGATACTTAATAAGATGAATGGAGGCAATTAAAGTACATCATGGAAACACTAGAGCGATCATCATGATGATAAAACTAAACGTCTACCTAAAGACAGCTGTGGAGAGATAGAGCCGCTCATCCATGAGACGTCTAAGAGGATATTAAACCCTCCGATAGTTTTTTTTTTATACTTAACAAATATGTTGAAATATGGAGGCTGTGTTTCACAAAAAGGGATAAAATCGGCTGCCAGTTGGACGCAACTGGTGGGACTCCCTGTACAAGTTGTGCATTTTCGAACAGGACTAAACGGGGGCATTGGTCAGATGAGGGCAGACTCTTTCTCCTGAACAGACAAACAGACAGATGGGAGGGCATGCCAGACACAGCTAGCAGCCCTGGCTCGGGGAAAGTCATGCCTTATGAGACTCGTGTGTTTTCCTGTCAAACAGTTCGGCCTCTCCCCTGCCAAAACCCTTTACATGCAGAGACAAAGACACACACAACTTACACACACACAGATGGATTCACTTATGATGGTAAAATCTTCAAAACTGTGGACTTGGGAAGGTTATATAATGCTATAAATCCTTGGGAATAATGGCAGAAATGGCATGAAAATTGAATTGAACTTTTACAGTTCCTTCTTCATACATATTTGGGAAATTAAATCTGCTGATTCGGGCCTTGTGATTTTGTCAAAAGATCTTTTCCGCCGCCGCAGTTCCCTGAATCCTTATTAAATTTCAAATACAGTGTATAAACGTTACGCAAGACACTTGTAGATGATTCAGCTACCTTGTTGACCACATCAGTACAGAAGTCTTTAACATTAGCAGATATAAAAACAGCCTCAGAAGGACGGTTTTAAAAACAATGCAGTGCTGACAGGAACACTGTGTTACGCCAGTGAAGCTAGCGCGTCCAATTTCAGAAATACCAACAAACCACCTCACCTTATTCATTCACACTGCAGACAGGAATCCTCAAGTCCCCTTTGGTCTACATTCCCTTGTAAATCTAACCAAATGTAAAGGAGCAGACATGACCCGACAATTGAGGAGAGCTGAAGTGAAACCAGAGACAGAAACAGCTGTTCAGCAGGCCTATAAAATCTATACCACTCCCTAGTCCTGCTCAAGTCAGAGAAGTACACGGATCCCTGTTTAACCTTCTCCTTTTTCTCTCTGGCTTAATCTGACAGCTTTAGAGGACTATGTTGTTGACACTGTTAAAACCTCTCTACTGTGACCAACTGCGAGTCTAAATTCCCTGCATTTTTTTCAAAACGCCCCACATTTTTAACCTAAAATGATGCGGGTGTGGTGATTGAACTTTACAGGTAGAGTGTTTATGACAGATTTCTTTGCATCACATGTCATGAATCTCACACCCATGTCAAGTCAAGCACATAAAAAACAACTTGTGTTGATCAAAGTGCTGTACAACCAAAGGGGAGAACAAAAATAAAGACAAAAACTAGGGCTGGGCGATAAATCGAAAATTTACAGATACCAAAATTTACGACAATAACCAACGTCATTTTGCCCATGTCAATAGATAAAGGTTGGTTTTGGATATGTTTAGGTAGGCTATGGTCTCGTGTCCCTTTAAGATGGCTTAAGTAGACAAAGTTAATGTGGGAGAGGGTGAGCAGCTTGTGGAGTAGTTATCGTCCATTTATCGTTATCGAGGTGAACTGCTTCATATATCGTGATATTGGTTTGAGGCCATATCGCCCAGCCCTAATAAAAACAAAGGGACACCATACACAAGAAAACAAACGCTGTACATGAAGTTCAAAATCAAACATGAGAAAAATATAATTAAGACAGTTAAGAGCTAAGCTCAGCCTTGCCCCAAATGTTACAGTTTGTAATGCATAAAACGAAAATATAATATAATACATGTGCTAATTTTCTATTGTGGATTAAAAATATAGTGTGGCTGTAGATAAATCAAAGGAAACGAGATTACTTCTGTTGTATCTGCATATCATAACACAGATTTTAGAGTTGCTGAAGAGTTGCAGTGGTCAGTGCCCTGCTCTCCACCTGACTGGAGAGCCTCATACACTTAATGCTTTGTGCGGTCAAATGTTGGTGCTGGAAGCCGCCGCTGTTAACTTTAAGCTGGGATACTTTCTAACTTCCCCCAAGGCCGGAAATCTCCACGTTATCTTGGCAGCTGTCAAAGAGAGTCCAGGGGTGTGTGTTTTCGCTCTTATTAACCCTTGTGCACCCCTAGGGACCGTTTTGGTCCTTTGTAACTATACTTTTGTGGATAATTTTGGCTGTGATGATGCAAATGGCATGAAAGTTTGCCAAAGTGTGTAATTTTAGGTGCAATTTAATTTTTTTTCTTTTTTCTTCCTTTAACCTTTTTTGCATGTGAGCAATTTTTATACTTCAGTAAACACCCCTAAGGACCGAAACGGTCCCATTGACTCCCATTAAAACATGTTTTTTTCAATACACTGCCAATGCAGTATAATTTTTGGATTTTTTTTTTCTCATGTACACCTATTCTTTGAGGGTCAAACTGTTTTTTTTTTTTATGCCGACCAGCAGATGGCGCCATTTTTCTTTTTTCCTGCCATACCCTTTAGAACCAGAGGGGCACTGTTTTCCCTTTGTCACAGAGCTGGTTTATTTCATGCATATAGATAGATAGATTGATAGATATATAATTTATTGATCCCAAACTGGAAAATTCTCATGTTACAGCAGCAAAAAAATACAAAATAGAATTAAATATAAGAAGAAATATGTACAATGCAGACTAAAAATACTAAATATATACATTGAATACAGGCTAAATATACTAAACATCTTTAGAGAGAAAATAAATTTAATAAAAACTATTTAGGTGTGCTTTTGGGACATCATGGATTATGTGCATGTGTTTTCATGAATTACTTGTGTGTGTGTGTGTGTGTGTGTGTGTGTGTGTGTGTGTGTGTGTGTGTGTGTGTGTGTGTGTGTGTGTGCATATGCAGCCATGAGAATAGCCAAAATCCTTCCAGAAACAGCGGCAGTTGTACAATCTGCACCTGCAGTTTCCTTCTGTGTGTGTGTGTGTGTGTGTGTGTGTCTGATTGTGTGTGTGTGATTGTGTGTCTGATTGTGTGTGTGTGCGCACGTGTGTGAGCAAGCTCATGAGGTTCATAGCGGGCACCTGATCAATGTGAGTGCGTAAAAGCAAGCGAGGAAGGGATGGAGTGTGGAGTGTGAGTGTGTGTTTGTGTGTGTGTGTGTGTGTGTGTGTGTGTGTGTGTGTGTGTGTGTGTGTGTGTGTGTGTGTGTGTGTGTGTGTGTGTGTGTGTGTGTGTGTGTGTGTGTGTGTGTGTGTGTGTGTGTGCGAGCGTGCGTGCGTGTGTGCGTGTGTAAGCGCACGCACGAGGTTCATAGCTGGCACCTGAAGAGGGAGGGCTTCATCAATGTGCTTACGTAAAAGCAAGGGATGGATGGATGGATGGTGTGTGTGTGTGTGTGTGTGTGTGTGATTGTTTGTGTGTGTGTGTGTGTGTGTATGTGTGCATGTGTCTGATTGTTTTTGTGTGTGTGTGTGTGTGTGTGTGTGTGTCTGATTGTTTGTGTGTGTGTGTGAGCGAGCGCACGAGGTTCATAGCAGGCACCTGATCGATGTGCGTGCGTAAAAGCAAGCAAGGGATGGATGGTGTGTGTATGTGTGTGTGTGTTTGAGATTGTGTGTGAGATTGTGTGTGCGTGCATGCATGTGTGAGCGCACGCACAAGGTTCATAGCGAGCACCTGAAGAGGGAGGATATCATCGATGTGCGTGCATAAAAGCAAGAGATGGATGGATGGATGGATGGATGGTGTGTGTGTGTGTGTGTGTGTGTGTGTGTGTGTGTGTGTGTGTGTAATACACTACAGAAAAAAAAAATCTTTTCAAATTTTCTCATCAATGTTTACCAATCCCATGCTCTAATAATCAAAAGTTTAAAAAAACAATTTGCATATATAGGATGGAAAATAATTCACTAATTGTGTTTTTTGACTTAAGATAATATCAGGTTTTTACAAAAAAGACTGGCATTTATGGGGTTAAAATACACAACCTGAATAAAGTTTTGCTATTCATGATTAGGTTATAAGTCAATGATGGCAGCCAAAAAAAAAAAAAAATTTAAATATATTTATTTAGACCATATTTTTACTCCAGCAAAATGGAGGGGACCGTTTCGGTCCTTAGGGGTGTTTATTGAAGTTTTTATTATTATTCAACACTACAGAAAAAATACAAATCCTTTCAAATCCATTTTCTCATCAATGTTTACCAATCCCATGCTCTAATAATCAAAAGTTTAAAAAAACAATTTGCATATATAGGATGGAAAATAATTCACTAATTGTGTTTTTTGACTTAAAATAATATCAGGTTTTTACAAAAAAGACTGGCATTTATGGGGTTAAAATACAAAACCTGAATAAAGTTTTGCTATTTATGATTAGGTTATAAGTCAATGATGGCAGCCAAAAAAAAAAATTTTTAATATATTTATTTAGACAATATTTCTACTGCAGCAAAATGGAGGGGACCGTTTCGGTCCTTAGGGGTCTTAATTGAAGTTTTTATTATTATTCAACACTACAGAAAAAATACAAATCCTTTCAAATCCATTTTCTCATCAATGTTTACCAATCCCATGCTCTAATAATCAAAAGTTTAAAAAAACAATTTGCATATATAGGATGGAAAATAATTCATTAATTGTGTTTTTTGACTTAAAATAATATCAGGTTTTTACAAAAAAGACTGGCATTTATGGGGTTAAAATACAAAACCTGAATAAAGTTTTGCTATTCATGATTAGGTTATAAGTCAATGATGGCAGCCAAAAAAAAAAAAATTTAAATATATTTATTTAGACCATATTTTTACTCCAGCAAAATGGAGGGGACCGTTTCGGTCCTTAGGGGTGTTAAGGGAAGTTTTTCTTAGGGGTGCACAAGGGTTAAAGAGACTTAAAGGTTCAAGAAGAATTGACACACATTTAGAATACCTGTTTATGGTCCAATTCCAAACTTAGTCTGTATTTTAGAGACCTGTGGACTCCCTGTGTAAAATAAATAACAGGATTTGTGCTGTTTGAATTGTAATATGAGAGAATAAATCAATCTGTTTCTTATTAGGACAAGTTTACAGCTGCAGGGAGACCACAGAAAAGAGCAAATGAGCGAGATGTTGTCAACTTCTGTCCTCCTTCCTCTGCAAAGAGTGTATGATAAGAAATATTGTAGCAATGATGTAATATCCAGAAGCTGACAGAAGAAACGCATTAGTATCTGTATTATTTAAAAACCTGTCCACAACGCTGCTGATACAGAAAGAAAGCCAGCGGGGGTCGATATCAGAGAAATGCGCTCTCACTCGCAGCGCTCCTTCATCAGATGTCTTCTTGTCTGACTCGGCGTTTGTTCCGAGGGCATGAGGATAAATCATTATTCCAGCCCACACAGCTCTATTGTCAAGGACACACATGTCAACAAGCGCTCACTTAAGGACACACACAGAGCAGGAGAAGGGGGGGTTTCTAGGAGCTTATGAGGAACTGGGCTCACTGGTTCTAACAGCCTGGGTGTGTCCTGCTAATTTGATTGTTTGTTGAAGCTAGATCTTTGAAATGTATTTTCAATGAGCTCGCTAGCTGTATATTAGCCGTTTAATCAATGCGGCGCTCTTGGCTTTGATGGACTCAACCCCTCGCGGGCGCAGGCATTTTCAAAAGGTCAACGCTCACACTACTTAACTGTGCGAACACAAAATTGATTGGAATGCCTAAAAATTTACAACAACTCACTTTTACATCTAAACTAAGAGTCAGAGCTGTCCGCACAGTTTTACAACAGGTCTGAAATGTCACTCGAAATACATAAACCTCATCCTGCAGCCATGTATTTGTGTAATTGTGACCTATATTTTGCAACACTTGTGGGGAAATTATTGTTTGTTAAAGTAGGTAGAAAACAAGTAATGAAAAGAGAGCGGTCATTTAGATTTATTTTGTACATATTTGAATATTAAAAGGCATATAAACTGGTAATTACTATTTTCATGTTGTGTTTTGAAAAGAAAAAAGCTGGTATTATTTCTGTGAGTACAACTTCCAGTAGAGGGAACAAATAAAATTCGATTCCTGACATAATAAAAGTGATGAAAATTTTCCACTACATGTTCAGCGCTAATTAAAAAGCAAAACAATCAAACAGATGTGAGTCGTTCAGCTCTGCAGTCAGTGCGAGGCGTTTCTCAGACTCCTCTCTGTTTGCAGTCTGGACTGAATTTCACTGCTTGTCATCAGCAGCCTGGGATGACTTATGAAAGGGTTGCGCAAGATTTGTGTATGTGTGTGTTGTAAGTGTGTGTTGCAAGTGTGTGTGTGTGTTGTGTGAGGATATTTATAAGTAATTTAGAGAAGGGAAAAGAAAAATCCATGAAACTAAGGGCTTACAGAACATTTTGAAAACAGTTACTTCAGACTTAAATAGGCTTATTCCCAGCCACCAAGGATCAGGTTTCACTGGCGCACTACAGAGTATATTCATTTTTTCCCCCTGAATTGTTATGTTGATTAATCTTTTATAGTTTTAAGTAATGAAACAAGAACGATTAGTTTTATTGTTATAATCTACAGTGAAAAGCATAATAGCATAATCACGCTGTGTGAAATAAGAATGAAGCTTTGAACTCTCTGAGCTGTAAAGATTAGGGAGGGAAATTCAAAGCTTAATCGACACTTTGACTGTAAGATTAAATCAACAGATCAGAGCCGATAGAAAGGAATATTATTGTTAACTTTGCTGTTAAGTTTTCAAGAATATCCCTGCTTTATGAACGGATAAAGGCAGAGAAAAGGGGGAAATGTAAAAATGCACGACAAGGATGTGTGTTTAAGAAAATTTTTAAAAAACACAGTTTGGAACTGTCATTATTTCATAAAAGAGGATGAAATAGTCTTTCCTGGCAGAGAGTGACTCTTTATTGTTCAGAGAGCTTAACCGGTCGTCGCTCAAACAAAGGGTCAAAGGACGAAGGGTCAAGACAAACGGGAAATGGGGCGCATGGGAGACATAAAGCACGTTAAAGCGCATGTGCACGGTTTTCAGCTGCTCATGAAACAGATTAGGTTAATAGTGACGCGTCCAAATGATCTATAAATGCAAATAAGAGCACAATCGACAACTGATTTTTCCATATGGTCAATTTTAATGTCTAAAACTGCTGCTAAGGTGTAAGTGAATGAAAGAATTAGGATCTGTACACTGCGAAAGAGCCCCATTTTAATATATCCACTGCAAAGGTGTGAAACATTTGGTCAAACTGATTTCTATGAAAGAGGATTAGGGCCACAAGAAGAGAAATAAATAATTATAGGAGGGAGTTTTTTTTATTTGCCATTTCGAGATTAAAGTCGAAATTTAAAAAAGTCGAAATGAAAAAAATCAAAATTTTGAGATTAAAGTTGAAATTTAAAAAGTCCAAATGAAAAGAATTCCAAATTTCGACATTAAAAAATCTAAATTACATGATTAAGTCAAAATTTTGAGAATAAAGAAGTCATAATCAAGTAATTACTAAGGAGAATTAAGTCCGAATTGAGTCCTTATATTTTAATCTGTTGTTTTAAATGACAGTTGTTGGAGATACTGAATCTTCTGGCACATCAGCACCACATTATCATAGGTATCATAATGTTTTTATTACGACTTTATTCTTGTAAATTAACAACTTTAATCTCGAAGTCTTATTGTTTTTTTTTCCTAATGTCGCCCTAATACTCCATCGTAGATTTTACTGTCATAAACTTCTTAGAAAATTTGATGTCAGTCATGTAAAACAGAAGACCGATCCTATCAAGGGGTGCAATAACAGTTGCCTGGCGTTTATAAAATGAGGGGACTTCCTCAGAGCAGCTGCCGGCTGATATGAAGAATGGGGCCAAAAGACAGAAGGACTAGTTGAAGGGGGAGGAAAGACAGTTGACTGAGGCATCTCGAAAAGCTGCTGAGGTAGAACAGGGGCCCTTATGTAAGCGCCTATTGGTGTGGGTGAGCAAGTGATAAAGCATTTTGGTGCAGCGGTGCCAGAGCTGTGCAACAAGTTTCTCTTCCTCGATGAGTGTTTCTTTCTCTCCTTGTCCCTGCGGTATCCTGCCTGAGGATACTTGTGCGGTATATAAAACCAATATATACACAATTAGACGTGAAAAAAATGCTTTCAAGTCAACACAAAATTGAGCCGTAATATCCTAGTGAGATATAAAACTTTGTCTTCGTAATGTTACTTTTGCAACACCGCCGAGTGTTTGCAGAAAACATTCCTCCTGCCTCAAGCTCTCCTCCTCACTTATGCAATTGATTTCGCTCTCTTCTTCACTCCATAACAGGCGATGATTAATGTCTCATTAGGGTACAGTGCACACACAGGCACACACAGCAAATATTTTACCCATTAGCCAGAGCGTCTTCCAGAGGCCCTCATTAGTGTTTAGAAACGAGTGATTTAGAGCCAGCTGCGGTGCTGCACCCTCAAAGAACAGATAAGGTCAAACTTTTTTGTCTCTGCGATTCTATACGCGCTCCTTAAAAGACCTTAAAGTTTAAGAAGCAGCTCAACGCCGCTATAAGAAAGTGCGCCCGCCACAGTCAGCTGCATTTTTATGTGGAAACTGTCTATGCAGCACATAACCCAGATCCTGAAGCTGAACAAGCGGACATGCCAGATGCCTGCTCGTGTCCTGATATGACTCCTCCTCTCCCATGACTCCATTCATTGAGGGTGACCTTTCACCCCTGCCTGTGTCAGTGCTAAGGCTTTAACCTCTTGTGGTCTGGAAGCAGGAAAGGGGGAGAATACAGACAGAATTCTGCAACCACTGACAATCCTGTCGCGCTAAATGCGTACCGAAGCTAAATGTGGTTTTAAAATGAGAATAAAGGGCAGGTTTCTCCACTTGACGAGTCTCGTCAGCGGTCTAGATGTGGGTTCGACATCCCAGACGAGACCAGAGTGGGGGTAGGTAGCTGCACCTCCGACTGTGACCTTCAACCACCGGCTGTAATGTCTCCGCTGGGAGAAGAGGATTGGAGGTGGGGTGGTCAGAGGGGGATGGAGAGGTGGAGAACCTTACTCCAGTCTGCCTGCATGCCTGGCTTAAACCTTCTCAGTGTGTCTTAGCAGACCGAGACTCAGACCAGTTAGTAATTACGTTAACCCACCCACCCCCCTTCACTGCAGCTGGTTGCCTTATTGCCTTGTTTATGCAAACGTAGTGCTTTCTGGTCATGTAAACCCACAGGGGTGATAGTGTACCTGACCAAGGACAGATAAGAAAGAAAAGCCTTTCACATCAAAACAAAATACCCCTCTCTCCTCTTCCTTTTCTGAGACCTCTTTTTTTGTCCACTCAAACTGCCCTTTGTCCTCTTATCAGTGGGCTGGATCCAATGCTGATGAGTATTGACAGGTAGAACAAGCTCTACTTTGGGATATGGGTGGCTAAATCAGAGGCAGCACACAGAAAACCGACATTGAGGCAAAATCAACAAGACAGGTAGGAATACAAAAGTGTACAGTGTAGGTTTGAATGTGTTTAGTTGAATATTAACCTGTGTGAGCGAGCGGACTCATTGGTTCCTCCTCTTTCTCCCAACAAAAACATTTGCCCAGGCTTGTCTAAAGCCTTGTGACCTACTTTGCAGCTTTTACAAACTGACATGACAAGGTGTGAAAGCATCACATTGTGTGTGAGAAACAAAACACAACTATTACAATGGTTCATGTAAAACGCACAAAACAACAGCGTTATAGTTAAGGCCTCTTCAAACATATTAAAATCCTGCAACACAATGCTACTTTTACCTGAGCTGGACAAGAACTGATAGAAATAAATGGTTTGTTGACACAATCCAAAGTATGTCACAGTGTGCGGCGAATGCACAACGGGTCACACCCACCTTCAGTGGAGTGCACAAACATACAGGGGTGTTCAGTAAAACTTTGCCACAGTGACCATAACTTGAAGGAAAACAATCCGGAAGTGGGTAAAATCAATATTATCTATAGTCCATTTCTCAAAATGCTCTTGGGATAAAAACCACATGCACGGTAATCTGAATGTTCCAGGCAGTGCTAGGATGATCTTAATACATTTGTTGCAGCTATAACAAATTAAATAAAAAAGCTGCGTAACGGCTGAGAAAGCTGGTTATTTTAAAGCGAGGAAAGCCTCTCACTACTGACTGCAAAACAAAAGCCAATTCCAGCGAGGTAAAGACAGGGATTAATCTGTAAGGTCAATGGAACAAAGGAGAGGCCTGGCTAATAGGACCACACTGTTATATAATGTTATGCAACCTCTTTCAGTGGCTGTGCAGTGTCATATCAGAGTGTTTTTTTATTGGAGCAACAGTGCTGTGAAAAAGAGAAAAAGAGATGTTTCAAATTCAAGACTCTGATGGAGAGGTAAGAGTCAAGAGTGGGTATCAACACTTCCACAAGCACAAAACATCACTCTGGTTTGAAAGCATGTTCAGTCTTGCATGAACCCCTGAGACACGCCCTCACATCATACATGACCAGCAGCACGTGAAGATCCCGTGATGATGTGAGAAGTGGGAAGGAGAAAGTAAGGTTCCAATCCCCCCAAAAACCATTATAATATACACAACTGTCAAACACACAGCAGCCGAAACCTGTTCTTTATGATCTTTGATGCAAATTTAAAACCCTCACATTGCTTCAAATTTTCAACAAGGCTGGGAAAAAAACAAAAACAAAACAGCACGAGTCCATGCAGGATTAATGGAAGCTGCTCTGTGGTAAGAATGTACTGTACTGTGCAGCCAGCAGGCATGTTGTTAATGTGTAAACGCTGTCTGATAAACAGACGCTGTCTTGACACATGTAGTAACCAATAAGCTGTGTTGTAACAATGAAAAAAAAGGCTAAGGCACCGCCTCCGGCCTCTCCCAGTCATCTTTACGGTTACATAATCACTTATCAGTGCACTCTGCTTGTCCCTGGATGCATTTTCTGCTCCTTCTGTGGGAAACAGTCTGTTTGTACAAGACGGATTGCCCTAGGACAATGAAGGAATGCCATTAGATAAATGTCTATATATCCATGTTTGAAAATAAAGAGTAATAATGTCATTAAAACTTACTCAACTACATGTGTAATAAATGAATACGCTCCCCGATGTCAGACGAGTGTAGCGTAGAGCTTTTAACGGTAGAGTAAGACATCAAAAAACACCAAGTCAAATCAATTCAATCTTTAAACAGCAAAATAAAACAAGAAACTAAAAACGCTGTAACTGCTCCATTCCTGCTCTCGCTTTCTTTCTGTCAAGTGATTGGGTAATCCTGGCCCTCATCTCTGGCTCTCTTAGAACAGATTTCAAAACTATTCTGGACAGAACACCGAACATGTGGTCATTTGACCATACGCCCCCACACCATTCATGCCCAAACCACTGTACAGCTGTAGCCAGAGGGTAAATTCCTCTTCTACTCAAGGCTTTGTGCAGAGTATGAAAATGCCTAGGATTATTGTTTTTATCGGCACCAATCTAAAGTTCAGTGAGCTTCATGGAAATTACGAGACACACAAAAGGTCATACTGCGTGCTCCAGAATCATACGGTGTTGATTTAATATCTGTGTTCTGAAAGCTGTAGGTTATAAAAATTTAAAACAAAATAAAGATGAGCGAGCTTCTGTGCCTGTCCGCCTCTTCTTACCTGTTTCTGGGCACAGGGATGTGGTTGGAGGAGAGCGGCTGTCTCTCTGTCAATGGTACACTCCGCCCTTGCGCAGCCCTGACATTGTTGGCCAGCTCTGCTTGTTTCCCTGGGTTCTTGACGTCCAAATGCATGAAACTGCCTGGCAGCTGCCCGTTTGTGCCTGGACAGTGAGTAGGACTGGCCCTTTTCAGCGGACCAGTGGACCCGGTGTCTCTTTGGTCCCCCAGGCCGATCTAGAGAATGAGGAAATGTATAATTTAAAACAGATAGCATGACTGAATCTGGATGTTTTATGCTAAATAGATTCTGCTGCATCCCTTCTGGTTCAAATTAACCAACCAAGATTGAATATCATTTGTCTCATGTTATGTCATAAGCATGAGCTGGTTGGCTATTTGAGTCCCATGTTAAAATATCAGTTGATTTTTGTATTTTTTAGGGTTCAAGAATTAAAGCAGTATTGAAAACTATTTAGCCACGCCTGCAAAAGTGATACTTTCAACATCTTAGAAACAGTTACAGGTGCTCATATAATATCTAAATGGAGTGTAATGCTGACATGAAAACCAAATAGCAAGTTTCAAACACAGAAAATTAGTAATTAATCAAGTACTGATGATCTAGAATTATCACTCATCAAATGTTGCTAATAAGAAGTCTCCGGCTATAATACTAGGCCCATCTTAGTGCCCCCTTTACATAGTCATTTGCAATAAATAGACCAACTTCACTTATCTGACTCTAGTGTGATCTGCCCCACTTCAACAGCTGGGGTAGGAATTGGTCATCTATGCATATTTGATGTTGCAGGGTCAATTATTAACTGTAAGACATCTTGACCCTACTAAGAGACAGGCATCGACCAAAGTGGGTGAGATTTCAAGACAATAATAAGTGTGAAATTCAAAGTTATACACCATGAAATCAAAGAAAACAACAAAAATCCACCACATGTGAAAGGAATAGTAGGTTTGAGTAGACTAGGAGAGAAGCCGGGTCGTGCTGTAGCTACAGTCCAGGAAACCCTCTCTCTATAGCTCCACCCTAAAGTAATGGGGGAGGGGGTCTGACTAGTAGTTTGCTGTCCCTGCCCCCCTTTTTGGTAAACTTTGCCCACAAAAACGAGCCGCCATTTAAAAGCGGTTTTGATACGACGTTATTACTAAGGAACAAGCTTTTGACAGCATGGTAAAATACCCAATTAAAGAAAGTGGGTGAAGAGTTAGAAGGCGGTAACGCTTTTCGACTCACAGACACACACCAAATAACTGTTACAGTAGTTGCGTTTCTCTGTAAGATTCACATTCGCTCTACACAACCGTTCAATCTACACAACCTATCGTTCAATTTTGACATTTATCGTTAATGCTGGTTCGACCAAGCAGTGAAAGTTGTCAGAGCAATGTAATAAACAAGCTGTGGTGATATTGTGAATATAATCCGTACTGTAATTTGAGCGCACAGACGCGTCTACCGGCTGATGAATTCGTGCGATCGTCCGCAACATGTTCGAACAACACTTACTTTTTCCACCTCGTGTAATATTCGTCCTCCCGGAGAGAGTCCGTTCGCTTTCAGGGAGCTTTTAAGCTCACTCGTTGAACCGCCGTCCGCTACGAATTTGTAGAGAACAGGCCCGTTCGTGTACGCCGGCATGGGACCGTTTTTCTCCACCGTTGGGACCCGGCTGTCGCGGAGCACCGAGCGTCCTACCCGGCAGTTGAAATCACCACCGCCGCCGATCCTCGTCCCAACCGACGGCTTCTCCATGATATACCTTGACTCCATTTTCAGACAGGGCGAGAGAGGACTAAAGAAAGAAAACCAGCTTTCTATAGATTTTAGTGCAAATTGCTGGACTTGGATACATTTATCAGGATTGTCGAGAGTTGATAGGTGTCTTATCGTGTCCTTACTTCAACCTAGTCTACATGTAAAGTTTTCCACCACTACGGCCGCCGCCTCCACCACTACCACTACCCAGGATATCCAAAAAGCCGCCCGGTCAGAGGGATAAAAGATTGTTTTGCCTCTTTCCTCCAAAAGAATGCCACGCCTCCCTTACTTCACTCCTATTGGTCCGTTGCGTACATAAACATTACACTTTGGCACGCGTCCATGCCGAAACGCCGTCTGATTGGCTAGTTTTGAGGTGTCAATCATTTTTTTCGTACTCGAAGTGATGTGGGTGGAAGAGGGGGAGGGGGCGTGTCCTGCAGTTTACCGGCCGGTGTCTGTCGACGACGAGGAGAGGAGCCGGCGAGGCAGAGCGGAGAGGAAAAACAGCCTGCAGGCCTCAGCCACAAACTGCGCATTTATATTTTTGGCTTATCAAGAGGTGAACCAACCGTACTTACGTGTGGGTTTTAATCGACGGAATAAACATGCGTAGTGAAACTAGTTCCCCTTACTTAAGTAATATCTTCTATTTGTCTATCACTTGTACCTACTATGTAGACGTTTTTGTTTACTTTTTTTTCCTCTTTATAATCTACCAGGCATATTTTTACACACTTGCAAACCCCTTAGTCGAAGCACAAAGGTTTTGCAAAGCAAGTTTTAGTTTTGAGAAGCTGTCACAAAAATGCACATCTCTTACATTATTTAGGTCATTTAAATAGTTTATATGATTGTAATAAAGGGTAGAAACTTGAGAGACTTCTTGCTATGTTGTGCATTGTTACTGCATTAGCTTCACTGTAGTCTAATTTCTCAAATTTTCTTTGTTGTAATGGTTATTTACTCAATTAAACAATGTTTGGTCATGAAATACACCAATAGTTCAAGACGTACAACATAATAGTTTAAGTTCTAAACCATATTTACAAAATTCATTTACATAGTTTCAGTAAACTGCTGAGACTTGGTGTTGCAAAGCACGTTTTAGTTTTAAGAAGCTGTCACAAAAATGCATGTATCTTACATTATTTAGGTCATTTAAATAGTTTATATGATTGTAATAAAGGGTAGGCACTTGAAAGAGTTATTGCTATGGAGTGCATTGTTACTGCATTAGCCATTGCAGTCTAATTTCTCATATTATCTTTGTTGTCATGTTTATTTACTCAATTAAACAACATTTGGTTATAAAATACACCAATAGTTTAAGACATACAACATAATAGTTTGAGTTCTAAACCGTATTCACAAAAATCATTACTCAAGTTTCAATAAACTGTTATGTTTAAGTGATGCTATTAGCACTTAAATGCCTCTTAATCCAACCTTTTTAGGCACTTTAGAGACTTCTTGCTATGTTGTGCATTGTTACTGCATTAGCCACTGTAGTCTAATTTTTCATATTTTCTTTGTTGTAATGTTTATTTACTCAATTAAACAATGTCTAGTTATGAAATATACAAATAGTTAGACATACAACATAATAGTTTAAGCTCTAAACCATACCCACAAAATTCATTTACCTAGTTTCAATAAGCTGTTAAGTGAGGCTATAAGCACTAGATGCCTCCTAATCCAACCTAAAAAACTGTGGACATGTTGAGTTTAACATATTCATATTAGTAGCTGCATTTACTCCGAGATCATTCTATAATCTCCCCGAGGCTGCGGTGCTGTTTCGATATCCTGTACGAAGCAATAAGAGGACAGCCAAATGACATACACGTTATGATGTGCCACTTTATTAGAAAAGTAAAAACTCACTTTAATATTTTATGAAGGTTAATATAAAACATTACAATCTTTTGCATATCTGCACTGTCACACTATATGTTATATATATTTTTTTCGACTAAACCCTGTGCTTTATAACATACAACATTGGCTACAGCTGTCACAGCAGATTTGGCCCATAATTATATCTGATAAGACAATTAACAAACAGCATCTGTATCTGCATGGAAAGCATGGAACATTTTGCATCCACAAAGTACAATGTGTCTGTGATAACCATCTTTTTTTTTTTTCAACATATACTGTTTACTGTATGTTACATTGGAACAACATCAGAACAGCAACAGAGTATTTTACACATTTACATCATCATACTGTGTTTGTGCAATGAACATCTGCCTCAATCAGAGTATGACAGTGCTCAACAAAATATATATATCAGATCAGTGCTTTCTCTCAGGATAAACTAAATGTGACACGTAAAGTGACAGCCAGAGAAAAAGGATTAAGTGAGATAGCGATTTTGCAGCCAGCATTGTCTATGGGAAGCCTCAGCAGAGCTTGCTAAGCATCTCAGCTGTTCGCCATTTCTCATATCAGGCAGTTGTTGAGCCGTTGGTGCATTGTTGATATCAGACAGGGGTTGGCCTGACCCACAGCCTCTGCCCCTCCTCGACTCCCCCCACCCCACCCACCAGCTCCCCTCGCCTCTCATATAACTCCCTGAGTCCCTCAGAACTGGACATCAAAGCCCCCTCCCCAGCACAGCGAGGGAGAGAGGTGAGGCAGAGAAAAGAGAGAGAGGTCTGTGTCGGTTATTGGAGGATGAACACAGCTGGGGGAGGGAGTATCTGCAAGAGCTGGCTGAGTGGAAGCAAAATGTGCTTCCCTCCCTAAACTGGAAACACACATGGCTCAATGTTGCGGTGTGTATGTGTGCCTGCAGGTGTGTATGTGTTTGTGTACATGGGTGCGTGTGTGTGTGTGCAAGCACGCAAACATATTCTAGAAGGAGGAGTCTGTGTCCATTTGCAGTGATCCTCATCCAGCTTTATATTAGCCGTTCCTTCCCCCTCCTCACCTCTATCCCTCCTTTTTTTATTCCCCCCAGTGCAGAGGATAAACAAAGCTCTGCCTCAAACCCCTGTTGGCTTTCTACTTCTTCCCCCTCCTCCACCAAGTTCTAGCTTTAAAAAAAGAAAAAAGACTGAATGCTGCTCTTGCGTCACATAAAAAAAGTACAGCAGAAAAGTTAACAAACAAGAGATCAATTAAGTACCACAATATTCTGTTTTCATCTCCATATATCAAAGCATGCACTTTTTGATCAAGCAGGAAAAAAGTTGCACCAACAACATAAACATATTGTTTTCATGGCAGTGGCATGAGCTATTTAACCAATGATATTGTCAGTAAGTAAGAAAAAATAAACAGTGCATTAAAACACAGAGTGCATTGTTTTTACATACTCTCTGGCACAGTAGCATTTATAGATTTATGTCGCAAACCTCTTCAAACCCGTCTTTTCCCTTCTTCGTTGTCTCACAGTGAGATCATTATGATACATCTCTCAACCTCTGAGCAGTGTGTACCCCTTTCCCCTCTTTTCTTTGTATCTTTGTCAAGCTTTTAAATATTTTGTTCTATAATTTTTTTAATGTTCCCCAAAGCTGCACGGAAAAGCCATTGTTTACTATGGACGAAAACTCTGTGCAAAGGCTGGAGACGAGGATGGGGAAAGGGCGAAGGGCAGACTTCCAAAGGCCACTTGCTGGTAATTTTTATGCCCAGCTCCCTGTTTTCTTTGGAGTCTAAACCTTGTGCTGCTATTTCAACCACCAAACTTGAGTCTGCTGAGCTGCAGTGAGCTCTGTCTCTTACTTGAGACCAGAGAGCAAATCAGGATGGTGTTGGGTAACGCCCTTTACAGCATGTTAATGCACAATTAAGCTAATCCTGCAGCTGTCCGGTGCAAAATAACAATGGTCATAAAATTCGATGTGCACAGCGCCCGAAGGAAATGGAATATTAACTGAACAGGATGGAAACCCAGTTACACTTTCACTTCCTTAATTTATAAATATTCTTCTCTTATTTATATTGTTTATATTATAATTTTGTATTGTAATACACTAAAGGTCTCACATTGTGCAATTCCTCACCCGCACCACTCTGGGGAAATCTTACACAACCCACTCACTGCCCCTGACCAGGTCACTTTACCCTGCATGACTTTTTTGAATATATGTGTTGTGTATGTGTAGGAGTGCTGGGGTGTGTCATCATGCCTCTGGCTACAGATGTTAGTCAAATCTGAATAAATATCCTCAACTGATCTCATAATTTATGAGAAGTTTACAGCATCAATTAAAGCTCACTTTGAAAAGTTCTCATGAGAGCTGTCATTAATAACAGCGGATAAAGTTAGGGCACAGTGATGGTTATTTGTGAAACGGGGGGACTGCGGCCTTTAATTACTTGTGAGTCGAAGCAGGCCCGCATATCCCAGGCCCAATGTTTGAACAAAGCAGCACAATGCCGTCTGCCAGGCAACAGGCAGGTGTGCACAGAGAACCTGTTTCAGATGTTTACTTAGGGAGAGCTAAGCACCGCAAATCTCTGTGACATCCATCTGCCTATATTACATAAGTCCCAAAAAAGATGAGGCATACATGTGCGCGAGTGTGAGCGTGTATGGGTGATGATAGCTAACTGTGTACCTCATACCCAGGATTCTTGCTACTTGTGTTTTTTTTTAAGTGTGTGTTAGCACAATGCATGCACATTTACCTTTTTTTTATAATATATAATAAAGGTTGTGAATTACACCACATACTCTACAAAGAGTACAGTGTTCATATAAAAATAAAGATATTATGGAAAATGATGCACAAACAGGTGAGTATTGTCAGTGACACAGAAGGTTGAAGATTCAAATTCCACTTTTCTTCTCTTTTTTTATTTAAAAGACATTTGGTCCGTTTTTGGGCTGGACTAGGCTTAGGCTGGTTCTGGAGTACAGACCAATCAAGGGAAGTCTGAACCTGGATTAAGACCCTGTTTGTACCTGATGTCATCGCAAAGTGGATCCTCGTGTTTTTTGTTGTCTAAAGAGGGTCTGGTGTCTATGTACAACAGCCTCTTGGCAGGTGAACAGGAGGGTCCCTTTCATGACTGTGTACCAGCAGGCCCTCTGAGCCAGCTACAGGCCAGTGACATACATCTCCATCCCGTCATTGAAAGTGAAGATGGTGGTGGTGCTGGAGCTGTTGCCCCCTTGTTTCACGTCGCTGATGGTCTCATAGAAGTTTTCCCCACCCGGAAGGCCCTTAGTAGGCAGGGCAGTGGGTCCTGAGCCCTGCAGTGCCGCTGGTGCTGCCTGCTGCTGCTGCTGCTGCTGCTGTTGCTGTGGCTGTGGCTGTGTCTGCTTCTTTCTCTTCAATGTGGCACTACCTCCAGCTGTGCTGTTATTGGTTCCCGCCTGCTCGCGTTTTCGGTGGGGGTCAATGGTAGCGTACGCCTGGTCGGATTCCGCCATCGCACATGTGGACCAGGACCTGTCTCCTACCGGCTCATAGCAGGGCTCCTCCTGGGAGCGCGCCTGGACCTGGACTCCTCGGCCCCTGCCACGGGACCCTCCGCCAAAGGAGCGGGGGAGGGTCTTTGCCCCACTGTTTTCCATGGGGGGTTTCTTCTTCTGGGATTTACAGACAATGGAGTAGGTGTCTGCAATCTGAGAGCACACACAGAGGAGAGTTTGGTGTCAGTTAATAACACTGAACTACAGTACAACCGAACTCTATCCTACAGAGTATGTGTCACAGCTCTTGAAATAGAAGTTGAGTGTGTCTCTGCCCTATTCTCCGCCTTGATTCTTTAGGTAACATCCCTAACCACAGCTGACAGATAATAGACATGAATTGAATTTAACTAGAAAACCATTCTATTCCATGTTTCCCACTTTGACTGTGACTCAGAAGTTAGTTGAGAGTATGTGCAGACTTCCTATATTTGTGTAAGATTATAACTCCTTCAAAATGCTTGACATAAAGGCTCATTATGCGAACATGAGAATAAATATCTAATATGGAGTGTGCAAACCAACCTGCGAGCATAGATTGTGTGGGTGTGTGCGCCGCACTTTGCAAATGTGTTGACAGAGCCGGCTCTGTGCTGTAACCTGACCTATTTCAGCAGGGCAGGATAAGACAGAGTAAACTCTGTTATCAGTCTGCTGAGGTCTAGGCAGAGTGACTGAGTTAGCTTTGCAGTGGATGGACCTGTTAAAATTTCGCCACAACTGCTTTGGCAACAGAACAGCTAGGCATGGTGTGATAAGTATGGACGGTATCCAGCTCACTTAAAAGAAAAAAAAAGTCCTGCTAAATGGCGTTCACTAATGGACTTTCCTCACATCTCATTTGCTTTGAATGGGGCATTACCTGTAAGTGTATGCATGTGTCTGTTAATGTGTCACGCGTTGACACATGTGCGCAGGATCTGCATGTTTACTGTATGTGTTTTCTGATCATAAATCACTTAACTTCAGAGGTGATATCACGGCTTCGAGGTATGTGTGAGGTCTTATGGGGAATTTGGACGAACCAGTGTTGTGACCTTTGGCATTTCTGTGTCAAAATTCCTGAAGAGGAGTGCAAGAGTGGAGCATTGTGGGGCATGGCAGTGTTTACTTTCCATGTTCACACCTAGACCAGCAGCTCTGCTCCAGTGGCCCTGAGAAACACTGGCTATGCAAACTCTTTCTCCTGCACACACAGATAACCTGTTTTGTTTTTGTTCAGCTCCCAAAAAGTGAGACCTACGAATGCAGAGGCAAACTTTAAAGGATTTTGTTAAAAACATAAATAAAGTAAAAATCACAGTGACTTTAAGTGTTTCTCGCTTGAAGTCTCTGTTAGATTACAAGTGACACACACACCCTACCCCCACAAATCTCTTGTGTGACCTTTTTGGATAAACAAAGACCCCAGCGTATGCAACAAGTGTGTGCACACAAAGTGCAGTGTTTGTTTGTGTGCATTTGTGCACACGTACTCTGCAGCTCTGTGCAGCAGAGGAAGGAAGTCACAAGATGATGGGGATTTCAAAACTGGGCTGCAGCTGTTGAGGAAGCTTGTGCGTTGTATGTTTTCTTTTCTCCTCCCCTCTGCCTGTACTCTTCACTTTAACGTCTCTTCTGATTCTGCTTCAGCTCTCCGCTCAAACCACGGCTTTGAGGAGTCACATTTAATTACAACATGTAGTGATTTTTTCACAGAAAACACAACAATATGCATGACTGATGCATCTGTGTGTGATCAACTTTATGAATAGCAAATATGGCCCACATTTCCAAGCAGTCTGCAAGCAGTCAGTATTCATCTGGTAAGACATGCTCTGTGCAATGTGATTGGTTGGAGAAGGCAGCGCCTCCTTATAGCCACAGGGGGAGTGGAGCGGAGGGAGAGGGCGCCAATAGAGAGGAGGAGATTTAGGTGGGAGTGGAAACTCAACACCTCCTGACGGCTGCAACTGACAAACTCCAGAGGATACAAAGTATAGGGGCATGTCAGGGCAACAACAAACTCAGGAATGGAAAAACACAGCAGCTCAGGGAGAGAGAAAAAGTTTGGGGAAAAACAGGACAGAAAAGTTTGAAGACAGAAAAAGAAATTGACAGGGAGAGGTTTCAGCAGGCTTTCAAGGCCAGTTGCTCTGTGTGCCAGTTTGATTCGAAGAGGAGGAGTTAAACTTCTGAGCCAAACAGCAGAGACTTAACCCTTTAATCTCTGCATACAACATCCAAACACTTGGCTCAACACTGGCTTAGACAAGGATCTTACCACTGGATTAAACCTTGTCGGGGCTGCGAGTTTATTTAACTCTTACAGGCCTCTCAGAATAAATAAATAAACCATCCGCTCAGTTTGTCTTCATCAGGACTGTCTGTTTTACCTCATGAGCAAAATATTTATCCTCTAACTTATTCACCACAAGCTGCAAGAAGTTTTATTTCACTCTTGACAGAAAGGAAAAAAGACGTCTTTGTGCAGATGGTAATAATAAATAGAGGCAACTAATTATAGGCGGTAGTCTTTTTCAGGGGAACACCTCCATGTACTCAGATTGATTTCCAAAGCCCTAAAGGCAGGACGAAGGTTCCCCAACTGCTTGTAACTCTTTGGATGTACTGCATCCAGCAGAAAAAGGGGGGTGAAGGATTGAGGGGAGAAGCGTGGGAGGAGCCGGAAGAGGTGGAGTTGGAGTTGCTGCATGTGGAAGCACATGTACCGGGGTGTGTGACATGACTGCTGAATACAGACCCCCCTTTTTATACCAACAGATTCACTCGATCCTATAAACGAAAATATATATTTACACATGCTAAAATGTGAGTGTGAGTGTGGAGTATATAGGTCAGCTCGTAACCCGCATCTCAGTCAGGGCTCGTCCTTTTCGGTCTGTGTGGGCTGATGAAACCCAACAGTTAACCTTTACCAAACATCTCCGTGAACGCAAGGCGATACTTAATTATTCTGCAGCAGGTGATGCTGGTGTCTGATGCGTCTGTTGATATGTGCAATGGAGAGACAGAAGGAGCAGGGGGTGGCGGGGAGTGGGGGGGATGTGGGTCAGGGTTCAGGCACGGGGGGTTGGGGCTGCTGCGTCCGTGTAACGTAACCTCTGGCTGTAAGCAGAAACCTCGTATGACAGGCAGGTCACAGGGCAGCGGTGTTATGACGGTGCACCCAATCAAACGGGCGCCCCGATGAGTAAACACAGCAGTCACAAATCAGAGGGCTGTCCGTCTTTCTGCCCCCGAGTTCTTCCAGCCCCCCCAGTCACAGAGAGAAAGAGAGAGAGAGAGCTACATATATATCTGTGTATATTAACAGATATGTGTACACTATAATACCTCCTTTGCAGTTGGGGGCGATGGGTGCCCCTGTCCGTTCTCCCCTCGAAGTGGAGGTGGGTGTAAGGTGATTATGTCATCTTCTTCTGGAGGCTTCCAAATGTACTGCTCCCCGTTGCCCATAAACACTGCCTCCTGGAATAAAACCACAGCAAACAGAGAAGGTCAAGCAACTTTTACATTAACAAGCCATAAGCTGGTTTGAAAAATTAACTCTCACACCCAAACAGAAGTGCTAGAGCAGGTTCTAAATGTGTTTTGATTAGGGTGACCATACGTAGTCTTTTGCCCAGACATGTCCTCCTTTTGGGGGCTGTCCGGGTTTGTCCAGGGAAGTTTTTAAAACCCTTCAAATGTCCGCAGTTTTGTATGTAAATTTCGAGTTGTGTCACGTGGAATTACTGAGTTAGAAGCGCGTAAAAGAGGCTAGATACGACCCAAAATTAACTTTGTGTGACTTCATGACTCCGCCTCTGCGTAGTCCTGCCCTCTTTTTTGGAAGCCAGAATATGGTCACCCTACTTTTACATCAGCTGGACCTGTTTAGTGTTACTCAAAGCTATGACCTCATGTATGATAGGGTGTTGAGGTACATAACTAACCTTAGACCTGTGAGTTACAAAAGTTGTCATTTGATACATTCACTTAATAGGTAAACAGTTGCCATGTTGCAGAGAGTTGGCAACTTGTGCACGCACTCCTCCAGGAGAGAGATTGATTATGTATTGCAGGTGAAAGGTCAAGGATGGATGACACATTTGCTTTGACTGTACGAGTCAGTCATTAAAGTATAGCGCAATTATAGCCTTGCATTTGATCTACTACTCTTTGGTTGTTCCCTATATATCTTACTCTGTGGAACTGTGGGGATCCACCTTTAAAATCAATATAAATTCAATAATAAAACTGCAAAGACAAGCTGTACGTATTATCAATAAGACTGATTATTATGATCACACGGAGCCACTTTTTCTCAATTCTCATGTTATGAAATTTTATGATCTGTTTTATTATAAAATAATGCAAATTATGTTTAGAGCAAAATTAAAAATGCTCCCTGACTCAATACAGAGGTTCTTTGTCCGTATAATCTCAGAGGTCCTTTCGAATTTACTGTACAGAAAGCTAAAAAAGGTATGAAAAGGAGATGTGTCTCTATTACTGGAGTTAAATTCTGGAATGATGCCAACATAAATCTAAAAACATGTCATTCTTTTTTGGTTTTTAAGAAAATGGTTTGTAAAGCTATTTTTGAAGCTTCCAAGTGCGATTAATTATCTGTTTCTTTGCTTTTCTGGAGGTCGGTAGCCTTAAAAAGTTGACAATACAGGATAGGCTTTTATATGCAGTCTGCTTCTGCCTACGCCTTTTCAGTCAATCTTCAACACATGATTCTTGATTTAGTGATTTTGTGTGAAATGTCAATATTGTGTACAATATTTGGTGTTGTCATGACTGAATAAACGACTACGACTACTACTACTACTACGACTACTACTAAAGAATCAAACCATAAAAACAAGTCATGTCGTAAGGCTTTTTTTTGGAGAGTATTCACTCCATGTTGAAGTATCAGCTTTCAAACAAACAAATCAGCCTGTGGTGCATCAGAAAGAGAGAAAAAGTGTTAGCCATGATAGCTAATAGTTCACCAGGAGTTAATTAGTTCCTCCTTTCTGTGAGACCAACTGTTCCACAAAGATTTCATGCAAATGTATTTGGTTAAAAATAACCACATGACAGACTGACAGACTGATCCAGTGACACACAGACAACGCTGCCAAGTAAAAAAATATATAATTCTCTGTTCGTAACTCCTTCTCAGATTACAAAAGCTACGCTAAGCAAAAATAGAACGGCTCAAATAATGTTCTTGCACTTTCTGTCTTCAAAGATGTTATCAAAAACTGTTATCTGACCTTAATGTTCAGAACCCCTGGTGATCAAAACCAATTAGAAACCATTTGAAAACCAATTAGAAAGAATGTAGTGGTGTGTGCACATGCGACTGAGGATGATTAAACTTTTATATGCTCCCCCTGTGCAAGGAGAGTGAGTAATAGAAGCTGGGGCAGAGTAAATGGCTTCAATATGGGAACATTATTTATCCCCACTCTGGCTGCTGGCTACCTGTTAGCGCTTTCTACACAGACTTGCTGATAGGTTCTATGGGAAAAGAGGCACACGCGCTAACACACCGCACGCACGCACGCAAACACACTCACACACTCACACAGGCAACACACAGACATACACGCAGGCAGCTTGGCAGCCAGCCAAGCTCTTACATAATCCAATCCTTCCACTCTTTACTCTGGCTACTAATACTGTGTGGTGCAGCAGAGCGCAGAGGGGCGGCAAGAACACACACACACACACATGCACACACATAAACACAGAGAGTTATGCACTTTCAAGGGTTTAGCAGCAAAGATTAAAAGTGCAGGACAACAACCGGGCAGACACCCACGGCCAAGACGCAACTTTAAACAGCTTTATCAGTCTTTGTCAATCTCATACACAAAAAAACAAAGTCACCTGTTTTAAACACTGCCAAACACACAAACACACACACAAAAGCCAAAACAAATACAATGCATGAAAAATAGATACATGTGCCAAGGGAAAGGCTGATCGCCATCCGATCATTGTGTGTCTGTTTCCCTCACAGGTTGTCCCTAAACTGTGGCCTTGACTGTTGTATTAGCACCCACACCTCTTTATGTAATTAAACACTAACACAGGAAATCCTAAAAACAAAACCTTGGTCAGTGTAGAAATTCATTAATATATCATTTTCAGTTAAAAATTCTCACACATTCTGCACACTGGCGATGACTGATGACTACAGAGTAGGTATGTGATTTCCAGTCCAAAGAAAATAAAGAAATGAGTGAGTAAAATTTTGTTAATCATGAGGTTTGAGCGTCCAAAGAGCTGTTTGTTTGTGGACAGTGCCCTCTGGTGGTAGACAGAAACCGTTACAGTCTGCTGAGGTTAGTCTAAAGGCATATTGATCCAATGATTCTTGTACCTTTGGGAAGGAGTGAAGGTGGAACGGCTCCAGAGGTTTCCGTGGAAACTCCTGACTGCGATGCAGCGGAGGAGGAGCCGCAGAGGGTGAATCACTCACGCTCGATTGGCTGTCTGACTGGCTGTCGGCCCCGTTATTCTCCTTCCTGTTTGTCTTCTCAACCTTGAGGTATTGAGCCAGCCAAGAAAACATTACAAACAACTTACTCCATTGAGGAAGACAGTGGAAAGTCTGTGCAACCAAGTTAACCTGGAGCTCTGGTACATGTCAGCGAAGTACGTGACTACAGTTATAAGTTCATAAATGAGTTAATAAATGCTATCTTCACCAAACTTTTAGCCATGTAATATTTAAACTGTGACCCACCAAGGGACTTAAAATGCAGCTTAGCCTTAAGATAACTCTGGTGCATGACTAGATTTATGTTTTTACCCATGAAGCACTGTGTTTAAGATGCAGTTTTGGTTCATTCATTGCCTTATTTTTCAGAGCTAGTACGCAGTAAACTAGCATTTTCTTTCTTATCCTTCATCATCTTTAAACTATGTCACAATACTTGCTGTTTCAACCAGTTTTTTCCTTGTACTGATAGCGATCAAGCAAACACCGTCTTTTACTACCATAGATACCATCAAATTGCATAAGAGATAACAAAACTGATCACCGCAGCCAACAAAGAAAATAAATTCCTTCCATTTCCCTCAACTTCAGGTGCTAGCATCACAGTGCTATTGTTCTGATTGAAATTTATGTGTATTTTCACCTTTCTGAACTTCCGTATGGAGGCGTACTCAGCTGCAGTCGGATCGTGGCTGGCCAGGGAGTTGACAGACGACAGAGGGGACCTGTTGACTGCATTCGCACCGTTACTTCTTCCCGTCATCGGTCCATTTATGAGGCCATTGCCTCTGCCGTTCCCTCTGCCACCCTTTATAGAAAAATAAAAAACACAGAGGCACTCTTTTTTACTTCTTAAAGATGTAAGTAAAAAACAAATCAAAGTTAGAAACTCAAAAACAGAGATAATTATTTAGAGGCAAAAAAAATTAACCAATGACAAATTTTGTGATTTGACCCATAAAAGTGATTTACTTCCAATCGTGATTTGTGTGCGCTTACATTTCCGTGCCCGTTCCCACCACGAACTCCAGTGGTCTGAGCTGGAGGGCTTTGTGCAGCTCTGACTGGAGTGCTGTTGGAGGACGTGGACGGCGGGGCAGAGGGAACCTTCGGCGCCGTGTCACCCTCTCGGACGCCTACACTTTCATATAAGCCGTCATCCAGGCAGTGCGTAGGTGTGGGGTTGTTCCTTATGCCCACCTCTGTGTAGGTGTGGTCTCTCGTCTCCCCTCCTCCTCCACCTCCTCCTCCACCACCTCCACCTCCACCTCCTCCCCCATCACTCCCTGCTTCCCCACCTCCCCCCTGGTTGGATCCCTGCGGACTTGTGGGGATCTGGGGAAGCTGGCGCCCATGGGAGGGCCTCAGGTCTGTTTGTGAGCGTCGGCTGTGGAGGAGCAGGAGGTCCATGCTGGCTGGACGGCTTTTGCTCACAGCTGCGCAAAGACGAAAAAGGGTTGGATGGGTGAAATAATGAGACAGCTAAAGGTTGTGTTGCATTAAAATTTCACAGACAAGCGTCAATAAACACTTACAGTTTCCGTTGCAGGGAAAGCGATTGATCTCATGCAGCCTGGTGTCAGATTTACTCATGGAGTTTAGTTTCGGGTGTCGAAGTGTGCCCTGCTGTCACACACATAGACAGGTTGATACACGCATAAAACATGCACGTCATCTATCAGCATCTGTATTTGATGGAGACATGGGGGGATAAAATGGAAACAAAAAGTAAAATTGGACAAGGATAGGAGGGAGAAAAATGGAGACAAAAAATAAAATTGGACTAGGATGGAAGGGAGGAAAATGGAAACAAAAAGTGAAATTTGACAAGGGTAGGAGGGAGGAAAATGGAAACAAAAAAGTAAAATTGGACGAGGATAAGCAGGAGGAAAATGGGAACAAAAAAAGTAAAATTGGACAAGAATAGGAGGGAGGAAAATGGAAACAAAAAGTAAAATTGGACGAGGATAGGAAGGAGTAAAATGGAAACAAAAAGTTAAATTGGACGAGAAAAGGAAGGAGTAAAATGGAAACAAAAAGTAAATTTTGACTAGGATGGGAGGGAGTAAAATGGAAGCATGTCTCACCATATTTACAGAAGTCCCTTTCTCTCCTGCTGGGGGGTGCTTGCTCTTGCTTTTTCTGACACAACATCAAAGAGAGGAAGGTCAACATGAGCCGGTGGACAGGGAGAAAAACATACACACACTCGGAGCAGAAAGATGCTATCAGAGTCCAACTCTGGTCAGGGCATGAAAGTCCTTGGTTAGTAACAAAAGCCCAGTCGAACAGTGAGTGTAGCATGACTCAGTCTTTTTTTTTCTTTTTGCCAGAGTGGAGTTTGTCCTTCACTGAGAAACCTTATTTTTATACTTCTTTTCACAACAAAAACCAAGTTCTCATCTTTCCTTGATGCTAACTCCCTCTGCCATCTCACTTTACCACCCTCTGGTTTTAATTGTTTGCTACAAATGTTTGAAGAGTGGTGTTATGCATCCTTGTGGATCCCTTGAGGTTGTAGCTATAGGAGACTGTTGGTATGGTGAGATTGTGAGGAGATGAAATGAGAAGACAAAAGCTCCTGGGCGCAGGTGTGAACGTGACAACTCTGCAACTCCCATCCCCCTCTTTTTATCCTCACCTCATCTTTTCTAGCTTACAAACCGTTCCAGGAATCATGAATATATCATGTTATTTTACAAAGTGCTTGAATCATGTCGGAACATTAAAAAGTACAACAATCAGTCATGTCGGATTCACATTACTGAACCCGAGTTGGAGCTCAGTCCTATTCCTACAAGCATATGGTTATCACACCCCAAAGGGACCACTCGAAGGTGAAGGGAGCTCCCCTGGGAGTTGTCATAACACGGAGAAGCAGGAAGGTCTTAGTCCAGAAATATCAAGTTGGAATGAAGACGTAGAAAGAGCAGCAACCATTATTCTGGAGGTTTCAGATAAAGACCTTACAAGGTGTCTACCATAATCCTTAGAATAGAGGAGAGCGAGAGAAGGATTGATTTGTCTTTAAGTCAATAGAAGGAAATCAATAGTGGTTAAGTCTCTCTTTTACAGGATGTATCGTGTTTGTGGAAGACAAAGTGAATTTGAACAGCTGAGCGATAAAGAGCAAACATTTTATCATTACATCTTGACAGTAGCGTGGTTTTATTTCCATGAAATGAGCCGCATTGACATTTCTCTACATCCTTATCTGTGTATCCCATGGCAACAAAGCCACAAAGCAGCCCCTGATTGGTCCCTGAGGGTTAAAAAAAAAAAAAAAAAGACAAAAACAAAGCCTGCTCCATTGCTCCTGCCTGGCTCTGAGTCTGATCCTCTTTAAACCGCAGGGTGCTCCATTGCTTTTTCCTGAGCAGGAGGCCTCCACATACAGAGGGGAAGGGAATGATGGCGTGAGGCCGCTCTGACTCTCCGTCCTGTCTCCTCAGTGTCCCGTAAACATCATTTCATCTGATCTGACACTCACAGCCATTAACATTCATTACTGCTTCTCTGCTCGGAGCAGGGGATAAAAGAGACAGAGAGGACAGACAAATGGACGGAGCGATGGAGGGAGGGAGGAGAAGAGTTCAGAAGAAGTAAGGGCAGATAAAAGAAGGGGCGGATGATGAGAGTGATCTGGGAGGGCACGAAAGCCTGCGGCACAGATGATACAACTTTGCCTGTTGTATCCTTTTTTTCTTCTTTTTTAATCCGCCCATACTCTTAAAATTTCAAGTTTTGTGACCGTACTCTTACCTTTGGCAGCCGACGCATACAAGGACGATCAGGATGGTGACCACAAATGCAGATGCTGCTGCAATGGCTCCCAGGAGCAGCAGGTTTTGGTAGGGGGGGTTTTCAAGATCCGTCCCTTGATCGTCCATGTCACCCGCTGCCACTTTCTCACTCATTCACTATCCACTTGAGCTTGAACTCTGCCGCACGGACTGTCTGCACAAGAAAACCTGCAGGGATGCAAATGGAGAAAGAAAGAGACAGAGATACAACACATGAGTGACATAAGAGATAAAAACAAAGTGAAGAAATGCTGCAGAGAGTGAGACGGTGTGTGTTTGTGCGCGCTTGGTTTGCCTCTGGCTTTTTGTTGCTGTCTGTTTCTGACATATCGGTTTCTATTTTTGACTCATTAGAAGCAGAATAATGCACAGAAAATAGAACACCTTGCAAGGCAGCAAGTGCAAGCGTGCCAAGAAAGGTTTCATCACACTCTTTCTTTTTGTTGTTAAAAAAAGATCAAACAACACCAGAACATTCATTTGACTAGCCAGAGAGACTTGTGTTAGTTTAACTGGAAAAACCAACTGAGCTCCCCTGAGTAGTGTCTCACTGACAGAGAGTCCAGATCAGCTGCTGTCACACTTTATTTGGTGGCAGAGCAGGTTCGTTTTTCTCTCCCATCAACAGGGGCTCAAACACTAACAATAAGATTTTCAGGTGTTTGAACAGCAGGACGTCCAGTTTTGATTTTGTACTACAAACAAGGTAACACTTTTACCTTTTCAAGCTGGATTTGGAGCTTTTGTGTCTTTATTCAGAGAGGATAGGAAACAGGGAATGAGAAAAAGAGGAGCAACATGCCGGAGCGGGGCTGCAGCAGGTCAAGCAACTTAATCACTAAGCCAAACTAGCACCCTTCTCCTTTTACCTTACTTATGCCTCATATCCTTGTATCTCTGGTACCTCCACTATCACTGACTAGCACATACACTTAGTCCCCATCAAATCAGCTCTCACTCTATGCGTAGTTTAGACAGATACATAAAAAGTTTTGTCATTTTATTGCTCAGTTTTGGACTATTGCACGTTTTAAACTTAGCAATGTTCAGCAAAACACCAAGGCAATAAAGATGAACTGGTGCTAGATATCTAACTTAAGTAAACATGCACCAATAAATCGATTTCCTAAATTTTGGGGGATTGGCTGATCCTTACATATAAAACTGATTTTATCCACCGATCTTATCTACCTCAGCAAAGGTTTGAAAGTCAGCCGTTGTAGCTTTTTGCTTTTGCCAGAATGACAGTCACAGGCCCGCCCACCATTTTAGCTTGTCCTGTAGATTATTATTTTACGAACTTCCTCAAACCTTGTGATTTTCTTTATTTGTAAAAGCAAAATACTGCTGTGCACTTTATTTTGGTAAGAGGCTCAAAACAGGCCTGCAGTGTGACCTGCCGCACAATTATTGTTAGTATTTAAAATGTGGAAAATAAAAGACGAAAAAGGAACTGATATAATTTTGTAGTTTGGACAGCAATACTCTAAACTTTTTATTTCTATTTGAGAGAACTACCTCATGTGCAGTTTAAGCAAACACAAAGAGGTTTGTATTGTTCCACAAGTACTGTTTATGTTTTTCCATTAAAATAAGATTGGAGCATCGAAGGTGTATGTTGTCAGTTAATCGGTATCGGTAGATCAGGCTTTTTTAAGATCAGTGATCGGCCAGAAAATTGTGATCAGTGCACCCTGACGCTTAAGCAAGTGCATACAGTATACAGGTACAAACATGCAATTTCCTCTTATGTTTAGAGCTGTAAAGTAACAGTTCAGATTTTTCTACATTTTTTAAAGAATATTTTTGGCTTTGAGAGGAGAGAAGGAAATGTGGGGAGAGCAAGTGAGATGACATGCAAAGTCTTGGCATGACCTGGTATCAGTCCTGTGATCACTTGGATAAGGACACCAGCCTCACAGGGCACTGCTTACTAACTGAGTAAAACCAGCGCTCCTTATTCCTCTTTGAAAGCAAATTCATGACTCAGAGTCTTAGAAAGTTGAGTTAATCCACTTTTTGTTTCATATGTAATACGTATGATGTTATTCTTAGCAACTTTGGACTATTTTTTCCCCAAGTTGGGTTGTCAGCTAGAATGGTCTTAAAGTAGACCTTCAAAAAAATCCACGATACAACTTCAGCCCTTTCAGAATGGGGTTGAATAACATGGGGCACATTAACATGGCTGGAAAAATTTTGGCTTATAATTACATATCACTGAGAACTGTTATTACAAGAAAACAGGTCATGGTGCTGTATAGTATAGGAGGATTTGATAAGATATGACACCCATAAGACAAAGTGTTTTCATATGTAAACTTACTTTACTGATGTTTCAACTTGATCCTAGTATTTTGTCTTAATGTTAATCATTTAGTCTGTCTTCTGTGGTTTGTCTTTAAATTTAAAAAGCACACAGAGACCCCTTTGTGTATGAAATGTGCCGTATAAGTAAGGGATGTGACTACTTTCCTTGTTGTTTCTGACTGTTCAGACTAATTGACCAACTAAAACTTGAGAAAAACATTCATAGTTGGACATAATGTTGGCTGGATCTCACTGGATCTCTGAGTCTGTCAGTTAAGTGGTGTCAGCTCCGTGTGGATAACATTATCAGACCTAACACTGCTAGCCCTCTGTCCTCCTCGCACACTAATGTCCACATCCCGCTGCAGGTTAGACAATGCTCCAGTCTATACAAACTGCACAGCACAGCATTACAACATGTCATCTCTGCTATCTCTGTGTGTGTTTACATCCGGGCCATTAGCTTAATTGAATTTGTCCCTGCCAGTGGGACAGATCTGCACGACAGCAAATGACTGGCATCTCAGGCTTTTTAGTAATGAAAATATTGATAATTTGTCACATCGACTAGTAATTCTACTGCCAACTACTAAGAGTGACAACACGCCTACATAGCGGTCTAGGCATGTGCCCCATATACAGGCAGCCTGGGGTTTGAGTCCAACCTGTGGCTCCTTTCCTGCATATCATTATCTGCTCTCTCTCTCCTTATTTCCTGCTCTGTCCACTCTCCTGTCCTCCCATTATAAAAAAAGCCCAAAATTAAAATAAAAATGAAGATTCTAGTCTCTGTCTTATTGAAAGATATAACATCAGAAGCTGTACCATTATAAAAAATATAAAAAAATAAGCTATAAACAATATATCTAGTTTCAACTTGTATAAACAGTGTACACAAAAGGGAAAAAAAAGTAAAACACTAACATAATAGTTTAATATTTAGTTTCTGATCTATAAATATTGATAATAGATGATGAATAATAAAACATCTTTTTTATAGGGGAGAGTGGGGTAAGTTGATCCACCCTCTGTTGCTTGGAAATTGTAAAAGAAATTGATCATGTGACCAAATATTTAGGAGATGGGCATCAATTCATGGAGTCTATGAAGGTTAGAAGCTCATGGGTGAAGGGGTGAGACATTATTCCTAAAAAAACATTTTTCACTCTTAAAGGGAATTGAGTCTGTCATAAGTTTTATTAGAATTGTGTTCAGACTAGTGCTGGACGATAATTCGATAACAATATATATCGATCGATAGACGTGTGGTGCGATAGAAAAAAAACGGGTCGATAAAAAGTTCGATAGAAAAACACAGTTTCCCTTTCTTTTTCATCATAGCCTATCATGTAGCTTTTACTACAGTCATTACTTCCTCCCAACCAATCACAAACGCAGACCCAGGTACGCTACGGCACCAAGCCCAGCCCCTATCAAACCACAACAGACAGCACGTGTATTAGAAAAAATGATACAGCAAGGAGAAGCGGAGGACATTGTCCCGAAAAAAGGTTTCAGTAGTTCACCAGCATGGCAATGTTTTGGTTTTTAGAATTAGTAAAAACCAAGTCTGGTAACACAACCAACTTGTTTTATCATCTAAACCGATCGCACCCGCAGGAGTACGAGCTGTGTCGGCCGCGCCGCGGCTCCACGTCATCGTCGGAGGAATCCTCTGGAACCGCTGCCAGCACCAGCACAAAGCATGTGAAGCAGACCAAACTGGACTTCGTTTCTTGCCAAAATACGACAAAGCGTCCGAGCGGCATAAGGACATCACCCATGCAGTAACATGCTGCATAGCGAGGGACATACTGCCAATAACTACCGTTGAAAAGCCTGGCTTCGACCAGCTTCTAGCCACTCTCGACCCGCGATATGAAGTGCCCGGCCGCAAGTATTTCTCAAACACAGCGCTTCAGGCATGAAAATGGGTCAGGGGTTGAAAAGGTGAGAAGGGTGCGGAGGAAATACGTTCCCGTCCACTCATTAGCTTCTTAAAGTGGAAGAAAATGAGCTCATATTTTACAAAGACGCGAGTATTTGGATCATGGCTACTAGCAGGGGGTGCATTCGGCAGGGGTGCATTCTACGACACAACACCGGCGTGGATAAGTCCTGCTTCTCGTGCTTAGTTTGTGTATTAAGTCAATCACATGATAATTAAAAAAAATAAATCTCCCGACCCCGGGAGAAATATTTCAGTGTTCAGACACCAGGCTGTGGGCAGTTTCCCACACAGTTAAAACTGGTAGTATGCTATTCCCACCTAAAGCTATTCTGTTTATTTATATATTTGTTTGTTTTGTTTATTTTAATCAAAAGACTACTTAAATATTTATTTATCAGATTTTCTGGTCACTTTAGTCTTTATGTTTGTCAGTATTTACTGACGTCACTCAGGCCACTTAAGTTGATTTCTTTTTTTTTTAGTTCTTTTTTAAAAAACTTTCAGTTGTGGTAAAATAAAAAAAGGTGGTTAAATAAAGGTTTGAATTTGAATTCAGTGCCTGTGTGTTCTTTATTAAAAGTAGGTCATTAAGCAATAGCATAAAACATCAAGGGCTGCAATTAAAATATATGTTAAATAATTATAATAATTATATCGATAATTATCGATATCGATCAATATGATTTATTTTTTATCGATATGCTTTTTTTCTATATCGTCCAGGCCTAGTTCAGACCAATCAATTGTGGTATCTATGAGCTACAACATGAGGTCAAAACCTAGCATAAAAGTCCACCATTTTAGTTTAGAGGACTAAAGTCATCATAGTAGTTCAGGGATAAGTTGAGTCTGTGGCTCAATTAAAAAAGTAAAGGAGTCTGGTGAGAGGATCAGAGTTTCAGTTCAGATTGTTGAAGAGTGTTACTTTTTCTTTTAAAAAATACAACTGTGAATGTTCTGAATCACTTAAAGGCATTCTCATGTTAAAATGGCTTTTTACAAAACAGCTTTTCAGTAGTTGCATGTAATAATAATAAAAAGAATTATTGTAATAATAATAATAAAACAATTTATTTAAAAGTGCCTTTCTGGACACCCAAGGACACTGTACCAGTTGAATAGTGTATAATAGAGAAAAATACACATGAATGTGAAGAAGTGACTGTTATTTAGGGAGAGAGAAGGTGAGGGAGGGCTGGGTGGAGAGTGGGGGGTAGTAGGGATATGGCTCAACTTACCCCGCTCCTATGGTCGACTTACCCCGTGTATGGGGTAAGTTGACCATAGGAGACCACTTTTTTTTGGCATGCTATATTATCAAGACAGTTCTGTTTACACTCATTCTGTTGGTTTGCAGGGATGAACAACATCTTGAAATATATAGATACACTAGTTAGAGACAAACTATGATTGCCTTCATGTAGTGATCTGAAATATGAAGAATGGCTCATCTTACCCCACTCTCCCCCATATATAGTGCTCTTCCTTCCTTGTTTTCATCATCATTGGTGTAAATATTTAACCCTCAGTACTTTCTGTATTAACAGTGCAGTGTCAGTGATGCAAAAATCTCATCATACAGCATTCATACACACACCTACATAAAAATTAGACTGGGTCTTCATGACAGAAAGCTGGTAAATCAGAGCCAACGCAGTATCTCTTGATAGACCAATGTGGTCACTTTAGGTGTAAATATATTCCTTTTGTTATCACAGATTTATCAGCAGGAGACGCTTGAATCTAAAGCAGCTGATAATTCCTGCAGTCACTATCTTGCTATTATTCCTCCCGAGCACAACAACAAAAAACATGCTCACATAATTCTATACATGTCGTACATTCTTCCACAAGCAGAGACAATAACAGCAATGTGGTTCAAGTATTAGGGAAGGCAGAAAGCTGAACAACCAAATGACAAAGCAAGCAGTGAGCAGAAGGAGGTCATGGCAAGCTCCTGTGTATGTTGTGAGAGAGAGACTGTGGAATACACCACCACAGGATCTGGCTCTGGCTTTCTGTTTCTTGGAGATAAAACTGCTTCTTTTTTTTTTTCTCCCATGTCCTCTTTTCTTGGTCCCTCTCTCTTCCCGTCCTCCTTCTCCTTCCTCTCCCCTCTCTCTCTTCTTCTCGCTGTCTGTCTGCCTGACCCTGCAGATATGTGAGGCGATGCACAGCAAATGAATTAGCAGAGCTGAGGCCTCAGACAGCCCTTTATGGAATAGACAGACAGGCAGGAAGGCAGGCGAGCAAGCAGGCAAGCAGGCAGACGGGGGGAGAGAACAGAGGAAGGAAAAAGTGAGAGAGTGAGAGAGAGGATGAATGAAAAGGTGGAGAAGAGAGAGAGAGAGGCGATGAGACACAAGAGCAAATGAGTAGGATGAAAGGACAGACAGGTGGGTGGAAGATGCAAGAAACCTGGGGAATAAGGAGAGAAAAAGAGGGGGTGCACACTTGTAACATGAAGGAGGAATGAAGAAAAGAGGGTGTGATAAACAGTGGGGGAGGGAAGGGGAGAAGAGAGTGATGAGACGGGGAAGATGAAGACAGTGAGAGAAATAGCGGGGAAGCCTGGGAGAATGTGCGATGAGCGCAGGGAGGAGGGGAGCAGAGATGGAGAGAGAGAGAGAGAGAGGAGGCGATGAGAAGGAGGTCATCAGCGGTCTGTTTCTGCCTGAATTTTGTCAGCCCCCTCCTCCTGAAATATTCAGAGGAGTAACACATACAAGGGGGTGCGTTTGTGAGCGAACACAATGCGCACATGTCTCACAGCGTACTTAACAGTGAGTGAAGCGCACAAGTGGCGGACGGACGAGTCTCAGAAGGAGAGGGAAGGGGAGGCAATTTCTGTGCGACGCCCCTGCAGCATGCTCGCCAACAACACACAGTTAGGGCGCAAAAAAAAAAAAAAGAGAAACATATTCCAGCATCTGCTTTCATTTCATCAGTGAGAATGATGAGAGTGATAATAATAACAGCACAGTGAGGATGATAACGACGGTGGTGATCGCACTTTTCATGCCCACTGCTGGTGGTGATTGTCATAAAGATCCTGGTGATGATGAGGGTGATGATGATGAAGGCTGCAGCTACTAATACCGATGGTAATGATGGTGATAATGAGGTCAAACTGGGAGCTGCGAAGACGCGTCGAGGGGCGGATGCAGGCAGCAGTCGAGCTGGCAAGAGCAGCGAGCAGAGAGCAGGATGCAGCGGTGCAGCGCAACCACAGGGTGGAAGGTTTCCTCTGTGTCTCTCAGATCACACACACACGCACTCTCTCACACAGCACCACGGAGGAGGAAAGACACATGCACACGCCGAGCAGAGACCTCAATACTGTCGTGCTGCAAATCAACCCTCAATCACTCTGCAACTGAAAAAGTCAAGAGCAACGCCCTGCTTAACCTTTACACGCACAAGATCTGCAGCCTCTTTGTTATGCAATATCAACCCAACAAAGGCTAATTGCACTTTCCACTTTTAGTTGTGCTTAAAATAGAGTGTGGCAAAGAAAATCTGCTAAATTTTCATGTGCCCTAAAAACTGTTTTTCCAGCCACTAAGAGGTTTATGTGCTTAATTTCAAGCTCTTGGCTCAAACAGACCCCGTTTTCATATTAACTTTGTGCGCCTTTAACTGTTTTAACAGTCAAAGAATGAGGGAAGTGTTCGTCTGGTTACAGGATTAATCAGACCATGATAGCATAATGGTGCTTGTCTTGTGCAAATGAATGAATATTACAGTGTTTTTCGACATGTCATCTATTTAATTAGATATTTAAATGAGTAATTAATTACCAAGAGGATTCTTTTGTGAACACTTCTTTTCTCCGTGAAAAAAAAAATCTTGCTTAGCTCCCTTGGATCACGGCTCTGCCTCAAAAGTGGGGCATTTTTCTTAGGTTTAAAAATAAGCCTAACCTGATTTTCAGTTACAATTCAGGGCTGACATTTACATTTACATTTACAGTTACATTCTGAATTACATCACCGGTCTCTGTAAATTGTTAATGCTTTCGGTAGTCAGGAGATGTTGTTTCAGCTTTTACTTGAAGGAGCAGAACGGCTCAATAGAGCTCACTTCAATAACAACGGAGCCAAAAAGCTCAGCACAGCACAGACTGAGCAGCTTTAGGGAGGCTGAGTCTACATGAAGTATATTAAGGTTAACCTCAGCAATTCTCAGGTGAATCCCTACAGTCACCTGAAATGAAAGAAATCTTTACAGCTCATATGTTCAGCCGCCGATCTTGTTCTTATATTCTGAAGGACTCAATAAGAATTCACGATCACACCATCTCTCACTTCCGATTGATACGTGGCATTAAATCAGTTATTGGAATATAAAGTGAATAGTTTTATTAGTGTTGATTAATTCATTTAAATAAACTTCAACATTGGCTAAACTTAGATTACTTGTACGCTTTTAAAGACAGCTGGTATATCAAACTGACAGGATAAATATTCTGCTACTTCACTTCTCTACTCATGATTTGATTTATTTAAACAGCTGCTAGTAGTCCCTCCTCACTAGAACAAGTCTTAAAAACTTCATGCTGCTTGTCTTTTTCGAAGAGAGCATGAAACAAATCAGCGTGTCCAACAGGTGAATTTGTTACCCATTCAATAAAAAACGCTCCTCTGAGTCAGCACTTTGTTACTCCGGCTTGTCAGTATGAAACTGATGTAGCACAGTAGATTAATGTTGGCTATCGACAGGGCACATCATTTTTGAATGGGCTGTAAACAGGACAAATATCAATGTTGGACCAATGCATCTCTGCGTTCTTAGTTCATACGGCTGAGGAAGTGAGATCATTTTCAGATATTTAATTAACTCTTAAAAAAAGATATTTAAATGTTATTTAACGAACAACTAAAGCTATCAGATAACTTAAGTGATGTAAAAACTAGGGCCCGACAGATATGGATTTTTGGGGGCCAAAGTCGATACTGTAGATATACTGTAGGCTACTGCAGAAGTAGCTGGATCACGTATTGTGTACTGTTGTTTATTCTACCGTTACTGGCACGGCTAATAATAGCAGATGGCTAACTCTAACTTTAGCTTGCATATTACATGGTGCTTCAATGTCTGAAAATATCTGCAAAAATCAGCGAGTTTTGGCCAATTACCGATAAGTCTCAAACGGGCTTCAATTGGCCTATTTAATGGACTCGCCGATAAATCAGTCAGGTCCCAGTAATAACTACTATTGTAAGATAGGCCAGAAAGTTACATAGAAGGATGAGTGTGGAATTTTAACAAGTGGCCCAATCCATTAATATTATGATTTTTTTAATGCTGCACAGTCAATACTTCTTAATAAAACTCTCATTACTGGTGTTTTTGCTGGTGTAAGCTTATTAAAGACATTTATCATCAGTGAAGTATACGATTAGACCATTGGTCCCCAACCCAAGGGAACCTAGGGGGGAAAACAGAGATCTCAGGGGAGACATGAGGCTGTCAAAGTTAAATATGCCATGTTGACTGAAATTACATATTTTCTAATTATTATTATCATTACAAGGCTCTGCTGTATACTCAAATCTAATTGGTCAGTACACAGCAACATTTCACAGCAATGGTCTGCTGTTTGTGGATGTGAAGATCAGGCAGTTGTGAGGGATGCAGCTCACATATAGTGAAGTACTTTAGTGTCAACCTGTCAACGCACAGGAAAAAGAATTCACAGTAGGAAAACTAACAATGATGAAAAGGTAAGAGAAGTTGAAGACAAAAATATGTAGCTTATGACATAGAGATCTACAAAAAAGAAATGGCACATGGACACTGAATGGATCAGAGAATAGACTACAGCCGTGTTTAAGGACTCCTGTATTCATAGCCCTGTCAGTTGGATACTTATAGCCAATTCCAGGAAAAAAAAATCACCCTATTAATGCAAAAACAGTTACAAAAGGCGTTGACGTTAACTTATATAAAACTTGCATACTTCTACTCCAAAAAGTTAGAATGAACTTTTACCTTTTCACCTTAGTATCTTTCGGCATGTTAGCGCTTTCACTTAAGAAGAACCTCCCGAGTTCTCCCTCTAGGGAAGAGAGCATTATGAAGTATGCCACATCTATCTCTGTAAAGACATTTCTGCTGTCAGAATATGATCTGTATGACCTTGTTTTCTTCCTCCCCTGAAACAGAAAACTCCCTCTCTGTCAGCTTCACCCTCAGCTGGTCACTTTTTCTTCTATCCTCTCTCTTCTTTCCCCTTCCCAGAGCTGCGTGCGCTTAGTACATGAAGATCTCCCAAAATGAACAAAAAAAGCTCCTCTCCTCCCCTCTGTTTCCCACATTAGATTAATAGAGACAGCATCCATGCAATTTTCCTAATTGTGGCGAGAGACTCGCAAGGCCAGAACATTCACGTCATGCTTCTGAACGCAGCTTTCAGTCTTTGTCATCACATTAGGACAAATCCAACTAAGTGATTATTATCAAGGGCAACAACAGAGAGGACCCCAGGAGATGTGAAGACTAATGCTTATGAGTGTGTGTGTGTGTGTGAGGGGGGGAACAAAGCAGTATTCTCACTCGAGTCAGATTGAACACACTGCACTTCATATACTTAGCACAGGCTGTACATCAGTTACAGTGAGAAAACATCTTTAATGACGTCACCTCTTCAGCGCTGACCTGTTACTTGGATATCAAACCTGTAGAGCAGCCTGCCCTCGACATGCTCCACCTCTGAATCAATTTATCACGCCATCTGAAGATCAGGCAGCCATGCGCACGTAATCTGTGATGGACAGAAAATAGCGATGACAGGAGGAAAAAGAAGAAAGGGGGCGAAAGGAGGACAATATATGACTTCCAAACACTGGCAAGTTCATCAGAGGCCCGAGACTACAGCATATTATATCTGAGAGGAGACAAGAAATCACATCATGTCCACAGCAATGTGCAGCCCCGCGGGACACCATTGCACTGTGCATAACAACAAGGAGTGATGGGGAGACAGAAAGAGAGAGAGAGAGAGAGAGAGAGGAAAATAGGCGAGTGAGGCAGGCAGAGAGACAGCGAGGCAGCGGTGGAGAGGAGGGAGGGGAGGTTACGGATTAACCCTCTGACATTTTTTCGCCATCAGCTGCAATGGCTATCTCTAAGCCTCACACACACACACACACACACACATAACCAAAGAGGACCCAGGCCTTGTAGCTGCGCTTGAAAATTTAGGCAGCAATTTTAGTGCCTATCCCAAAGTGACCTGGTCCAAGTGGTCCAATAACAGATCCAGTAAAATTAAGACCTGCTGAGCCATTTATCCCGCACTTTAATCCTAATCTTATAAGCAAAACAAATATGATTTAGAGTCTGTGTAAATCTTTTGGCAACACCCATCCCTTTATAAACGGGAATATTTAGCAACAAGAGTAAGGTTTTGACTCTATTGCTTTATAATATGTACATATTTGAATATCTATATTTCTGATCAATACACTGTGACAAAGACCTCCATGTTTGATCATAAAGACATCAGCAGGAGGACATATTTTCCTCATTTAAAAGACCACTATACAGTTTATTTTGAGTCTATCCCACTGACACCATCCTGTTGCTGTTAATACTGACTGAATCACAAACTGTGTGTAGAAAATGATCACAGCAGATGTTCGGATTTAGCAAAATACTCGCTCAAATAACCCCGTGTGTTCAAATCGATTCAGGAAATTACTTCGATTAAAAACTGAGTTCATTAAATGTGAGTTTGTAATCAGTCATTTAACACACTTTGAGGCCATGCAGGTACAAGGATAGCATTTTTTAATGATTATCTAGAAAATGTTGGGATCCATGTGTAGCCATGAAGCTTCAAGTTCCTCATCTTTTTCCAAACAGTATTAAATAAAAAACTGATCTAGCAAATATAAAAGATAGACTCTGTGTCCACCTATGACTTCTGAATGTCAATACAGCAAAATATCATCATAAAATTTAAATATTTTATTTAAAAAAAAATGCTAATAAAACATTTCTCTGCCAGTTTGAATCACTGCATCACTCTACAACTCCTCACAATGCTGCCAATGACATGAGGCAGGGTGACGTGACGAAGAAGAGGATGACGGTGGCATAGTAAGAACAGACTGCAGGATGATGTCAGATAGTGGTGGAAGAAGTTGGAAGAAAGTGGAGGATGCGTTCAGGTCTGAAAGTAGAGTTTCTCTCACCTGGGATGAGTGGACTTTACGAGTTACAGAGACAGGAGTGAGGCACAGGACTCACATCTGTACTTAAAAGCACTAAAATGAGAATTTTCAATCTTTAATGTGGTTCTTTTTTGAGAAAAGTGTATTTTTATCTCTAATTTCACAGCTGATGTGAAGCTTAGTTAATTTTATAGTCAGGCTAAAATGGTTTCATCTGTCTTGTGCGTCTTGTATTCTTCAGTTAACTGGATATTGTGATGTATCATTATCTGATTGTCTTAAATAATAATAGACGTTGCAGAATCACTGTATTGTTAGCATGTATTGTTTTGTCTTATATCAAGTCAAGAGTAAACAGCGGATCCCCATCACTAGTTGAGAGGAAAGGCAAACACTGTGGAGGACTAAGACGGTGTCTGATATTTGGCTGCAGCTATTTGAGATCATGGGTGTGTTTTTATTTTTTCTTTCACTTGTTTTAGGTTGAGGCAGGGTCTTTCTGTTTTGTCTCTGCAGTACAACATTAATAAACCAATAAACTTGTCATTTGAGGTTTGCTATCCTTGTTTTATTGGCCATATATGTGTTAAGAATTCCGTGTAATACTTAAGTAACTTTGACCTGTGCACCATCATCAAAGCTATTATGTCATATGTATATTAATAATTAATTTACAGGCAATATACATGACTGTGCTTTGACCTGGTGTGTAATAACTGATGCAGAGCCTCCTGTTGTTCATCTACTGTGAGGATAAGAGCGCTAAATTCACATTTCTGATCCTAAAATGTTAAACACACAAACATTTGTAAAAACCCACTCCTCTCTATTCTCAGCAGAGGACAGTTGGCAGCTCCGCTCCGGTTGCTGCTGGGTATAAAGAACAGTTTGTATTTATCTGTTCCATACTCGATCGTGTGCCTCTGATGTCCTCAAATGGCAACCCTTGTGTTGTGTTATTTTTAGAGTTACACAGGATTTTGACATTTCACTCGTTTGCCTCATCCTGTGTCGCATGGCGAAATCTTTTCCACCGTAGAAACAACAAAGAAAATCCCAAAGGTTGCTCGACAGATTTTCTTTGTTGCTGCTGTGAGTTTCAGGGTGTGTTTTAACCGCTGAGTGCAGGATGTGCAAAAAAAAATAAAAACAAAAATAAAACAACACTGCCCAAACTGGAGGCTGAGAGATGAAAAATCTGTAAGCGCGTATCCTCTGCAACACAAAGCTGAATGGGCGCCTCTTCTCTTGGTGTGTATGTAAATTTAAAAGCAGTGTGTGTATGTGTGTGTGTGTGTGTGTGAGACTCTCCATGCGTAAAGAGACGGTGCGGGTCAAGCTAATAAAAATAGGAGGAATAGACTGGATACAGTTTGTTCTATCTGTGCTGTGTGAGTGCACAGAGGACAGTTCCAGTGAGAGACTTCATAAGCTGCAAATACAGTGTAGTGCTGATCCTACACACTCAGCCACGGCAAGACCCCATTTTCCTCTCACTTGACTCGACTTAATTAACCAGAATGAGTCAGAAGCAACATTCAGGATTTAAGATTTATCCTTATGGGATTGGGGATCTCTCTCTCTCTCACCCTCTCTCTCTTTCTCCCTTTCCCCTGCTGTCTCTCTCTCTATTTTTCTGTTTATGGTTGACTTCAGCGCTAACTTTCTGCTCATTACTTTAATGATGGCGCTACTGCGAGCTTATGCTCATGAGTGCAGTTTGCTTTTTCAACACAGCAGTTTGGGAATAGCGATAAATAGCGAGACACTCACGCATGCACAAACTCATGCGTGCGGGGACGGAGAATCAAATGAAATCAAAATCTCACACATGCATTATATATGTGTGTCATATAGGGGGAAAAAAAGAAGTCTTGCAGAAAAACGTGCAGAATTTAAGCATGTTGCACGGCACCCACAGGGCTCAGCGGCCATGCATGCACACAATCACAGACAAGGAGAGTTAATGACAGAGCAGGGAGCGAATGGGAAGCAGGGTGGAAAACGACAAACATCTTCCCCCCCCTAAAAAGTATCATCCTAACTCCCAATATAACTGTAATACAGAGAAAGAGTCTGACAGACAGATATATCCAACCCCAGCTCTCTGCTTTCGCTTTAGATGCATTATTCATCTGTGTGCCAATTTGGAGGAACCCTCCCCAATCCCCCAGCAAGCACCCAAAAAGAGGAGAAGTGAGAGAGAGACAGGCAGACAAGAGAGAACGGAGTCACAGCAAAGAATGTCAGAAAAAGAGAAAGACGAAGAAAAGGAAGGAGGAGAGGGAGAGGAAAACACCAGAACAAAAGAACGAGAGAGACAGATGAGGAAAAAAACGGGGGCAACATCAGCTGGATCTCTAAGCTGCAATGTGGTGAAACATCCAAACAGGATTTCAAACGATCCAGGGAGACTTCTCCCTATATATGTTTTGATATTCCCAGCTCTGCCTGACTCGTCTGCACGGAGGAGATTAATGACAATTTCCATGTTAAAGACTCTTAACCCTGCTGAAAACACAGAGGGAGCTAAGACCTCGGGCCTGAACCTCACCTCGCTGCTTTTCAGCCCTGAAACTGAAACCGTGCACTTTTGCAAAACCTCGCCAGCTGCACTGTCAATGCATGTGTGCAAGAAAGAGTTGAGAATATGCAAACTCTCAAACAACCGCATGAAGATGGGAGGAACTTTTTATTGTTTTCGTAGCATGCCCTTCCACCATCACAGCTCTACCTTAAGAGTTTTTAATCATGTCAGTATCACATCAGCGTCACTGCATCCACACTGGCAGCTGTTGCATGCATCCTGGGACAACTTGCCCCAGATTTAACCCCACACTCTCAGCCTACGTCTCATCCTTGCTGCCTCTTTTGCGGTTTTTGTTACCTATTAAGGCATCAGCCTGTCACACTTACAGGCCCCGATCCTCTTTAGCGTCATGACCCAGCAGGAGATAAAGTGGTCACTCTTAGGCGGTGGCACCTCTTCACCATGATGTGTGAGTGTGTGTGTGTGTGTGTTTTGGAAAGGGGAGAAGGAGGAGTGTGCGCTGGATCAGTCAGATTGCTGTTTAATCTGCAGCTGTCCCCTCACAACAGAGCTTTTAGACCAAACAGCTGGTTGCACCCCCTCCCCCCTCCCCAGGCTGGAGTTATACAGCACTACAGTTTAGCTACCTTTCACTTTGGACCTCACAGTTTCACCTCCCTTTACACTAACACTGTACAGTATCTTCTATGTCGATCATATCTGACATATGACGCTGGGCTCATTATTTCATGCAGCCTTGCTCCTGTGTGATCATCCCTACTGTAGTGTTATGAAATAGCATTAATGAATGGTGCCGCTGCTGCTGCTGTGCAGGGCGTTGGCTCCCCCGCTCCTCTGCTGAAGGATCTGTCAAACTGAGAAGCTGCTCTGAGGATTCGCCTGTCAGATTTGGCCTTATTTGTCAGTTTGCTGTGATTCTGCTCCCTCAGCTTTGTCGTGTCACCATTCGGATTGCTTCGGAGGGCCCCCGGGAGTCGCGCACATGGAGAGTATATACCCGGCCTCTGAGCTGATTTACATCAGGTCAGTCTTTTTAACAGAGACGGTCTGAACTGCTTAAGCTTCCATCAATAGCACTAGTTATGAGGATTTAGGCAGCCATGATAATCTCAGGAGGTGCCGTCGTCAAAATCAAAGTGCGCTGCAAAAATAGGTCTCACTCTTCGAATAGTGTTGACTATTTATTTAGTGCGGAGGACACACTGCACACATATGCAGAAAAAAAAACAGTCTATTTGCACTACAGAGGAATAGTGTCATGATATGTTCTCTTGATTTAGCTTCCCTGTTTTTGTTATTTGAGTGTGTTTTTTTCTGTGTTTTATTCTTTGTACCAGTTTTTAGTGTTTCCTGTTTTATTTTGTAGTAGTTGATTCCTTGTGTTCCTAGTCTGGTTTTACTTCCCTTACTTCCATTTTCCCTCCTTCATTAATCAGTTAACGAGTTGCACCTGCGTGTCATTTGCCACACCTGTTTCTCGTTTGCCTCACCTGTTGCTCGTTACCCAGTGTGTATATATAGTCCCTGTATCGTCTTTGTCTTTGCTGGTTTATTGTATGTCTGTGTGCGTATGATTGTCTCCCAAGTTGCTCCATGTGATTTTTGCCTTTTGATTTTTTTGGTTCGACATTTTAAAAGTAAGTTTTTGTTGCTTTTCATTTAGTTAATTTTAATAAATCCTTCTTTGTCGGCATTTGGGTCCTTTCCCTTTTTGTTTAACCCTGGCGTCGTGACAAATAGTTTTAATTCCATTTTTTTTTTCTCCTGCGGATTCAGATTTAGGTTTAGGCAATAACTGATAACATACTCCCCTCTGTGATTAAAAAAAATATACATTAAGTGTTGGCAGATAAGCAGTAAATGCTGACACGTTGCTACCTCTGATTAGCTTCTTTATCTGCAAGCACCAAGCTGCTCTTCAGATAAGATAAAAGGATAGTCTCTTCTTTGTCACTGCATGCAGCAAAACTTTGTTTGGCAGCAACTACATACAGCAATGTAATAACATCTGGTCAAAAATATTCATGTATCCACTCATCCCCATAAGCATGCACAAATGAAGTTGTTCTTTGAATATGGTAGATAAACAACTGACTTCTAACAGCTGTGAGTTGTTAGCCGGAACGAAACGATCCAGCCTGGTAGCTTATTAAGGATTAGCCAAGCTGAGTTTGCTCTTGCGGTGTGATAATTTATCAAAATATCTTTATCTTTCCTGTACTCTTTTATCTTTTAGGGCTAATTAGTGATGATTTCAGGTCTGTTGACAAATGAGGGCTCCTGCAGCAGCAGTCTTTGCCAGTTTAGTAGAGTGGAGAGGGAGCAGAGTTTCTTCTTCAAAGACAGTTTCTTCCCTCGGGCTGTGGCTCTGATGAACTCCGAATGTTCACAGAGCCACAGAAAGACCACTGTGACTGTAAATTACTTTGATAAGTATTAAACAGTTCAAATTCATTGTATTTGCACACATACTTGGTCATATAAAGCATATAAAGTCACATAAAGCTGATTCTGATTCTGGGGAGGGAAACATGATGGACATCAACACAAGAGCCACTGAAATTTAATTACAGTATTCTTCGGACTATAGGGCACACATAAAATCCTTAAATTTTCTCAAAAATTGACAGTGTGCCTATAATCCAGCGCGCCTTATGTATGATTACTTGGTGTGTTTACTATCCAATATTATGTAGAACAATGCGCTCAAAAATCTACAAAGTACATCTTTGGTAAGCAACGAAGCCGCCCGCTCAATAGATATTCGGAGCATTACGGTATGCTGTGTCAGTACCTGAACAGGCCCTGTAACAGGACCCCTGAGCAGTTTCAAGAGTGCCTTACCGTAATGTCTAAACTAGAAGTGCATTCATGTAAGGCAGCCCGGGCCCGGAGTACGCGCTCGCAACAGTAAACCAATCAATGCTTAATGCGCCTTACAATCCGGTGCACCTTATGTGTTACATAGACACGTTAATTCACAGTGCGGCATAGAATCTGGTGCGACTTTTCGCTCGAAAAATACAGTAAGAGGAAGGTTGTTGGGAGGGGTGTGGTGTCAACATGGCGGCCCAACCAGCTAGATAATTTTTGCGAACGCCTCTGCTGCTAAAAACTCTCCAAAGCAACAGGTCATTTCCCATCGCAGTGGGGTTTCGGCTTCACTTTTTACAACAGAGCGAACATATCATCCATGTTTATATACAGTCATTGATAAAAACAATAGCTTACTGACTTCCCTTTAAACCTGCAAAAGCTAATCACAGGTCAATAAAAACAGACAAATTATTTGTACATTTCCTCTGCTAACCAAAACTTAAAAATAAAAATCCTGACAGCAATAAAAGTGCACAAAATTGACAGAGATGTGATAGGTCTATTGTGTTTGATTAACTTGAATTTTATAGCTTTACATATCAAATCAAATTGATATACTGTATGTCAAACATGTTATCTATATTTGGGGTTGTGTAGATTTTTTTTTCTCTGATTGCAAATAAATAAGCATTTCTGCTGCGACAAACAGACTTCGAAACATCCCAGAGACACAGACTCCAACAGATCATTGATGTCAGACCAAAGAGATCAACTCAATGAAAGAAAGATGTCACAGACTAACAGGGAAGGTTTTCTTTCTTTCTGCATCCTTATTTGTTGTTCATAAATATTTAAATCTCTTGGGTTCAAAGGGGAGATTTTCTTTTGCATCACAGACGTGTAAAATTTTTAGTTTGTTGCTTGCATCCACAAACTCAGTGCCACATCTTAGGATGGGCTGGATAACAATGTTCACATGAAACAGAAACACAAAAACCAGACAAGCATGAATGCTAACAGAGACACGCACACAAACACACGCACGTGCGGACCCACATGGCAGCGCTCGTTCCCGGGTCTCGGGTGGCAAGTGATGTTTTCACACTTGTGTGGGGAGATTGCTATTTCTGCGCGGAGCTAGATAACTCAATTATTCATCGCGGATGCTGGTGCACTCACTTTACCTCTATGGAGGGCGGAGGGTGAGTGTGTCTTGCTTAGATTGCTTGTTCTCTGCGTGTGCATGCCTGTGTGGGCCTCAGAGTGCGGGCTTGTGCGAGCAGACCTCCAACGGCAGACGAACCGCTGACATGCCACACCACACAGCGGGAGAGGGAAGAGGCAAGAGCAGAAAAAAGGCAAAGGAGCTGTCATAAACATGGCAATCAAAGAGATATGAAGCGGGAGGTGAGGATCAAAGAGCAGAAGCAGAGAAGGGAAGGAATTAGTTTCCTTATCTTCTCCCTAAGCCAACTGTGCACCCTCCAATCCTCTCTGGCTCAATAAACAGTTACAAAGAAAAGGACTTTTTGAATTAGCAGCAAAACTGAAACTCGCCTAACCTTTCCGCTCAAGAGGGGGGTTTTAAGCACCTTGTACAGTCTTGCTCCTGTGGTCTGAAACCAAAGCAGAACATTCTGAGTCAGATATTTAACCCGTGTACTAATTACGATTCCCACACATTATTTTATTCATTACCTTTTTGCATTTTGCAAGTCACTGCTTCAACGAAAAGAAGACAGGAAAAGGTATTACTCTGTTACTCTGGGAAAGCTTTTTTTTTTTTCTTCTCGTACATCCACGTGGCTGAAGACCTTTAGACATCAGAGTGTACAGGCCAAGCTCAGGGTGTTCATAAACAGTTGCTGAGTGAAGCCCCTTGAGCACATTTATCACCTCTGACACCGCATGGAGTCCCAGGAAGTCTTGAATAAACACACTGCACACACATAGCCCAAAGACACCAAAACATCCACATGTTTTATGCACACTGTGTGTAAACAAAGACAGATACAAATGCTGACTGTTCAGAAACGACATCCAGATGGGTGCACCTGAAAAACTTGCAACATCTTAACATGCAAATAAATCACTATGATGTTTGTGTGTGCATGGATGTATGGGCATTCATATATTCCATATATGTATCCATGCATCTCTATTACATATAATCAAGACATAGTTTTTACTAGAATCATGATGAATATATACGCTGTGTCTTTCCTCCAAACTCTCCCCTTGATGTTATTTTAGCTCCTCCTTATACAAATTTATCAGGATTACAGTGTCATATGAGAGGTGTAAAATATATATTAAACTGTTCGCCTACAATGGGATTATTTTCTTATAATGTATGAGTCCAATAATACACTTTTATTTGAGAAACGGAGAAGAGGAAACTCGTCATGGCAACAAAGGTGTATGTAAGACATACAAAGCAGCAGCAGCCACCGCTAGCATTCACACCAAAAGGCCGTGGTGCCCATACAGCAGGCGAACAAAACTAGAATCTCACCAATCCGATATTTGGATCAGATATAATATCAGCTCCGATACTGACAAATTAACTGGATTGGATATCTGATGAATGACGCAGATCCAGCATTCCAATCCAGTCTTTTTTTTCTTTTAATTAACTTTTCTTTTAATACATGGAAGTCTTACTTCTTTTTACTGTGTGCTAATGGGCAATTTGATATTTGTTCATAAATAACATTAAGTAAATTTATACCTGTGTTTGTTACCTTTTCTTTAACAAGGCTAATGTCAAGACTGATGCCTTCACTCACAGAGCAAGGTATACAGTTCATTCATTCAACAGTAGTGTTGGATCGGTATCAGATATCGGCCGATACGCTCAGCCCAAGTATCGGTATCAGATTGGAAAAAATGGATTGGTGCATCTCTAGACAAAATCACAGCGTTTACAACATTTGATGACCCACATGACCACCCCAGACAAGATTTCACCAGCTAGTGGTGGACGCTATATTAACCTGAGCTACTTTGCAGACATTTCCTGACCCGTGCTGTATGATGTGATCGCCTCACGCATTCACAGTCTGATTGAAAACAATGTAGTGACATTAGTTTTGCCTCAGTGAGTAAGCTTGGTTTGATGACTCAGCGGCCAGGTGAGGATTTAAACATGAAAAAGACATTATGGCATGAGTAGAAGTGCTTGTCTGCAGTGGTGTGGTAACAACAGTCCTTTCAACCAGAACTGTAAGCATAGAATATAAATGTGTATCTTTGCTCACTTAAATATTACTGCCTCCAAGACAAACATCCAAACCTGCGCACAAACATGGTTAAATTCTAATGTCTTATCTTTTTAACTTATTTTTCTGAATTATCTCCAGTCTCAGGCTTGCAATAGATCTCTGGATCATGTTGTGAATGCCGCCTCATTGTCTATCTTTCGCTTTTGTTATCTTTGTCACTGTTTGTTGTGCTATCTCTCTAATTAAAAGACCAAAACAAATTACAGGAGTGATTTTCACTCTACTCATCAAATGTGTTCCCTCTCTATATGCCAATCTTTGATCAAAACAAGCAAAAACACACAAGCGAAGGACAAATATATATAAGTCTTTGTCACCGGTCGCCTATCTTGCGCTGCTGCTCTTATTTCCCCGAGGACAACTCCGCAGAGCCAATTGGAGCAGTTACACATGTCGACACTTCCATGCAGCCATTTACCACCGCACACCCACCCCGTGGCTCTTTTCATTAGCTTTACAGTCTGTAACTCGCATATAGTTGCGTGCACTGTATGCAGACACTGTAAATTCACACAAAAGGGACACGCACAAACTTAGCTGTCTCATTTTTACTCACGCTTTCACACACGCGCTCCCCTCTGCTTTAATCTTTAGGGCAGGCAGAATCTATGAGTGATTTATTTTCAACCATTCCCCGGGGGTTTTACGGGACTGAGCCTGTACTCAATCTGATCACAGCACTCACTCTCTATGTCAGCACTTTATGAATCCTCCTCTTCAGCCCCGGTTTGTGTGTGTGCATGCATGTGTGTTTGCAGGCAAGCTAATGAGGAATGGGATGAGAGAGAGAGATAGGAAGAAGAGATGAGGCAAAGGGGGGGAAAGGAAGATGAACTGGCGCTGTGATGAGTGCATGCTCTAAGTTAGCATACTTTGTGAAGCACACGCCCCCGTGGTTTTTGGGTGAGTCATTCTGCACTTGCAAGCTTGCATCCCATCTTCAGTGCTTCAAAACGCAACACAGTTTCTGTTGATGTATGTACGGGTGTGTAATTTTTTTTTCGCAAACCCCCAAAGAAAGCACAACATGAAACTCATTTGTGCGTTAAAAGCTTAGCTCTGGCACAACAAAGCGGAAAGCACGACACACCCCTAAAACCGCTACGCTAGCATCCCCCATTCACATCCCAGTATAATTTAGATGACTGTGTCTAATTTGCACTGGATATTCCATTTCCATTTGAAAGGTGGTTAGTGCCCATTGAGCAGTGTTATCGTGGCTGTGCAGACACAGAGGCTTCCCCGCCTCTCCCCAGCCTCAGACGGAGAAGCCATCGATTTGATTCAGTCTTAAAAGGCGGGTCAGCCTCAACAATCGCGGCTTATGGAAAAACCATTACCCCAGGTGGATTGCGAAATGTTAACCTACATACATGTTTGCCATCGCTCTCCGGCTTCTCTCATGTTACCCTCGCATGGCACTGCAGATGGCAAAGAGACAAGAAAGAGAGAGAGTAGGGGAGATCTGTGGGTTGCTTCTCAATGGAGTGTGCAGGCTCCTCTCTAGGTGAGTCATGCTGCCTTTCTTTACACTTCTCGTCCGAGGCCACCTACCTTACACCTCCACTCCAGTACAGCTCCTGCCAAGTTACTACGCCTGCTCATCCATTACACTCCTCACAGCCTCTGACACTAAAGAAAAGTCATAGATGACTAACTTGAGGCATGTGAAAAGCCTGCTGCTGCAGCGCCGAGAATGATGCGTGCTGTTTTAAAGCTGAAAGATGTCGCTTATATGGTGCGAGAAACAAACAAACAAACATGACTAATAGAATTATTGGACGCGTTTCTGTTTATGCCAGATGGATGTGCACAAATGAAAAGGCTGAAGGAAGCCTGAAACTCGGTTTATGTCTCAGGTGTGATTTCACCTGAGCTGATACGGCTGAGACTGAGCCCAGAAGGAGAAATGAGAGAGGTTTGCCCTCGGCTGAAAAGTAAGGACAAGAGAGGAATGTGAATGAATGAGAGGTAGAGAAGGAAAGGGTGGTTTGAAAAAGGTTGACTTAAGCAGGACACACACAACAACATGCCCACTGTCACCTAGAACAAAACGATAGCTAATCAGGAGGCAAGATGGAAGCACAACAAATGCAGCCATGGCAACCACAGTTAACACAAAGCATGAACATCGATGGAATAACAATCTTCTCATGTGCAGCAGGCGTTAGCGTAAGAAAGTTATTCAGCACAGCCTCTTTGAATATTACAACCCTACATTTAGTGCAATGATGAAGTTTCACTGCCATCATTTGTGCTTCTGCGTTGCATCAGCGATCTGCAATATTGGTGTCCCAGTGTTTGTTTTCTCAAGTACAACAGTGGGAGCTCCAAATGCACACTATCAATAAAAGATGCCGTATTAAGATAGCATTTTTCATACAAATCAAATGCAATTCAAAAAGCTTTGCAGCAGCTGAAAGAGCAGAAACATAGAAATAGAAAATGCGGTGAAACTTCAAATGAAAAAGCAGAGTTTGGAAGTGGAGACTAAAGGACTGCAGCCTTGATGCACACGGCACCAACTCCACCAACTGAGCCTAAACTAAACAATCTTTACTTATTTATGTATTTATTAAAAAAGGGTTTTTGATATTCTTTTTCATTTTTAGTATGACTGCTAGTTTTTCTCCATTGTACTCCGGCCTGGTTCAAGAGCTCTTTTTATGTTTACTTTGCTTGTTAAGCACTAGTGGCTGCATCTCTGTTAAACGGTGTTTAAAAATAGCTGTAGTGTTACATTTTTAGTATGTCAGCTTCATGCCTACATATAAAAATGCATGTCATACTTATTGCACTAATTTCATGTACAAACATAAACTCAGATTTAGAGTTGGAACCACCAAATCCAGTTTTTATTGTCCATTTTTATTGTTTAAATCAACATTCAGAGCAGGAAAAGAAAGCAAAAACAGTGAGCTCACCCCTCTGTTCCAAGAGATACTTTTAAAAAATGCTATATATTTTTATTTCAAATTTTTTGCTTGAAACTGATTTAAAATTTGCACAGAAAAAAAGACCTAAATTGTGAGTTGTGTTTTGTGTTTGTTAAGAGCATATAGTGTTAGTTTAGCCGAGCATGAGGTTATAAGGAAATCTTAAAGAGACAAAAATAGCATCGCATTAATATTTCACAGAAACTGCAGCTCAGTATGAAAGAAGCACCACATACCAGCAGTGTTTACACCTGGTGCTTGACCTGCCGGCCTGCCGTGTTTGAAGCCACTGTGAAGCGTGTGTGTATAAGACGGGGTGTATTAGGTTAATACAGTGCAGAGGTCCTGCTAATTGGGTTACTGCAGAGTTTGGTTAACTGGGTTAGCAGTAATTCAATGACAGCTACCACGCTGACAGATCCCGGCTTGCTATTGATCAGATGGGTGAGTGAAGGGCACAAACACAGCAGGTGCTTTTATTAAACAAGCGCAAGCACATGAAAACACAACGAACTGCACTTAGACGCGAACGTGTCAGATTACGTCGGGAGTTACTGTACGGTTCAACTCCGTCAGGGATGGAGCGAGGTGTATGAATCCTTTACAAAATAAAAAAGGTGCTGGATACTCTCAATAAATATGCTTTTCAGTGTGTTTGCATGAAAGAGAAGAAAAGTGTGTGAGAGAGAAAAAGATAGAGACCACTAGGGACCGCAGCTCTCTTTCATGTGGAGGTGAATGCATAAATAATAAAATCAAATCATCAAAATCAGCTCAAAATAGTCCAAGCTCTTCTACCAATAGAAAACACACAGAAGGTATCAGTGTGCAATCTTCAAAGTTTCCAACTGATAATGCACTGTACATATAAATAATGTCAAGATGATGACAAAGATGTCTATTTTTAGAATCACTAACACAAGGATTTGAAGGCGTCTATTTTACGTGTGTTTCACTATAAAAAGCAACAGAATATTTGTCTGAAGTGCTGATGCATTTCTTCATGCTACTGATGTGCCGCCTGCTTCTGTGGCAACCCATTATCTGATGGTAGCTACTAGGTGCAATCTGCAAGGTGTCTGGGGAGCAGAGCACTAAATAAAGATATTTTCAAGGTTTTCGGGCAAGAACAAATCTCAACCTCGGTTGTGTCACTTCACTTCCTCGCTTAGCACTATCTGCTGCCTCCTAAAATAGCTCAGCGTTTCTCTGAAGCCACGACTTAACACCAAGATAGACAGATAGGGTGCGTGCAGCAAAAAGACTGTGTCAATGCAAAAAAAGAAAGAAAAAAAAGAAAAAAAACCTCTATGACATCCATGCTGTGACGTGCGCACAAACCCGCAGTGAGATCTAGAGATTTGTTTTGTGTGATCGTGCTGCGTGCTGTCTGATAGGTACATGCACTCAAACTTTTTGCATAACTTTCTCACTTGCTGCTTAACTTTCCATATCGAGAGGTGGTGCACCTATAAAAGTGGCCCTGAACAAAAGTTTATGACCTTTATATCACTCACACAAACTTAAGTTACTTCATGGAAAAAGTTTGGATGCACTGTTATACCAACCAGTACTTGTCCTCTTGACTGGCGCCAGCTTGTTGGTAAATAATTTGGCATTTGCAATTTAAGCAGTTTTCACATTTCCATAAAAAACCCCTTAAGACTTCTCTGAGTTTTCAGGGTGAGCTGCATGTGGAAATCTAAAAAGCAGAAATTTTCACCCCTAACCTGACTAACTTCTGCTAATTTACTGAGGAAGTTGGAATGAGCCAATGTGAGAATGCAGTAAATTTGGGGGAAACTCAAAAGCAAGAGGGGCAAAGGTGATGATATCGTACAACTGATGCAAACCCAATACAGCACCTGTCCATGGCACCCTGTTTTTAAGTAAATGTATTACATACCAATCCTGTTTCTCAGTTTGTTACACAGACTGTCTCATAAGACTCTGGCATATATGTTTTACCTTTCACAAGAGTATTGTAAGCTTTGGCAGCAGGTAGGTTAGCGATAGTTAGCTCACAGATAGCCTTTAAACAACAATGACCAGCAAAGTCACCTGAACTTGATATGAAGAAGGGGGAGCTTTTCAAAAGGCTGTCTGTCCACACTGTTTGTAAAAAATCACACAGACTTAAGCTGGAAGATGAATTAAGATGCCAAAATATGATAGGGTGACCATATTCTGACTTCCCAAAAAGAGGACCTGACTGTGCGGGGGTGGAGTCAAGGAGTCGCACAAAGTTGCTTTTGAGAGTTTTTCAGGTCGGATTGAGTGTCTTTCCGCACTTCTAACTCAGTAAGACCATGGGACACAAACTTGAAACTTACGTACAAAACTGCAGACATTTGTAGGATTTTATAAACTTCCCCGGTCAAAGCTGGACAAACCCGGACAGCCCCCAAAAAAGAGGACATGTCTGGGTAAAAGAAGTCAAATCATCACCCTAAAATATGATGCCACAATGGACTTATGCTATGATGCTAACATTAGCTAGCAGTAGCATGAGCAGCCCCCAGTATCTTTACTTTTGCAGGATAAAAAGAGGCGATAGTACTCTTAACATGTTTCGTAATTAGCTAACAAAAAAAGGCTTTATTCAAGCTTTACAAAAAATTTCAAAAATAGCTAAACAAGTTTGTTTTTTCAGTTTTAAAGTCCTTACACACCGGGCCGACATGAATATAAGTATTTGAAATTACGAAATATTCAGAGGCAAATTTTGACGCGCCCGACTATACACATCAAGCCCGATGCGATTTTGTGACTTTCCGGGGGGAAAAAAGACGTGTCCCGGGTGGAAGCGAGAAGTCTGACATTACAGCAGACTGACTGTTTTTCAGTTCTGATTAGACACGAGTGTTGAGATGACTGTCTGTCATGATAGCATGTACTGAGTCGGGGCCAGTACCAGATAAGCACATTAAACTATAATCCATAAACGTAAGGTAACTGAGACCTAATGGTGCTGTGACAGCAATGCGACTGAGTTTGAGACAGTGAAAATACATATGGTATGTTGTATCTGAACAGGTTAGCTTACGAGCTACAGTTACTTAGCACTGATGAAAGTTAAAACAAAGACGCTTAGCAAACTGTTAAAGCACACAAACCATCGTCATATGAGAAATCCAACGCTATGACTCTCCACAAGTTGTCCTTCAGGTTGTTATCTTTGTAATGTTTGTGTCTTTTATCAAAAAGCACTCTGTTCTCCGACACATAAACAATCAGCCGATCGTCCATGTTGGATATACCGGTGAATCTGATGTCGCAAAAACACGCAATCTGATTGGTCAGAAGTGGACACACAGTATGCGAAACTTTTGAAAAATCGACCGTGATCCAAAAAAATAAATGCTGTAATATCGCAGGAAGGGAAAACGTCACTGATGTGAACACTTGTATTGACAGGATACGGGTTCGAAAAAAAATATTGATGTCCAAAATAATCGCAGGACAAAAATGGTCCTGGTGTGAAAGGACCTTTAGAATTAGCTACCAGCTACATTGTTCTTTTTGGAACTAAAATATCAGCCTGTAATCTCTGTTCTTGAGACGTATCTATCACCCATGGGAAGAGGTGCTTCAAATTTTTCAAAGTTTTCTAAATGGATCAACCTCGTTTCAGGCTTGTTTTGCTTTTTGCTGCAAACTATTCCTTAAAGGCGATGGCAGCCTCTGGAGTGGAGTTCAGCTGATGTGATCTCTCTTTCCACAAGCCACTCTTATTAAGAAGCACCACTAAAAGCCGGAGGATTCTCTTACTAAACCAATCAATATAGGATCTGCCTCGCCACGGTCCCCAGAGCCCTCGACTCCACCCTTCATTCTTCCCTTCCTCCAGCTCTCACTGTCCCTTCAGTCTCACTCATTCATGATAGGCAAATGGGTGGATGCTGCGGCGTGCACGTGTGCTCGCTTCCGCACACTCCAGACAGATCTGATACGGAATGCAGCGCTATCTCAAACCTCAGGAGGTGAAACAGGTGAAAACGGTCCTCCGAGGCAGACTGAGGAGCAAACTGGCTGTTAATGAATAAATAAACACGGCAGTCGGCATGAACGTCCCGCTGGCTTCACGCTCTCTGAGTGCAGAGGCTGATCCTCCACCGCTCCACCTGTGTGACTGTCAAAGGAATCAATAAACAGCTACTGTTGCAAAGGTGAAGTCCTCCACCAGCGTGCACACAGCTGGCAGTCTGCGTCTCAGACAGGAAGACAGGAAGAGACATTACGGCATGGTGTCACACCTCATCTGCATGTTAATGCTTCAACTGTCTGCCTGTTAGTCAGAAAACGCACAAATATGATGCAATGAGCCACAACGACGGACACGTTACCAAGTGAAAAGTTACTTTCTTTCTTTGAATCACTTCCTGCCTTGCTCGCTGCAATTTTAGCTTCTGCAGGAAATCTGTTGATCATGTGAGCTTCATGACTACAGACTTTTGCTCTTGTTTGTTGAAATTATTTGTATTTGGGTAAAATCGTAGAGGTGTGGAGTCAAAGAGGACACACTTTTAGCGAGATAGTCACCGGTTCTTCAGCTCTGAGTATGATAAGTGGTTACGCAACTCCCCCCTGTTCCTTAAAGTGAGAGCAGGCAGTATATTTATGCTCAAGTATGCCGATCTAAGAGCATAAAAACCCAAAGCACAAGTGCCACAGAGAGGAGCATCCTGTCTCCACTAATGAGACCCAGATGAATCGCTGTTTGCGCAGATTAAACTGTTGTTGGTATAAACACTTCTCCACCCACAAAAAGTGACAAACTCCAACTTTAAGAATGAAAACCAAAGCCACGCTGTCTTTTTTTATTTCAGTGTAAATACTGAGTATCCCGCTTTAGCTGCAGCTGTGAGGCTTTTTTTGTTGTGGCGCTGACAGAGTGGGACACTGAGGTCACGGCGTTTAGTAGTTGAAAGCCTGAAAGAGCTCAGGCTTCTGTGAGTCAAATCTACAAGGTCAAAAAACACTAAAAGATTGATCGGACTGTACTTCAAGCTCCTGTGAGGAACTTTCGGTTTGTGTTGCTTCTGGTTCCCCTTGTAGAGGAAAAAGAAAAATCTCATCTTGTTTTCTTTTAACAGGCAAATGTATCATTCAGTCTGACACCTACCCTATGTAAGACAATAAAATAAATACATAAATAATACATTTTATTTGCTTCAGTATTGATTTCAAGTCAGTTTTAAGACCACATCTCCACAGGTGCTTTAAAATAAAGGCGTTGCACCGTTACAAAAGTGGTAACAGCAGAAGGACAAGAGGTGACGTGTTTCGCTGAACAGTTCATTCCCATTTGCATGTCTATTTTAACTTTTGCTTTTTGGACATGACATCAAAGCTCTGCATCGATAGCGAATTTGCTCCCCTTGCTCTTTGTCTCGTTCTTTCAGCCAAATGTGCCATTTTTCAAACAATAAATACCTGCTGAGGGGTTTTACCCACAGAATATCTCTCTGTTGTTGCACCAAAACCTCTCCTAACCATCTGGATGAAAATATATTTCATCTGTTGCACGATGAGAATGAATTTTAGCCTGTTTTCAAAGGCGTGTCTGTCTTTGCTGCATTTGAGAGAGCACAAAGTGGGGCTGCAGAGACACCTGCATAAGCTGGGAGTTCAAAGGGAAAAACGGGTGACAGGAGCAGCGATCAATGACAACTCAAAAGCCAAACACACAGATGAACGTATTAAAAGGGTTTTATACATCATCATCATCAGAAGGCTAAAGAATCAAAGAGTAACACCAGCAAGTTGGAGCACTATTTCCTTCACGGAGGCTTTAAGTTTGTGCTTAAGCTTCAATTGATGCTGACAGAGATTTCAGCTGAAGTAAAATTCCCACACATAGACAATCCCCAAAGTACAGTGCCCACCATTTAACTTTATTCTTGTTTTAAAATCAAATCTATTTTATTTTCTTAATATTTTTTAAGCTCTTGTGAGGGACATAGAAGTTTCCCAGAAGTGAAAAAGAGACCGTGTGGTTGGGTAACTCATTCTACCACTTGTGACTACAGACGAAAGAAGTCTTGCTGAAGTGTATAGATGTTCCAAGAATAAATAAAGTGGCCAAACTCTAAAACTTTTTTTTTTACTTCCCTACAGAATACAAGTCCACACCTCCACAAAAATAAGCAGAAAGATGTTTGATTCAGCCTGTTTGTTGCTTAGGTTGCACTAATACTTGCTGTGTGCCTCTGCTCTGCCCTCAGTCACAGCCTCTACACCACTGACTCTCCTCATCCATAGGTTTGCAAATACCAATGATCACCAGGTCCTTTAGCATCTAATTAAGATACAGGTAATACATTTAGGTTGCACAATACACTAAGGGCCTGATCTACTAAAGGTTGGCATGTGCAAAAACACATGCAGACTTGATAGCGCACGCAAACCTGATCTACTAACCGTGTGCACCGAGGATTGCGTCTGTCGAATGAGCAAAACAGCGCGCGCAATCGATTTAGCATGTTTGCCTCCATGATTATGCAGAATGTATGTAGATCATCAGAACGCGCAAAATTTTGGGAGGAGCAGACGCAAATGAAGTCAAACCGGAAGCCAATTGCGTTCACTATTTTGCATCTATGTTTAGCACGTTTGAAAGGCACGTGCAAACTGTAGCAGCATTACGCACGGTCATTGTGGAGAGAAGGATGCAAAAGCACTATGATACACGCCATGATCCTTGTCCAAAAGCTTGTGTTTTTTTTTTGTTTTTCTGGTAAATGACAATTTCCATAAATGATAAGGTCAAACACGAAACAGACGAAAACATGTATCTGTTTGTCTAATTGATTTTAAGTCGTTTTAATCCCTTTTTTTGATTTCTAGTATATCTTCTTGCATCTGTAAAGCACTTTTAATTGCCTTGTGTATGAATGGTGCTGTACAAATAAACTTCTCTTGCCCTTTATGCAGTTCCCCAAAACGATATGTGCAACTCCATGGCTTCAAACACTCTGCTCTCACAAACTCTCCATGGTGACAGGTGATAGCGCATGCAGCACTTTTGCCATTATCAATTGTGCACGCAATGATAGTAGATCACCCACAACACGCCCACTAATGGCATATGCAATTTTTTAGTTTGCACACGCAATTTAGCGCTCGCTATTTTGGATCTTAGTTGATCAGGCCCAAAGAAAAGAAGAGAGACAGTAATGTAACCTGGCATCTGTGTGTTTTCTATTAGTCCTGACTGACACCCATAAAATGACAACACACTTTCTGCAGATACACACTAACTACCACAAGCCTCATTTGGATGATTGTTAATCTTTTTCTAGTGACTTTTTCTGCACTAACCAACATGATGAACAGGAGTTTATACTCTATTGCTTTGTGTCAAAACAAGAATCATTATCATTTGATTGTATCTTTAAGATTCTTGTAGCATGGCAACCCTAAAACATTCGTATACCACTGATTTGTGCAGCTGGTTGCTGCCATTGTGTTTTTGCTCCATTTGAGTTGGGAATCATTGTGAAAAACTACATCAATAACAACTCCTGTGCACACCCATATCTACTTTTGTGATAAAAATATATCTCTTGAAATATTTGCGTAATTATACCTAACTTTTAGCCTTAACCAAATGTCGACAATTGTTATCAAATAGTTCAATGTCAGTTCAGTTGTGAGGAAAGTATGGTTACTTAACCTCTTTTTGTTTTTTTGCACTGGGCTCTCTGCATGTTTAATTCTGCTGATTAAAAATGACCACTCCAACAGGCCATTAACACATCTAATGGCCCTCAAGTGATCACTCAATGAACTGCTTTTTTTTGTTCTCCGGCATTGGCTTAATTCTTCAGCACATAAAATTGACGCCTGGAAATATTAGGCTCTTTACTGTTTACAGTTTATTTTAACATTTCAATCTCGTAATGCTCAAAAAAGCTTGCACGATTTCCAGGACAGAGGCCTCTCAGTACATATTGTCGGCTGATGAATGGGAGCGGAAAATGGAGTGCATTATGAACATGTAATAATGGACTATTCAGAACATAAACAGAAGCATATTACCGCATGTTCTTGTGATTGTACCAGATTAGACATAATGGGCAGTTGATGGCATGCCTGTGTAAATCATCGCTTATCTCTGCTGCTGTATTTATTGTGCTTGCTCTTGTATACAGTCATGTTCAGGGGCATTATGCTGTAATGCTGCTCAGACATAAATCAATACTTATGAATTACAGAGCTCCCACTCCAATGGGAAGCTACTGCAATGCCGTACCTGGGCTGAAATGTATTTATTGCATGCAGGGGTTATAGACAATAAAGTTTCCCTGCATTTAACAATTAATAATGTGTGTGATTCTGTTACGTTTATAAAGTTTAAAGACATGGGGATACTTGAAACAATAATTGGGATGGACTCTGAGGTATGTAGGTAATAAAGTTTGAAAAGAAGACAACTCAGTGTCCCTTTTTTCTTCCTTTCTCAACATTGAGCTGTACTGATTTTTTTTTTCTGGTTACTATGGTGATCTTTATTTGTTTGAATATAGTATTAAGTGCAAATGTCAATGCTCAGTTCTCTACTCGATGACCCTGACGCTACAAGAAAACTATTCAAGAACTTGTCTTTACATCCATTCATCAACTTTCTCTTGTTATTCCTCTTAGATTCATTCCCACTCTGTCTGTGCCTACTTCCTTGTTCCCTCCTTCTCCTCGCCCATGCATTGCTCTATACACAGCATTAATAATTGAAGGCGTTTTATGCAGACAGTGAGTTTTGGTGCCCTGAGCTCTTTGGTCATGGATCCATGGCACTAATGCTGGGTGGCAGGCCAGTTTTAGGCCCCCTGCACTCCAAGTCCAGGCCGAGGCACATCTGTCTGGCTGACTGGCCAATTCATGGGCCCCGGATCCCTGAGCTATTATGCACACAGCTGACATGCACACACAAACACACATGAGCGCTGCACACACATACCAGGAGGATTCATGCACCATTTGCTTTTCTATCTGCAAAGATCGCGTCACACTTTTGCACCTTTTAACAAAACTAGAGGCCACAGGCGGACTGACAACCTCAGAGCCTAAATTACAGTTAGCTGCTGTGTTCCCTCCTATAACACTATAATTCTCACTCCTAGACACCCAATCATACTCTCTCCCCATAACAATGTTTATGAGATGGAATAGTAGTTTGTAAGTAAGAATTACAGTCTTTAAAAGCAAATCATGATGCGCAAGACAGCAGCAGTGTGAGTGAAAAACTATACTTGTGTGTCTGACAAAAGGATTGTGTTCTTAAAGGGGCAACTGAGTAGGAAGTCTCTGAAGTTACTTTAAAAAGTCTGTTCAACCACCGTGTGGCTTTTCTAGCTAAGTTAAGGATTGAAGGAGAATTTAAATCAAGCTGCCGAACATTTAAGGACGACTTCAAAATCCACAGTGCTTTGTAAGAACAATAGCAAAGTCACCAGTAACTTAATTTTTCAAGATCTGTACGTAACATATAGTCTAGCCTGTTTTTACACACAACTTTGTTCCTCTACTCTCACTATGCAGTCTTACAGTGTACCTATAGTGTCATTCAAGCAAATTTGCTCGATTTGTTTGTGCAGTCTCTGTTTACTCAACCAAAACAGCCAGTCTAACATCCAAACATTTGCAAACTAGCAATATCAACATCAAAATCAAGCTAACATGTATGTTTGTGTGGAATTGTACTGACCTCAAAACACACAAGAAACAACAGTCATTCTGCAATTCACCGTCCCTTTCCCCTCCAGTTTTTGTTTCTGCAGAGAAATACTAAACCAGAATCCATGCCTGTTCACCTCTGCTTCAATATTTTACCGGTTAAGATACTGTGTGTGTGAGAGAGATCTTAATAATGAGTGCAGGACATTGCAGTGGTGTATAATTAATCGTTCACTCAGGGGCCACTTAAATCTTTTCGATTTAATACAACAGCTTGGCAGAAAATACAACTTTTACAAGGGTTAAAATTCTCATTTTAAATTAAAACTTGCACAGATGTGTACACAGTTACTGTATGAATGTGAATTGATACTTATTTTAATTTTTTATTTATACTACTGTGGATGTAGGTGACTCGTGCAACACTTGACTCAGATGCATGTTGAGTCTGACTTGAAGGAGTGTCATACTGTCTTGCATCACATTATATCTTATTGTATCAAATTTGATCAAATCCTATCATATCACATTGAATCCTATTGTATTCTATTGGGTTTTACATCGGGTATTGAATTGTGTTGTGCCATATCATAGCGTATCGTAATGTATTGTGCCACTAAGTATGGTACTACATTGTATCATATTGTATTGTACACTACTTTGTCATATTGTAGCTGCAGCCTGCTACTACACTGTTGTTCTAATTCAGCACATGATTGGCTCAGCGTGAAGCGGACCCAGAGCAACTCCCCTTTTCATTGGCTATTCGTATAGTCTACCAAAACATGGCAGAATGCTGACTATTGAACAGCATATTGACTATGTTTTATATTGGTATTGAGGGAAGTTAATTTTCTATATATATCGTTATCGTTTTATCACCCAGCCTTAGACTGTATCATATCAGATTGTATCATCGCACATCTCATCATATTATCCTGAATCATACTGCATTATAACAGATCACATCCTAACATGTTGTAACCACATTTCCACTGATATCAGAGTTAAAAGTGTTGTTGTATTGGATGTTATATTGAAAGGTGTTTCTAATTAGTTTAGCTTCGTTTTAACATATAACCGAGAAAGAACACCACCTAATGTAATGCTGTTGAATGTAATAACATCACTTATTACACACTTACAAATAATGCATGAAATCGGATTTTATTATTTGGTAAATCTAAAAAATATCAACTCAGTGAAACTCATGCAAGACTTACTTTTGGATTGTATATCTGCACCTTTTATTGCAACAAGTGAGTGTTTTGTGTTGGAGAGGATAAAAAGCATTTAGATAATCATAGTGGGGACAAAAAACCTCTAGTACTATATAATGATGTGTTAATATGTATGAGAAAGTGTTGCTGTGTGTGAGAGCAGGTTTTATTTATGATTCGAACAGCCTCTCATAAATATTACTCCACAGTCACATGTCTGCATATGTGTTTGGAGACTGTATATGTTTCATTTGTGTACATGCAAGCATGAGAGATGAGAGACCCATACAGCGCTGAGCGAAATGATGTGCAGGTGTGCCAGTAAAACCGAGACTGTGTTTATTTCCATGACATGAAGGTGGAGAGGGGTGATGGGATTGAGGAGAGGTTGACTTGAGAGGGAGGGAGGAGGCAGAAGCGCTCCGGTCCTGTCGCCTTGGGTGCATCAGCAGCAGGAATTGTTTTGTGCCCTGTAGGGGCCTTCTGACTGTTCTGTCACCCTCCACAGAAGCCTGACTCTGCCTTAAAGTGCTCGGCCGCACGCCTGCAGTTCGCCGTGCTTGATGTTTAATACATACACAGGGACAATATTGAGGATGCCTCAGGAGGATGCCGTACACAGGCTGTAAGGGAGACCATATTTGTGTCAGTTTGTAGAACAACCAAGAATAGAGGAGCTCCTGTACAAAGATTGCGTGGGCAGACTGTGAACATAATTGCCCGGAATCCGAACCAGAGCTGGAGCTCCATCGCGAATTCAAAATATTCCAGATCCAGGAGTCAAGCACCTCTCAACAACACACACTTGTCCTGAGTGGCGATGGTTTCATACTCCTGACTGTGCAATGCATAGTTATCTGTGGCAGGGTGATATACATCGCAATCATGCATGATGTTGAAGTCAAAATGACTGTCATGAACTAAGCTAAGATGCCTCTCCCAAAACGTGTCTGTGCGTCAGGCGTGATGTAATTCAGGGCATCACTCTTCAATAAAGCAAGAGAACAGGCCTCAGGGGTGACCCTCCTGCTTAAGTCAACACAATGAGTGTAATGAGGTGAGATACACACACACACACACACACACACATTGGCACACACACACACACACTAGAAGTGGGAACCCTTGCTGCATAGTAAGTGGATTTCATTCATCTACATGCAGTGAGCCTGCTGGAGAAGTTCTACTCACACCCACACATTCAGCAGCACTGCCAGGATCTCACACCGCAGCTTATTACAGGTGAGAGCATCATTACACACTGATTTAGATACACAGGCAAGCATTCATACACTGCAAAATCACATGTAGATGGATTTCAAGTAAGCCAACCCTCATCTTATCAGACAAAAGTTGCATAATTATGGGAAAATCCTCCTCATAGTCACAAATGCATGGCGAAAATTGAAGAAAAGATTGCATATACAGGCCATGTTTTTATATGACATGCCTGTTTCTCCTCTCCTGCGAGTTCATCAGATCTGGCTCCATAATTAATCGTCCCTGCCGTTTAAGTAGGACTACTGCCTTTTCCTTATCATCACGTACTGTACAGCAACCCACGCCCTCCGGGCCATCAGCGGATTAATGATGAGTGCCTGTGATAGGAGAGCCCCTCACAAAGCTTTTATTAATTAGCCTGGCACCGACACTGTGGCCGCAGTGTGCAACACATGTTCCCTCTAATCCAAACTTTAAAGGGGCGCCTCCTCGGATCAACCTCCTTATCAGCCACCGCATGGAACAGGCAACCCCGCATGATATAAAACCTTGATGCGTGCATGCATTAAGTTATACGCAGGTGGAGAAAGCGCACCATCTCCAAATTAGCCGAGCAACTTTCATCCATCGCTGACCAACCTGCACTTTACTAGGAAGCCCATGAATGATTGATCAGACAGGTGGGATCGAGAATAATTCAGCGGCGATGGAGAGGGGAGGGCGCGCTGAACGATCCAAACCTGTGCATGATGGCACCAAAGTGGAGGCAGAAATAAAGAGACACAGATAGGGGTGGATTGTACTCACTAGCCCCCAGGTGCGTTAGAGGAGCATCCCGGTCTCTCAGGGCCAGCTCTTCAGATGAGTTCTCCCGGGACAGCGCGCCTTGATCCTCACTATCATTATTTGCAGAGCGGCAGCCTCCTCACAGCCTCACCTTACTCTTCTTTTTTGACATCACACGAAAAAAAACAGCTGCATGCCGGATGAAATTCGCCTGTAATTGTTGGTTTTGGGGGGTTGCAGCCGTCCGTCTGTCAGTATGTGGAATAGAAGTGACAGCAGCGGATTGCTATTTGAGAGGATGCTGACGCGCAACCGGAGGGGCTCGCCTCCTGCCTTTCTCATCAGGCTCCATCAGCTCTCGGTAAGGCAGCACCATGTGACTGAAACCACCGTCAATGCGCACACAATAAAATCTTCAATTTCCGGTTGGTTTTCAAAAGAAAACTTAGTTGACAGTATATTTCATGCTGTCACAACAAAGAAAGTAGTGCAACGAACTGAACAAGGGGCAAAAATCATCCAAAGAATATGAAAAAATTGAGTATATGAGTTTAAACAAGAAGGTCATATTCCTGTCCCTAAAACCAGGATTAAAGTAACTGTAAAACTACCATTTTTGGCATTTCAAGAGAAAAGAGAATGTGAGGTGTCCATGTAGATTCTCATTCATCCAGGTCATGGTTATCTTGAAGACTCCAAAAACAAGTAACTGGACCGTGTAGAGTTGAGGACCACCTCCTAACCAAGAAGCTGAACTGAAGAAGCTTCTTGGATAAGAGGTGAAACGTCTTCTCAACTCTACACAGTCCAGTTGCCTGTTTTTGGAGTCTTCAAGATAGACTGAGAGGTGAAATTGCATTTTTAGTTTCAGTTGATATCAGCGTGAATGCGAAAGTTAGGCTTTGTTCTTGCAAAGACAAAGCCCAGCCTACAAATAAAGCCAAAGTATCCATGTTTGAGCCTACAAACCCTCTTGAGAAATAGTGGGATTTTTTTAAGTGGTCAAATTGCAATTCAATATTGACCACACCACTTATATTCAAACAAGCACTTTTATAAACAATTATGAATCCTGAATTGTTCAGATGAGACCATGGCCCCATAGTAGTTATGATTTATGCATTCAAGAGAAAACTTAGTTGACAGTATATTTTATACTGTCACAACATAGAAAGTAGTGCAACGAACTGAACAAGAGGCTAAAATAATCTGAAAAAATGAGGATACGCAGTAAAAACACTGAGTTGAAACAAGAAGGGCATATTCCTGTCCCTAAAACCAGGATTAAAGTAACTGTAAAACTACAATTTTTGGCATTTCAGGAGAAAAGAGACTGAGAGGTGAAATTGCACATTTGGTTTCAGTTGATATCTGTGAATGTTAAAGTTTGGCTTAGTTGTTGCAAAGACATGACCTAGATACAAGCAACAAAGCCAAAATATCCATGTTTGAGTCTACAAACCCTCTTGAGAAAAAGTGGGACTTTTTAAGTGGTCAATTCAATATCGACCACACAACTTATATTCAAACAAGCACTTTTATAAACAATGAATGTATCCTACATTGTTTAGATATATGATGCCATGGCCCCAAAGTGGTTATGATTAACACATTTTACTTCAAACTGAACAAAAACCTCGCCAACATCTTTTACAGGCATAAATACAATCCAAAAGAAGAAGATTCAAGTCAACCAATAGGCTGTGTTTACACTAAAATGACATTGTAATAAATGTGTAAAGCTTGGGTGAGGTGTGCAGATGTCTTATTATCCTTTTGTGGAAATTTGTTTGGTATAGCCAGTTTTGCATACCGTGCATTGTTCCACTCTGTGTGGGGGCATGTAACTACCAAAAATGCTTTTATTCTGGAGGATTATGATATAATTTCCTATTTTTGTCAAGCTTGTATCTAGCTTTACTCACCAGTGACGGCAATTCAATTAAAACCGACCTCATAGACGAGTGCCTCCAAGCGGCCAGCATTGAAATAACATCAAAAAATGATTGTGGGGACCATTACTTCTACACCCAAGCGTAATCCCATCATAAATTATTGACATGCTCCTCATAATAGCCTCTATGTTTATTCCTCATCGAGTCTAGAACTTTCTTCAAAGCAAAATAGTGAAGAAAAACGCAATGAGACTGTGGCTTCTCGGGTACATGCATAATGTTAAACTTTTATGAGCCTGGGCCTAAATAAAGAAAGCATTCACGTGCTTGTCAGCCATCCAGCGGTGGCTGTAATTTTCAGCCATGCTAGGCATTTTGTGTTGATAAATGTCCTGTAGGCTCAAAGGGAAAAGCTTATTTTGTTAGTCGAAGGTTAGGCAGGTTCTTATGTGTTATTATGTATTGCATGCAATTGTTATCCACATTAGCTCCCCAGGTGACAAAAGGTATTTCAGTCTGAATAATGGAATCTTTGAAGGCTGTGGTAAAAGCACATTATCATTATTTCACACTATAATTCTGAGGAATCTAATAATTTTGGCTGCTGTGAGTTAAAAAAAGGATCAAATCTGTTTTGCTGTGTGCTAAAATGTGTGACAGAAGGAACAGAGAGGGAAAAGGAGAGAGCGGGAAGCAGCAATGACAGCCTAAGACGCTTTCAAAGAGAGAAAAAAAGCCTTGTCCTTTTGAGGTCTTTCTGCTATTGTTGTCCACTATGAACCAGACTCTTGGGTCTCCTCCACAAAGCAGGTCCCCTCAGAGCAGCACACCACTGGCTGTCCTGTCACTTCACATTAGCGTCCTGGTGGAGAACAGCAGCCCCCGAGGGTTCGGACACACTTGTCATGAAAGAAATGTTCTGGACGCACACATTCACACGCACACACACACATACACACATACAAAGTGAGTCGATAAGGAGGTGCTGGTTAAAAAAGGCAAAATGAGAACACAAGGAGAACCTCCATAGAGGCTGCTTTACAGAATTATAACAGTGACCCTCTTTCTGCTTCTCTTTCTCTCACATGGACACACACACACTCAAACACACACACATGGTTATTTTTATGGCACACATTCAGGAAACATGTTCTCATGAGAAATTCAGTTGTGAATGGGAGAGCTTCATGCATGGAACGAGGGCAGGACACTAATGTATTCTACTAGTCGCCCCTTGCACTTTATGTGTAACTGACAGATGTTTGGAGCTACTTTGTTAATGCCACTGACTGCACACACAAAAAAAAGCTTCTACATTAAATAACATGTTAGACCCCTGCTGGTGGGTCAGCTGTAACTAACTCAGGATGTGAGGCCAAGCTTTCTTTAACCTGGATTAAGAATAGGAGCTAAGACCTACCAATAACAAAACATTATTTTGGATCTTGGCAACAGCTGGATGTCTTGTTACACAGTCTGAAATCATCACTGCTGACATACACGGTCTTTACCTGTCACGACATTTGATGCATTTTGAAAACTTAACATTTTTATGATTCCTACAGATGTCAGAGTGGATTCACAGAAAGTGCTAAAAACACGCAATCGACTGATAATAAATACATCGTGATTGGGAAGCTTCAGAATAAGCAGGTAAGTGCATCTTTACTTTCTTAAACTGCAGTATTGCTCTGCAAAAAGTCTGAGATAATAAAATATAACAGGAGGGAAAATAATGGGTGGTAAATGATCGATGTATCATCATGAACACAGTAAAACCAATAGAGCGGGAGCAAGTGGTGGATGTTTATGATGCATAAACTGCCTCAAATTGATCACGATGTTTGTGCCACGTTTTTTATATGATGAAGGAATGTTTTTATTTCTTGTATAGATGCAGAAATCGTGCCTCCCTGCCAGCCTCCATAAATACCCTGAGGTTATTTTTGGTTGTGAGGGAGGAGCTTCTCCTGGGCCTGGGGCTGGACACATGCAGGTGGGCTGGGCGGCGTGGGATGGAGGAAAGAAGAGAGAGAGAGGAGAGAAGAGGAGAGAAGAGAGGAGAGGAACTTTGAAGAAGCAGAGTAAAGGGGGAGGAGTGTGTGATGAAATGAGATGTGAAGTGTTCCCTCACTCAGCCCGCAGACGTGTAAAAGATTCATCAAGCTGCTGAGAGAGAGAGGTGGGACCAGCCTCCATGCACGAGGAGAGGAGAAGGGAGGAAAAAAGAGGAGGAGGGTGACTGCGAGTTGCTTTTAAGATCTTTTCTATTATAAATCATACCAAGCAGTGGCTACCCAGAGGGCAACTGCAGATCCTAAACAAAAGGCCTGTGGAGAAAGGGAGGCAGGGCTAAAGGGATTTGGGCAGTGGAGGGGGAGAGAGTCAAATGGGCCAGTGGTAGCTGCATTTAAAATTAAAATAAAAAAAAAAGTCACCCTATAAAGTATATAGGGGAGAGTGGGTAAGATAAGCCATTTTTCATATTTCAGATCACTTCATCAAGTCAATCATAGTTTTGTCTCTAACTAGTGTATCTGCATATATTTCAAGATGTTGTGCATCCCTGCAAACTAACAGAATGAGTGTAAACATAACTGTCTTGATAATATAGCATGACAAAAAAAAAGTGGTCTCCTATGGTCAACTTACCCCGTGTATGGGGTAAGTTGAGCCGTATCCCTACTACCCCCTCACTCTCCACCCCAGCCCTTCCTCACCTTCTCTCTCTCTAAATAACAGTCACTTCTTCACATTAATGTGTATCTTTATTTATTATAGGCTATTCAACTGGTACAATAATTATTTTTATTATTATTGCATATAACTGCTAAAAAGCTGTTTTGTAAAAAGCCATTTTAACATGAGAATGTCTTTAAGTGATTCAGAACACTCACAGCTGTATTTTTGAAAACAAAAAGTAACACATTTCAACAATCTGAGCTGAAACTCTGATCCTCTCATCAGACTTCTTTACTTTCTCACTTGAGGCACTGGCTCAACTTACCCCAGAACTACTATGATGACTTTATTTGTCCTCTGAGCTAAAATGGTGGACCTTCATGTTAGGTTTTTGATCTTGTGTTGTAGCTCATAGATACCACAATTGATGTATAAAACAAATTTAAAATGATCTTTTATGGTCCGAACACAATTCTGATAAAACTTATGACAGACTTAATTCACTTTCAAGAGTGAAAAATGTTTTTTTTTTTTTTTTTGGTAATAAATGTCTAACCCCTTCACCCCATATGCTTCTAACCATCACAGACTCCATGAATTGATGGGGGGGCTCAACTTACCCTTTGGCTCAACTTACCCCACTTTCCCCCAATATGATTTAAAAGAGGTAACTTATCTTACTGAGACATACGTTTCTTTTCCATTAATACAATTAAGGCTGATTTTCTTTCATTCATTGTTGTTTAACCACAACATAAAAGCCCACATATGTAACCTTGTGAAATATGCAAGAGAATAGTTGTCTTGAATTATAATTTATGAAAATACTGCTACTTGGGTGCTGATGGCCTACTGGTGTAAGAATCCCTTGTATAGAGCCTAAAGTCCTTCTTGCAGCAGTTGCTAGTTCTATTCCCAGCCAAATCCTTTAGCTCCGTGTCTTCCCCTACACTCTACTTTCCAAATATTCTCTTTTTTTTCCAGCTGTTCCGTCTAAAAAGGCAACAAATCCCCCCAAAATATCATTTAAAAACAAAATAATACAACTTTTTCAAGAGCGTCCAGCTCATTTCTTACCTGAAGTAGACCAAGAAGCCCAATTTCTTGTTATTTGTCAAACAAGCTAAACAGGGACTGATGTTTCTGGCCTCTATTAATAGCATTATGACAACACAGGGCTTTAACCAGTCAAAATGTGCCACATCATCATGCCACTAGATGGCGCTTGTTCTACATGAGTGGCATGAATGGTGGCTCATTTAACCCGATGCCCCTTGTCTCAGACATCCCAAAATGAGACTTTACAATTAAAAGGGCAGCGTGACTCGGTTAAATCTCCACATATGTAAATGCATGGGTGGAAAAAAAACACTTCATTTCTCTTATCGTATCGGCAATAAGGATATTCATATTCAATTAGTAGAAATATATCAAGTGGGCTTACTATGACAATACACTTTTTACCCGTGTTAACATTTCTACTTGACGCGCGCACCTTTACGCACACCACCAGCAGCTTTGTCAACACCAGTTCACGCCCTTAGTTAGCCACATCCCAGCCCCTCAGTGTGACTGCCCCACTCCCATTACCACCACCTACCAGCTCACCCAACCCCCCCTCCTCCTCCCCCTTTTACACACCGGCTATCAACCATCCACCCAGCCAGTCAGCCAGCCAGCCAGTCAGTCCGTCACCTCAAGTGCTGCCACCGGCCGGAAGGAGCGGAGTCACTCATACAGACCCAGGGCAGCAAAGGGGGATCCCACAGAGCGTGTTTCAGGCTTGTCGTAGAAACACAGGAGCAAGAGAGGAGATGGGACGCCGGTGCTTGGATCAGGACTGAGTCTGATCGGCACGTTTCGAGCTCCCCCAGCCCGGCTACAAGTCTCCCTTTTCCCGGCGCAGAGTCACGTTTTCGCCCTGACACAATGGGGTTCTGCAGCGGACGATGCACCCTTATCTTTATTTGCACTTTACAGCTGGTGAGTTGACCCACGTTTCCTTTACTTGTTTTGTTTCGAGTTTAAACAACAAGAAATGGATCGGTGAAGCTTAAATATTTCTTCAATGACAAGACATTCGTTAAAATAGTCAATGTTTTTACTTGGGAAAAGCTCATTTTGAGTCAAACGTGGTCAAACTGTTTGCAGGATATATTGGTAAATATTTGTAACCACATAAAAGTTGAGTAACTCACTGAAAGTCTTGGCTTTTTATATTCTCTGAAGTGTGAGGAAAGTGACTGTTGTGACAGGGAACATATGGCACAGTTGATGTTAAGAAGTCAGGAGCTACCAGGCTGTGATTCCTGATAAAAGTGCAAAAATAATGTATTGATTTGCTTTTTTGAATAGTATCAAAGTTGTCATGGTCATGTCATGTCATGCTGCTTGTGTTGTTTCGTCCACTTATACACACACTCCTCATTTAATCTCAAGATGTTCTGAATAAGTCTACAAAGAAGCTGTTTTAGGATGTTTTAATCCCCAAATTACAGCAGCACTAAAGTCTTGTAGCTTTTTGGAGCTTCTGATCAGTGAACTTGACATTTTACAGATGGTATCCGCTCTGACTGAGATGATCCAGACAGGCTTGCCTTTGCCACTATCCCTGAGTAGAGTTTACTTGACAGGGTGTGACTTGGTTATTTATGGCTGCATTAAAAAACTGAGCTTGCTCACTCCGAAAGCCCTGGAGTAAATGTCGCTTTTAACGGCGAAGGGAGCAATAAAGTCTTCCCCAGACAAAGAGTGAAATGGGAAAGTTATGATAGGTTGTATCATGCATGAGGGCATCCGAAAACAAAGAAATATTGAACCCATAACAAAAGGACAGTGTATGACAGCAACCAGAGACAGTTTTATATCTGTTTGAGAAGAACTCTATCTCTTACTACCTCTCATGCCGCCTATTTAATGCAGCAGTTCTAGACCTATTAAAGTGGTCCCTAGAGCTACAGGTTGGATGCACACAGTTTGAAGTTTTTGTCCATCACAGATACAAGGGGATCCAGCCTGAATGAACCACCGTCTGAATTTAATACTCTTCTTTTAGTTCAGATATGAAGACATTTACTTGTAGAGAGATATTCTACCTGTCTTCAACTTTAATACCTCTGATCTGAGTTTGTGTTTGTGGGTCACATCAACATATTTATTTGTTTAATTTGTTGCTATGGTTACTTAATGGTAGAATGGATTTGCTAGAAGTCTGCCTAGCTGTGGTAGATATTGGAATCACAGACTATAACACAAAGTATGAAGAGAGGAAGAGAGGGACACACCTTTTTTTCCCCTTCCCAGACTTTGAACCTTTTCGCCTCATTAGAGAGGAGAAGGAGGAGGTCAACTATTTGTTAAGAGGTTTATAAAGCTGTCAGTGGGCTGCCTAAAAAAGTCCCTGAAGACTCCTGGAAGGCGCTTTATTTCCCCCCAGCTCTATTTCTGAAGGACTTGACACTTCCTGTCTGCAGGCGTACGCACACCTGCACACTTCTGATGAGTTTAACCTGCAAAGAGGGGTCATATTAAACTCTCCAAGACCTTTTTTCCAAAGGTCATCAGGTGGTAGACGTGTGTGTACATGAGTGCGATCCACATGAATATACATGTGCGCATGTAAGCGAAACAACACAAGGGGCCTCGGCTCTCTCCTGGCTAAAACCTATGCATTGACAATGAGCCAGGTTATTCCCAGTCCATTACAGGGTAAAACTACCATTAACAAAACAACCTACCCTGCTCCTCAGATGTAAAAATAACCCCTGTGAACTGCCGTGTGTGCTAATTAGCCCTGCAGAGTGCTTTGATCAAACCTCTTTTGGCATCTCAGCCGTCCCCTAATTGAATTGTGGTGCGCTTTTCCTCATCAACGGGCCGAGCAGAGGGACTCATCTCCCTGGGACAGAAGGCAACAGATAATGAGGCTGTATTGATCTATACGCCTCTGTTCCCTCTTCCCTTCTGCAGACTAACCATTCCAGACAGTAGGGCTGGATCGTTGTCAGAACCCTGATCGGCCCCAGAGAATGGCAACCATTGGCAGGAAGCCCTGTCAGTCTAATGATTTGTTTGTATGCTTAGACGCAGACAAGCTCGTTTTGTGTCTCAACGGGTCGGTTGTTTAAGGTGTCGACCTAAAGTTGACCCCGACGTGGAAGCGTTCGGATTGGTCCAATGTGGTCAGACATATTGTGAATGTCAGCGACCAGGCCATGAGGAGGGAGGTTGCCCTGAATAGAGTTGATGGTTAATGCGTGGCGGTGGACAGTGTGTGATTGATGAAGAGGGCCTCTTGGTTAGTCATGGTGGTTTTTCAGGGAAAGGGCGCGCGGGCAGACATGCACATAATCACAGTGAAGAAGGGTAATGAGCTCGGAGTTGAACACTGACCTTGAAAACGCCGGGCTATAACTTCGTTTGGTGAACCGACGGATGCGACCTCACGAGACGTGGGCTGTATATCATGCTCAGACACACCCACAAACACAGCTGTGTGCACTCTGAACCGTGAGTTATAGGTTAGTAGGTCCTGTGCTGGGTGAAGATTACAGCCTTTGTATTAAAGCGGGATGGGCAGCAGGATGAGAGAAATGGAGGAAAGAGCTGGAAGGGCTTTCATTTGATCACAAGCCAGGAGAAGAAAAATCTGTCCATGTTGTCAAAGTGAATAGCTTCATTTGTTCTCATGCAGAACAAAGTGCTTCAGTAGTAAAATGATTCTCAGAGGCGGCTGAGATCTGCAGGTTTTACCTCATCTTTACCCTTAAAAGCTACAGTCAGACTACCCACAAGCACAATATAAGTGTGTGTGTGTGTGCGTGTAATATCTTGCATCACACTGCCCACTTTTCCTCCACTCTTGTGATGACATAGCTACAGAAATACCAACTTTGTAGCGCAGGCTTCACAGGAGAAGACCGGGTTCAACCAAAGTGCTTCCAAGAAAGTTTGAGCGGAGAGGCAGAGCACCTCCTCCCGAGGAGGAGCGATATCTCCAAAGGCACGACATTATCCCTTGGCAGGCATCACGTCATCATCTCCCACACATTACAAAGGATTTAAGCTTTTTTTTTCTGTCTGTCCCTGCTTCCACTGCTTACTCATTTGCTTTATGGAAGCACTGACGTTTGATTTCCTGTTGAATATTTATGAACTTTCAGGATGTCTATAAAAGTACAACCACACACCTTGGTGATGTGCACATGCTTTACAACCGTGGTCTTGACTCATAGCTCTGATATTCAAACACCAAACACTAATAATTAAGAGTAATGTTTGCAGCAGGGGCAAATAACATGGTAATAAAACATTTTCTGGTATCAAGCCAGCAGACCTGGGTGTAAAGAGTTACTGTAAAACCCTGTTCTGCACTGGCTGTTCCCAAAGGAGGCCATATATCAAACCCTGGTTACTTCTAAAGCTGTTTGGGGGATTTTTATTAGCTAAAGATGTCAGAGACATCTGTTTAGGGAGTCTTTTTTGATTGGTGTTTTGTGCAGCGCGTGTGTAACTCTTTTAGGGCGTCTGTGCGAGTGTGAAGTCCTGCGTGATCAATGATAATGAACTGTATTTCCTTGGCACTGCCAGGTTGATGGAAGAGAAAGGCCAGCGGGAACATAGTGGATGGTTACAGCTCTTTTATCTCTTTGTTCCCTTCCCTCCTCTTTTTTTGCCTCTCTGGGCCTGCTATTAACTTCTCCAGAAGCCTCTCCAGACTTTGATTCATATCATTGGGAAAAGAATATAATTTTTTTTCAACTATTTGCTTTGGTTCCACAGATGGCTGCAGAATATGATGGCATCCCTGTTTGAATTATCCATGCAGATGCAAACTGTGGTGTCTGTGTGTATTAGACACAGTCTGCTGTACAGACATGAGCTCCCCATAAACTAGAAGTGTTTGCCAAACAGCAACAGATGCCAGAAGCAATATGTTTAACTGGCTTAATTCGAAAGATGATTTCTAGTTTGGGCTTGGGGTTTCGCAAACACAAATCACTATTGACACTCTTATCTCTATATTCTTTTGATGTGGACTAGAGTTTGTAATCGATTTCATTCTACCTGGTATACAACAAGCTGTAGTCAACATACACATGCAACCAACAAACATTAAATCCAAGTATCAGCTCACTGGCCTTTAAGCCAAACACAACTTCTAAGTTGCAACTTCTGTTTATTCTCTTGTGTACCTTTGGGGTTGGGATTTTGACCCTGGTTCTGTTATCATCCTGAAAACTCTTCTGTTGATCAATCCTCCTGAATATCAATGATCGACCCATTACAGGATTCTCGCTAGAGCCCCAAGGAAAAGAAGAGTGGATCTAAGGCAGTCAGGAGAGATGGCAATACATCTCTTGTAACTCGAATAGTTTCTCAAACCTCTGGAACCGTACTTGTTATTGACTCCCTAGTTTTGGTTTTACAGTAACTAACTGTAACAATCTAGGCTAACTAGACCAAGGTGAACAGCAACTTTCAGGGATCCAACTTAATTAATCTGCTTTGCATTCTGAATTAGGAGGTACCAAAAACAAAGTTATCACATCTCTGCATGTCTTACAATAAAAGGCACATCTATTACTTTGGATGTCCAAAACCTTGCTGGCTGAAATGAGACAGCAGATTTTGGTGACTTGGCCATTGTTAGAAATTCTGCGAGTTGTCAGGACTTGATTAACTAATCGACAAGTTGCTTTGGTGACAATGCAACTGATTAACGTTACTGATTAAAAATTGCCATCCAGACAACAGCGAGGGCTTGTCTTACAAAAGGTAAAAGCCTTTTTTTTTTGCATTGAAATTTCTCCTCGCCCTTTGATTTTGAGACAAAACCTCATTTTGGTTGTGATTTACCCCGACAAATCCAGCCAAGGCCCAATATTTGATGGTCTATATTAGGAATAAATCATCCTATAGATTTTCTGCTCTTCTGCTCTGAAGATGATCAGGGCCGCCCCATTTTGAAATCAGATATATTTGACTTGTTCAGTATAGTACGATTGGAAATCCTGCTGCATGGGGGAAACCTTGAGGATAGCCGAGCACAAAGTCTGTGAATTGTCACATGGAGCAGAATAATATCAAATAGCCACACTGACCCAAGAGGGATGCACAACAAATGCAGTCATGACCGAAATAGTGAATAGATGGAGGTCAGAAATGGAGAACCAATGTTGATTGGGGTGATAAATGCTTATAAAAGCATAAAGAAGAGAAGTCAAACAGAAACTGCTTCAGCAATGGATGTGCTAGATAGCTAAGCAGCTAGCAGTGTTTATTACCAGGCTTTCTGTATTGGTCAAAACCCTTTGACCACAGCTATTGATTCTAGATAACATAAGGGATAACCTGATCACACATATCAAGTCAACTCTGGGAAAGGACCTCTGGCTCATCTAGGACACCATTTGTGATTTCTCCTCTTTCTGTTTCCTGTACAATCTGACAAAAACGTTACAACAGCATCAGAAGACAAAATAGCCTGGAGAATGTTAGCAATTCATCTTCTATTTGAGCATTTTGGACTCTGCTATCTTGGTTTTCTGAATCTTATCCTGAAGTGTATTTGAACAGAAGAGCTGAGCTGCAGAGGAGTGGGGGGATACTAAGTTATTAAATCTAAAGAGTCTAGCTAATTAATTTGCTGGCTAAGAAGAAGGTTAACCAGAGTTCCTCAAAGGATTAAGTGTAAAAGACTTTAGAAAACTGCTTCTTAAGACATGGACCAATAAATATCAAAGGAAAATATGTATATGTTAATTTCTAGTCCATAAAAGGAAGGATTCAGGCAGGAGCTTGTTTGTTGCCTTTCCAAAATGAACTCGAAGTGGGTTGTAAAAAGCAGCAGGACATGATGTTGGGCCAAACTGGTCCAGAGGTGTGATTTCCAACATGGTCAGGAGACTCTTATACTTTTATTTTTGAAGTTTGAGTTTTGGGTGCCATCAAATGAACCCCCCAGTGTTCAGGTCTGATTATGATCCCGATCCAAACGGTGTTGATTGCAATGCCCAAACAGCCCTATTCACAGAATAGCAGACCCTGACATCCTGTCTTTTTTTAGCTGTTAATGTCAGCCCAATTAGAAAAAAAAGTAGATTAAATAACAGTCTGAAGTGTGTGAGGAAAATGTCTGTGTGTGTTGTAGGTCATAAAGCAAGGTGACTTCATAATAAATTCACACTCACACCCCCGACTTTTGGAGCTCCCTCTTGTGTGCCATCACCTCACCTCAGAGCCCAATGCAAAGCTGAGCACTGTTAGGATGAGGAGCGCGGCTTGAATGTGTAATCAGTTCAATTTAAGCTCCGCCCCTAATGTGCATCCTTTGTTGGAAACACAACAAGGCTTTGTGTCATCCCCCAATTCTTTCCCCCATTTTCTCCCTGTGCTGTGAATTAGTTTGAATTATTGATCAGCCTGTGATTTATCGGCTGGGCCAGAGTCATAGGAGATTTAGGGGAGATGCAGATGGGAAGGTGGAGAAAACAGGGATTGGGGGGTGGGAGGGTTGATTGCTCGACCTCTCACTCTGGACCAATTACATGCATGACCCCTGGAGACCTGAGATCTCTATGTTTAGCTTTCCTTTCCCCCCCTCTCTTTCGTTGTCTTACCAGCTCCCTCCCTCTCTTTCACTCTCTATCCCATCTCTATTGGCCTGTTACCACGGAAACCTTTACCTACACAACAAGCTGCAGAGAGGAGCCTGCGGGTCTTAAAAACCAACCTGTGAAGGGTGACTTGGGAATGCATGATGAAAATCTGAGGAAGCACGGGGAGGAGTGAGAGTGGTGCTGGTGGAGGACCTCAGGGGGGGAGATGAGACTTGAAACACATCCTTCTCAGAACAACTGTCAATCGAAAGGCAGCTCTACTTATACACATACATACATATATGTATAAATATACACAGCCTTATAGGTGGGGTAGGCAGGAATCCGTTAAAAAAGCATCTTTTTTTGTGGTGTATATACAAAAAAGCTTTTAATATCAGTCAATAGCTATTTGTTATTGATGACATTTGGTAATATAACTTTATCGCTGTGTTTTGTTAATTCTGAGTAGTCAACATTTTAAATTTTTTTAGCGGCCCGCTCTTTCTGACTGTGAACAAAGCCATTCTCCACCTCCCCAACCTGATTGGTTGTGAAGCAGACGCTGCTTCCTCAAGTTGTAAGGCACGCTCCATGTCCTCCAATAACGTTCAGGAGCCCAAACAAAGTTAGTGTACTACAATATCAGACAGTAGAAACCAAACAGAAAGTACAAAGAATTGTCTGAATCCACGACTGCCAACACAAGAAAGAAAACGAAGTAAATACCGGAGACTCTGGCGGAATAACAGGTGCTTAAAAAGGAGGTAGACCAGACAAGAGCTAAAAAGCCACCGGGTCAATATAAAACGATAGGAGACGCTTCGGGATGGACCCTGTAACTTTTCTGCTGGACAGGTAAACTGCTTTAACAAAGTAAGCCAAGTGTCTTTAACAGAAGCGTTTCTTGCCAAACGGGACCTACCGTGTGTTGTAGCGCTGCTAAACTGTTTACCTCGGGTCCTTGAGTATGTCATTTATCCGAGTTGTAGAAGTCCTGCAAACATTGTGTTTGCTGGTAGTCTGTTGGCATTTACAGTAGCACCAATGCTTTTTACTTTTACGTTGACTGGGCCCCATTTGTAATTATCTGGAGTATTTATCTGCATTATATCTGAATTTAATTGAAATGATACAAGCGAGCAGGAGCGTCTGTTTGTGGGCGGGGCTTGCTAAAGCAGAGAGGGAGGAGAGAGGAGGAGCTGAGGGGAAAACTGGTTGGGAGGAGTAGTGTTTACATTCAAGATTTCTCCCCAAAACGGGCACTTCCTCAGATCCTGCCTACCCCACCTTTAAACCTTACCACAAACCATTCCAAATTGCAACTGTGGGATATAGTTGAGCAGTTTCCTTTCGACCAACTGTACCTGAATTGTGCTTATCGTTCCTGTTTTTCCCTGGGTTGTTTGTTAAACACAGAAAGCAGCAGTGTTTTATGCTAATTGCGACGAGGTGCTGACCTTCGTCTTGTTTCCCAACCTTCCCTGGAGTTTGGAGTCACCGCCCTCGCTGGCTGCATGTTGGTTTTATAATAATAACGTGTCTTCTTGGAAAAACCATCCTCTCTTTGTCCCTGGTGGACCTTTTTACAACTGTTCGCCATTTTAATGTCTTCAATTTAACAGACCATTAATTATGTGGTCATAGAGAAAACCGTGGACTGGCGAATGCGAGCGTGTGCATGCATGTAACCATCCATGCGGCGCGTGTGTGTGTGTGTAAGTGTGTAAGTGTGTCTGTGTGTGTTCCACATCAATGACACTACAATATTAAGCCATAATGGAGATAAAAGTAGAACTATTTGCAAGCCTATTTCTCTCTTTCCATTCCAACGGTTCCAGCGGTGTCATTTGTTATAGTGTGGCATCGAATAAATTGCTTTGGGAGCGCCACAGCTGGGATGACTATCTTGACTGATCACAGTCAGTTGAATGGCTGTAAAGCATATTCGTCTCACCCAGATTCTCCCCCTCTGTTTGGGGCATTCAGCGCTTGTTTTACAAGCGGCTTGATGACTTCACTGGTGTTTTTTGCTCTAATTGTGTTGCGTGATCAAACAGTTGGACAGCAGGGATGCGCACATAACTTCCACTGCTGTAGATGAAAGATTAAGAGTGATGGTATTATGATGAAACGAGCAACATTACCGAGTCAATTATGGAAAGTAGAGCTGGAGGGTCTAAACTGCTGACAGCTGTTTGCCATTCCTGACTGCGCGGTCTTGATGAGAATTTCCTCTGTCATAGCTAAATTGCCTACTTGTTAATTGGGGCGAAACCTGAACAGTTTTTGTTGGATCTAGGACATGGGGAGCCAGAGAGGGAGAGGGGATTGGCTGGTTTAAGCTGCTCTCATTTCGTCACTTTCCACTCCATCCTATTCATTGTTACTGGGTTTTGGTTTGTTCATCAATGTATTTCATCCCTTCTACCAGCTTCTGAGAAATCAAAGAATCTGTGTCTGCTGCAGTCTGCCGTCTCATCTTTCATTTTCCATAAGACACCCACACAACAATCAGCAAAATTGGAGGCACAAGAAAAGGAGACAAAACCAGACAAGTGACATTAATCCCCTGGTTGAGGCAGAAATCAGAACAACCCCGTGTTGCTGCATCCCTCCTCAAGTTGATGCAGCAAAGCCTAAATCAGCTTCTAATAATCCAAACATTGCTGTCTGTCACCTTTGCAGATAAACCTAAAAGAAATGTTGGCTGACGGCAGAAGGGAGGAAGGGAGATAAGTGGAGGACGGGGGACAGGGCATGATAAGCGCGTTACAAGAGATATCAGCCATGTGCGGAAGGATGTCGTCTGTCTCTGTGGAAAAATCGGGGTCATTTCTGAGTGAACCTTGCTTCACCTTGTTGATTTGTGGAGTGAGATGCTGTCAGGTTTATGCAGATTAGGACACCCAGACATTTAGTGTTGTTAACACACTGAATGGGTTTATTTCAAATACCATTATTCTGCTGGTTAAATATACTCTGCAGTATAGGATTATAATTATCCCCTGTTTGAATTTAAGAAATGCTCTCTCTCAAAGATGTAGTCTTAGTCCTCTCGGTGATCAGGCAGGTCCTGCATAAGCATGTGTCAATCACAGCTGAAGAGTGAATAGGTAGATGCGATTCATTCAGACATGATGCTGTAAAAACAAGTTACAATGGAGCTTAGTACACTGAGTAGAAATGTAAGGACTTTAATAATGCTTCTGTAAGCTGTGACATTCACTCCGAATGAATTGGGGAATTCTTTGACATTTGGGTTTGATATTTACCAAGTGTGAGATAAAATATTGATCGGGGATGTTCGTGTTTAGTCAAGTCAGCGGTTAAACATTAATACCTTCACTAGTTGGTACCAGACTTCCTACTTGGTTGAATGAATTATTTATAGTTCTATAATGATATGCCTGAAATCTGGATTGTATTTGTTTTTGCTGGGCTGGTGGCTTTAATGCTCTACTACCAGGATGAAAACAGGCAGATGACAGACAACAACTTGTACCTTGAGTTTGGCAGTAGTTTGATCCAGAGAATGGAGATAAAGTTGTATGTAGGCTGCTTCTAGTTAAAATGGTGTATAACTGACCTGAGCAATGTGTAACTAGCACAGTTAACCTTCAAGAGAGACCAAAGTGTGGTGGTGTTAGCGCTAATAATGTTAGCCACACTTCGCAAAGCAATTTGACGTTGTTTATCGGCAGACGTTCTTGGAATATTTGGATAATCGGGATTTCAGTTTCCATTTTAAGAAATAGGAAATAAGTGGCTTTAGGACTTCTCTATTAATGTGGGAATCAATCATTGTCCTAGCTTGTGATGCGGTTCTCATAATGCTAGCACCTACGATTTGCTATTTCCATCCCAAGTACTTATATGTATGATATGACTTATTTGCTTCTTTCACTTACAGATTGAAAATGTATAATCTGTCAACTTTACGAAAGCAGAAAGCAGAGACTCTATACAGAAAGGTCAGAGCTTTACTCAGTTGCTTAGGTAGACCTTAACTTAAAATATTCAGGGATTCAGAAACAGACGATTTGTTTCCCAACTGCCCAATCTCAAAGTAAGCTGCATTATGAAAACACAACACAACAAATCAAATAAAAGTTCAAGTTTAGAGTAGTTTTCCAGAGTCCTGAGGGGGATTCAGTTCAAAGCACTGGCTTTTTATCATGTTTCTTTCATTGGGATGGATTTATGTGTTGTGTGTTCCCAATAGCACCAAGAGATTAGCATGTTATTAGCACTAAGAGCACTGGAGATTTAACATATTTGATCTTAAATAAAGGGCTCTTTCATCCAAAGGCTCTCAGTGGTCACTTTGCCGAAACCAGAGCAGCAGAGTGCACTCCAGTCTGTCTCTGTTTAGCGCCGCTACCTAAAACAAGTGGTGCTCAGCGAACTACAAAGGCTCTGGCTGCTGTGTTTTGCTGTGCGGCCCATATTTCAAACAGCGAAGAAGAAAGTGGCTTATGGAGGCACCCTACCTCTTAATCCCTGTCCCAGCTCTGTGAGACCAGGCACCACCAAGGGCTATCTATCTATCCAAACCGCCATGTACCAGATGAAAGCCACACACATATACGCACACACGCGCCGTCACACACATACTGAGATTGGCACCATTAGTTACACAAGGACTGGGCAGGCAGCAGGGTATAATGACTTTACCCAGGCAAGAGGTGAAAAATTGGATTGGGGAAAGTTTTTGAGAAGTACTTTACTGCCTGCTGGGAGTCATGGAGCACAGACAAGCTGGGGCAAAAGCATGGCACAGGAAAACAAAAAGAGTGCCTGCCAGCCTCTGATTCTTGGCTCCTATCTGGACTGTTTTTCTCTTTTATATAGATTTGGAATCGAGACGTTGTTTTGATCTTGTGGGACAGTAATAACTCGCTGCTTAAACCAGTTTTGCTAGTTTCAGTGTCGCTTTGAAACGGCTTTCTGATAATGATTAACCCAATTAAACAGTGCATTCACCACTCTGTGTTGTGATAGCATGTTGTACAAACTGCCTGTGAGACGAACATTTGTACTTGGAAAGCTGAAAACAAGAGGCCAACTGTTCCCAACATTCTTGGTTGGAAACCTCTCAAAATGCAGCTTATACATTTCTCTGAAACAATGGGAGGCATTATTACCTTAAGCACTGAATTAAATCTTTTCTAGGCGGACTAAAGACAATGATGATGATCCGACTAATTCGATTCAGGTTCCCAAAAGTTAGCGTTTAACCCTAGAACGCTATTGCCAGGTGATTTTCACTCAACTTAACGTGATTTTCATTATGTTGCGTTTAACATAATGCAATAGTGATAGAGGGTAAAGTAGGTTTGGGTGGATTTAATAGCTGCGTGTAGGCGAATAAGGTCAGTAAGAGTGGTCCTGGAATTTGCATGCTATCTTTATTTAGCGCAGTGGTTATGAATAACTATCACAAAGTAGTGATTTTCAAGGGGATTCATATAGTGATAAGAAATATTTTAGTCAGCTGACACATATTTAGGAATTTTTTGTTCATGAATGCCTAATTTCAGTTATTTTGTTGCATTTTTATTTGTTCCCCTCATATCCCTTTGGATATTGCACAGTTAAATATAAAAGAAAACTACTTTTATGTGTCATGTATTGTCCTATTTTGATATGTTTTGATAAAAAGTACTTTTTCTTGGGTATATTATTTCAGGTAAAAATCACCCAATGATAGTGATGGTGTTACTAATTTTCGTGATAGTGTTCTGGGGTTAATTGTGAAATCTTTTATACAGGCTTCTGATCCCCTAAAATATTTGTTTGTGCCGTACCAGGTGATCAGCGGTTTTACAAAATACTCTCTGATCCGTTCAGGTTCAATCAGGTATTAGATGTATCAACACAACCTGTTAGGAACTACAGTATTACCCTAAGTGACCTGATTAGACTGAGTTTAATTTGGGTATCTGACCCTAAAGCTCAGGTCAAGACTTAATTCCTTGGAACTGGAGAAGCTTCTCAAACTCTTATTTTTCTTTGAAAGTGCACAAGTTCATCTGAGAATAATCCTCTCCTCCCCTGTTTGTTATCTTATCTTAATTATGTTTACAGCCCTGAAGAGGTTCACTTAGCAAATAAGAATCCAAAGAAGTTCAAGCAAATTAAGTGATTATGTGTAGCAAAAAAATGTGTTTTCTGATTTCCTTTTTATCCTGTTAACCATCTCCCGACCTCTTAGATGTGGGTTTGTTGCCCTTTGGGAGGATCTCAGGAGCCAAATTTGGAACCACTGAATTACACAGAACGAAAAAACACTCATAGAAGTGGATGTTCTCTTTGGTAGTTCCCACACTCGTGAGGAAAATCTAGAGAAAAGTTTCATGTCGTTTCCGAAACAGTGCATAATTCAGATGTTGCGCACAAATCAGGCATCTGATATACAGTATACTTTTTTATGAGGCTTGACTGTGATTGCTGATGTGTGTTTGTCGAGAGTGAAAAGAAAACAACCCATCAGTGAAGCCATTAGAGTTAAAACAACACACACAAAAGATAACTTGTGAGAAGAAGTCATTGTAATTCACCCTCCTTGATGTCGTCCTGGCTGCCTGACTGTGTGAGTCAGAGTGATACGCTTGAACATGAAGGAGACTGACTCATGCAGCCTGGAGTCATATAGAATAGGCACACAGACACACACACACAGAGAGACAGGCAGGGATTTTCAAAGCTGCAGATCCTGATGACACATTTGGTAACATGTAATCAGAGGGCATTTCACTGAGGACGAACAGCGAGTGAGTACCACTGATGTGATTTATTGTATCTGCAGGCTAAGGTGGAAATCAGGGGGTCATCAGCTACCGCCGTCCTCTTGCTTCAGGGAGGGGGGTCATCATCAGGTCCTCTCTTTCCTTTTCACACCTAATCAGACGCTTGTCCTTTAACTTAACATTCACAAGTTTTGACTTTATAGTTGGCCAAAAATCCCCCAAAACATCCTCATGTTTTCTTCTCTTTGGATTTAAGGGGGAGTCTTACGCAAGGTGACTGTTTTTCAGGCGTTTGAGCACACAAGCACATCTTAATTAACCATCAAATGATGCAGATCAAACAGTTTTACCCTCAGACACGTCCACTTTGATCCTGCATCGCTCGTACTTTTCTCTCTCTTCTTTTTTGTGGCGTGTTTCATACTGTGGTAATGATTAAAATGTGGTGGCACTGTTAATTTGATGATTTTGGATGTTGAGGGAAGGAGGGACTGAAGCCAGAGATGTTTGATTGGGATAAGAGATGCACCAAGGGAACAGAGATCCTGATGTTTTGTTTTGTTTTTCAGTTCAGTGTTGCTTTTTTGTTACTGGTTCCCAGTTAATTATAGGGTTGGGAGGCCAGTGCAGTGATTGACATACTCTCTATAGTACCAGATACTGAATTATTGATAATAGGGGTGTCCCGATATGATATTGATATTGGATATCTGTCCAGTATCAGCAAAAAAACAAAAACAAAAAACAAATATTGGATTATATCGGCCTGCATTTAAAGTCTCTGATACCAGCACTCCAGTCCATTTTAGACTCCACTCCAGCACCTCCATCCAGCAGGGCCCTGATCCAGCATGCAGAGCCCACGTAATCACAACAACAGTGTGTACTAAGATACTAACAAAGTACTAAGGAGTAGAAGTGATGTCGGCCGCGTGGCAGAATTTTTCGTTAAAGTCCGAAAAAGACATTGCAAGCACAATTTTGTGCCAATATCGGATCAATATCGGTATCGGACAATACTGAAGGCTACAATACCGGTATCATATTGGTAATCGGTAAGTAAAAAAGTTGTAGCGGGACACCCCTAATTGGTAATATGGTATATGATACAGGGCTCGACAGTGCGACCATTTCACTTGCATTTGCGACTAAAAATAGATGTGTGCGAATTGTAAAAGGTACTTAGGGGCACATCTGCGCACAAAAAAACATAGCTGAGGCAACAAATGTTTTTTCATGTAAATGCCACGGTGAAGTAAGTTTCAGGTTGGATATTCGATGGACATTCACTGCAGATCTACCAGTCTCCTCTCACTCTCCCTAAGTGGGAATAGCAAGAGCAGCGCGGTTAAATCTGCACCGCAGTGAAGTTAGTTTTGGGTTGGATATCTGACGGACATTCACACAAATAATAATACTTAGACACACCTCTTTATTTCCCTAATTTGTCCTCATACATTGTTTGTGTTTAAATTTAAAGGCAATTTTGAACATTTTCTTCAACAGCTTCCATGTCATGTGACTAAAAGATTTCAAATTGATTTAAAATAATAGTACTTAAGTCAACCAATAAGACAAACATTGTTTGATCACTTTTCATTGTGCCCCTGAAGTTCTTTGCATCCTCCTTACTTATTCAATTTAGGAGCACATGTTAGTGAAAAAGGTTAGTGTCATGCCCTGTGATATGGCAGCGGTGTTAGTATTAGATCGAATTGTAACTCAATCTAGTGTCCAGAAGGGCTCTTTTATCACTCTGTTTGTCAATCACATCTCTACAAACTGATTGGATGTACACAAGTTAGCATCATTCAGAGGAAGCAGCAGGATCGAGGCCTTCAATCTGTGTTAATAATCTGGTATCACATAAGTGAAGAAGACGTAATTGACGGTTTCACTGAGAAGTGTGAGAAAAACAGACAAGATTGGAACGAGGTGTGAGAGAGAGGGGCTTGTTGCATCCTGCCGCTATACCCACCCCTTAATTGCTTAGTATTTATGGTGGGAGGAGCGGTATGTGTGGGCAACATATACACACCCGAAACCAAAATACACACTAAGAGATCCCGTCACCCTAGAGGGAGTCATTTGTGCTTGCAGGAGGTCGGTTGGAAGGCTTTTACGAGCCGTTATGTAGCCGGCTCGCTATTCCTGGAAGAGCGTTGGTATCTTTTGATCAAATTCTGCTCCACTCTCCGGTAGCTTGCTTCCTATGAATTGCGGGCTAATTGTGCCATATGGGGTGCATGTGTGCGTGTATGCCTCTGGGTGTGTGCGTGTGTTTCTGGGTGGGCAGGGGCCTCTCTACCCTTGATTGATTGTTGTCATCTCGGCGGATTATTGAGTTAGCAGGGAACGTGATAGGCTTACTACAGCATCTCAGAGGAGCAAGCACATACACACACAGAGACAAAATACACACATATACACACATGCACACCCCAATGCCTATACACTCTTTAATTCAATGACCAGTGGAAATATTTCAGTGAAAGGGTTCATGGCCCAGTGTAATTAATGCATCACAGGATCTGAAGTATGTGTGTTGAATGGATGGAGGTTTGTGTTTATTGGCATCTTTTGCAGCAGACATGCAGGAATGCATGTGTGCAGATGCATGGTGAGGAAAAAGTTAAACTCTTTTAAGAAAATTATTAAAATATTAGAATTATTTTTCACGCTGATATGCACGCTAGAGATGTTTTACAGTTAACAAATACATTAAAATCAAATTGCATTATGCTGATTAGGGAAAGAAAAGATGCAAATGGGCTTAAAATGTCCTCGTTCATTTAGGCTTTCCATAATTGCAATAGATAAATGGTACCAAGTACACCCAGATAACATCCCAAAGCTATTTGCATTCGTCCAGCCAAATAGAATAAAAGCTGTTTAACAGATTTTGCAGAGTCTTTGGATCTCTTTTTTTCCATCAGGATTACTGGAGGACATTCTCGCAGCTGAGCTCCACCATCTCCGACAAGAAATGATGCACTGCACCCCGTTTCTGTAAAATATCGAGAGGAGGGATTTACACTTTAACAGACTTGGCAAATGGTCACAGGAGGTCAGATAGCTTTCACCGGCTCCCAGTTAATTTAAGAGTTGATTTTCAGATCATAGTGATAACTTTTAAAGCACTATCAGGGCTTCCCCCTAACTGCATTGCTGATCCTCTAATGTCTTACAAGCTGTAAGGCATGAGGTTTTACCCTGAGGTACTCAGTCAAGGGTCTGCTGAAGGTTTCACAGTCCAGGCTGAGGACCAAGGAGGACCAGGCTTTTTTCTGTCAGGGCCTCCACTCTTTGGAACAAACTGCCTGAGGAGATCAGACTGGCAAGTTTTCTTATCCTCTTTAAAAAATTTTAACTTAGTTTTTATTTCTTAAACTTTGAACTAAGTCTTAACTTATGTCATTTTGCTTTAAAGATAGGGTAGGCAGGATCTGAGGAAGTACCAGTTTTTGGGAGAAATCTTGAATGTAAACACTACCCCTCCCAACCAGTTTTCCCCTCAGCTCCTCCCTCTCTGCTCCAGCAAGCCCCGCCCACAAACAGACGCTTCTGCTCACTCGTATCGTTTTAATTAAATTCAGATATAATGCAGATAAATACTTAAGATAATTACAAATGGGGCCCAGTCAACGTGAAAGTAAAAAGCATTGGTGCTACTGTAGATGCCAACAGACTACCAGCAAACACAATGTTTGCAGGACTTCTAAAACTAGGATTAAGTGACATAGTCCAGGACCCGAGCGAAACAGTTTAGCGGCGCTACAACATGCATCAGGTCCCATTTGACAAGAAAAACTTCTGTTACAGACACTCCGTAAGATCTCAAAGTTTTTACTGCTGTTGACCCGGCTTTTTTAGCTCTTGTCTGGTCTTCCTCCGTTTTAAGCGCCCGTTTTTCTGTCAGAGTCTGCGGTATTTAGTTCGTTTTCTCTGGCAGTCGTGGCCAAAGGAGGACTCAGACAATTTTCCACAGTTTCTGGTTGGTTTCTACAGTCCGATATTGTAGCACGCTAACTTTGTTTGGGCTTGTGAACGTTATTGGAGGACGTGGAGTGTGCCTCACAACCAATCAGGTTGGGGGAGGTGAAGAATGGTTTTGTTTACAGTCAGAAAGAGCGGGCGCTCAAAAATGTTAAAATGTTGACTACACAGACACAAGAGAACACAGCGATATGGTAAATTACCAAATGTCATCAATAACTAATAACTATTGACTGATATTAAAAGGTTTTTTGTATAAACACCAGAAAAAAAAGATGCTTCTTTGACAGATTCCTGCCTACACCACCTATAACTTATTTTATACTGGATTTTTTCCAACACATTTTTGCAGATACTGGAACTTATCCAGATATGTCACCAGCCTGCAAATGTGACTATATACCACCGTGTTGAGAGGCTGGTTGTCCAGAGCAATGACTGAAAAAGTTCCTGACTTTCTTGTGAAGCCTCTTTACCTTTAGGTCTCTCTGGCTCCCTGCTGTATTTCTTAGCTTTGTTTAATGACCGAATTAGAGGCTGTTCGAGATGCTTGCTGACATTTTTTCAATCTTGCAGTCGTGGGAAACCAAAGAAGGTTTTTTAACAGCTGATGCTAATTATAAGAGAGCAGATCAGCCAATAATCTGCTCTATTGATCAGCTAAACAATTAATTTACCGGTCTCTACTTTTCAAAAACTCCCAGTGATGTGAAGACAGGCAGCTTCTGAGATTTCCAGTTAGATTGGTGGGTTTCTGTTTTCAACACATTGTACCTCTGAGGGACAATGAAGAACATTTACAAAATAACCATGTAAGGGGAGGGAAAATTGACAAATTCAATCATGAAAATAAATATTGCGATACTTGGCTGTATTGTTGTTTTTGCCACAGTCTGGAGTTTGGGCTACCATTACGAGTTGTTGTTGAATCTCGACTGGGGGAAATAGCTCTTGGGACAAATTGAAATCTGAAAATCTGACAACTATTTAAATGAGTCTGAAAAATATTACAACTCCTCAAAACACTTGTCGCATTGTGCTATTGGAAAATGAGAGCCATGATTGAAAAGAAGAGAAGTTTAGGATGCCCAATTTGTCACCACTGCTCAGGAAAAGAAACTAGATTTCGGGTCGGCTTGTTTTGGTCTGAAAATGTTGAGAAAAAACAAATTGAATTTTCCACTTTGGGTCTCAAGGTGTCCTGATGTGTGGAGGTCTTAAATGTTTGCCCACTTTCAATCTGCTGCAAATATTTCATCTGTATTGAAGTGTAAATTTCCTTTCTCACAATAACCCGGTCTGAAAGTCACACGTATCTGGACATTGGAGGTTAATTGACTTTTATCAATCCAATATATAAAATTTCTGTGATTTTTATCCAGAAATACATCAGAACATCTCAAGTGTTGTCTCTCTGAAAGGGTCAGACCTGTAAAAAACCTACTATACCAGAGTAAAACCTACTCTAACAGTAAACTGTTGCCTATCTGCGGCTCATTCCTGCTGACGTGACTTTTTTAAGCTCTTTAAGCCTGACCAGGAGCAAACCAGGAGATCTTTATCTGTTTTGTCATTATTCATTTCCTTCTTCTTCTTCTCAACCCATGGGATAGACGGACGTTATTAGAGGGAGGAGGGCTTCTGTCGTTCTACGTTAGCATATGCTGTGTGTGATATCCTCTGCATTTCCTCTCATCGCTCTGTTTATCTGTTTGGCCGTTTTCTGTCCTAATATTCTGACCAACAATTTTGATATTGTTTCCCAGCTGTTGTTCATTTTGTTTATGAGTTTTGTGGTTTTATGTTTGGGGGAGCTTTTTGTTGACTCTGGTGCGATAGGTTGCAGTTCACTCACCCGGCCCTTTCGTCTGTTGTCTGACGAGTTATTGCCTTCCTCCTCTATGCGAAGGAGGGTTCATTTTTAATTATCGCTCCATATTTGATCATTCCCTCCGCTGCCTGTCACAATGTCTCAGTGGGCTGCTGTAACATTTCCATTACATTAGGGAGAGCAGCCATGGTTTTGTATCATATGTGTGCGTGTGTGCGTGTGAAAGTGCTCAGCGGTCAGAGACGAGATTCCCTCCTCACATCCTCATCCATCTTCAAGAGCTTGGCTGGAAATGATGTGTCTGTGCACGAGGAAATGCATCATTGACACACAAACACACACACAAACACACACACACACAATGGAATTGGATTGGCAGTGGAATTCTAATTAAATGGTTCACACTCTCCCTGTGTTTTCCTCACAAATGGCATGCTAATTGAGTTGATGCTAATAGGAACGCACGCTCTTTAAAGGCTTCGTATTGATTTTTCTCTTTTGCTGTTGTAAAGAAAAGCTGCATGCTAACAACTGATGTGTTTTTAAGAAAGAAAACAAAGGATATCATGAATGCATCAGTTTACGTGGGAGCAGAAAGGAGGAGCCACTTCTGGAAAACTCTGGAATTCATTTTATTGTGAAGGATTTATCGTGGCTTATGCACGTACATGCGCAAACCTTTATTTGTGAGCGCATACTTTAATAAGCACCTAAGCTCACCACAACGGTATTATTATTGTTGTAAAAGGAAGGCTTGTGCTTCCCGTAAAGTTCTCAGAGCTTTTCTCCTTCCTGCAGGCCATTGGCAGGTCGGCTGGAAAGAGTGAGCTTGTCTCTAACTCAGCAGGGGCAAAATCGATAAACCTGTCATTGTTTATTCTATAAAACTGCCAGTATTCACCTCTGGGCACTCCCACAGTCAGGGGCTAAACACTCCGGCTGTTCACGTTGGTCCCGGTCATTGTAGGATTGCTGTGAGGGAGGTAGATCCTGTCTCAATAAACTATGAGGAGTACATGAAGCAAACTGCTGGTGTTTGTGTGAAAGCTGACACTCACAATCTTTTTTTTTTCTCTCCCTTTCTTTAGGTCTTGGCTTTAGAGAGACAAGTCTTTGACTTTCTGGGTTACCAATGGGCCCCAATCCTCGCCAACTTCTTCCACATCATCATCGTCATCCTCGGCCTCTTTGGTACCATCCAGTACCGGCCACGCTACATTATCGTGGTGAGTCCAAGCAACCCCGAAGACTTGTAGTTCACATGAGCAGCCTGCTCCGTAATCCAATTCTTCACAGTTTCTGTTAAGCAGTGTCACATCACTTTGCATTAGCCGTCTGCCTGAGCATCCGACCGGACATGTTGTTGCCTTTCCTGCATAATTGCGAAGTGTGCCTCGCTCTCTTGTGCATTGTGCGACACCCTTAAATCACTCTAATCCCAGGGTAATTAGGGCTAATTAAACAGAGTGGGGGTGCGGGGGTGTACTAAGGAGCTCATCAGATTTATTCTCATGCATGGAGTTTCTGGACAGAGAAGGTCATTCTGTGAAACATGATGCAAAGCTTGTGCCGATTTTAGTCATTTCCGTTTTTAGAAAAATGTAGATGCGCACTTCAGTTTTAATACGAATCCACAACGCTCATCTTTGAGATTAAAAGCCTGTTTTTAGCGACAGTAGTGGAGGAACAGATGGTGAAGTTGATGACAGGAAAAGATTGGGGGGGATGTGAGATTAAGATAGAGGAGAAGAGAGTAAATAAAGAGAGACAGGAGGGATGTAGGAGGATAGACAGGAGCCTCACAGGATATAATGAAGAAGCAGAGGAAGCAGGAATTGAAGGGTGTAGAGGAAGGACAAAGAGAGAGCGAGGGAGAGAGAGAGGCTTTTGTCTCACTGCAAGTGGAAAAAGGGAGAGGGTGAGCGGAGGGGTTTCATGATCCAACATGTATGTTTTTTACAGGCGTTGTTTTTTGCTCTTTGCTCTTCCTCTGACACCTCCTGACATTTTCAACCCACTATTCATCATGAGTCAGAAGATTTCACAAGCTCCCCTCACAATGATGCCTCTCTTCCTCACTCTCTCTTTGTCAGTGAACATCTCTCTGTGTCTGTCAACAGGCTGCCGTCTGACGGTATAATTTCATAAACGGTTGAAGTTGTGAACTTAATTCAGCCTCTGCGGTTTGAATAGTTGCTGCTCCCTCAGGGCTCGAACCGACTCGCTGAACTTTGAGGCACTTCTTTAAAAAAATAGTGAAGTTTTCCAAACCAACTTCTGTTTTTCATGGTGCCTATAATTATTGTATACGGTAGAATATCCAAGTGTAGGAGCACACCGTTATCTGAACTTATTCATTTGACCTGTCATTCATTTTGTAAGCTCTCATATCTTGGTCTTTGCATCTTGTTGCCATGGTACTAATCTGTCTGTGTCTTCGCCCTCCAGTACACAGTGTGGGCAGCTCTGTGGGTGGCGTGGAATGTCTTCATCATCTGCTTTTACCTGGACGTAGGAGGCCTGTCCAAGGTGAGACTTAAAAAATCACAGCCTCTCTTTTTTCATTTTGTTTGAATTTCTCTTTTTTTTTTGCGTGTCCGTCTCCAGTTTGATGAATTCTCTTTTCTTTCTGAGGTCATGGTTACAGTCAGCTCTGGAGTGAAATATGATCAATATTTCTGGGTCTTAGGCGACGTACAATACAGGTGTCTTGTAGATGTTGAAAAATAGTCACAACTCATACACACGTCTACTAATGCCACAGAAACACATCCTTTTTATTTAGTAGGGATGTAACGGCTCATGAAGTGTGTCTACTGCTGTTTGGGTTTCACTCCAGACAATGTTTGTGCTTCCACTGCCTCCACAGTGTTGCGTGTTCCCACTATCAATAAACTCATTGACGATCTACTGCTCTGTATTTATTCCTTGTATCCTAGTCTTAGCAGAGTCTCCACCTCTGTTTGCAGGTAACATATAGAAAAAAAGACTTAACAGGCAACTTTACATCAGATATCAGGGTTTACGGCTGCTTGCAAACTACTCACTCCTCTGACTTTAAAAACAAGCAGAAGTCTTTTTTTTCCCTTTAGGAATAAAATTTGTTATCAGAGTAGCAAATAAAGTAACCTTGGAATAAGGTTACTTTATCAGGTTACTGAATTTTTATAAGGTTACTGAATTTCCCTTCGAGGAAGAATAAAGTTATTCTTATTCCGAGGTAGTAAAAAGTCCAAATAAAAGCATTACAAGTAATAGTGTAATGGGAGACCCTTAAAATGTGGGAAAAGAGGTACTGAAGTTGGATTTACAACATAATGTAACTTGAGTGTAGTCTTAAATCCTTACTAAATGTCAAAGGCACATAATAAGGGCGTCCTGAAGTTTATTTTTGTTTTGCCCTGAAATAAGCTAATTTTTTAACCTGTTTCATCACCTTTGAGTGTCAAACGTCTTTAGTGCACAAACTAACTTCTACTGAAAGATATGTAAAGATAAGTATCTTTCTCTTTTATCTGTCGTCTCTTATTTCTTTTACCTCTATCTTATTTTGGCTTTACTGTCTTTTTAGCTTTTGTTATACTTGTACTCTTTTCTTAATTAACCTTTTATTGTTTTATCTCTTGCTCATTTCTGTTGCTCTATTTCATCATTACTATTATTATCAGGATAACCTGTTATTATTTTATTATCATTGTTGATATTGCCTTTTATATTTACTATCCTGTTCCCGCATTCGACCCCTCTTTTAACTGCATTTTCTTTTTTCTTAACTATTTTATGTTTTTATTTTGGTCCTTATGGTCTCGTTTTATGTTGTACAGTTCTTGTATTGTCTGGGTTCCTTAAGACATAAAAATGGCCTTCAATTTGGTTGTAACTTAGCTTTTTGTTTTTATCTGTATTTTTCCATGTGCTTTATGACTATATGTCAAAGCACTTTGTAAACTTGTTTTTAAAAGTGCCATACAAATAAAGTTTATATTCTTATTACTTTTATCTTATTATAAAAGTGGTCTATTTTACAGAACATGAACATTAACCAGCCTGTCTACAATGCAGAGCAAGCTCAACACATTTCTGTGTGAGTGAACCAAAAGTTCAGTTTTACTAGCATGTGTCAGAAGCACATCCGTTTAAAGGCTGATGTTTTGAGGGTAAGTTCTTTCTCTGGTTGTTTTAAGCATCCATGGCACAAGCATGTTAGTCCACACTGAGCTGTCCCGAGATGGAAAATAAACAACTCACTCAGGGAAACTCTGAATTCTTTCCTCTGCCAGGAAAAAGCCTCAAGTCTGAGCTTGTTTGTTTTTTTTTCTCCCTGAGAAATATTCAGATTTATTTCTGACCTTGTGCCAATGTTATTTTCTCCTTTTTATTACACCAGGCAAATGTGCTCCAGGAATAATTGTTGTAAGATATAAAAGTATAATTGAGCGTTCTTGAGCTTATATCAACACTGGAGATATACTTTGGCTATAATTGGATATGATATACCGCTGCAGGGTGTTTTAGCATATGTCAAGCCTGATTGGCCAAGTGTACTTGACATATACAGCCCAATAAAACAATCACTCTGGGTAGATAATGAAAAATACAGCACAGTCCCATACAAAACTATACAGTAAATCTCACTCCAAGTTTTATAGAGTGTGAAATACTTCCAACAACTACCACGCCTCCACCTGGATGTATAATTTGGACTTGGAGTTTGTCAAAGTTTGTTTTGGATTGCTTGTATGGTGAGAATCTCTAGGGTACATTCACCGTCCTGTTGAGTTTAAGGCAGATATTGTTTAAAAAGCACAGATAAATAATGTGAGAAATCTTACCACCATACTTTATCGTTAACCAAACATATCTCCTTAATTAGTATGTCGTTTTAGTTTACACACAACCCACAAATTTAAGCCCCCTTCCTCCCTCTGTCATCTCTTCTCCTTTATTTAAGTCTGCTCACTGCCCCCTTTTGATCTTCTTTAATTTATTCTGAATAATTTGCAATTTTCATATCTTACCTTTTTCAGCAGCCTTTCCTCTCTTATCCTATCCTCTATTCCCTTCTTTTCTCCTCTGTTCTTTTCTCTCTTCCTCCCTCTTTTCTCATCTCCTCCCTCACTTCTGATAGCTATCTTGCCCACTTGCCCGCCTTACCATCAGGAATAATGAATTCATGTCGGCGGTGCTCATCTCACACCAGTTCAGACAGCCAAAAATTAATTTCAGAAACACCTTCCCAAGCTCTGGCGACTTTGTCATTGTGTGATGGACCATGGCTCCATCAAGTGTGTATGTCTGTCACTGTGTGTGTGTGTGCATGCGTGTGTGTGTGTTCCTCTGTGTTTCCTACTAGAATAATGAGGCTTGTAGGGGCCAGCTGCTTGGGGCTGAGGCTGGGCATTAACCCGACAGATGGAGCCAGCCCGGACTCCCAGCTCTGCATATGGTGGCCAGGAGGAGAGCTGGCTAATGGAGCACACCCACCCACCCACACCCACACCCTATGCACCCTAACATGCACGACCAAACATGGCACGCGAATAGGTCTTCAATATATTTCATCATAAAACAGTCAGCCCATTCTGTCTGACTTGTCCTGGCTGTGGCTGACAGGATTCTTCCTGAGGGTGTTTTTGTGTTTGTGTGGGTTTGTGGGGTGTGTATGGGTGACAGGTCCCTCAAAGTGAGGGGGCAGGTTGTTGGAGTCATATGCCACATGCTCTGTCACCTCCCATTGATCCTTTATCCCCTCCCCCATGGTGAAAGACAGACTGACAGACAGAGCCGAGCTACTCAGCTAACACCTCTGCTGTAAACAGTCCAAAGTCTTTTACTGCTATCACTGCTCCTGCAGAAATGGACTCTGAGGACACGGCTGTGTGCAGCTGTTTGAATGAGAATAAAAGCTTCTTTTTCCTTCTTATTCGGATATTTGGCTCTCAGTAGCAGAGCAAAAATACTTTCAAATAAATACTAATTGAGCTGGCTTTGGATCTTTGGAGTAAATTTCTTCTATTATTTCTTCCTCTGTTTTTGTGCAACGTTGTGATACACAGAGGGTAACTTCAAACCAAAGAACAAGTGAATATCACCGTTTGACGCTTTAAATTACGGCTATCCAACTTGGTAAACATCACCTGAATGTGCATTCATATATTGGTGTGCAGCCCTGCATAAACACAATATCAGAGAGATGCTAACATGGTTGATAACTCCTATAAGGCAGTTTTTTTTCACTATTGTTTTTAAGCTAAGGTTGGACTACATCACACAATTATATTATTCACATTAATAATAATAATGATAATAAATTGTATTTAAAACACACTTTTACAGGTGCTCAGAGACCCTTAACAAAGAAAAAACACAATTTAAAATACAGAAAATTTTGAGAAATAAAACCAACAATTTAAAAGGTTAAAAAAGACACAATATGAAAAAAAAACAACAAGAACACTTCACAGGTTAAAAGCCAGTTTAAAAAGGTGTGTTTTTATTTTCTTTTTTAAAGTCTGGGGGTCTGTACAGTCTCGGACGGGTTTGGGGATTGAATCCAGGGGTTGGGGGCGCCAGCGGAGAAGGCTCCGTCCCCCCAAGTTCGATGCTTGGTCCAAGGGGGTAGGGCAAGAGGATTTCCTTCCGAGAATCGGAGGGCACGGGAGGGGGTGTAGTGGTGGAGCAGGTCGGTGAGGTAGGTGGGGGGCCAGGTTGTTAAGTGATTTGTAGGTGAGCAGGTGTAGTGTGACATAATGAAATGATACATGATGAATAACACGGCCTACAAACAGCTTCTATGTCTAAGATTCAAAATAGTAAACAACAGAATAAAGATACGAATTGTGGGTCAACAGGTGGACTAAAATATCTTTTACTTCAAGCTCCTATCTGGGTCTGATTTTGACACCTTCTGTGGACAAAGTTGTCAAAATACTCTTTTGTCAGTCACTTATTCAAGGATCCTTCTTGTAGAAATGTAAAACAAACACACACATCCCTGAAGCAACAGTTTCAGGCACTGAAAATAACCACATAGACAAACAGTCTCTCCACATGCTGTTGCTATGATTTCAAAATGAGGATAGTTTGATTGTCTCAGTATGAATGACACCAAAAAACATCCTCTGCTTTACTATCTCTTCGTCCTCTTTCCACCTCCCACACACACCGACTGCAAACTTTACTGCTGAGATGATAGCGGGCCACTCAAACAGTCCAAATCAATATGAGAGTCACAGAGCATAGACTTCTCATAATACTTGAGATAACTGCGTGACTCTCATTGGTTCCAGCTAAGTCAGAAACGCCCTCTTAGCTTCACAGGTTAGCTCTCTAAAGTGATCAGGCTAACACAATAAATCATGAGAAATACAATTCTGATAATTTGATGGAAAGCCTTCAAGAAAGTCTCCAGTGAGTCCAGGAACGGGGTCTTCTCTAAATATGTATCGACTTTTGTTAAGGAAAATGGTTAGAGCAGTGTTCGGGGACTAACCTTGAATGTATGATATCAGGGGATTGATTTTGGTCTAACCAGAGCACTCCTGAGAATAAATTGCCAAAAGCTTCTTCTATCGACTTGCTGACACTACTTCAGTCTTGGGTTGGATAGACATGACTTCCCCAGCTCACAGGCTCAATCAGCGACATCTGTCAAGCCATTAGTGGGTGCAGTCCTACATATTGACCCTCAGGAGCCCTTGTCTCAGAAAGAGTAGCATTTTTAAAACTCATTCATAAACCCTGTTGCACATATCTTCATTTTTTTGTGTTGTTGACGACTATGTATATGTCAGTGTGAGTGGGGGTGGATAGAAATCAGAGATGGTTCCCTGGCAGCACTTGGCTCTGTTAATAATGCATGTCTTGTCGCTGGGGGGCAGATGCGGGGTTAGATTGCTGTGTTGGGGTATTGATTTGGTGCGAGCGTCTGTGCGTCTGTATGTGTGGGCTCATATGGCTGTGTGCAAATTGAACATCGCTTGGCTGCAAAAGAGCTACATGTGAAAAAAAAAAGTGCTGCTGGATCTAAAAGTTTTCAACTCAACTTAAAAGTTTACTTCTAATGTAGAAAGTTTGTTGAGGATTCATGCTCCTAGAGACTTGGCATGTCGAGGGTGTTGTCTGTTTGAGTTAGATGAGTGAATCTGAAAAGATATCCCATGTAGTATTACTCTCATGCACCTTAATTGGCATCTTCAAATGAAATACATTTCACTTTTATCTGTTAGTATCATTGAATGAGGCCACATTAAAAAATTTGATAAAAAATAAGACTTTGAGATTAAAGTCATTAATTTACGAGAATAAAGTCATTACTAACAAGAATAAAGTCATAATAAAGTAATTACTTACTGGAATAAAGTCATAATAAAATCATTATGATACGTATGATAATGTTGTGCTGATGTGCCAAAAGATTAAGTACCCCTTTGTTTGAGAAACCTATATTGAAGTATGTTTTCACAAAATGCTCCATGGCTCTCATTTCAACAACTGTCATCTTAAAAAACAGGTTAGAATACAAGGACTTCATTCTGACTCAATTCTCATAAATGATGATTTCATCATGACTTTATTCTCGTAAGTAATAACTTAATTCCAACTTTTTTAATCTCAAAATTTAGACTTTATTCATGTAATTCCATCTTTTATCTCGAAATTTCAACTTTAATCACGAAATTTCTATTTTTTTTCATTTCAACTTTTTTAGATTTCAACTTCAATCTCAAAATTCCGACTTTAATCTTGAAGTGGAAATAAAATAAAATCTCCCTCTTGTAACTATTTTTTTCTCTTCTTGTGGCCCTAATCCTCTTTCGTAGGCACGGCTCCATGTATCACTTTGCATATGTCATTAAAAAATACGTCTCAAATGACTAAAAGCAACATTTCTGTCTTCCAACAATAACCCTCTTACCCACAAAACTCACTGGTAGCGTCTTTTAAAGGGATTATGTATGTACCAATAAGTAGCTTTTGCTGTGAACTGTTGACTGCAAAGTCTGTGGATTATCCTGAGAAACAAGCAGAATGTTGTTCAAGATGAAACGCAGTTTTATTCAGCACTAATTCGACAAATACATCCACCTTTACTTGAACCTAATAGGAATGAAAATAAAAACTTTAAGGGCTACGATTTGACACACTTATAACAAAAACTTTAAACCAATTACACACATTTGTACTGCGTTAATAAAATTGATTAAAAGATGTTAAACATGGCAATCAACATTTAGTATTTGCCGTTTTCTGCATAGCAGCACCTATGATGCTAGTAATTACCTCAAATTACCACTGTGCCTAACAGCCCTACACAACTGAAAGCCATGCTAATGAGTCTGCGTTGGCTGTAATTAGGTGTAAATAAAACTCTTGCTGCAGGTGTCTATGAATGAGCTCCTTATCGTATGTGCTGCACCTCCTGTGACCTACATGGAGAATCTGAGCAAAATGAAGCTAATTCTTCTTTTCCCATTTCAGGACAGCGACCTGCTGACATTTAACATCTCAGCCCATCACTCTTGGTGGAGCGAACACGGGCCGGGCTGTGTGAGGAGAGAGATGCCACAGGCTCCAGGGGTCCGCACTACAGAGACTCACTCCTACATCACCGTCATGGGCTGCCACATGGACTATCAGTACATCGAGGTGGTGCATAGCGGCGTGCAGATTCTTGTTGCTGTAAGTAGAAGTTGTCAGTGCTTGTTTGACTCTGTTGACCCTATTCATGTATGACATACTTCATACTAGGATTCTCACATGAAGAAAAGGAAGGTGATGTTTTTGTGTCCTATTCAAACATTTTTCTGAACACAACTCCGCCGTCTTTTATTATGTCTATCGTGACCTCCCTTCCTCTGCACCCGACGCTGAATGAAAAATTGATCTGTTGTTTTGTCTGGAGGAGACCCAGACCTGCCAGCTGCTAACAGGTTATTCAAACACTGGAAGGACTGTTATTGTCCTCTTTATACAGCCTTGTATGAATACTCACATCCTGCCAGCATGCACATTAGCACACACTCATGTACGACTCACCAACTCCTCACTGGACGGGGGCCAGGACACTCCTTAGGCTGCCAGCAGGTATTTTGGTTCAGACATGCAGATTACAAATATCTATTCTCTGTAGTGTTAACGTTCGCTCACTTTGATTCTGGGGCACATAAAACGCACACACCTTTTTTTTGACCCAGTTTTTAAACAAATGAGAGGTTGAATTATTTGTTAGAGTCACATGAGATTTAATTTTTTTTTTAACTGATCTAAATTACACCTGGCATAGCACAGTGAATGTAACCTAGCAGATTGGAAAAGTGGGAGAGTCTGGAATATAGGCTTGATAAATAATTAATGTAGCAGCCTTTGTGTCACTTATTGGTTTCTGAACTGTGCTGATTTATCCTTGCAAATTAGTTTTAAAGATATTGCATTAGCAAGTTTTTCATAAATGGTGGACCGGCTGATATGCATGACAACCATGGACACTGTAGCTGTTTGCTGTTTCTGTTTGCAAGGAGGCCATTTCTGTGCCTCTTGTTAGGTAGACGAGGGCTGGGCGATATGGCCTCAAATCAATATCACAATATATTGAGCAGTTCACCTAGATAACGATAAATGGACGATAACTACTCAACAAAGTGCTCACCCCCTCCCAAATTAGCTTAGTCTACTTCCACTCTAGCCGCTCCAACTTTTGAACCATCCTCCATTTCCTCACCTGTCTTTTCCTCTTTGTTACAGACTGGATGGGGTGGAGTCACGTCCTCGATGTAGGACAGTGTCTTAAGGGGACATGAGACCATAGCCTACTTACACACACCCAAAACCAACTTTTATTTATTTTTTTGACACCGAATATACCCATATGGGAAAATGATGTCGGTTATTGTTGAAAATTTCAGTATCTGTACATTTTTGGTTTATCGCCCAGCCCTAAGGTTGACCATAAATTAGGTTGCATAGTTTTCAAAACTTTGTTTCAGAAACTTGCGAGTGACATTAGTTCGGCTAAAGGCTAGATGTGATACATAATTTTTAGCTGCAGAGATGGAGTATGTTGCAACTGTTTGCTAAGAGGCTAAGAGTCCACTGCGGCTCGACCTCGCTTCCTGAATCAATCATAAGCTAGGCTCTCTTCAGAAACAGGGTCATCTGTGGACAGTTTTCATGATCTGGAAAAAAAAAAAGCCACATCAAAACCATTTGTAAATGTGTATTCATGCTTTAGACATTGTCATTTTAATATGGGACTCATGGGGATGGGGAGTATTTAATTTTTTTGACCCAGCCTCAAACTCAAACTTTAGAAGCTGCACGTTTTTGCTGCTTCTGGCTCGCCTGAGAGACATTAAATCATAGTATTCATCCATCACCCCTGTGGAAAAAGGTAATAAAAATGGCTGACCTCTCTTAAAAGCCGCTACTATCTTTCTGAACCTCATTAGCCTCTGCTCCGTGGGCGGTGAATTTTCATTCTACTTGCCACACATGGACTTTCACTCCTCTATGTGAGGGTTTTTTTTCTTTTTTTGGAGACATTTCAACATGGTATTGTCCTTCCAAGCATTCAGTGGCTTCTTCTAACAACAGGGAAATTGGAACTTAAATCCCAATGCCACAAATTGCTTCATTTTCCTTGAATAATGGGGGGAAAAGCGATTCTCCTCTTAGCAAAACGGAGCCTTCTAACTACTACTGTCGGTCTGCTTTGTTCCTTTTGCTCCCTGCCAGACAGACAGAGGAAGTTGAAGGAATTAATCAAAAGAAAAGAAAGAAAGAAAGAAAGCGAGTCTCTTTGTCTTTGTTAAAGAGGTTTCAAGGTTGCCCACGAAAGGCCATTAAATATTTAGTTTGGGCTTCAAGGAGCATGTTTCATTAAAATGAAAAATGTGGATCCATTGACCAGGCATCAATGTCATCTATCTCCTCTGATTCATCACGAGCTGCAAGCAATCCATTCAGAAGTGAAGTTTTGGATTCAGTCCCGTCAGCTTTGTGTTGTGGATTTTGCTGCTACAGGCAACATCCAGTCAAGAAAGTAACTTTAAGGTTTATCGGATAAGCTTGAAGTGGTTCAACCTTTTCAAAACTGGGGTCATGTATTATTCAGTGATCCATCACTGAGAGGAATATGTTGCTCAATATCGGCTTTTATCCTATTCTTTTCTGTCGGAGCCGAGACCCATCCCTTCAAAAATACATATTGCTACTGAGTGGCTTTTCTTTTCTGCTGCTGTCATAAAAATAACTGATTGTTCTGTCAGGGATGTCGGCAGAAAATCTACACATACTTTCCCCCCTCTTTTCATCCTCCCATCATTCTGTCTGCTTTTTTTTTTTTTTTCTTCTGGTGAGCTGTGTTCGCTGTTAAATAAAACAGCGGAGTCTGAGAAAACATCTCCGGTGAGACACGGGGGTAGTTAGAAAGAAAGGTACAAGAGAGAGACAGGAAAACCCGAACAATATGTGATATTCAGTTTACATCTGTAGACATAAGTCTTCCCCGCTAACTGGAGCTGTGAGAGATGTCAAAGGCCTGTTGGAGACGCTCATAAAGCGGCCAATGAAAGTGCATCCACACACTTTCTCACACAAACACACAGATATCATATCATTTAATGGAGGTTATTGCTGCCACAGGCTATGCTTTCCTCTGATGCCTCTCTATTCCCTGGGAACCGGCATTTGAGGGGGTTGTGTGGACGTTTGGTTACGGGGGAGAAAAGAGCAGCCTGCATTATTCTCATGTTCCAGCATTCATTTCCTCCTTTTTTTTCATCTATCATACCCCCTCACAATCTCTCAAATATGCCTCTCTTCCTGTCTCCTTTTTCCTGCCCAGATCTCACCCTGGATGACCTTTATGTTCATCAAACTTGAAGCAACTTGTAGGACAAATACACTCTCTGTCTCTTTCTTCTCCCTCTCTCTTTGTCTCAGTCTCTCATTCTCCACTCATCTCTTTCTTTCTCCCTCCACTATCTTACCCTCTTACTCATTCGTTCTTATCTCTCTCACTTTTTCTCTCTTTTCTACTCTTCCTCTCTGTCCCTTTTCATCACTCACGTATCTTAACTTTTCCCTCCTCTTGTCATAGTCTGTGTCAAACTATCTTAAAGGGATATTCCGGCGTAAAATTAATTTAGGGTCAAACTTTAGTAATGACCACACTATCGCAATACACAGCGGCCTAAGGAGCCACACACAAACCTCAACCAAAACGCCACTCTATCGCCACAAATAATGATCAGAACAGCACCTAACTTCATCAACAGTACATATAGGGTCACAGCTACAGCACTAGCCACCAAACATCTTTTTAACTTTGCCTAATTTCTTTAGCAAAGAGGCTAAACACAACTCAACTACTCTCTTCCAGCAGCCACTTCCTCGGGGCAAGTCCTCAACCAGTCTATCATCGACTGCAGCGGAGGGACACAGCTCAAGGAAGAACATTTATGATCATTACTTCATCATTTCCTTGAAGTAATAATCACCATATTAATAATTTTGCTCTGCAGATGCGGTAGTTCTTCTGCCTTAGCGTCTCAGTCTGATTGCATTTCCATGAAGAAATTATCATAAATTACTCTTCCTTGAGCTGCGAAACTCCGCTGCAGTAATTGATGGACTGGTCGAGGTCTCGCTGAAAACAAGCGGCTGCTGGAAGAGAGTAGGTGAGTTGTGTTGAGTCTCTGTACTAAAGGAGATGTTTGGTGGCTAGCACTGTGGCTGGGACCCTACATGTACTGTTGATGAATTTAGGTGCTGTCTGAGCATTATTTGTGGTTATAGAGTAGCGTTTCGGTCGCATTGTGTTGCTATCGTGCTGTCATTGCTAAGTTGGTATAACTAGAGAAGCAAGCGGTCGGCAACATTCATCTCTCGAGGGAGTGTCCAACTCGGTGTTACGGTGAGTTTGACCCTGAATCAATTTTATGTTGGAATATCCCTTTAATAGCAGCAGGGGGCTATGATACTATGTTGTTTGTCAGGCTCCCCCTTGAGTGGGACGGACCCCTATGATTACAGCTTGAGACTGTGCTCAGGTGTAG